CATACCTAATACCTACTTTGTAACTATGTAACTCCAATGGTTTATCTTTCACCGCTATTTCGCTAGGAAGACCGTATCCATGTCCAGATCTTATTAACTAAACACCCCTCTCTTTTATTTTTTCAACCTCCCCTCTCACTTCTTCTCAATCCTTGTCGCCGTGAAATCCCTGCCGACGCTCCATCGCGCTTGTCCGATGATCAGCGGCTATTGGTTTCCTTAAACCCTCTCCCTTTTTGGAAATTCAAATACAATGACATTTTTTTTTTATTCACATCAATCAAATCAACTAGGTTAAGTAGGAGGTAGGTAACCTAGTATTTTTCTTTTCCAAAGTTGTAGCCCGTTTTAGATATCAATATCATGGCTCTCACGTGGTGGTGGCTGGTTTTTTGAAGCAAATAAGTCTCAAATTTTAATTTTTTTCTTGGGTCTCTTCGAAGGCGCCCGAGCCTCGCAAAATCTTGTCCTGCGTGATAGGGTCGAGCCCCGGTCCACACACAAGGTTTTCCGGGTAACTCGTCGGTCTGCTAGTTAAGACCTTCATATATACCTTGCTTCAACCTGCCTTTCTCGTCATTGTCCACGAGCGTCTTTAAGGTCCAGACGCAAAAAAGTATTCCAGCAACTTAGACTTAAGTAGGTTAGGACGTCGCTCAAAACTTAGGTAACTATGAAATATACTTCGTTACGCGTAACATGAATACTGTAGAATAACGTATGGGATAACCAGGCACTGTATGTCTTTTTGCAGATCCTTTCCTTTAGCCCTGCGTGCTTCTTTCTCGCATAGCTATCTTAAGCAATCACCGAGGGGGTCGATCTCCGTCAAAGGTACCTAGACCTAAGTTTATCTTTTCCTCCAAAGCAGGCGTCGTTGACGCTAGCAGCAACAGGTAAAGCGTGATCGTCAACAAGGATTTCGGGCGGGCTCGCCTGTGCGCGGCGTATCGCTATTCTTATCCGAGAAGCATCGACATTTCACCATGTACCATAGGTAGCTCGCATGGAACTCAATCGCAACCTTGCCTTGTCGAAACCTCGATTCTATATACCGTACCTAGAAGTAGGTATGTATGCTGCACCAGCGATCCCCAGCACACATGTAAAGAGGTAAGTAGTGTATTTCCGTCTACAAAAAGGGGCCACTGTTGATCTCAAAATCAATCTTACATCGTGCATGCACCGTGGGCAGCACCCCTGATGCTATATCTCCTCTTGAATGGGCTAGGAATCACTTTTCAGCTACCTACGGTACCGTGGATGCTTACACAGGTGATAAGTACTGACGATGTACGTAGCATTAGGTACCGTAGTGTACATATGTATGTACGGCGCGGCATGGTATGACTACAGCACATAACCGCACTCACATATCTAGCGGGAAAAAGTGAACAGGGGGGCTGCAGACAAGCAATTGGTGCCGTTAGTATCCTTCTTTCCTCTTCAAACCCTTGAAGAAGTTGTGACAACAACGAGACATAGATACCTACTTGCTATATCGATCGTAGCCGAAGATTTGTAAAAAGATGACTAGGTACGTCTAACTAGCTTATAGAAAATCTGCCTAAGGTAAGTACCCAGACAACGATACAGCCCTCCTCCTCATTGGTAAAATGAAAGCAATTCAATTCATCCTCGGGTGTATCAAATCAGCCAGGAATAAGTCAGCCCCCCCTATCTCCCTTCCAAGTTACAAAAGTTACAATACCCAGCCACCCCACGTAACCTGGGAAGCAAAGGCAAGCAAGCGGGCATGCGTGAGAAGCATCCCGTCTCCGCTACCGCCGGCAGCACGAAGCAGGTAGTTATTAGCCAAGCAGGGAGCAGAAGCAAGTATGATCCGCATATGTAGGATAGTAGGTAGTAACAATCTATGCCTGTCTGTATTAGATTCTGTATACCCTCCCGCACTACACAAAGTACGTACGTGCTCTATTTATGATTATTTTTTCAAGGGCTGGGCCTCGACTTCAATATTTCCGTCTTACCCCATGTCACGTCGACATTTGTTTTTTTGCCCCCCATCGTCCACCTAAGTGGAGAGCGTTTTTTTAAAAAGCCCCCCACTAGTATACCGGCATCATCAATCACCAGCGAGGTTTTAACAGGCTGGATTTTTTTTTGTTGTAGGGATACCTATTCCCGTAGCAGCCCAAGTACCTCGTAACGGGAATTCGCGATGGGGCCGAGCACCGGCCAGGACGAAAGAAAATAAGAACCGAATCCGGAGCTCCTACGTACTACATTCCCCTCCGAATCACATTGACGATTGCTAAATTTACCAAAGAACTGAATCAATCTCCTCTAGACCGACAAGTTTCAGTGGTCCATAAGAGGTCCAACTTGATTATTGTACAATACAATACGGGGAGCGAATCACTTTGTCGTTTCTATCTTGAGGACAGGAGGGGTGAAGTATTAACTCCCCGGGTTCGTAACGTTTAGCCCAGGGAGTCGGGCTCAAGTTTAGATAGAACAAAGGGGCCTTTTACAAGGCTTCTCGAGGAATTCCTAACCACCGGCAACGATGACCCTATACCGGATCTTTTGCCGACCAATTACCAGGCACCGGCCTGGTGCAATTTCTTTAAAACACTAACCGTACATTGGTCGCGACCCAACAGAAGGGCCACTGCAACGTAGCCCAGAAGAAGCAGGGAACAAATGGAAAGGGGGAGGAAAAGAGAGCAGCCAAACGCTCACTCGCTCTCGCGCGCGCCGTTCGAAGGAAGCAAGAGAGAGAGAGACTGAGAGGGTGGCAATTGTTCATGCCGGTAAAACATACATAGTAGAAAAACGCTGCGGCTGCACAGGAATAGAGGAGGGCACGGGTCGGGAATGCAACCCGACTCGATAGTGTTGAATCAATGATACCCCCATCCAACCGTGACCCCAAAGTGGATAAGCAACACGACATAGCAAATACAGATTATAACAAGAACGGCGGCGGCCCCAATCGCCAGGCTGCATGAACGACTAGCATGGGGTCCCAGCATTCGCCGCCGAGTTGTACCCCAAGACCCTAAGGGTATTGGTATGCATTTGCCCTAAGGTAATAACGTACAATACGATACTAACTTACCAGGTAAGGTAAGGTAAGGTCCAGTAGGTGATTCCAGTACACTAGGTTAGGGTATCGTATGTGGGATAACTAGCTGTCGTAATGTATCGTACAATTATATGGTTGAAATCTGAGGCCTAGATTTTTGTAGACATGTTACCCTGGTTCCTAGAGGATTTACAGCCTCGATCCAAGCCCGTCAGCAGTAATCAACGGTCTGCTAGCTAGACCTAAGATTCGGCATATACGTACATACACATACACATACATACCTACCTCATACATACCTACCTACATACGTACATAATGTAGGAAGCAAGGAGGGAACTCCCGCCTCTGCAGATGACAGTCGGGGTTGTATCATCAGCCTCCGATGACATGACGAAGACGAGGAAGAGGAAAGAGACAAGAGAAAAAAAAAGTGAGCTGTCAGCATCCAAGGCGGTTAGTGTCGAAGGGTTAGCCTACGGCATCTTTGCCCCGTAGTCCAATGACGTGCGTTCAATTTTTTTTGGTCTATCTAGGTACGAAAGAGAAAACTTCGTTTTGCCTGGCTGGCACTCGGAGGGAGGGAGGGTACCGAAGCTTCAGCTCCCCCTTTCCTCCAGGACATTGCAGCAGCAACAGCAACAGAAACAGCAGCGAAAAAGAGGGTTGCATGAGAAAAGACGATGACGGGAGATATGGTGGGCTACTTGCATGAGGGTGTGCGGGGGACAGGAAATCGAACCGGGACCGATCCCATCGCGAGACAAGCAGGGCAGGTAGCGTAAAAGCAGGTAGGGGTTGTTGTTGTTGTTTTGGTCTGTCTTTCTGTTTTACTTCCTTTGATGCGACTGTCGCCTCTTGTATCCTCATCCTGTCCGGGCTGGAACCCCAGGCCAGGGTTCGACGGCCGTTGTTGAAAAAAGGTAAGCTCGAGGCGTGCCAACCAGGGAGTTCAGATTTGCCGTCCTCGTGACTTTGGAGAGGGGATGGATGCTTTAGTTCCTTTTCATGGCTTTAAACTACCTGACCTGGGTAACCTGACCTAAGGTTAAACAATTCAAAGAAAATAGAATAAAATAATAACGATAAAATCCGTCTCTTAACACTGTTACCTACCTAACCTAGAGGTACCGTACCTATTGCTCGGGCTTTTGGTTTCGAAACGCGCGCACCCGATTGGCCGGCTGGGGACACCTCCGTCAGATGTCGTGACATGATGTTCCTGCTGTCGGGCGAATCCCGTAGCTCTGATAACCTTCACGTTGAACGACCTACGCGATATCGTATGCGGGCTTGGCAGACGTGGTAATGCTCATCATTTTCAAACCGGAGGGTGTTGTATGTTGAATGAATAAAATAGGTAGGTAGGTCGGTTAGGTACAACAAGCAACTAAAATAAAATAAAGCTACGTCCTTAATAGTTTAGGTAATAAGAAACGAGCAGTGTACAATACGTAAGCCAACAGCAATCTTGGAATTAACAGGTACCTGTTAGGCCGACCTTAGGTAATCTTTTCGCTAGTACCTGCATGTAATCAGGTCTTCAGTGATCGAATAGGGATACAAGGCTACTTCGTCAACTTTGGAGATATATACAATTTTTTTACTCTTACACATTCTTACCCAAAACATACTTAAGATACAATCTACTAACAACCTCTTCTCAATCTCGCCCGGCTTACACGAACTCACATACCAGGTAAAGAATCTAGACTCTGTAATTGTCCATGTTTCAATAAAATAAAACGGGGCGTCACGTGTCACTACCGGCATGTCCTCTGCTGTGTTGCCCGGGCAGCTGGCCGGTAGGTAGCTCAGTGTAGCTTCAAGGGTTTTTGGTTTCCCGTTAGCGTCGAGTTCGAACGGGAATTGGTTTGGTTCAAGTTTTTTTTTAACTCTACTATAGACTAATTCATTGTCTCACTTCAAAGGAAAACACAGCAAACCCGTTGTGCGAGGGTGGAATTTCTAAAAAAGATCATACTGTTTTCTTTTCTTTCGCTCACCTTCATAATGACGTAGCAATCACGCGTTTTTACTTTGAATTTTTCGAACTTTTAACTTTCTTACTGTCTTTCGTGTTACCCATTTTCACGTCTCTCTCTATATCTCTCTCTATTCGCCATGCCGCAACCGTCAAACACGTCTAATAAATCAGAGATAACCAAAGCCGCAGAGCCTAGATATGGCGTGGCTTTTGACTCCTGGAATTCGTCGGCTACCGGCCATCAGCGCGCCGAGAATCATCTGGGTAGAAGCACGGGATGGCGCCAGTCCCGGAACCTGAAGTTGACGAGCCAGTTCAGAGGGGGCCCGGGCGGCGGATCGAGAGTATCAGACACGGTCGGTGCGGGTTCGGAAGACTGGGACCCCAAGCTGAAAGCTCTTGTCACGCCTGAGCTGCGGTCACGCGCTAGGTGTTCCGTCAGGGATATGCTTGCAAAGCCAGGGATCATGGCAACGAGCATGGCTTCGTCATCGATGCCGACGCCAATGCTTACGCCTGCGGCACCAGACGCGCATTCTACTAGTATCTTAAATGACGGAAATGACGGGGACTGCAGTGGTAACGGTTGTGGCCCGATAGCCGAAGAGAAGCTCATGGCTCAGCGTAAAGCTGAAGATGAAGCGCGAGAGGCGGCAAAAGCACAGCCCAAGAAAATCTTCGACGGCGTTGTGGTGTATATCAATGGCAGCACGCACCCCTTGATATCTGACCACGAACTCAAACACGTCCTAGCAGAACACGGTGGCAGAACATCCATCAATCTAGGACGAAAACAGGTGACTCACGTAATCTTAGGTAGACCAGCCGGAAGGCCTAGAGGTGCCGGTGGGGGTCTGGCGGGAGGAAAGTTGCAAAAGGAGATACAGAAGGTAGGTGGATGCGGGATGAAGTTTGTGGGTGCCGAATGGGTTCTCGAGAGCATAAAAGCAGGAAAACGCCTCCCGGAAGCAAGATTCAGCAATCTGAAGATGGCGTCAAAAGGTCAGCAGAGCGTATATGGTTTATACTCGGCGACCAAGAATCCTGCGGAACAGTCCACATCTACGTGATAACCAACGAACGCGCCTAGGTGTCACCTGGCTTTGTTGAATCTACGACGCTGCTCGTTTTATTATAGCACACGCCACGATCAACAGGGGATTGGTTGGTTGGTTGGTTGGTTGGTTGCATCCAGGGTTTACAGCATTGCTGCACATTGCATTATGAGATACATGAGGTTGGTTACTTTGCATGACACATCCAGCATATAGAGCATCAGTTGCATTAGTAGTCGAGAGGGTCGGTATGTACTCGGGCGGGCTACCGGGAGTTCTTGGCTTACGGTTGCATGGGCGTCGGGGAATTGCCGGTCGGCTCGTCGTAATTCATAGATTTCGGTTCCTCGGATTGTAACATCTTCATACGGGTTGGTTTTTTTTTTCTAAACATGGGCGTCCGTTCCATAAAGCCGGTTCGCGTAAATGCTGCCAAACCGGTCAAGTTGCAATATAATGTTTTATTGTCTACCTTCTTCGTACCTTGTCGCTTAAGTTAATGCACCGTGTGAACAGACCCATATATCCCGTAACTTGCTATAGCATAACTCTTCGTAACCATATTCATAAAACATCTCACATCTTGCCGTCGTTCTCATGTTAGACAAAAATGTAAGCATATGCGATATTTCCCATCAGAAAACCACCTCGAACCGCTTTGAAGTATTTGAGGTCTTAGCCTTTCTTCATGACTCGGTATAAATGGGGTTTACCGAGGATGTGGCTTGGACGTGCATCCGTACCCCAGAGCCCCGGGGTAATCTTATTTGAGGAGAAGTGATTGACATGTATCGCAATACGGTTCATTGCCCCGCGGGGTATCTTAGTACCGGTCTTAGTAAACAAAAGCCCCTTTCGTCGTTCGAAGGAGCGTTATAAGCCAGTCATCATAAGTAAAACTTATAAGGTACCTCCTAGGCTGGCTTAGTGAGACAAAGTCGATGCCACTAAGAACTTTATATATGATATTATTTGATTTGGTTATAAGCTGTTGATTAAACTTATTAACTACAGGTGCCTAAGCTAGAAAGTGTCCGAATCTCATGCTTTTTTAAAGTTTCGAGATAGACCGCCAACGGTGACTTGCAGCCATGAGCCCTCCGCAGGACGAAGTTCACCGCCGTTCGCTGGAGGATCCGGAGAAATTCTGGGGCCGGCACGCCGAGAAGCTGCATTGGCACGAGAAGCCGCATTCGGTCATAACCAAGACGACGAGGAAGCTCAAAAGCGGATTGGGGTATCCTCATTGGGAGTGGTTCTCGGGCGGTAAGATATCAACATGTTACAACTGCGTTGATAGGCACGTCCTTGCTGGCAATGGCCACCAGCCTGCTATCTTCTACGATAGTCCTGTCACCAAGAAGAAGGCTACTATCACGTACTCGCAGCTACTTGACCAGGTCGAGGTTACGGCTGGTGCTCTAAGGGAAGAAGGTGTCAAGAAAGGGGATGTGGTGTTGGTTTATAGTTCGTTTACCCCGTCGCCTTTTTTCATCATCATCATCATCATCATCATCATCATCATCAAAAGGGTGTACCTAGCTGACAAAATCTAGTGCCAATGATCCCGGCTGCTCTCATTGGAATTTTGGCTATCAACCGGCTCGGGGCAATCCACGCAGTTGTGTTTGGCGGGTTCGCCGCAGCATCTCTAGCCCAACGGATCGAGTCATCCAAGCCCGTGGCCATCTTAACAGCTTCATGCGGAATAGACGGGGCCAAAGCGCCTATGAGCTACAAGCCTTTCATCTCGGAGGCTATCCAACTATCTAGTCACAAGCCAAGCCGTGTCATAATCTGGCAGCGAGACGAGTTACGATGGGATAACCTCAACAAATCAGCCGGCGAGCGTAATTGGTTCAAGATGGTGCGCAGCTGCAAAGCGAGAGGCGTGAGGGCCGATTGCGTGCCTGTTAGCTCTACGGATGCGATTTATATCATCTACACGAGTGGAACAACGGGCTCGCCTAAAGGTGTTGTCCGTCAAGCAGGTGGTCACGCGGTTGGCTTACATCTTTCAATGAGATATTTGTTTGGTGTCCACGGACCCAGAGATGTTATGTTCACGGCAAGGTGAGTTAAGTCTAAAAGGAAATTAGGTACCCATTAGGTAGAAGTATTAACTCGAGACGAAGCGATATAGGTTGGGTGGTAGGCCATTCCTACATCATCTACGCCCCTCTCCTTGTCGGAGCAGCAACGGTCCTCTTTGAAGGAAAACCTATCGGGACCCCTGATAGTTCGACTCTCTGGCGCATCATACAAGAATATAAAGTGACGAGTTTGTTCACTGCTCCGAGTAAGTGCCGTTGGAGAAGGTTGCCGAGTCATGAAACTAACATACGTAGCTGCTCTTCGGGCTATCAAGAGAGATGACCCAAATAACACGTCTCTCAAGCGGATAGGCGAGCAGGGCGGCCTCAAAAGCCTCAAGGCGCTTTTCCTAGCGGGCGAGAGGTCGGAACCCTCGATAGTAACGATGTACGACGAACTCGTGCAACGGTACGGTGCTCCCGGTGCCACGGTCGTGGATAATTGGTGGTCGTCAGAGTCAGGATCGCCAATGTCCGGCATCTGTTTAGCGCCACACGCGGGAGACACCGAAGGCACCATAAGCAGGAGCTATCGACGGTTACCGATCAAGCCGGGGAGCGCCGGCATGGCACTGCCGGGGTTTGACGTTAGAGTTGTGGATGACGATGGGAACGAGGTAAAGAGAGGAAAGATGGGTAATATTGTTCTGGCGATACCGCTAGCCCCGACGGGTTTCACAACGTTGTGGAAAGACGACGAAAGATTTTATAATGGGTATCTGAAAAGGTTTGGAGGGAAATGGGTTGACACCGGCGGTAGGTCTTTTTCGTTTAAGTCTCTGCTTGGAAACTATTCGCTAACTGAGAGCCTGATAGATGCCGGCATGATAGACCCTTCTGGGTACATCAGCATTATGAGTCGAAGCGATGATTTGATCAATACAGCCGGTCATCGACTTTCGACTGGTAAGTCATTCCACCTCAACTACCCAATGAAAGTTTCTACTAAAGCAACCCGAATAGGATCCATCGAGCAAGCGATAACAAGCCATCCTCTAGTTGCGGAAGCTTGCGTAGTCGGGGTTCCAGACTCCCTGAAAGGCCAGCTCCCTTTCGCCTTCATAACTTTATCAGTGCCTGACCACCCTCCCTCCGCTGTACCGGACAAACAGCTATCCGACGAGATCCAAAAGCTGGTGCGGCGCCAGATCGGAGGCATTGCAACGCTCGGCGGCATAATCCAGGGGAAGGGAATGATCCCCAAGACGCGGTCGGGCAAGACGCTGCGAAGGGTTCTGAGGGAGCTGGTTGAGAATGCCGTTCACGACGAGCTCGAGAACGAAGTCCAGTACCCGGCCACCATCGAGGACGCGTCGGTCGTCGATGTAGCGAAGTCTAAGGTCGTAGAATATTTTAAGCATAGAGGGGAAGCGCATAAAGCGACCGAGGTAAGGGCTAAGTTGTAGAGGACTCGTCTCCGTTGAGCTATATTCTCGACAATGCCTGCTACTGTTGTACTTCTGTTTCTGTTGTTTTGAGTTAAAGGGATACGATCAGCGGGTATATTTACTAGGAGGATCTACCTCTCGGGTAGCTTTCGTATTCATGTTCAAGTATAGTAATCTATCATAAAGGCCCTATCTTCTCGTAGTGACACACCCCTTCTCCACAGCAACGACGTCAAATCACATTAATGTGTGCTTTTCCTGGATATTGTATTTGTAATTTCTAGTCATTTTATCTAATTGAGTCATAAAGCTAAAAATATCACGACTTTTTCTTTCTCTTCGCTAGGCTTATGGATAGATACCTACCTTGTACCCATGGCTTTGGTTGATGAAATATCTTCCTCGTACACTTATTTGGATACCGATATTTTTCTTGTTCACGTGGTTCTAGTCATATTACCTAGGACGTATTAAAAGTCCGGCGGATACCGGTTGGTTGACGGACACGACGGGGGATGAGCCGATTATCACCGCTCGTAATTCCTTCGCTTCATCTGCTTTGATATTTTTGCCTGCCAATCACAATGGCAAAGTCCCCTTTTCCAAAGCGACGGGCACGAATCACTACTCTCCGGAAAGTCTAATTCCAGACGTTTGGGGGCGGGCGACATGTGGGTTTCGAGCGTATAGAGTGGCGGCTACCTTATGTCCGCACGCTCACGAGGGAGAAGACTCGTGCGCGGACGACGAGGCGGCCTCGCAGTTCTACCCGTGACCCATGCTTTTTAACATTTACGTGCCACACAAGCGGTCCCAAGAAACGCCTCATACTTGTGGTTCTATGTAAATGACTCAGCTTATGGTGTTAGGCTGTCGTTTCGCCTGCCGCAATAAGCTGCTCAATTCGGAAACTTACGTATAGCCTCACTGATAGGACTAGTATACAGTGCATAGAGCGCCGATACCGACTAAGACAATCACCGAAAATGATCTCGTTCTCCACTCGTTACTAACTCGGTGCGATGGCTTCCAGATGGTAGGAATTGTATCCTGAAGGAGTAAAAGATGAATTTTCGCGATAAATTTGGTAAATATGTGGACCGAAGCTGAACTAAGATTCTTCCCGACGCAGGTTCTCGGTGGATATCATGAGTGTAGTAGAATGGCAAAATGGCGATATATAAGTTAGCTATGCCCTCTAGTAATATTAGACCTATAGACATCGTTGAGTTCTCCAGCTCTGTGAAGACAGTAAATCCAATAAGAGTTTCTCTGGGCCAAGTCGATATCCTCATAATGGCAGAAAGAGAGATTATTATATTTTGGGGAGGCCACGGCAAGTTATTCGTTTGACAACAGCTGTATAAACCAATACTAACGTTTACAGACTCTTTCGTATGTCGTTGGGTTAGCTCACCAGTCACCAAATGTGTCTCGGACGGCAGCACGACATTGCAGACGATAGATCTTGCCTTGTCGTTGAATCTCGCATCGCCTAATTCGGAGCCCCCTAATCTCCCAAGCGGTGATGATATCTGGATCCAAAGTGGAAACAATGGAATCGAGCTTGCCAGCGCAGAGTCCTTTGGTTCACAGGAAGCTTTCCGATTCCTAGTGACTTGCCTCCAAGCTACCAAGCTATCGAATAAGAGATTGGCAAGACTTATTATCCCTTTGCAGAGAGGTACGGTCGTCAGGTCAGACATCGTCCCTCTTCGTCTAAAGGATGCCTTTGGTGTCGAACGAGTAGTCTCCTTTTTAGCGCCGCTCCAACCACTCTCTGGAGATGTCCCCCGTCTGGAGTTGATTTCCATCGTAGAATTGTTTCGTTCCTCTGCTGGTGGAATATTATTACAGGAGCCGTGTTCAGGAGCACCTATCGTACCTCCGGAATTCGAAGCCGATTTTGAAAATAAGATGTCTCTGCCCTGGGTTCTACCAGGACTACGCACTCGGAAACGCCTTGTGCTCGTTGGCGTGAGCTATCGCGCACCATCTCATGGGTCGTGGACTGTCTACGCATGCGAAGCAGCCCGTTACCTCGGAATTGATCTCGTAATCATTGACAAGCCCGGCTGTTGGATCGAGCGAAGCGAATATTCACAGGTATGTACTTACCTAGTACAAACAAGTAGCCCCTTTATACCCAACCCGGAACCCGGGGTCCATGATAATGAGTACCTAAAGGAGCTTCTGCTCCTGGTGTACATCTAAATCCTCCTCAATTGTTCAGAACGATAGTTACTAACGCCGATACTTAAGTGGTACGAGGCATTCTTGCCTGTTGGCACTTGGTGGACAAACCCCCCTGACCACAACATGGCAGACCGTATCGCCGAGACAGTCAGGTCATACGGCAAGCCTATCGATGGAATCGTTACTTTTATCGATTCATTCCAAGCTACGGTCAGCCGAGCAGCGGAGAAGCTTGGCTTACCGCACCAACCCGCCGAATCATACGAAATCGCAACTGACAAATATCGGGTGGGTATTGCCGAAGGCCGTAATCCTTTCTACGGCTCGACGGCTAAGGAGGCGTTGGATTTCGCCTCGGCACAAAATCTCTCATACCCCTTAATCCTCAAGCCGCGCCTGGGCCTGAACTCGGAAGGTATTGTGCGAGTGAACAACGCGGCGGAGATCCAGGCTGGGGTGGAAATGATCCATAAGACCTTCTTCAAGTCGTTCACGATGGAGAAGTATTGCGACGGTCCAGAAGTAGACGCCAATATGATCTTATTGGATGGTGAGATATTGTTTTGTGAGATCTGCGACGACTTCCCCAAGCCGGGAGATCAAAGCGACATCACGGTTCCCGCCTCTCAGAGGAGCTTCTTGGAGACGTTTCTCGTCCACCCTTCCGCTCTTCCGTCTCAAGAACTAGAAATGCTTCAAAGTTCAATTAGCGCGACTCTACGACGGATTGGTATTTCTAGCGGTGTTCTACACGTGGAAGCCCGGGTCGAGCGATCATCTGTAGAATACCGCTCGGACGGCGGGTATCTTGACTTACGACCAATCGACAAAGCGGCAACATCGACTCCTCCAGCTCCTTGGATCTTGGAAATCAACCCGCGCCCTCCCGGATCTACTGCCAGTCGGATCGTCGAGTCGGTCTACGGAATCGATTATTTTGGCGTCGCGCTATCCCTAGCCATCCAGGACAAGGATCGAGCCAGAGCATTATCCCTCCCGTTCCGAAACGGTGCCCAGTACACCGGAGTACTCGTGTTCATTGGTGCTGATTTCGAAGAAACCCGCGAAGGCATCTTCGATTCGGATGACATCTGCAAAGAATTGATAGGCCGCAGGCCCGACCTAGCGAAGAATAGTAAGTACCTAACCTACCATCTGCACGCACTCATTAGTCCTTCTGTCGCACGACACAAGCCTCAGTTTCAATATATATAAGAGGAGTCTACACACCCAATCATAGGAGTCGGAATGAGTGGCGAGACCTACATATATAAAATACGAATAAAGTACTAATCCCGAATGTTACGTAGTTAATCGCTACGGCTGTCTCGTGAAAAGGGGCCAGAAGGTCCCGCACCCTAGTTCCGGAGCGAACACATTCATAGCTTACTTCAACGTGTTTTCAAAGTCAAGGAAGGAAGCACTAGAAATTGCAGCTGAGGTTAGGAAGGAAGTCAGGTACTCGTTCCGTTGAATTGGCTTTAAGAGCTACGTATAGATTTCCTTCATCATATGTATTGGCAAGATGGCTCTGCGAGCTCATGCCTAGGCGTTGTTCATATCCTTTATTAAGAAGCTCTCCTTAGACATAGAAAGATAGACAGGTAGATAGAATATCACCATAGAAATAGACAAACCCACTTACAGCGGTATATAGTTTACCATGAGGACTAAGATTAAACAGAAAGTGGCATGTCTTGATGGTTAATTTCTAGTGGTTAATGTCTACTGGTGTATTTCTAATGACATTGACATTAGCTATAGCGTACCTATGATAAGCAAGCCACCTTTATCATACGACGGCTTTTTCATAAACTATATATAAACTCGGGATTCTCCCTGTCCGTCAGATCAAGAAATTCCTGCCCATCCACCTTAGCATAACCGGGACTAGCTCGGATAGCGGCCTTAATCTTGTTCTGACGCCTGCACCACATGTTGATAAAGATCAGGATGGCAAACGACACAAACATGCACACGAGGATCACGATGTTGGCGTTGCGGTACTGCGGCGCGTCGTACGTCTGGAATACCTGAGGCCCGATGATGTTGCCTACGCAGTAGGCGGTCAGATACATCGCCGCGACGGTCGTTTTCTTCGTCCACCCCGCTACGTTCGTCGAGATCAGTCCTAGCAGAGCTACGAACCCGGTCGAGGAGGACTGGTACAGGTAGTAGCCCGCAAGCCGTCCACCGCTGTTGCTGAGCGGGAGGAGGAGGATCAGAAAGAGGCCCAGTACTGATAACAAGACACCAGCAGCACCGAATAACTAAATGAGCCGTTAGCACTGCCTATAGAGCTAGGTATGGGCCGGGAAGCCTAACAATTCGGTTTTTGTATCGATCACCAAAATGCCCTGCGACTAGGAGAGTGATGACTTGGACGGCACCACCAGGTGCCCCCAAAAGCAGCGATTCGTTTTCCGAGAACCCAAACGAAACGATGAGCTGCGAGAAATAATTCGACATTCCACCTGGAGGTAGTTAATCAAGAACATCATTAGCCTTCAATTTTCGAATATAGGTACCTACTTAGACGTGGAGACAACTCACCGTTTGGAATCGAGCAAATGACACTATTCAGCACGAACGCCCAGACCATAGGATCCGTAAGCGCTTCCTGGCACTGATACCACTTGAAGTGCTTGTTGCCCACGCCCTGCTGATTAATACGGATGCGTTCGACGGCCATAACGCGCTCCCGCGGCGTCAAGAAGCGGGCGTTCAGCTGGCTGTCCGGCATGAAGTACAAGAACAAGACGCCCATGAACGCGGTGAAAAAGCCGGTGACGAGAAAAACCAACTGCCAGGACTTGATCAGGATAGGACGGGCGTCGGTGCCCACGGCGATGCCGTACGCGACCACGCCGCCGATGATCTGGGCCCAGCCGTTGAAGCCGAACCACCAGGCGACGCGGGCGCCCTGCTCCATCTTGGTGTACCACTGGGAGGTGAAGAGCGCGAAGCCGGGGCTCACGGCGGCCTCGAAGGCGCCGAGGAAGAAGCGCACCGTCATGGCCCCGGCGAAGCTGTTCGCCGCCGCCATGCAGCACAGCACGAGCCCCCACATGATCACGTTGAAGGCCGAGTATCTGGCCAGCGGGAGCCGCTGCAGGAGCCGGTTCGTCGGCCACTCCCAGAAGAGGTACCCGAAGTAGAACATGGACGCTATCCACTGTTGTCGAAGGTAGGTAGGTTAGTATCGCCCGCAGTACAAACCAACCCCTAGGAATCGCTGCCGGCCCCCTCAAATTGAGACTCGGTATAAAATCGGACGGGTTCATCAAAAAGGAAAAGGGGGAGACATGATAATGACCACGCTTGTTTTTTTTTGTTTTTGTTTTTTTTTGCGAACTGGGAATAGGGGGTAGCTTACGGAATAATCCTGGCCTTATATATCATACCTGTCAATACACACTTACATATTTAAGAATAGGTATATAATCAATTTAGCAAAAACTCACCTTGAAGGTTGATATCTGTCTGCGGCGAACACATATCGTAAGTTTCTATTTTTTTCGATTTTATTAAAATCCTTTTTTTTTTTCGTAAAGAAAAAAAAAATCCAAGTTCATCTCACTTTAATCCCCATGATAGAAGCATACGACAAAGTAGTCTTGTCCAAGTAATTCAGGCCGTAGACGACGCAAAGCAGCGGCATCAAGTTACGATCGATCTTCTTCAGCAGCCTCTTCTCGTCTTCCGGGGTCAAAACTACGGCTTCCCCGGCCACGAGCTTCAACGCCTCGTCCGGATCGTCCTTATTTATGTGCTTCTTCTTGCCCACGGGGCCGGCGGTTCCGGCGGCTTCGGACGAGTTGCTCGCCGTCTTTTCGACGTCGGCCGACGACGCTGCTGTCGACGGCTGTTTGGCCTCGGACATGGCTGACACGGTTTGTTTCGTTCGAATTACGATTTTAGATTTATGTACCAGGACTAGCAATTGAGGGGTGAGGATTAGATGGAGATTTAAGTTCGGAATTAGAGATAGACAATCCAACCCAGTCTACTACTATCTAAGTGTCCAATCTTAACAAGAAGCAGGCGACGAAAGAACCATGAACCCATGATGTCGACTTTGCTGGTTATCTTCGCTGATAAGCAAGTCGTACCGATATGTGTGGGCAAATATCAAGGAGATAAGTCGGGGTATAGCCAATCAAATAGTATGCCCGCAGCCAGGAAGAGTGGTGTGCTACGTAAATGAGGGCCTGATGCTGCGAGCAGATCGCAGCATTAAGCCTATTCAGTAGGTATTTATAAATGAGCCATAGGTATGTGGTATCTTGTTACGTATAGACTTGTGGTTCTTTTAGATAAACATTACCGAGGTGAATATGAGAATACATATGTTAAACTGACTACACTCCGGAAAACCCGTAGTGGAGAGAAATGCCTTTGTTATCTACCGGGACTTTCGCATGAGGGGTAGTGCTGGGATCACTTATCCCCATGATCGACAGCATTACCTTAGCTATCTCCTAGACAGAATTAAACATCATGTTCAATAGATTTATGTGTCTGAGCATACCGACGACGCCTATCTAAACGTTATGTAAACCGAGCCCAAAGTGAACCAACCAACCGTCTTTCCTAATGATAAGCCTTCTACCATAATTATTAAGTAAGGGAGAAATCTCACTGCGCCAGCCCGTACTCTAATAAATCCCCCGACCGCGAGTCTCGGTGAAATGCAAGGTATGTAGGACTTCTTGCGATCAGCAGAGGCTGAGGGGCAGAGACTGTTTGAATACCTAGATACAGGTAGGTACTATGTAATTAAAAATCACCCGAGCCACAAGACAATAAACTCTGCGTCATCTTCACGGCCTTACTTGGATCTGTCTTACGTAGGCCTGACGGGTACTTCCATACCTTTTATTAAATCCCTATGACGGGAATATGCCTAGTACCTAGGTACCTAAACGCCCCCCCCTTGCGGCGAAGACGTCACACAGCCGGATAGGAGGTGCCTAAGGCAGGTACCCGTCCGACGCTGGGCTGCCTCCGCCGTATGCAGTGCTCGTCACGTTGCGCCGCGGCGGCGTCCTTATAAGGTTGGGCAGCGGGAAGCAATGTTGCAGCACCTACCTTATGTACCTACTTAGAGGTAGGTAGTCTACCTGACGCAGGGACGGTCGAGATTATATGTAGGACTGTCAGATTTCTCTACGAATAGCAAAAAAGAACGTGCATGGACAAGTAACCCTCCATCATGTACCTACCCTACACGGTCGGTTACATGGCTTTTCTTTTTTCAATGATCGCTGGATCAGCCAGCATTTGTCCTAAAGTTAGGTATCTAGGTACTTACCTAGATATCAGGTATGTATGTAAAAACACGTGTCTTGGATGTCGTAGACAGGTGATAATGTCCTTGTGTCTCTTGTCACATCCAGTAAGACTTACATAGGTACCTAGGTTGGGTTGTCTAACGATGAGCTTGGATTTACTCCATTACTAACAGGTACCTAACCCTTAGTGTTTTTTTATAGTTGAGACCGGACTATATTAGGTACATAAGATCGACACACATCTACTGAACCTGAGACAAGCCGGCTTATGTGTGTTATATACCTGTACGCACAGGCAATTGGGTTGTCGCTGATCAACAGGTACATACATGTTGCGATGCAATCGTTCATCTGATCTCCATCTACAGTTATTTGCAGATCGGGTTGCCCCATCGATGGATAAAAATAGTCTCCGGACATGGTGCCGAGTAGGGCGTTGAGCAAATAAATAAAATCGAAGATCAGCATTTCCAGGAGGCGTACCGTATTATGTTCAAGTAGCGAAACAAGGTTTATGGATCAGGAAGAGTCTAAAATTGACTTCTGGCTACGCAAGATAGCACGGTGATACTATTTGTCTATCCTCGTTCACTACGGCCCGGTCTCAGGAGGTTTTACAAATCACGATTTAGTAGTCACTTGCCAAAAGGGAAGAGAGGATTTTAAGTGCCGGACCAAAACTTGGCCTCCCAGCTATGCATACGTTGCCATTGAACTACCGTACAAAGACTCCGTAGACACAGGAGAAAAAGTTGTCAAGAGACCAATAAAACATCCAGCTAAGATAAGATTATAGGTGTTTGCAATTCTTGCCGAATATTAACAATTTGCCTTTGACTCTCCAAAAAGTTTGTACAAGAGAAGTCAAGTCGGATTAGAGCAAGAGAGGCACGAGAATCCAAAAATGAAACTTCCTGGGTAAGGGACGCGCGTAATAGGTGAAGATTGAAATGGTTTTGATTTTTGTCCAAAAGGCTTTTCCCTGAAAACGAAGTGAGACTGTCCATCCAAGTAAATCCGCCAGGATAATCTGCTCCAGTTTCCAAAAAAAAAAAAAAAAAAAAAAAACCCTTTTCCTTAGAAAACCATTCCACGTGCCAGGAGACCTCACACAATTGTTAATCCTCCGTGGGTTATATTTGGTTGTTGTCCGAAAATACCGAGACAAGAAATTACAAGAATCAAAATTAAAATTCCCGCATGCGTGGTCGTAAATACTCCATAGTGCAATGCAGAACACCGTGCCGTTAACAAGTCCCTAAAACACTTCCTCCGTTTCCCATCACAACTCCCCGTCTGCTTCCCGTCATGAACATTGGAAGCACCCCTCTCGATCACCGTAGATTAGGTACTATCGAACAAAGGAGAATCGTAGGTCATAGACGCGGATACCGAACTGTAGCTGGTCGCTTACAGAAGGGCAGCGGCGAGACCGAGCAGACCGACGAGGCCAGCACCAGAGATAGCGGCAGCCTTGCCAGCGCCAGCAGTGGGGATGGGGGTGCTGGCGGGGTAAGAAGGAGCCGGAGCACCACCGGTAGGGTAAGCCTGGCTGGGGGTGTTGACGGGAGCCGTGTTGTTGGGGAAGCTGGGGGGAGCCGGAGCCGTAGTAGGGTAGGTAGGGGGGGTCTGGACCGGGAGGCTGGCGCTCGGGGAGCTGGCACCAGGGACACTGCTTCATGTTAGTTCATTTAATCTTATTTGATAGATGATGTCTTACCAAGTGGCGCAGGAGACTAACGAGGTAGTGAAGATGGGCTTGCTGATGGTGCAAGGGCAGTCGGTGATGGTCAAGGTCGTGGCCTATTGACTCTTGTTAGCTCCTTAGATCATTCCTAAATTGTGAGTCACAAAATCATACCTCAGTGACGGTGTAGGTGTTGGTGCCGTAGGTGATCTGAGTGGGTCCAGGGCAGTAGGTCTCGTAGGAGGTAACGACCTCGGTGGTGTACTGAGTAGCAGAGGTACCGTTGCTGGGGGCAACGACGGAGGTGCTGATGATAGGGATACCGCTGCTGGGGACAGCGGAGCTGACGGCAGGGATAGAAGCCGGAGAGCTAACTACGGGGTAGGAAGCAGGGCTGCTGCTGGAAGCAGATCCGCTGGCAGCAGGGGACGAAGCGGGAGCGCTGCTGCTGCTAGCGACCGGGGAAGAGGCGACGGAAGACTCGCCAGCGACGGGGTAGCTAGGAACAGACTCAACGGGGTACTGCTCGGTAGGGTAAGAGGCAGCAGCGCCGGCGGCGAAAGCAAGAGCGGCAACGGAGAACTTCATTTTGACTGATTTGTCTGGTATTAAGCGACTCGGGTAGAGTAGTCGAGGATTAATTAGTTATATAGGGGTAGAGCAATTAGGTATGCTGTATAACGAATGAAATTGACTGAAAAGTCAGGGTGATTATTGCAACGGAAGTTGTGTGGGTGAGGAAGAAAAGAGAGGAAGGATTGTCGGTCTTCGGATGTGTCGATTTATATACAGAACGAACGGCATGGGGGAAGGTTGCTTCCAGCTCGTTTCTTTCAGGTACACCACCACTACGCAACGTGAACTTGACCTGCTCCAGTCTCATTCGTACAATAAACCGTACATAGTACCTAACATAGATAGCCTATCCTTACTGCATATCCCTACTGCATCCCGGTTCTGCCAGGGCAGTATGTACAATACTATGTAAACGACGGGGCTCAAGACGCTAGGACAGCATGGTCGAATCCGTCTCCATCTATGTCTGCTCCATTTTTATTTATTTTTTTCCCACAACTTATTTCGCTTTTTTATCCAATCATGATCGGCTATGCCTTAGCATAGCCATCAAGGCACACTCGTACATACATAGTACTGCACACACATGAAAATATTCTGTATGTATTCTGTATGTATTGTGTGTATCATGTGTATTATGTGCGAGTGCATTGTTAGCTCCCTCTCCCTCCTAAGACGGACCTCAGGGGCTGTCTGTTCTTGGTTAGCGGTGAATGATGAGCGTCAAATCTGCCCCTTTCAGGTACAAATGTGGATTCCGCCCACGATGACTTGGTCGTTCTGAGCGTGTACAACCCAGGACGCAGGTCGATATACAAAAAGGGGGTGTACAGCTGCTAAGGTCTTATTGAGAGCACACTTTGAATCAGGTATCTTACAAGGCTATTCAATATGGCCGAGATACAATCGGTGTGATGAATTATTATCGGGTTGTAATAATTAGGAACACGAGATGGGTCTTGGAACAATAGTTCGGGACTATTTGGGATCTGATCGTTCGTTGGCTGGTTAGGATAATGCGGGCCGGGATGGTTGTAGGTAGCATTGCAGGCGTCCTGCAAGGAACAGCGCGAAGCTGACTTACCTACCTAAGGTAGGCCGGCTTCCAAGGTTGGAAGTTGGGGCGACATCCAGATGTCGGTATGGCAAGTCCCAAGTTCCCCCAAGTTCCAGTTCCCAATTCCCAGTCCTTGATCCAGTCAGCCAGTCTCAGTCCAGTGTTCAGCGTCTAAGCGTGTACATACATAGTAGTAATAGTAGCTACACTTTTCTTTTCTAATACAGTCAGTTTTCAGCATGGCAATTTGCGGAAATTGAGACGCCACTAGCGCAGTCTTTTTTTTCTCCTTGGCTAAAAAGCTCCATCATGTACCTGTAGAACATTTCCAAGATGAGCTACTGCATCGACTATCAACCAGTGTTGTACTGTCTGATTGCGTGTATCAACTTATTCTTAGTATCTTGTATTAGTAGCAGTAGTAGTGATTTATCGGTGATATGGTCTGGGGTTTCTCAAGGACCAAGTTGGCATCGTAAAATCCGGTATTAATCTCCATCTTATTTTTTTTCAATACATGTTTTCGATAATGCCCCCAAAGCACCGAGAATACGGGTCGGTGAGAGAGATGAGCAGAAAAAAAAAAGAATTGTTTTCGAATAGGAGATCAAGGCTCCCATGTGCTAGTTCCAATATACCATGAAGTACATAGGTACTACATACATAGTGGTAAGTCGGTACCTAAACGTTGTCACTTGCCATTTGCAGACGCAGGAACAGATTGCAGATTGCGCTTCTGCAGGAACCGCAATTGTCAACGAATGCTGAAAATCCAATCGCTCCGATAACAAACTAGCCGGAAGTACCGAAGTATCGTATATATTAATGTGGGAAATACTGTGGGAAATCCGATCACGCTTAACCTGCTTCGGGTATTTATGCAAGGAACATAACTTTCTTTGGCATTAAAACAGCAACGCATCTAATCCTTTTCAGTAAAATCTTCTCAGGGGCTCACACCTCCTAGGTAAGCTGCCAAGATGCAGTTAAGAGACTTTAGCCCCAACTCCGACGCCGCTTAGAAAGCCGGCTAACAGTAGTAACATAGTACAACACAATACCGAGGAAACACATTTCAGCTGCCACTTCTACATGTACGAAGCAGTTGTCATCGCACATGTCATTGCACAATAGGGCTGGTCGTATCTACCTAGGTACCTGACCTATCATGCCTATGACGGGGTAAAAACCCCTGAGATTGTAAGAGGAGCCCCTGGCTGACAAGAACGCTACCGATAGCCGGTCAGGTCCTCTCCACATATGTAGGGTCGAATCGGGATTGGCTCTCTTAAACATAGAACGCGGAAATTAACCAAGCGTTCCTCGAGGCTTTCTGGAAAGTTGGTCAAAACTGCATAACAGCTTTGATAAGAGCCAGGTCCCCGAATACTAAAGTATTTTTCCGTTGTTCTAGATTCAGCAGTAAAGCATGGATTCAACCGGATGATATTGTTACAAGGTATATAAGGTAATTTAGCACTTCGTATCAATTCGTTCTTGGAAAGGGCCTGGCTGGATAAGGAACAAATCAATGCAAAATGGTTACCAAATATGTACACATGCCTAGTACAGCTCTCAGATACATAGTATTTGCCTTGATGCGGTGTGGTGAACCATTTTTACGAAAGCCATGCAGCAGCAGCAGCAGTTATCAGTATTTTACATGTTGGTATTTCGTATTTAACCTCGAACGTGAAATAATGCCATATGTACGTCTTGTTGGTCAACTAATGTTTTACTAACAACATAGGTAGTACCTAAGTGTAGATATTTCTCTTCTTCCCCTCAGGTTCCACAGGCGCCTATCCAGAACCATTCAAGGCCAGTCGTTGACGGTATCGTAGATCTAACATAAGCTTTTGAGTCAAAGCTTTCTGAAAGTCGTCGGGGTTGAATCTACCTTAATCTGAATGTCTAATTTGATTCAATAATCTGCCGTGAGTCTCAACCAAGCTACCTAGAGCTGAGACCGAAATGATCTCCGAAGGGTTTTCAGCCAAGTCGACATGTCATGTCACCTACGGCAAGGCGAAGACGAAAGTAACCATGGCGGCATGGCACCATGCTAAAATAGGCTATCTCGCAGGAACAAGTAAAGTTCGTCTTTGTCTATGGAGTTTCCCGGAGTTATTCGACGGTCTAATAGGCTCTAGGAGCTATCTTAGGATTAACATGGGGCCTCTCCATGTAATTTCCACCATTCCCACATAGTCGAGTTAAGAGATCTTCGATGCAACCGCTGCCACGGTAATCAAATCCATACGAGATCTTGATTCATAACGCAGGGCTACCAATAAGCATGCGCACTTGCCTGCGGTCGTGTTTGTCCTTTATTATGCTGCTCTCTCGTACGTTCCTTACCGCCTAAGCGCCTAAGCACCATTGAGGAAGAAGAAGATGGGACTTGTACAATACGTTCGGCTATCAAGAAAGGTCCTTCTCACATGCTTACCTCTAAGTAATAATTCATTTCGAACCTTTACGAAGTACTCCTTACTCTCTACTCGATGTAGGAACTCGTCCAACTTTCAAAGGTCGTCGCGGGATGAGTATTTTTGATGTGAAATACTCTTAGCCAAATGCTACCAGGCAATCTCGTGTATATAACTGCTACGGCTGACGGCTTATTGGGTTGCAAATTCATTATTTCGGATCTCGTTGGCTTCAAGATGCGAAAGAATACGTCTCGTCGAACCGCTCCGGAAATATTGATGAACTTTACGGAATATCCAAGCGTATGACTATCCTTTGACCGTCGATTTCGACACCGCGAGCGCTCACGAAACCTGGCGACTCGGACTGGATAAGCTGGTAGACGTAATTCATATTTGTCCATCCACACAGTGGTCGCGGTCTCTCCAAACAACTGGAGAGTATGAAGCAGTAGGATAAGAGGTAGAGGTAGTCGAGAACCAGGCAAGTGGATAACAATAATTTACAGACATGCGAAAGGGGTATAAAGTCTGCAAATTATGTTGTCATTCACTTGCCAGGCCTCAACTCAGGAGAATCAGTTATATGGTTGTTGGAGCAAACTATATCCTTCGAGTGCAAGCTCGCTACAATGCATCACCGCGTACAAATGGAATTGACTGGAGAGTTTGGACTATTCTTAAGGTGCCAAGGTGCGCTATGCTTTGAAGCTTTTCGAGACCTTCATATGCCGATATAAGTAAGTGGAAAAGAGAGATCGGGATTCGGCCTACGGGGTTCACGAAAGGCGGCCAAATTTTGTGGTAAAAATTGGCTTAGTAACGTTGATGTCATCTAGCATCTTCCATAGCATCAGCCTTTACGGTGCTAGACAGCGGGTTAATCTAGGTAGGTGCTAGGTACCTGATGCTAGAGGGTCCAAATAAGGTAGTTGTAGATATAGTTGATTTCAAAGCGTACGCCGTACCTACCTCTACCGAAGGTAATCTTTATCTGAACCGAGTATATACGAGTAATAGTTAACATCATCGATAAACTTGACATTTTTATACACATAATCGAAATATTATATATCCATCGCAAAGCCGTATTTGGTTGGCCGAAACCCTTTTAAAAGGTTTTGAGACTCGTATATATTTATATGGAAAATATAGTATTTATATATAAATAAGACTTCTCCTTAAATCAACATGAGTAATACGATGAAAGCAGTCGGTAAGTAGTTGATAATTGAATAAGAGAAAGAAGAAAAAAAGAGAGAGAAGAGCTAACGACAACCACCCCCAACGCAGACATCAAAGGCGGCAAAGGGCCCGCCACCTCTCTCTTCATCAACCCCCAGACCCCGAAGCCGGAACCCAAAGAGGGCGAGGCCCTGGTGCGCGTCAGAGCCTTCGGGCTGAACCGCATGGACCTGATCCAGCGGGAGGGGAAGTACCCGGTGCCGCCGCAAGCGCCGGCGACGCTGGGCGTGGAGTTCAGCGGGACGATCGAGGCGTTCGGGCCCGGCGCGCACGGCGGCTTCGCGCACGGCGACGCCGTGTTCGGCCTCGCCTACGGCGGCGCCTACGCCGAGTACGTCGCCGTCAGCGCCAAGATGCTCCTGCACAAGCCCGACGGCTTCTCCTGGGAGACCGCCGCGGGGATCCCCGAGACGTGGATCACTGCGACGCAGGCGCTGCACTTGGTGGGTGAATTCGCACCCGGGAAGAGTGTGCTGTGGCATGCAGGTGTAAGTCTAACACCCTTCCTCACCCTTATCCCTCCCCCCTCCCCCCCCTATAAACCCAGTCTCGAATTGCCTGCCTAGGTTTAGGTACCTAGTTAATCTCACCTTCTATATAGGCTAGCGGTGTCAGCATCGCAGGGATCCAGCTCAGTCTCGACAGCGGTGCGAGCGCGGTCTACGCGACGGCCGGCACGGACGAGAAATGCCGGTTCGTCGAGCGCGAGCTCGGCGCCACCAAGGCGTTCAACTACAAGACGCAGGACTGGGCCAAGGAGATCCTAGAGGCGACGGGTGGCAAGGGTGTTGACCTTATCGTAGACTTCGTCGGGGCTAGCTACTTCCAGAAGAACCTGACGGTTGCGGCAAGAGATGCCCGATGGGTTGCCCTCGGCATGATGGGTGGTACCCGTCTTGACGGGGTGGATTACAGTATGCTACTTTACAAGCGAATTCGACTTGAGGGTAGTACGCTGCGGAGCAGGGACCTTGATTACCAAGGCCGGTTGAGAGACAAGCTGGCCGAATATATTCCTCACTTTGAAAGCGGCAAACTAAAGGTTCTGATTGATACGGTTCTACCTATGGACGAGATTGTCAAGGCGCACCAGCTGCTGGAGGAAAATAAGACGACGGGGAAGATCATTTGCACAGTTCCATAGAAGGAAGGTAATATACCTGTTATACGAACAAAATCTCAAGCTTTATTCATGACCGGAATCTGCGCAACTGCTGGACTTGAAACCTTCATCGCCATGCTCTCCTGACTAAGAGACAACCAGAAAACGCCGTGAAATCAGTTGACCTTACTGCTGCCTGTCTAGTGTTCCTTGAGCCATCTTAGCATTTGCTCGAAGGCTGTTATTTGGGCGTCCTTGATGTTGGCGTCATCGTAGTCTCCGATGACAGCAAAACCATGCGGAACACCAGGATAGACCTGAACTTCATGTTCCACATTCTCCGTCGACATTATGTTCTCCCCGGTTTCCCGGACTTCGTCTGGGAATAGGGGATCGCTTTCTACGCAGACTAAGCTCACGGGGGCCTTCAATCTCTGAAAGTCTTCTGGTGACACCAGAGTTGCATGCGCCAGCGCACCTGCTTTGATATATGGGCCCTTCTTTGATAAGTTTGCCCCGTCGCCTGCTTCTTCATCGGCAGGTTTCTGTGCACCAGTCCAACCTGTCTGGGCGCGGCTACGCTCGCTAGCCAGCAAGAGCACATATCGTCCACCGAAACAATAGCCGACTGCGTATATGCCACCTCCGTTACCGACCGCATCGGCGAATTCGCCCTTAGCTGCGTCAATAACCTTCTCGAGTATAGGCATGACCTTTTCCTCCGTATGACGTGCTAACCACTCGTCTATCACGAATGACTTTGCGATCTCGACAGCCTTGAACTTGAGCTTGTCGAGGAATGAGGCCCCTTGTGCCTCGGCTTCGGAAAGGGGAGAGGAGTTCGGCGCGGGGTTGCCTTCGAAAAGGTCTGGCATTACAACAACACTACCTCAAGAATTAATACCAAGTTTTACGAGTAATATATATATGCCTTTGTATTGGAGCGCAGATGAAATGTTCAACGTGCTGATATAGATATACTTACAAACCCTCATCGGCGAACTTGTCCGCTTGAATCTGATTGTTTGTCGACTTGATTCCCGTGCCGCTCGAAAGAAGGAGAAGAAGCTTGGATGGATTTGTCGGATATGCTTCCGGTTTTGCTAGATAGACCTACTACAACATGAGCGTTGACCTATAAGCAAAAACAACGTCTATTGCTGTATCGAAGGACTGACATCCACACCACCGAGTTTCCTTAGTTCTCCTTTAGGTGCCAGACCGGCAGCTGTGTAATAAATGTCAATGCCGACACTGGTCGACGCGGTAGTTTTAAGACGACTTACGGGTAGGTCTGTCGGAGGTGCAGTGTTCGCCCATCGTATGACTACCTGTTTGTGCGGGAGCACTGCTGGTCTCTTGAGCGTCGCTCTCGGGGGATCTGGTTGCTACATCTGCGTCCGCCATGATGATAATGATGATGATGGAGTAAATAATCAATTGTTACAATCACAATTTTGAAGAGCTTTAGGAAGTGTGTATCCGAAAGGTAAGAGACCCCTAATACACATTTGTATGTGTAGAGAGCATTGGTTGTGCTTGGCGAAGCACCTGCTACATTAGATCTTTGTAGGTACCTGCCTACGCCTGCCTGAAGATGCTGACGCCTGAGAGAATGACGTACAAGGAGCTGCCAGCTGACAAGTCTCAGAGCTCTTCTACATGCAATTGGTTGTATTAGGTTAGCTACAGCTTATTGCCCCACGCTCATTGGTATTCAGTACCTGAAGCATCGCGGTAATCAGGTATCAAAATATGTACATTTACTTGATCTAAATTGCTAGTGTAGAGTTAAAAGAACGTTGAAGTTTGAACCCCGCGGTTCAGAGGACGTGGCACGCCACAGTACCCACTAGCCTCTAGGTAACCTACACTTAATTATGGACGCGACTTTTTGGGCCGACGCGTTTATTAATTAGATTGACCTTTTCTACAGTCTAACTTGATTGCAACATTTGCCTTCCACATCTTGCTGCCTTTAAAGAGATAACACAATAAGGCAAAAAGGAAAAAAGGAAAAAAAAAAAAAAAAAGAAGGAGAAAATCTAGCCTCAGAATGTCAGCAGCAGGAGCGCAACAAGCTATTACCCAGGGGGCTCTAGAGTATGCGAACATCCGTAAGATATTTTCTTGGATAAGTGCTAATTTACGATTCCAGCGCCATCTTTAACGATCCGGACCACGTCGGCCAGCTCTTCCCAGTTCCCGTCCTACAATGTCTACAGATTAAGCCCCTTGCACCGCAGCAAGGCGCTGCTGGCCAACCCGAGCGCTATCGTGTCGTCCTAAGCGATATACGCAATTATGTCCAGTGCATGTTGGCAACACGTACGTCTCGATACCTCGATCGCAAGAGTGCGACAAAGTAATACTTACAAGATCTTATAGAGGCCAACCACGTAATTCACGACGGATCTCTCGTCCGCGGGGCTCTGGTTAGGGTGAAGTCGTATCAAGCAAATTCAGTGAAGGGAAAAAAGTGAGCATTAAACAAAATCCTTCCGACGTAGGACAACGTATAGCAGCAACTAACAATGTATAGCATTTTAATTATCCTAGACCTTGACGTTGCCACAGAGCTCGGTGTCCATGACCGGATCGGCGAACCCCAGGCATTCGAAGCTAAGCCGCAAGATGCCAATCCACCAAATGCAGCCATAGGCGGATCAAATTTCTACGGCGCAAAGACGGAGTCTTCAGCACCAGTCAAATCGGAACCAGTTAAATCAGAACCTATGTCGTCACGCATGGGCGGCATTACGAATAACGCACCCCGTAGCAATGGAAACCCTGTCATCTACCCCATCGAGGCGCTCTCCCCCTATGCGCACAAGTGGACTATCAAGGCACGTGTATCCCAGAAGTCGGAAATCAAGACGTGGCACAAGGCCTCCGGCGAAGGCAAGCTATTTTCCGTCAATTTTCTCGACGAAAGTGGCGAGATCAAGGCGACCGGGTTCAACGAGCAATGCGATCAGTTTTACGACTTATTACAAGAGGGCCAGGTTTACTATGTTAGCAATCCTTGCCGTGTCGGCTTCGCAAAAAAGCAGTTTACCAATCTCCCTAATGACTATGAGCTTGTTTTCGAGCGAGATACGGTCATTGAGAAAGCCGAGGATCAATCTAGTGTGCCACAAGTCCGCTTCAACTTTGTCAACATCGAAGAGCTCCAGCGTGTCGAGAAGGATGCTACGGTTGATATTATTGGCGTCCTGAAGGAAGTTGGCGAGGTCTCTTCCATCACGTCCAAGACTTCCGGAAAGCCATTCGATAAGCGCGAATTAACTCTGGTTGACGACACGCAATTCTCCGTACGTCTTACTATATGGGGGAAGACAGCCACTACATTTGCTACTCAGCCCGAGTCCATTGTGGCCTTCAAGGGCGCGAAGGTGTCTGACTTCGGTGGTCGATCGCTCTCCCTCCTCTCTTCTGGCACCATGAGCGTTGATCCCGACATCGAAGAGGCCCACCGTCTAAAGGGCTGGTACGACTCGCAAGGCCGCACCAATAACTTCGCCACTCACAATAATATGGCATCTATGGGTGCCGCAACAGGCCGTGCTGACCAGACGAAGGTCATTTCCCAGGTAAAGGACGAGGGCCTCGGGACCGAGGGTCAGATCTATTTCAACCTGAAAGCCACAATCGTGTACATCAAGCAGGAGAACTTCGCATACCCCGCGTGCAGCAGCGAGCAGTGCAACAAGAAGGTCGTTGACCAAGGCGATGGCACGTGGCGGTGCGAGAAGTGCGACATCGCTCACCCGCGGCCGCAATGGAGATACATTATGAGCGTAAACGTCAACGACCACACCGGTCAGCTCTGGCTATCGTGCTTCGACGACATCGGACGCATCATCATGGGCATGACGGCCGACGAGCTCATGGAGATCAAGGAGAACGACGAAGACCGATTCCCCGCTATATTCGAAGCTGCTAACTGTACCAAATTCAATTTCAGATGCCGCGCCAAGGAAGATACGTACGGCGACGTCACAAGGTATGTGGTTCATTATCTACCTCCTACCTATTTACTAAACCCTCTTGTGATATGATATGGTGCCTATTGTAGAAGACGTGGAGATGGCTAATGCGGTCTGCAGGGTACGCTACCAGGTAATGGGTGCCAACCAGCTGGACTTCCGAGCGGAGGCTCTGAAGCTATCCGATATGATCAAGCAGTTTGGCATCAGCTCGTGATCGCAGCTCTTCGACCCCATCATCGTCATCATCATATGACGCTCACATGTGTTATCAGCGCTTGCTAGAGAGCTATGTGCCTCCTAATGGAGTATGGAATCGACGGAACGCGAGAGGATCAGGCAGGCGAAACTTCTTATTATCGAGTTTGGTGCGCCACCAGAAAGATACATTCATGACCAGCGGTGTCCGTGGGCCCCCGTATAGCCCCCCCCCCCCGATGAGACACGATGCTGCTGCTATTTGGTATTTGGAATCTCCCGAGCTTGTTAGCCTTGGATCCATCGTAGATACGACATCTACTAGGACAAAGCTATTTGTCAATAACCTGAACCGGAACTGAATGAGAGCTAGCTAGGAGGACTAGGGAAATCGGGCTGAAGGCCACACGGCACGGCACATATCTACGTTGTATGCTACTATCACTACTACTATTATGAAGAAGAAGAGAGGAATACGCGCTTAATGATACAAATTTGTAATGAACAATCAATCAGTGATAAATGAATGGGGGGGGGGGGGATATCAGTGCTTTTTTAATTCTTATTAACTCATCTGCTAGGGTCTCTATCTAACACACTGCGAGTGAGATAAAAAGAGAGAGAAATCTTCAGATTTCTCACCCTGTCGTCACTATCTCTCTAGCTAAGCTAAATGGCATTCTAAGCCATATATCCGTGGGTGAAGGGGGGGGAGAAGGGCACCGCTTTGCCTGCAGATGGAAAATGCCAGACCTCTAAACGCCGCCGCATAAGAACGTACAATCATGACATGTCTGGTTGTTTTGTATTTGTTCTTTTTCTTTTTTCTCGGCACCTCCCTAAATCTAGTTTTCAGCGACCCCTCCCTCCAACCTGTCCAAAGCTTGCTTGAATGAAGATTTCAGCCTTAAACATGCCGACGCTTCGTTAAGTATCTAGATATCCGGATTCTAGTTCGGGAAGACCGGTAGAATGGGGTAGTGAGTGATAAGCAGCATTTTGGCCTCCGCTCAGCCGGTAGCGACTATGCCGCCCATCAGGTCTTCATCGTCGACGTGGGCGTCGAACAGGAGCGTCGGGTCGGGTTCGCTCTTGTCGGCCCTGCTCTTCTCCTTGGCTAGGTGCTTAATATACTCCTTGCTAGTGCCCAGGCGCTCCTTGGTCGTCTTGAAGATGGGCTGCAGCTGCTTAAGGCGGGCCGCCGTGCCGGCAAGCTCCTTGGCGAATTCCTTCTCGGAAAGTTGCGCGGACGGGGATAGGAATGTAAGGAAAGCCGTGCCGTCGTCATTCTTCTCGATGACCCCGTTCAGCATGCCGGATATTATCATGTTCTGGACCAGCGTCTCCACGTCCTCGTCCTTCTGGAGCGCCTGTCCCGTCTCGGCGCTCGTGGTCTGTTCGCGGATCTCGGCGAGCGAGATCTTGGAGTAGATCTGCTCCAGTCCCAGAACCTGCCACTTCTGATACGCCGCGAGGACTTCCTGGACCAGCCCGGTATTTCCATCTTCCGTCCACGTCTGCGCGTTCTTGTCAACCTCGGCCTTCAGTGCTTCGGCGTTGTCGGCTGTAAATAGCACTGCGAGCGCCGTATACGACTTTCCGAGATTTCCATACATCTTGCTCGCTGCTGCCCCCGTGTACGACGGGAGCTCCGAGAGCTTGCCCGTGGAGAGCAAGCTGACCAGCACCCACTTCTTATAAGCCTCCACCATAATCTTGCTTGCGCTCCCCTCGCGCGCAGGATATGTGATGACTCTTACGAAAGCGTCGTAGGCTTTCGCCCAATCTCTCAAGGTACAATAGGACATGCCGCGGAATATATCGTATTCCAAGATCAGATTGGGTTTCAATTGGGTAGCAAGTCCTGTTTCTCGGGAGAGGTAAGCTGGAGGTGGTAGAGATAAGTCGCAAAGGAATTTAGGCTCGCCATAGCTGGCCATGCCGGGGAAGTATATGATATTCTTGTCGAGTACTGGGAGGGCCGGCTCGATGTTATCGGTCTTGTAGGCGAGTTTGGCAAGGTTCAGGTGGGACATGGTAAGGATACTTCCGGTCGGGTCGAGTCGCAGGATAGCTGTTGCAAGGGCACGGACTGCCACGGAGGGCTAAAAAAAATATGATTAGTGTTCTGTTCGAGGAAGTGATAGGTGACAGATGCCGAGAGCTTACAGGTAGATATTGGCCATTTCCAGCAGCAAGTAAAATGTCATACAGGTGGCCTTTGGCATATCGTGCTTGGCGCGCATCAAAGACGCATAAGAAGTGCACGAATTTGTTCAGAAGAATATCGTAAGGGATAGACGAAGCTGGACTAGGTAGAAGGAGGGTATGAAGAACTGCGATATATGATAAGGTATTTATGGCTGGGTCAAGTAGGTTGATAAGTTCATGGCCGTGGATAACCAGTAAGGCAGTTTGATCCTTGAGTAGCTTTGAGAGTCTGCTAACATGTTGCTTCGAGTTGGCGTCGAAAGTGGGATTGTCGACAAGGCTGTAATCGACATTGTTGGATTCTGGGAATGCCAAGAGCGTCGCCGCGAGTTGATCCATAGTTGATGGGACGCTCAAGGCGAGTGAAACGATAGCACGATAACACTATAACACGGATCGTATTCCTTTTATTCTTACTAGATGCTGGGTATCGCCGAAGTCTGAAATGTGTTTTATTATTTTGTGTTGCGATTGATCAGAATTTCATATTTGTACTTGTTGGTTGTTAAGTCTTGGAGAGGACGAAGTCTTTAGTTGACGTGGGGGTGGGACAAAAGAGAGCTTCAACGGGAAAGCTAGCAGCTGCCTTGTCTTTGGTGGGGCAGAAATGAGAGAAAGGACATGTACGATTTACTGTTACAGTAAAACCGTACCATAACGAATATTTTTTGTTAACGAATTTCGTTAAATTTCATGCTTAGTCACTACTAAATTCGTTTAAAGTAAGTAACGCTATATTGTTTTAGGAAAACCTAAGCTACTTTTGGAAAAGTTATCCTTAACTTCGATAGACTTTTGACTTTTTCAATCGTTAGGTACGTATTTACTACCCCTTACCCCTTTGGTACTAGCTCCATTTTACTCTCTAAAGCGAATTTACACCATAACAAATCTGATTCGCTGTTTTTTCCAATTCGTTATGGTAGGGTTTTACTGTAATGTACTCAAGTACCATTTTCCGGGGGCGGGGCAGCTTTTACAATAGGTACGCCACGCCACCTCAGCCACCCCGTTCCTTTCTTTTACTCTTTAAATGTCCATACCATCACTTACAAATATACCGGTGCTAAATTGTACAGCATATAACTACCAGGTAGTGCCAGTTCATTTTACCAAAGCTCAAATAACTATCCAGTCAGTAAAGTCAAGGTCGTACTGTTTCAGGACTTCAGCTTGAAATGTTCAGCAGGTACCTCTAGTCATCATGATATATAATTCATTATATACCTATAATTTAGCTGTTATGCACTGATTCACCATCCAGGCCTTCAAGTCCAATACACACGGACGCTATATACCACGGCCATAATTTCTAGCAGTACCGCCATCTTCTTTGTTCCAGTTATGTATATAGAATTGTGCATAGAAGTCCATTTAGTAGGATGGAGATGATCAAGTCGCCCCTCTCAGCCCCCAAGCACCTTACGCAGGTATATAACCTAGAAAGGAGTGTCTTGTTTTGCTGTACTATGTAGGAAGCCGTACTAGGACTTTTACTAGGTTTGAAGATGCAATGGAATACCTAATTCGAGTGTGCTCTCAACATCCTATTGGTTGGTCCTTACACCACCTACTAAGAGTGACGACACCACTGTTCGCCCCTTATTCACAATGTTCTTAAATACCGAGCCTTGGTCCAACGATTTTATGTTGTATATTCTCTTCAGTTACATTGTCTGTCCTTTTCTTTTATTCTCTTTCCCTTAATCGACTCCTATTTGTCGATCCAAAGTCCAAGCCTTCCAGTTGGAATTATTCCAACTTCGATAGGCCTAGGTGAAGTTAATATCATCGCCATGTTCATCCCGCAGGAGATCCAAGAGGCCACTCGAGTAGCTACTATGCTACATCCTCCCAAGACTAACCACGTGCCGTTGCCTACTGTGATCCCACCAGACCTTCCTCGGATATACTACCATACTTCAAGTGAAGTAGGCAAGAGGACCTTATGGTAAGTCTTCCGGCCAAGAACGAGATACGAATATCAGGTACATACTTACACGATCTATTTCAGGGTGGTCTGCATCTTGATGGGCCTGTCTTCGCTCGCATTTTACGTCATGGCCACGAGAGTTCCCGTGGTAAGGATATTATATCATTCAAGACCCAATAAAAGGTTTAAGAGGTTAACCAATGGTTAGCAAAAACGTCTCTTCCACATAATAACGGCGTTGGTTACCACGATCGGCTTTTTATCTTACTACGCCATGGCTACGGGTGATGGTATAACTCCCCACCCCTATGTAACCGAGAGGTCGAAGCACGGCACGGTCGTAGAGATCGTCATTCGTGATATCTACTGGGCCCGTTATGTCGACGTCAGTACAATCCACCCCCCCATCAAAGTCTTCTTCTACCCCTTAGGGATTACTTACCAATTAACGTTACTAGTGGTCACTCACAACACCTCTCCTCTTGCTAGACTTATGTCTCCTCGCCGGCATCAACGGCGCCAGCATCCTCGTAACCATTGTTTCAGACGTGATCATGATCCTAGCCGGTCTCTTCGCGGCTTTCGCGAGACATGAGGCTCAAGGCTGGGGATGGTATGCCATTGCCTGCGTTGCTTACCTCAACGTCGTCTACCAGATTGGCTACAAAGGGCGCCACGCCACATCGGCCAGGGACAACAAGATCAGGGCTTTCTTCGGGGCTATTTCTCTCTTCACTCTCCTCTTGTGGACTGCATATCCCATGTAAGAAGCCTCACCTATCCTCCTAAACTGAACGTTGTATTAACGTCCGTAGCGTATGGGCTGTCGCTGATGGTGCCCGCCGCGTCAATGTCGACGGCGAGATCATCGCATACGCCATTCTCGATGTTTTTGCAAAGGGAGTGTTCGGGTTCTGGTTGTTGCTAACACACGAAAATATGGCTTTAACGTCACCAACCGTCGATGGTTTCTGGTCACATGGCATCTCCCACGATGGAGCCATTCGTGTAGGTCTCCTCATTTTCTATTCCTTGGGTATCACTGATAATTAGACAGGTAGGAGAAGGGGGTACGCTTGACGACAACTAGGCTCATTGCGTATGGAAGCTAGGCTAGGTAGTGCACCTATGAATTGATTCGCTAGGTACTTTCTATATGGCCCCCTGAGGCTCGGTAAGGCGACTACGAAAATCAAGGTTGAGTATTGAGAGGAGATATTACGTAGGCGGCGTTCGGGAAAGATAAAAACCAGACTGTCACTTACTCTATGTTACGTTAAAGGAAAACCAGTAAGCAAAATTGCCTAGGGTACCATTGAATTCACTAAATTTATTAAGAACGTGGTAAGACTTTGTATATGCCTCTACTTTGAGATATTTAGGTCCCCATACTCTACTCATAGAGGGATTTCTCGGGGCAAGGACATAAGAATTCGGTCTCTTTTTTCTTCCGTGGGCGTTTGTTAGCACCGTGAACAAGCAATCGGATACCGTTCCATTTTCTTCCTACACTTGGAGAACATTGAAAACAGCCGTCGGCCATTCGCTACCAAAGCGATGGGGAAGCCCGGGAAGCCCGGGTACCTCTCAAAAACGAGGGTTACCTTAGGTTAGATACCCAAGGTAATTGTATAGGGAATATCCAAGGGGGAACGAAAATAAACAAGAAGGGAAGCCGTTCACGTACTCTACGTGCCAATCCATGGTATATCATCATTTTCCCACCGGGTATATAAGGTAATTTAGCAATATCTGGGTTGCTACTTGCAACAATAGGATCGTACTACGCCTTGGACCTGCGCGTTGTTTCATCGCAGGCACCTGGTCATGTTGGAATAGCAGTGTAGGTGTAAATCTGAACCTTTTTTTTAACAAGCAGCTAGATCTTCTAGCGCATAAGAGGTATGAGATCACCCTGACAGATATTTCCATTGCAATGCCGGTGCCACTTACAACGCCACTTAGGTCAGTACTGTGAGGATCATATCAACCGCTGTAATCGTTATACTTGAAAAATAAATCCTAGGATAAGTGGAAACCCATACCATACCTTGGTTAATTGAAATCGCATTCGAATACATCTCTCATCTTCGCTAATAATCTACGAGAAGCATTCTGTTTATGTACCTAACGACCTCGGTAATGGGAGGTCATACGGCGTAACCACATCGTGATATATGATGGATATAGTCCAATCGCGTACTCGGTACGGTTTAAAAGTGACAATCATTGGTGGCTTGGCAGGTCTTGTTGCAGCTTTCATTGAAACCATAGCGACCAATGAATTCTGAATTGCATTTTTCTTTTTTCCTTTCCGGTGGGCACGTATGTTGATATCGGTCTATGTTTATCTACGTTGCCGAATGATCTCACTGGTCATGAATAGAGAAAATGGGCTGTAGAAGCACATAAGGTACGAATTGGAAGTGGAAATGAAAATGAAAATGCATAAGAAAGACGGGAGGAAGGAAATGTTCGGAAATATCGACTCATAACCTAATCGATGTCCGTGCGGAAATGGAAAAAATGGTGCGATGGCCTGGAACTTGGAAGGTCTTTTATGAGATGATGGAAATGGTCAAAGTCTCTCCTTTCTAGCCCTGTGGATAAGTATTAATTATGCAAAGTTTGGTACTGAACTTAAAAGGTTAGCTTTGCACTATAAAATATCAAGTACCGTATTTCTTTATGTTTAGGTTACGCTTGGAGGTACCTAACGCTTGAGGGGGGTGGGGGGGGTTAATACCAGGTAGCTCTAGAAGCCACCTATGGAACCGTCCCAGACCACTTTACCGTAGAGATGCACATTATGCGCATAATAGAATTCTTATGACGCATTATGTTTATAATGCGTATTATGTACATAATGCGCGACGCATAATGTAATATTACGTATGTAAACGCATGTAAAAATTTACAACTACCAAAAGTTAAAATCCACTGTCCCTCACTAACAATACTTCGTTACAATACTTAACCCTTTTAAATACTAGCGCGCCGGATAATCGAGGGTGCATATTCCGTCATGCGCATAATACTTCTATTATGCGTTATAATGTTTCATTATGCGTCATTATACGCTAAGCGCATTATAAAAAATGCATCTCTACTTTACCGATCTGCATTACCTGCACCTTTGTCGCGAGTAACAATTCCATATCTCATTTACACGCTTCTATTGTTAAGGGAGGTGTACCTCTCTTCCTCATCCTCCCCCCCTTTTGCCCCATTCAGTTTTTTCTTAGGTTTTTTTTTTTTTTCTTTCCGCCCGCGGGTCTTCTGCCATACACTCAGACCACCATACACCATACGCACATACAACACACCCCCGACATGCGCTGGAACTCTACAGGAATTGGCTTGATCACGTTAGCCTCGCCATTAGCAATGGATTTTAAATTGTCGGCATCCTGATATCCCTGTGACACAACTTATCTTGCAACCCCTGCCCTCCTTAGGAAAGCTGTCGCAATGGTTCCCTTTCATTGGTCGAACCTCGTCGCAACCTCCTGTTTACCTGCGACCTCGACAACCTCAACCTGACTACCTCTCCTTCTTGTTTTCCATCCGTTCTTCATCAGACTTCATCCAAACCTCTTTCAAATCCCCTTTTCGTGGTCGCCATCAACTAGCGATTGTTGTTGGATACCCTTTTTTTTCATCTTGCCTTGCATCCATTTGATTATTCAGCTCACCACCAAGTCCAGCAATATGCCCGTCGAGCTTCGCAAGCGCAAAGCCCCTGCGCCGGCCCCAGAGCCGCCGGCTAAGAAGCAATCCAAAGTTTCCAAGACAGCCTCCAAGACAGCCTCCAAGGTTAAGGAGGCCGTTAAGGGCAAAGTCGCTAAGCCCACCAAACCCGCTGATGCCAATGGCTCATCCAAACCCGTCAAACCCGTAGTCGGTGACACCATCATCCTCGACGGATTTGGTGGTACGTTCGAAACCAATGACGGTGAAAAGACCACCTTAAAGGCCCTCGTCGACGAGAGCAAATCGGGGGTTGTGGTTTTCACGTATCCAAAGGCCTCCACACCGGGCTGTAAGCTTCATTCCGCGCGTAGTCACCGTAAATAGCGCTATCCCTGTCTGACCTGATATACAGGTACCAACCAAGCCTGTCTCTTTAGAGACTCGTACGAACCTTTGACCAAAGGTGGCCTCGCCATCTACGGCCTCTCGGCTGACTCGCCCAAAGCCAACACCACATTCAAGACCAAGCAGAACTTACCCTACCCGCTTCTTTGCGACACCAGCTTCACATTAATTGAAGCCCTTGGTTTCAAGAAGGCACCTAAGGGTGTCACTCGCGGCGTCTTCGCCGTTGATAAGAACGGCAAGGTTCTTATCGCTGAACCTGGAGGACCTGCTGCGACGGTCGAAGCTGTTAAGAAGCTGGTTGCTGAAAGCGAGAAAACCGACGCCGACGCCGACGCGAAGGAATCTGTTGACGAGAAGTCCGAGGAGAAGCCAGCAGAAGAGGCCAAATCCCCAAATGGCGAAACGGTTAAGGAGAAGGAAGTTGACAGTACAGCCGAGTGACGGAAATAACCGTTTTTTTCCTTCCCGTCCGATTTCTTGTCTAACCTAGGGATTATCTTGCCTCATGTTGTGTAAGACCACGGTTTTTGACATGATAGTAACATCCGTGTCAATGACGTAGAATGATAAGAGCAAATCAAAGTGAATTGGGTATATATACATATAAAGTTTCTCGACGATGCGATGCCTTAGGTACCTTTTAGTATCTTGTATGCGGTCGACATTATAAGATTCAGCCATCTTCTTTTAAACTTGTCTCTCCGTTCAATCAGTTTATTGTTAATGTAGAGGCATTTTATCTACCTAGGTACCTAGGTTAGGTACATAATACTTGGTACAATGATAGGTACTGTCTTATGTAATGGAACGTAAATGGAAGTGGATAAGCGGGAAGGAAAAGGCCGAGATTTAGCCACGTGGGTCAAGTTTTGACCAACTCGATTAATCTGATTGGATCCTTTAGACTTTGGATCCATCCTTATACTTTATCGCCAATTCAAACTAAAGGTAAGGTCTCATTCAAACCTCATAACGATCCGAGGACCTTTGAAACCCCGGCTTGAGCTCTGCCATCCCTCCCCCCCAATTGAGTTTACTATACATTCACCATGGCGTCGAAACTCGCCCCGGTCCTCCTCAGAAGGTTGACTCGTCCGGCATGCCGAGCTCCTCGATCACAGTTCCGAACGTTCACAGCCGGTAGCTCCAGAAGAAGTGACACTCTCTCAGTGGTATGTCGTCTTGTCCCCCGTCTCGGTAAAGCCCAAGTGGCTCTATATCGCTTTGAGAAGTCGACGGATGTTATGAAAAGCTACCTGTCAACCGAGCATCCTCCCCTTTACCCTTAGACTTTATGGGGGCTTGAAGCTCTCATCGCATTTGCCTTACCTTAGGTAAATATGTGTTACTGACGCTCAACCTGTCTTGCGATTAAAGCACCGAAACACACCCGACAACAACCCCGAGATACCCTTCAAGTTCACACCTCAGAATGAAGAGGTCATCGCCCAGATCCTAAAACGCTACCCGCCGCAGTACAAGAAGGCCGCCGTCATGCCGCTGCTAGACTTGGGCCAGCGCCAGCACGGCTTCACATCCATATCCGTCATGAACGAGGTCGCGCGGATTCTCGAGATGCCCCCCACGCGTGTATACGAAGTCGCCTCTTTCTATACTATGTACAACCGGACGCCGGTCGGCAAGTTCCACGTCCAGGCGTGCACTACCGTGAGTTTGCCTTAGGTTTCTTGCCACCTCCGTCTTCTCTTATTCTACGGGATATCTGCGTATGTTCTGTAGACGTGTTCTTATGGTTCCTTTTTACTGGGCGTACTGCATAGCTGGACAGGGCATTTTCAGGAGGATGGAGTAATATCGTCGTCTCCTTATAAATGGTTCGCGTACTGAATACGTCATCGGTCCATCTAAGATCACTATTGGAAATGCACCGCTTGCTAACCAGGTATAATCTGGAATAGACGCCCTGCCAACTCGGTGGCTGCGGCAGCGATGCGATCGTCAAGGCGATTAAGGAACACCTAGGCATCAGCCAGGGCGAGACAACGCCCGACGGTCTCTTCACATTCATCGAGGTAGAATGCCTCGGTGCTTGCGTGAACGCCCCTATGATCCAGATCAACGACGACTACTACGAGGACCTGACGCCCGAGACTACCAAGAAGCTCCTAACGGCCCTGAAGGAGAGTGTCACAAAACCAGGGGTCAAGGTACCCAAACCCGGCCCGCAGACTGGCCGTGACACCTGCGAGAACAGCGCCGGCCAGACGAACTTGACGAGCGAGCCGTGGGGTATCGAGACTACGAGGAGCGATCTGTAAAGAGAATAAAAAAAAAACACAGCAGCAGTGGACTCCTTTTTGGGGATTGCGGGCGTAGAACGTAGACATACTCTGTACATAAGCTGATCTATCCGTATCGGTTCATAAAAAGAAGACCGCCCCTTGCGCCGTTTCCCATGCATTCTCTGTAATAGATATCCCAATCACTTTTTTTTTTATTTTTTATTTTTTATTTTTTTGCTGACCTGACCTAATTTGATTTGATTTGATCTGATTTGATAACTTCCACTCTCATACCCTTTGATTCATTCCCATGTAATCGTTTGATTTAAAATCCAACCAGTCGTAACAAATACCCAAAACATTTTCAAGCTTGGTAAATCAGAAAAAGAAAAGTTGAAGAAGTACTACTTACTAGTTACCTGCTTTGCTAAAACGGACATTCCAACAGCACAGCATATATGATACGATACGTCAAATTTTTTTTTGCTTTTCACTCTTCACTCTTCACCCCAACCTAAAAACCCACCCATCCCCAAGCCTCCTGTTATCCTCGCCCAGCCCGCCGAACACCAAGATGGCATTCTCCTCGAGATCGCCGAGCGGCGCGCTGGCGAGCCAACCCCGGGGGCCGGGGCCCTGGGCGTCCAAGCTGCTGTCGGCGTCGTAGGGCGCCGGGACGACGCGGGTCCACTTGCCCTCTCCGGTCCGCCGCCCCACGGCTTGCAGGAAGGCGTCCGTCACGCTGGCCGCCGTCATCCCGGCCGGGGGCACCTGGAACGCCCAGACGTCGCTCCAGAACCGGCCCGCGCCCGCGTGGCCCTCGGCGCTGGGCGCCCGCTCGCCTAGCATTAGCACCAAGTACTCCCGTCCGCCGCCGCCGTACACCAGCTCCAGGCTGCTGACGCTGCGGTTCCCGGGCCATTCTTCCGTGGGGACTAACTTCGCCGTCTCCTCCTCCTTCTCACTCTCGCCTTTACCGTCACCCTCACCGTCACCCTCACTGTCACCCTCCCCGCTCGCAGTAGCAGGAGCAGCAGCAGTTACAGGCGGAACAAGAGTCTGCCACCCGCCGCGCGCAGAAACGCCGACCTCGCCTGTACCCGCGCGGTCGTCGAACGCGTCGAGCGCGAGCTCCAGCACGTCCAGCTGCCCGCCGAGCTCGTGCGTGCCGTCGAACCCGCCGAAGCGGTACAGCCTGCCCTTGGCGAGGGCCAGGGCGGACCCGCCCCGTGCGGGGCCCGGCGCGGGCGGCAGCTCTTTCCACGTACGGCTGCGGACGTCGAAGGCCCAGACGTCGCTCGCCCTGGCGCCGCCCGCCAGGCACCCGCCGTGGATCACGAAGGTGCCGAACCCGGCGTCCTCCTCGTCCGTCGCCCGCGCCGCCACGTTCCCCGCGATCGGGCGCTGCGGGATGCCCACCTCGGCCGAGTCGCCCTCGGCCCACTGCTTCCAGGTCTCGGTGTGGCGGCGGGACGACGATTTGCCGCCACCGGAGGGGAAGTCCCGCGGCTTGTCGGTCGCTACGGCGGCGAAGTAGCTGCGAGGAGGCGGGACGGGGCCGGGGCCGGTCTGGGAGGAGGAGGAGGAAGAGGCGGGGTCGAGGTACGTCCAGGTATGGGTCTTGGTCTCAAAGACCCAGACGCGGCCGCGCTCGTCGAGGGGCTCCGACGCGGACTCGGCGCTGCGGCCGCCGAACAGGAAGATCCGGGAGCCGATGACGGCGGTGGCGTGGCCGACGCGGGCGCAGGGGACGTCTGTGCCGAGGGGGTTGTGGTTGATGGGCTTAGCATTGCCGGCGGGTGAAAGCGGCTCCCTTGCGTCGGGCGGGGTGGGAGAGCTGAGGGGGACGTCGGTCAGGGGATCTTTGAGGTCGGCGGCGATCTGGTCCTCCTCCGTGACGGGGGCGGGCTCGGAGGCCTGATGTTCCTGCTCTTGCTCTTGCTGCTGTGGGGGGGAAGGCCTGGCCTTGACGCTGTAGTAGTCGGCGGAGGCGAAGCCGGAAGGCAGGACGACGATGTGCATGTCGTTGTCGACGGGCTTGCGGGACTCGACCTCGCCGCCGAAGATGTACGCGTGGCCGGCGACCACGTCGACGGAATGGGATGACCGCGGAAGGGACGGGATGGAGACATGCTGCCAGGAACCTTTCATCGTGTGGCTGCTGCTGCTGCTGCTGCTGCCTCTCTGGCGTGGCAGATGGGGAAGATGGGGCATCGAGGGTAAGTTATGGGGAATGGAACCGAGCAAGTCGGTGCCGCGACGCTTGAGTTTTGCAAAGGACTCCATCGTGGACAACCTCTTGCGATAAGTAAGGGGAATTATGAGATGGAGAATGTTGTTTGTTTTGTTGGCTTATTTGCTTGTAGAACTCAATGACGGGAAGCTTTGGTGTATATGTATTGTATTATGTATTAGGTAGAGAGAGTTACCTAGGTCAGGTGAATTCGGTGGTTCCAATGGCCCTGGGTGGTTAAGTGACCTAGTTGGGCTGTTCCTGAGCTTGTGACGTAAGACAGGACGATGGATGGGATTTAGTGGGGTGAGGGGTGAGTTGTACGAGGTGCACATACGCTAATTACCTGGTACGGTACTTGGGAAGTACCTAGGGTATTGTACCTGTAATACAATTTAACTAGAATATCCAAAATTAATATGGAAAGTTAGGTACCTCCTACATATGTTTGATAATGGTTTTGTAGAAAATAATAACTGTGTATAAAAAACAAGGAGATTCAAATAATAAAACCAAAGTTTCCACGACAAGCTATTTTAATCAACATCGAGTCGTATCATAACAGCACAGGAAAAGCATGGCTTAGCCGGTTAGGTGGTTGACGCAGGCGAGACCAACCCACCCCCCTTGTCTCTTTTAGAGCAGTGTTATTTCAACACCACTTTCCTCACCGCCTGCCTAAAAGAGCTAATTATTAGAGATTCCCTCTTACTTTCAATTAATTTAATTATACCATTATATTAACCTTTATATGCTCGTGAATCAAAAATAAGTTATATTTCCAGTTTCGTTTTGATTAGAGCTTTTTAATGATATAAGCCTCGATTAGATGCATGCGGTATTTCAAAAGATATAGGCAAATATGTATAAGTGGTGGTGGCGCCCCTTTTCCGCAAAACATCTTTTACAATAGCTTTTAAAATACCGCATGCATCTAATCGAGGCTTATATCATTAGAAAGCTCTGATTTAATTCAACCCAACGATGTAATTCTCGTATGTTAGATCGTTAGACTTAATACGATATAATGGTTGTTGATGTGGTGGTGTAATTGAATTAATTGAAAATAGGGGGGAATCTCTATTTTCTGCCAACTTTTTTTCAAAGAGTGGGGTACTATTGAAGTAACACTGCTCCTCTTTTAACGTATGCGCGTACCAATAACGTTACCGTTGCAAGGGAGCTAAGCCCTGCTAGGTTCCCGCTTTTAGAGCCTTTACATAGTAAGTTAGGCGCTTCTCCTTCTGTAACATGCTAAGGGCCGAGGTTCCCTTAAGTATCGTCATGACCTCGTGAATCTCGTTTGGAAAAACAAACGATTATCACCTTTTATACGAAGTATGTAGGTACCTAGTAAGTATTCATGCTTATGACAGGTCCTTCCCACTTTTCATAAGATGTACGAAGTACGCGGATTATGTAGGTACATTAGATCAAGCAAAGGAGGTACGTGCTGGTTGAGGTGAAGAGACATACCTATCGACTTACACAATTCCCCCCCAAGTAAACAAACACGAAATAAAATGTTGTTTATCACTCCCCCACTCCAAAGACCAAGACGGTCCAAACTATGCCTCCCCTATAGCGGCCCGTTAAAAAAAAGAAGAGGAAAGGAAAGCAAAGAATAAAAATAATGCATCCTAACTCACTTTAACCTCCCTTCCCTTCCCTCCCCTGCCCTCCCCAATAATATCCCATACACCTCCTCTACCATAAAAAGAAACTCGTAACTATATGGTATAACCTCAGGTATATATCTAAGGCCCATTCCTCCTCGTCCTCGTCTTCCCCCTCGGCGTCGGCGTTCTTTCCATCATCCACACGGGCAGCGCCGGATTCATACCCCTTCCTCCTCCTCCTCCTCCTCTTCCTCCACCAGGACCAGGACCAGGACCCATACCACCTCTCCCTCGGCCTCTACCTCTGCCGCGAACACCAAGACCACCACCGCCACCGATCCAATCCAGGACGTTAGGGTGGACAGGTGGGGCAGGAGGGAGAGGGGGAGGGTGGTGATGATGATGAGCATGGTGAGGATGATGCTGCTGCTGCATGGGCGGAGGCGGAACTAGCGGCGCCATGGGCCACATCTGCATGAGGATGAACATGCCGGGCTCGACCAGGTCCTCCCAGAGCTCGGGGAGGATAGTCACAGCGGACTGCTCGACCGGCGTGAGCGCGAGAGCCGGCGGTGGCGTGGGCGCGTGCGGGACCGGGAGTTGGGCCGACGTGCCGCCAGCAGCAGCAGCAGCGGCAGTAGTTGTGAGAGGGGCCTCTGTCGGGTCCGGCGCCATCTCGAAGCCCGCGTCCGTCGAGAAGGGCAGGTGGAATGTAAAGAGGTCGTAGTGCCCCTTGATCACGTGGGGGCCGATTATGTCGACGTATGCGAAGCAGTTTCGGATTAGACGCTCCATGCCCTGGGACGTTGTTAGTGAGGAACGTGAATATGCCCCCTTTTTTTTTCGGAATTGACGAAATAGAGGGTGGAAAGAAATACAACAAGAAAGAAAACTGAAATCTTGCTCACCGCCCAAGTTTTCGCCTTTTCCCAAGGAAAGACGAATTTACGGCCAACCGCATCCTTGAACCGGATAGGTAGCTTCTTCGGCGGCCGGTCGGCCGACTTCTCCCAGCCGGGATCTCCGTACTGGAGCGACCGGAAGGCCGGCGCCTCGGCTTCCTCGCCAGCGTGCGGGCCACATGCAGCCGGTCCTGGATCGGCCGGTTGCGGCTGCGGCTGCGGCTGCGACTGCGGCTCTGATTCAAGGTCCGACTCTTCTGCGTCTCGCCTCCGTCTCTGGTCTTCGTTTTGATCTTGGTCTGGTTCTCGGTCGTCGTCCAAAAAATAGAGCTTTGGCGACGCCGTCCTAAAGCTTTCACAGTCGGATTCTACGCTTAACGCCTCGAGGCTGGGTTTGGGGGAGAGCAGCTGGGTCCTAAGTCCGACGCCATGCTCGGATAGGGGTTCATCCAGCGGTTCCTTATACGCAGAGTTTACGGGATATGCAGTAGTGGCAGTAGGAGGAGAAGGAGGAGGAGGGGATTCGCGCGACTCCAGATTCTCATTTTGACTCTCGGTATTTGTAAGCTCTGTGCGTGAATGCGGGTTTGCATTAGGTAGTAGTATCTCTGCATCCTGAGGATGTTTCCTGTTAACAAAATCCCTACGGACCCTTACGGGAGCTTTGCCCTTGTCTTCATGGTCAGGTATCGACTGGTGAGTGTACCCGCCGTCGACCTGATCATCGTATCCGATCGTACATGAGTTTATCCCTTGGTCTGACGAGTCGTTTGAATGTATACTTCTACTCGAGGAACTGCAGCGACCAGAGGTGAGTGAGAAGCCACCGTAGCCATCGCGTGGAGAACCCGAATCCTCATCGACCGAATCCAGGCTAGGGCTAGCCATACCGGTTGCTTAACGGGTATCCTTTCCGGGGTTTACAGGAAGATCTAGAGCCGCAAAGAGTCCTTCCGGGGGGGGATCAACAACTTTTGGGATTGTGACATCAGTCCGTAGCAACGATAGATTAGGTATTTTTAATTATAGAAATCGGGAATAGGGCCGAAAGACGTGCGTGCGTGTGCGTGTGTGTGTGCCACAGAAGAAAGGAATGCCGAAGAAGTTGCGGCTGAAAAAAGAAAAAAAGAAAAAAGCCCTTGTAAAAGTTCTTGGTACAATACAACGCAATCTACCTAATCCTCCTCCCCCCAACGTGAATATGTTGGTATGGTTACTGTATGGTAGATACTGTACCTTTTTTGTCTTGACTGCTGTTAGGTTTGTCCGGTACACGTTGCTAGCGCCATGGCGAAGACAACTGTCTTGGTTACGGCTGGTACGTTCAATCGCAAGCAAGTCCGCAAGCCCGCAAAGACGTGGTGGAGATTTTTGGGGGCGGCTATCATAACATAAATGTATTAAAAAAAATTGAAGGATCTCGAGCGCTATTCGCGGAAGTCTATACCTACGTCAGATCACCTACACCTTAGGTACCTAGGTAGGTACCTAGGTAGTTGATTGGTGTTATATGATGACTGTCAGATATTGGCTACAATGCGTATAAATGTATGTATTATCATAATAAGTATTAACTACATCTAATGCTGTATATCGACTATGTAAGGCTAACGTAACCGGGGTGCGATACGAAGAATAAGCATGCTATGTTACAGCTATATACATCAACATACACCAACCTTAGGTCATGTAGGTACACACTTAATGCATGTCAACCTACATATATGTAAGGTAGCTTACCTAGGTACCTAAGGTAGGTATCTAGTATTTTCCACTTTCCGACCCTTTTTTACATTAATCTTTAATCTAACAAACGCATCTTCATCCTATGCGTCTCAGAGGCTCAGTTCGGGGTTGTCTTAGACAAGCCACTGTCCCGTCCCGTCCCACCCCGTCCCCATCCGCCATCGATCATACGGTACCTATCCGCCTTGTTGCGTTTTACTAACCTACAGGCAGGTGAGAAATACTACCGGGAAATGCTCGTCATCCCCGTACGCACATACATACATGCATGCTTCGGTATCTATGTAAGTAAGCCGGCTACCTATCCTATTCCTGGGGGGAGAAGGAGAGGAGAAGGGTGGAGGGTGGAGGGTGGAGGGGAACCGAGAACCTCACCCCATATAGGTATGTAACGTCCACCATATTAAAAGCTAGGACATGGTATGGGGACGCCACTGCTTACATACCTACCTTACACAGGTATTGTACAATACTATGTATGTAGGTAGTAGCTAAGGCTAAGACTAAGGCTTCTATGCGGCGTAGATCTTCGGCCCCGAGCGCTTTACCCGCCTGTGCCCAGTTCTGATTTCTGGTTCGATACTATTAGATCGATAGTCCCTTTTTTTCTTCTTTTTTTTTTATCAACCTTCTTATCATTTCCTTCAACCGGTTAATTTTTAGAATCGAGATGGAACCTGTCTGCACGTCCGCCTACCCAAAGTACCTAAGCCGCATGTTGTCTTACATTCCACTGCCTAATCTAATGCCGTCCCGGATTCCTGGCTGACTCGCCCTGCTTGTGGTCGTGGGACAAGTGTGCCTCTAGCAATAGGTATTATTATAGTTTTTTTCTTCTTCTTCTTAAGTACCTCTCATTACATCATTGAGAACTTATAAGTTCATCGCATGAGATCTATGAAGCTATAGAAATATCGTGCAGAAATCCGCTTGGCTTTCCACGACTACCCCGTGCTTGCCTTCAATTTAAGTAGCAAGTATAATTATATCGTAACATCGTAGATAGTAGTAGTACACGTCCCTTGAACTCCACGGTTGTTCTATAGATCCCAAGCACTTTCCTGTAGATTGAATACCTGGTATTTACCACCGTCATTACAAATCCCTATACCGTCCAAATCAGGTATCTTTCCGTCAGGATACTTACTTCGACGGCAAGATATTAAGATATATACGCCCTCACCAACTCCAGCCACTACCATAACATGAATAGGTATATAAAGAATAGCATGAGTATTGTCTCATTGGAGCCATCACTCATCGACGTCCTCACCCTCGGCGTCTTCATCCCCTTCCTGGTCTGCCGCCGTCTCAAATGCCTGGTTGCCACCTTGCTTTAAGGGGTTGCGTAGTTCCCATTTGCCTTTGGCGCCCTTTTCAATGATAGCGATTTCGGGGCGGGTGGCCCAGTCGATGAGAGTCTCGTCATTCGGACCACCAAACACAATTGGCAGCTCTGAGCCAGTGACCGCCTTCTCGAGATGCTTGGCAACGTGTTCCATTCGATCGTCCCAAGCGCTAGTACCGTCGAATCGAGCAGTGCAACCGATGGCCGGGCATCGCATGTGGGTTGGTAGCTCGCAGCGTGTTCTTTTCGCCTCTTCCTGGTGGGCGCGCTCGCGTGCTTCCCACTCAGGGGAGGGTTTCCTTTGTTTAACGTGCTTCTTAAGGTTGGATGGGATATGCATGCGTCGCAGGTGCTGGGTGTAAAGGTCTTTGCGATTGAAGATGGTCCCGCGAGGGAGTACCGGCGTGTGAGGGCCATGGGTGGAAGGGGGACTGAGACGGTTGCGGGTAGGTGAGGTTGCCTTGCTCGAAACCTTGGAGCATTGGTCCTGTTGGCATATCCAATAGTGTAGAACCAAGTGCTGTGAAGAACAATGTCGTTTCCATTCGTTCTTACTTGCAAAGGTCGAATTGCATCCTGCGAAGCCGAAGACGCAAACAAACGGCCGTGTATGCTGCTTCTTGATATGATTTTGAAGCCCATTCTCATCCTTGAAGAAGATCCTCTTTGGGCATTCGGTACAGGAAAAGCTACTCTTTGGGCCTTGAATAACAGGCTTGGCGGCGGGCCTATCGATCGTGCAAGAGTTACCAGGGTCAATCTTGGGTCGTTTAGCTTCCGGTATAGGTATGGGACTGCTCTGTCGCTTGCGGTTCCTGGTGGGCCGGCTTGTGCTGGACTTTGTCTTCTTCTGCTTCTGATATGGTTTGTACTCATCATCTTCTCCATCCTCGTGCTTCAGAACGAACGTCTCGGTTTCGTTGCCGGACCCTGTTTCGTCGTCTGACTCATACTGAGCGTATGCTGAGAGCGGCTCAGGAATGCAAACCTCTTCTTTCACATCCGGTACTGACTCCTCAGGGCTCATTAGTCGATGGCCTCCGATTGGCTCCCGCACGACACACATGTCCATGCAGGTGCTACTGTCGTCGGATGACATGCTGTAACCTCTTGAAGGGAACTCCGACTTTGGGTTGCTGTCATCAAAATAGCTCTCAGGGGATTCTTGGTAGGGGTTAATGTCGAGTAGCTTCACACAGTCATCGGCAAGACCCGTGTGCTGGCATAGATAAGCTCGAGAGTTGGGGCTGTCATATTGGTTCAAGGGCGGAGACATGATTGACGTGTCGGGAGGTGTTGGCGGCGAATGTAGTTGGTAATAATCACTCTCTCCAGGTGGGCTTAAATTACTACTGCTTGTCGATGATGTGTGAGAAGGGAACGACGGCGAGTTTCGACGCTGAGGCAGGCCGCATGGAAATTGGCCTATAGTGTCGTCTCTCCGTACTACCGTCTCGGGGAAGATTCCATCAACCCCAGAGTAGTTGAAGAAGGAGTGTTTGTTATGTTCTGTCAGGTAACGGTGCATCTGTGGAGGGGCCCATTGAGGAGAGGGTTTGAAAATTGGTTCAATCATGCCATCATCAATGGGTGAATTGTCCATGTAAACTCCTGGAAGTGGCATGGAGTCCGAGTATGCAAAGCTCTGATATTCCATCTTTATCAATCTTGTGACAAATGTGTGCACACGCCGCAAGCTTCCTCTGAGGTGCGTCCGAGATGGGGTAGTGGAACACTTTGGAGGTCTGGTTCAACGGCGTTGGAGTTTTAGCTCAGACCTTCTTTGAGATGAAAAGGTCCTACGGCTAGTGACCATGAAGACGAAGCGGTTTAATATTAGAAAATAGAGGCGGCCGGAAGGCAAACAAGTTGTATGTAGTATGACACTGGGGACGGGGGGAAAACTAGGCTAGACTTATGGAAGAAAAAGTTGAAGTTCCATATATTGCGGAACGCGCTTCGTAGGCAACAATGGGGCGAGGCAGGGAATATCAAGCAGCTTGCTTCGAAAGAAATGAAATATGCCATGGTGGTTGATCCAACCTTACCTACTAATATGCTGCCGAATGTTTCTGGGTTGTACAAGTCTGGGAACTTGGGCATCCTACAACCTTCGAAATCTTGAACACGACCCACGCGGAGCCTCAAGACGATGCGTAAATAGGTATACGCTGATATACCTACATAGTATATACTTAGCTGACAGGGATGGTGGTGGCTGAAGGGCCATTGCGGTCATTTATCGTCGCTTGGCGTCCCCTGCAGCGTCTATCCTAGCACCGTATGTATCGAGCAATATGTACGGTATGTATATATCCCGGTTTTGTTCCCAACCAGTCCTTCGCGGACCAAGTTGATCTGTGGAGCCGTTGGAAAAAGCTCGCGGGGTTTGAGATGGGGAGTAGGGAGTACAGGATACTTTGTGTATTGTACAAGGAACCTTGAACTGGCCCGCGAACCATCCATCGGCTAGGTAGTACCAAGTATGTGTACTGCGTACGTATGGTCGAGAGGTAGAGTTCGCAGAGACTAGAGTCATCGGTTAATCAGACCCATGACTTTAGCCCATGGTTTCGTGGTTCGCGTAACCTCGACAATGTCTCTGCTATGTTAGTAGGCTTGTGATATCGATTGGATCTGGGCCGAGTTAATACATAGAATCGGTCGATACCTACCTTAGGTAGGTAATTAACTACAAAATCTTTTATTGAGCCGCATAGTCGAGTATGTCAATTGAATACCTAGGTATGTTTATGTGTATTAACTCGTCCGAAACGTGATTCGAGTTGGACGCGGACAAGGAGTTGCGGTGGCTTGAGGGAATGTGATAAGGCGTCCGCCGAGGCATAACGAGCGACGGACAACCAAGGCGGAGTCTTCTGTCAACCCTTAGATGATTCATTCGAGCAATAAAATCGTGTCTGCATAATAGAACCTTTATTAAAACTGTTGTTAACTGTGCTGGCGACCTTCGAATGTCGTGGATGTTCAGCAGCATCCTTGGAGAGTCTTGCTTTTTTTCTTTTTCTTCACGACTGTCAAGTTCCTCGCATTGGTTCCCGTTCATGGCCTACTACGTGTTGTTCGCCCGACTACCGTTGTCGTACTGCGGTCTTTCCGGTCTATGAGCTGACTGCAGGGGAGGTCGATTTGGGTTGGTTCGGATCCAGACCATTCAGGGAAAACGAGTAAATAGCGTCGTACGGAGGAGGGGGACTTGGTAGATCGTACTCCAAGTCCCTTTAAATTTGGGTATCAAAATACCACGGTCGCAAGTTAGGTTGACCGCCATCTTCATCTACCCAGAATCCCAGATAGATACGTTAATGTATACGTTAATGTATACCCAACGTTGATAGATACGTCAAGCAGATATATCCCAAACCATGTAATACTCAGGGCAAGGGATCTGGGGTTTGATTGAGTCGGGATTCGAGTCATAAACCCATGCCATAGGTAAATTTGAAATGTCGGGATTATCAAGTACGGTACAGTATCAGGTAGTTACTGCAACTTACTGCAACTTAACCAATTACTTACTTGCCTAAGAGCTAAGAGCCCGAGCACGTAATTGAGAAAAGAGCGGCCGACCGGCCATGGTCCAGTCTTCCGCCCCCACCCTCCTTTCTTCCGTCAAGGGTTTTTACATAGCACCTTAGCTCTGTGGTAGGGCCTTCTAGATTGGGACCAACAAAGAAGAAAGCTGAAGCTGTGAAACCCAAGCGCCGGCGGCTATGTCTCCCATGGGCTCGGTCACCAATGAAAGCGGTTGTTTGGAGCGAAACATAGGCAGCTAGCTGACGATCACCACCTCAGCTTATATCTTAATACTAGGACCCAAGATAGTAAGGCAAGTGCCTATAGGTAGTAAGCATAGCCAACGATAACATGCCATACGAAGCTCGCTATCTTGTGTTGGAGACGTCATCTAAAAGTAGGGCAATTCAAAGGACAATACTCTTATCTGCTGGCGATATTACGGTAACTAAGTCTTGCAGCTTGCGTCTTGTATCTTGCGTCCGGATGTAAAACTTCGACCAGTTTGACGTGCGCATGGGGCGCAAATGACTAGTACTACCACCCGAATTTAAAGGGGACCTGGGGAAGCAAAAAAGAATTTTTTAGGACATGAGAGAAAAAAAAAAAAAAAAAGAATATGTGAAATATGACGCGAATCAGAACAAATTACCATGTAGGTACTATGTAGGAGCAAAAAGTGAGTCGGCAATCTTCTAAGTAAAAAGTAACCAACAGAGGTGGTAGGTGCGTCACCGAAATGGGGTTTAAAAAAAGTTGGGGGCTATTTTTGTTTGAGGCCTGAAGGGATGGAACCATTAGCGGCTCCATCAAAAGAAGGCAACAAGGATCTAAGACTAAAACAGACGGGCTGACACTTCCATCAATGACACTAAGTTATAAGTTATAGCGTACACTGTGTTAGGTATCTAGGTACATAACCTTGTACAGTAAAACCTTGCCATAACGAATCGAAAAAATCAGCGATTTAGATTCGTTATGGAGTGAATTCGCTATAGAGAGTATATTGCACTAGTACCAAAAGGGTAAAACGCATTAGGTACGTACCTGAAAACTCCAAAAAATTCGTTAAATTACATACAAAATTCAAGAAACAGCGATTTGAATTCGTTATATACCGTATTCGTTATGGCCAGGTTTTACTGTATGTCCTATTGCCAGTTGCAACCCTGTTAGTGTGTGTACCTGGTAAGAAGTATCTATAGATTAAGCTAGGTACATCTGATATAGGTATCTGTATGTGGACTTACCTCCTACTTTAGGATTATGCGCTCGTATTTTTTGGAGTATATTAAGACGTTAAATATAAGGATATATACATCAAGATACTTACTCCAAAAAAGGCCACTACTACGGGTAGCTGACATTGACGTGGTGCCTTACCTTAGGTACTTTCGAGACATTGCAACCACTACCTACCTGTTTTATTTCTTTTTAACTAAAACTGACCTTTCTATTCCCTTTTTTTTCTCCTTTTGTTTTACCCTTCCTGCAAGTGCCGGGGAAGCCTGCAAGTAAGATGGCAAGATGGGTCCATGGTAGATGGTGTCATAACGCAACCCATCTCACATTTGGACACATGGGTCTTGTCGGTTTCTAGTCGCCCAATTAATTCTTTTATCGGACACCTCGATGGCAATCTATCAAGCTTACCGAAAGAGAGCCGCATGAGGTTGAGGTTGATAGCATGATTGATAGCCCATGTACACGTGTAGGACCCCAACAACGACCCAAGAACTAAATAGGACTACCAACATTACAAATTCTCGTGTGCTGTGTGGTTACCATATGGTAGATGGTTGTCCTTGAATTCGTGGGTCACAGCGCGATGAACACACATGGACCTGTCACTTGGAAGGATTCTGCCATCCACGAAACATGGATGAATTCATAACTACCTAACCTCACTTACTTGCCTATCTCTTACCTAACCTAGGCAAGTAAGGTATAAAGTAGGTATGTCGATCTTCTTTATATTTTTTGGGGGCGCTGTCAGTCCAGACCGGCCAACGGGCTACTGCTGTCTACATCGTATGTGGGTTTAAAAGGATGATCGAGAAGTTAAACAACCGGGATGGTGTGATCTTGTTTCGTCCAGTTATATTCCCAATTTGTAGAACATCACTTACCTACCTCACTCAGCCGGCCGGTACTAAGAACCTAAAGAGCTGAGCCTCTATTATGCGTAGACGAGATGTCTCAGGAGCCAGAGTCTAGTTTCTTCGCGCATTAGATCAAGATTGCGTCGGCAATTTCTTCTAACACCTTAAGGCTTAAGCGCGCGCTATATGTTACACGGCCGTAATAGCCCGGACAGGTCGCCGATGGCTGGATCCTGCCTTACGCCTGTTTGTTTCTTGAAATATCGATGTAGTCCACGTACCTAGATAAAGTTCTTAGATGTTGCCATCGAGCGAGGATAATAGTTACCAGGTACCTAACCTTATCTACCTCGGGTAGACATGTGAATATCTTTTTAAGGATAATAGCTAAGTCGCTATGAGAAAGGAAATGAGGAAAATCCCATCAAAAGGGAATGTCGAGTTGCATTCGTAGGCAACTACCAACACAATCTCGGGATATGAAATAGGTAACACAACCAAAATAGATCTAGCACGGGAAAGAATCGCGCTTCACCCCTTACCTAGAGTCTAGCGGAGGTAATGGAGAACATGTGAGTGTAACGCTCATTACAAAAACCACCACGGCGGCTAGTCTTCGGTTTCTGTTGGGACGTAAAAGTGCACATTACCCCTGACGCTTTAATACGATCCGCAATCCCAAGTTTTCCGTACATCCAGCTGCAAGATAACGGCATCCCGACCCTCATCGTGCCGGTTTGGAAGACTTATGCAATCAGCTCCCGGCAGTGACGTACCCGTAATAATTGAAGGCCGATTAATATGCCTTTTTATCTTAGTTGAATCCGTATTATTTAGATACTAGTAGATGGGGTCGTGATCATGTACAATACGCTGCTCTAGGAAGCAGAAAAAGCTCTTTCTTTTGTGACACGTCAATACCTTTTGTCCATGAGTCCAATCCAACCAAAAAAAGAATCACCGTTTAAGACCCACGCCAAATCCCAGCTCGCCGGTCCAGCTCAAGAGACTATCTCTTATAAACACCTTACAAATGGCGAATAGGAAGCATTGTAGGCTAGGGACAGAATCCTTGCTAGGACTAAGTTCTCCGGATGGCTGTTGACTTGCTTGTACTACGAAACCAAAAAAAAAAAATCTTCGATGCCCCCTGAACAGATATACCTCCCAACCGACTCCACAACATCAAAGCTTAATCACAGGGAAAATTCTTCTGAGAATTGCAACAATACGAGCTCATTAATGCCCAGGATGGGTGGCATTGGAAAAATTAGCTGTTTGAAGTAGACTATGCCCAGTGCCATTTCGTTGCGACTCCGTACCGTCCCAAGTCTTGACAGAGTGTCTTCACTCATCATTGGCTTCGACGACGGGGTAGCAGGGTAGAATGTGGCAGAGGAGTACCAAAGTTCGTTTCAACAAGTGGTCTTTGGCGTCCGTATTGCATTGCCATTTGTTGGTTTATCGGCCGAGTCGCTGGTGAAGTTGTGCTGATGCAGGACTTGGGATGATGACCCCCCCTGGATGTTAAATTAGGTGATAGCTGATCTAGAACTGTGTACTTATGACTATGTGAGCTTTCGGCGTCAGAGCGCTCTCCCCGGTGCCCTTACAACAGATACGTACCTAGGCGTTAGACGTAGTCCGATCATCTAGTCGGGAAGGAAGACTTGGGGAGTGCTGTACATAGTAGTAAGTAATCTCGAAAGAACCCCGGAACTAAGCAGCCTAATGCTAATTTCAAAAAAGCAGATATCTTCGTAAATTTACATTACGACTCCTTCCCGCTGCAACCCATTCTACTCATGGCACATCTAAGCTCCCTACCTAAGTAAAGTGTATCCTAGATAGCGTGCCTTGATGATAACAACTGTCTACACGCGGTACCCCCCTTTCCCCATCTCCTATCTTATTGTTTGAAGCAGCGATTGTCTCTTGCACTAAAAAAATATTCTGCCCATCCAAGTTCATCTCATCGACGGAAACGCGAAGCTTAATCGACCAAGAAGTCCAGTCCACAAGTATTACGAGCAACGAAGACCCCTATCATCCGCGGAACATCTACCGTTCCTAGATCAACATCGACGCCCAGCCATCTGATCACAAAAACACCGATCGTGCGAATCGAAAAAAAAAATCTAAATGAGGGGCTCTACTTCGACAACTCTCTTTTATCAAGCCCTTCGTTTCATCTGCCGCCCCCCCCCGCCCCCCCGGAATGAAACAACAACACACTAGTCCTAGGGAACAAAGCGTTAGAGGTACCTATGGCGTTGATAGTTACCTCCTACAGGTAGATCTGGACTTCGTCTACCAACCTCCTTAGGTCGGTAGGTCATGGCGTGATTAACCTGGGTCTATGCGGGATACATGCTTCCTTCAAGTTGCATGAACTTGACAATGGTACCGTAGGTATTATGAAGCAAGGTCGACCCATACATAGCTCTACCCCTTTACTTCGTAGACAGGTAGGTAGAACATAGGATATGCCTTCGCCAGCGGCTTTCGCAGTTAGCTAAGGTACCCGAGGTATGTAAGTAAGAAATTCCTCGTGATACAACGATGTCATTTCTACGCCTTTTGGTCTCACCTCGCGGCACCAACCAAATGAACGATTCTTTCTGCACCCCGCCTGCCTGGCTGTTTACAATCTCACCGTTGTTAAGATGGAATACCTAGGTTAAAGGTACCTAGCTAACAACTGCCGTGTAACTCCTGAAATGGCCCAAGTTCCTCCGCTGTACACGCTACCTACCTCATAGCAAGGTCTTCCAATTCTCAATTAAATAGAAGCCTTTCAAACCGTCTTCATTGGCTATTGTATAGGGGCTTTGTGCCTCCCCCCCCCCCAAAAAAAAAGAAAAAAAAGAAAAAAGGCGTTGTAAAACCGCGTCGCCCAAGAACTAGCTAAGACAATGTCTAAGGCCGGAATTAGATATACCCTTCATAATCTTAGACATAATCATAGGGAGCATAGTGTAGGCATTCTGTTCCTTGAGAGTAAATTTATGCCCTCGTTGCCCCAAAGTTTCAATAGAGCACTTGGTGTAGGTAATATGCGGGCGAACCCCATGCGATGGATGCACAAGTATCTGCTGTGCTTATTATGGATTCGGGCGTATATGGCAATGGCTATAATCACATGAAATTGGCTACTTTTGCTTTCCGATAGGTACCTAGGTAATCTATGGTGCAAGGTGCCTTATGTATATTATAAATAAACGTAAATCGATTCTCAGGGTATTCTTTGTAGCGCCCACTCCAACTCCTTTCCTATCCCAGTATACGACGACTACCTTAGGCAGGTAGGAATTATCAACTTATTCATAACATCCTCATAGCTAGACGACTATATTACAACACTTTACAAGGTCTATGCCACAATTTTCAATGGTCGCAATTCTCGCATACCTTGTGTTGGCAGTCGGCGTTGATGCATTGTCTGTTCGATACAGGCATGAGATCACCGCATTCGCACTGCAAGTAAATTAGACTACTAGTCACAGACAGGACAAGGGGAGGGGACACCACATACACACACAATTAATATCATCTCAGTACGCTGGGAAGCGACTAGGTCCAAATCATTGCCCCTTTTTCTCTTGTGATTTGAAACTTCAGTGCGTGGCTTCTCAGCTTCGCTACTGCTCTGTGTATCGGGGTTGTTTGACGAAGAAGCAGACTCCGAAGATACGATGCTATCATCTTCTGAATAGTTAGCTCATAGCTTAATAACTCCAAAACGAAAAGGATAATTACCAAGGCTTATCCAGTGGCTGATATCTCTTTTCGTCTGGTTATTGCGACCCTGGAAATGATCATCGATATGGTTGTATCGTGCTATCCGAGCTTCTCCACCTTCAATTACATGCTGGCAGAATCCACACCAAAACCGAGTCTCAGAATTCCTCCCTATGCGACATGTCTCAAGCTTACGGTCTAAATATTCCTGTGCCTCGATATTGTGCGATGCACTAAGATGTTGTTTGAACAGGTCCCATCGGGAAAAGTTCTTCCCACAGGGCTCGGTAGGATTGTCCGCCTGCTTTTCATCACATATCCAGTGCTCCAGCATAACATGCTGACTGTTTTCATGACGTTTCCAGTCGTTCTTGCTACCAAAAGTCTTCTTGCAGTCTTTGAATGTACATCCATACGGTTTCAAATGCCGTTTTTCGTGTTTTCTAGAGGAGGGTTAGTTTGAATATATAGTCCAAAAGGAGAATGAGGCGAAAGCTAGAGAACAAATATATCCGATACCTTAATTCACAACGCCGACCAAATGGCTTTTTGCACTGAGGACAAACATGAGTTTGGGGGGCAATATCATTAGCCGCCTCCTGCCTGGCCATATCTGTTTCTTGGGAGTCATCCTTCTTCCGCCCAAATTTTTGAACTGCATCAAGCATACCCTTGTTTTGGATCAGCTCAAGTACCTTCAATAAAAGTTCGGGGTTCTTGTCTTGGATCTGCTCAAGTATCTTCAAAAAAAATTCGGGGTTCTTGTCTTGGATCAGCTCAAATATCTTCGATACGAATTCAGGGTCCTCGAGATTTGGCTTTTGTTGTCCACGATCCTTGGGTTCAGCGGAGACATCGCTTTTCTCGCTATCATCCATCAGCCTTTCCGGCTGTACGTTAGGCTCAAGGCTTCCAAGAGTTAGTTCGCTAGGACGAGCCCGAGGTTCGTCCGGCGCATCAGCCTGCTGGTGACTTAAAGTACTTGAGTCGTCAACCAATTCAGGACCCAAGATTTCAGGATGGAAGGTAGGTTCATCTTCCCTCAACTGCATAGCCTTTGTGGGTTCTAAGTCGCCGAGAGATGGACCAGGTTGGGAAGAAAGCGGACTGGGCATTTCCGTTTGGGTTTCAAATGGAGCGTCCTTGCCCTTCAAAAGTACTACTTGTGCTGTATTGCCATTATATTCATCTGGGCGGTCCTCGTTAAGCTCTATAACCGATGAGGCTCCCTCCACTTGAACTTCATTTGGTCCTTCTGGTGGGGTTGTGTCGTCGGATTTGTCAATGGCTCGGCCTTGAGACGATTCCCAGTTATCAGAGATATCGTTGCCATATATATCGGGAAATATATTTGACATGTTAATTTCGGAAGCTGCAGTATTCGGAGCTACGCTCGAAGTATCCTTAGGTAGAGCTTCTGGTCTAACAAAACAATTAGAACCCATCCCAAGCTTTTGTGTTCAATGATTCTATACCTGCACTTATACTGATCTAAGTCTTCATCTTTTAACAACTCAACTTTGTGAACACGCTTCATGTGGGCTCGGAAGTTGTCAGCACGAGGCCAGATTTTATCTTTATTCGCGCAAGGGCCGACCTGGCACCGGTAACGATCACCAACTGCGTCCTCTCCCGGGTGCAGGCTTCGTTTGTGTCTATCAAGATCGTTGGGAGTACTGAAGCCTTCACGGCGAGTACAGCCTTTCACAATGCACTTGAAAGGCTTATCATGTCTTTGTTTGTGCTTCCTAGTAATGGGATTTCAGTGCATATTCTATAGGGATTTAAAAACAGAAAAGAGGCCTAGGTGCTGAGTCTTACTTGAATTCAGACTTCGTCTTCGATACTTTACCGCATATCTCGCAGACCTTGCCCCCGTCGGGGGTGGCTTGGAGAGCAATGGCTGATTGGGGGGATGTCGACGGTGGTTGTGATTGAGACCAAGGAGTTTCTGCACTTATTCTGGACGCTATATCCTGGCTATGAGAAAGAAAGTTCGCATCACCTAACAGCTCTTGATTTCGATCAATGGGCTCGTTATAGACAGAGCTATTAGCAACGCTATGCTTAGCAGCATGGCTCCCGCCATATCCCGAATCAGAAGGTATTCCTGCGGGCGGGACTGTATCACATTCAGATGGATTATCCCGGTACAGGCCATAGAGCGGAAATTGAACATTCCGCAGGTTTCTTAGGAGAGATGAATTCCTAATATTGCCCGGGGAGGGCATCAATCCGGCAGGCGTCCAAGGACCATCATTCCTATGATACCATAAGGCCAGGCGGTTCTCAATCCTCCCGGGTGCAAAAGAGTCGGCCGGTTGCCGGCCAGTGGATAACGCTGCTATATTCACGGCCATGCGTTCCAAAAATCCATCCGGATGTTGGCCAAAATCAAGGGACACCATCCTAGCAGCTTGGACATGTCTTTCCATTGGAGTGTCCAAAGATTCAGGGGAATTCAAGGCTCCTTGGTCCGTCATCTTGAAGGGTATATATATGAGGTATGAGGACCTCTAGAACCGGTAGAGCTCCTTATGAAGAATATACAAATAAAAAGATGCCGAGAAAATGAAAAGGCGGAGCTCGTGTTAGCATACGAGTGTCAAGTCCTTCCAGGTAACGGCGCATATGGCGATCCGGAGCTAATGCGTCTGCGGTCTTAAATGATAAATCCTCCGAGGGACTTAATTATGAAGTAAGATTCAGATCTGGTTAATAATGCCCGGCAATAGGAAATATGTTCTCCATGTGATTTCACAGTAAGGGCTGCCTGGCTCTAGAAATGTAAGCATGCGGCTAAGCCAAGGCTTTCGCGCTCCTCAGCAGTGCGCGCGAATACCAAAGAATTGGTACCGGGGAAATCTGAGTACTATCAACGACTAACTAATAAGAGGAAATAGAACAACTGGTCGACGCCAAAAAGGGTAGGATCCTATATTTATATTCCTGGAACCTCGGGAGATTTGGTATCTGGTTTAAAAAATCCAAGACGGTTGGAGCTTAACTGATGTTCAGCAAACCAAATGTCCCGAGGCTTTGGCCGCTTGGGAAATGAGATTAGATTCAATTTTGGTAATCGCGGAAAGCTGGGCTAAAAGGTCGCAAGAGGGAAAAGAGAAAGGCGCTGAGAAAGGCGCTGAGAAAGGCGCGCAAACCCTTTGTCGATGGATGCGCCCGATGTCTAATTTAATAGTTGGTAGATAAAGATATGAGATGAAAGGAACGGAGATTGATGGAAAGGAAAATGAGAAGGTGGTGCGAAGCGAAGTAGGTAATATGAGGTGTAAGGCAACCTTACTCATATGTCATGTCCTTACCGAAATCTGTGGTACCGCCCCGAAAAGGAACCAAGTAGAAAAGTGAGGCGGACAAATGCATACATTTATTATTGCAATTGTAGACTGATACCTAACACCAGTGTACATGTATTACACTGATTGTGCTGAGTAAGGTAGATACCTATAAAGATACTAACTTTGTTCGCTTAATTCTGCTGGCTACGCAGGTATTTTCCTACATTCAATGTATTGTATTGTATTGTACAGCCACGGCCTTGTAAGTTGTCCTGCCTCTAGTCCTGCCTAAAGTCTTCTAAGGCTCCAAGGTTCTAGGCTCCAATGTACCTGAATTTCGGTGTACATGAGATTCGTGGTGTGGCTCCTATGGATCAGCTGCCTCTGAACAAGTGAGCACTGTGGCTAACACGTACCTAACCTAATTGGACAACACAATGTACAGTACAATACGTAAGTAGCGTACTCCGGTCTCCAGTCTCCAGTCTCCAAGATTCCAATTTATTTCCAGGCTACATGTAACGAACCCCATCCAAGTTATTTCAACATACAATATTAATAGGTAGAGTTATTGAGCCGCATTACTTAGTTGACCATTCACCACTAAGGAGTTAATGACATCTTAATATTCATATCAGGTACCTTAAGTACCTGTCCGTTATATATATTTTACTCATTACCTCTCCCATCACAGGCAATACTTACCCTTCGCAATAAGAATGCCTACTAGGTACGTACAATAGTACGCACGTATATAAAACGATGTCGGATCATTGCAGTAACGGCTACCTGGAAGTCTGAAGTTACCGGCCAGGCTTGTACAACGAAGCTATCAGTTATCCGATTCATCTTCGATCATACATAAGTTCTCTTGATCCCGTAGTTCCCCGGCGTGGCTTAATTCGTGCTAGATGCCATCGCTTCCGAGATCGTAATCTCGGTAGCGATCCGTTGCCGTACTTGAACGTACGTGTAGTAAATGGACTCATCTTCAGAACCCTCCCCCCAGATTATATGCCAAGATATAGTGGTTTGTTTGCTACAGTCTAACGCCGGGCCGCGCCGTAGTGGCCAACATTAGCGCCATATACCCATGGAGGTCCCGTCCAAAAGAGGTCTCGAGGCTTGACTCGTAGTGTAACGTCCAAGATCCCGAGCAATCCACCCGGCTGCAGTGCAGCTACTAGCCGTTTGCCAGGTCGTAGGGTTTCCGGATATTGTCATAATCGACGGCAGCAGACAGCTCGAAGCCAAGATCCTAAGATGGACGGATAAACGTGCCCCCTATCGTCTGTCTAGCAGTCTCTTTTCTCAAGCGTGAAGTTTCTGATAGAAATTCGTGTCGACCTCATCTTCTAGCTTTAATAGCTAAACTCATGGGAAAGTTTAATACTAGTTATCGCCGGTAATCTCCTAATATACAGGCCAAAGCGACTACAAGACTCTAGTTATAATATTAAATGCTGACCTAACTTTTTCTAGACGCAAGCAGTACCACACAATCTTGCTTTGACGTGTCGATCTTAAAGCAAAGAGAAATATGACAGATCAGAGTTACCGGGGCTTGATAATAAATAACAATAACGTCTATGTGAACAACCTATATGACTAATGCGAGTTTCCTCCTGTGGAGGCAACCTGCGTGAAATTCGGGCAGCTCAGATCTCGTCGTCGCAATTACAAGGGATCTTTCTCAGAGGCCACCATGATGTGTTTGCCCCTAGTCCTTGAGTTACTAAAATGGTTGGATGTCTTTTGGAAGAGAGCAAACATGACACCTATAAAGGAAAACTGCTGTCTCATAGTCCAAGGCTATGGGATTGACTATTATCATTTTCCGTTCGTTTGAAACTACAACAATATTACAATATTCTTTAGGTTAGGTACGAATGGAACGCTTCATTTGCAGGACCGCTTATTTAACTCTACGTAGCCTCACTCCTATATATTCACAGAAAAGTCCGACTTGAGTGAGTGCATTCTATCATCTCAAGGATATTTTTCTAGCATAGGAGGTAACTAACAACGACGCGTCGACTAACCCTCCAGAATCCACTTTCAAGCTGCAGACATGTGCGATTATGACGAATTCTTATTCGAATGCCAACACTCTGTCTGCCGGTTAAAATCTTACTGCCACTTTGCGCGTAACGACCCGAATCACATATGTATGGGGGTTAAGAAGCTTCGAGACTCATGGCTTCAGTCGGGACAGCTTTGCGAAGAATGCATTAGAAGCGGAAAGCGCTTCGTAGACGGAAGGATATGGGTCCCCTCGCAACGGCCACGGTGAACCTACACTGCAGCAAGGAAGATGGCCCAGATTACGCACGACGTTATCGCACGTCGGGGAGTTTTTGTATAACGTTATAGGAATAATGAGGAACGACCACCACGATCTAGAAAAAAGGGAACGGCTGCTCAAACGCGGTTCTGAGAGGGGTGCTATTTTAATCGCTTAGGTAGAGGATGAAGTGAGTCCGGAGATTTAGTATGTTGCTTACGAACCGTTACGAACTTTTGGCGAAGTGTTTCGAAAGGAGGGACAGCCATGCAGAGACAACTGTCTGTGAGACGTTTCTATACCATTGGGGACTTGCTTGCGAACTTGTCTTCCATTCATGTCTTTGGAAGCCGGTCTGAACAGTACAATGCATGAGAGGTATTCTAGGACTCAGTAACGTTCAAGATACAGGCATCAGGTTGCGAGGTGGATGTAACCGTGATATCCAATCGAAGTGTTTACAACCCCTTCCTAGCGAACTATTATCTGCTGTGTTCTTCCACCACGCGAACAGTAGCGATAATGCTACTTCAACCAGTAGTTGCCTAAGCATATCAAAGTCTTAATATTCAGGATTTCTGAAGACAAAATCTCAACAAGACTGACAAGACAGAAATCCGTACCAGTAGAGACCTTCGACCGGCCAAAAGAACATTCCCGACAGGAAATCATATTTTAGGTATTCTCCTGATCGGATATTAACCCTGTTGTAACTCTCTTGTTTCTATGGATCCATAGAGCGCATGATCATTGTAGCAGCATCTCAAAAATCTCGACATTAAGTAGGTCCAGGAGCAACTCCAACATCACCTTACCTACCTGGTACCTACCTAGGTACCTACCTCCTAATTAGGAGAATGTGCAGATGACGGAATGAACCCTGCTCGGATTGCATGTTGACACATTAAAAGCTTCTGCTGGGTGTGGACTATATCAGCATATACAAATATATGACTCAGGAAACAGATCCCAAGAATCTCTTAGTCTATTTGATGCGACTTACTTCAAAGGCAAAGTATTGCCTTCGATGAGAGAAGTCTAGGAGGTGGTTGGGGATCAGATCATAACAACATGAAAAACTCAGTAATTTGCCTTTATTTCATAGCTTCCTTTGTCTTTTTATCTGAAATAACAAGGTGCCAAAAATGCTAGAGAATAGGGCTGTTGAATTTACACAAGATGTCGTGTCTGCCTCCACCCCTTCTTCTACCTAGGTAGGTACCTAGACAGTACCGTTTCCTTCGTGCGACAGGCGCAAGTCTGCGCTTAAGAGTCTAGAACACATCTCTAGTTTCGTTAATTTTAGGAGCTTACCGGCCTCAGCGAGTCGATACATACATGAAATCTAAAGTAACTACATACCTGGTAGGTAAATGATTACTTTCACTCCGAAGTTAGCATCATTACCGTATTCCTAGATAAGGAGGAGCTTGATGTCTTCTAAGAAAGTTCTCGTAGGTATATTAGTCAATGTAACACAAAAGAAACGTGCCCGTGTTGGATTGAGTCAGTCAAATAAAGGCTAGTTGACGCTCTATTACTACAACTTCGTGCTGAACCCCCTCGAGAATTCTTGCGTCTTCCGATGGCCCTACTCGAGGTTTGTTGCGCCTTGAACAACACCAACGACATTATAACGATTCGAGAAGAAAGTGTTCCAGTCATCAAGGGTTTGCTTTTCCTTTTCATTCAGATCCTGCCATTCGGGCTTTACATCTTCTGGTTTTGTCGATGTCTTCGCTAACGCACGCGAGGCATCCTTTCCGGCAAAGACTGAACTAGTTAGCAAACATGCCACCTTTAGGTCATGCTATACAGGTGGCTTGGTAAGGCTGCAGCTCAACGTGGGACATAGGTGGTCGCCAGTTAATAGCCAGTGGGCAGCAAACAAGAGAAGACAAGCCTGCTACAAGTGTGTTGAAATCGGAGTTACACGCTGTGTGGCGTAGCTCTGGCATTACGGAACGAGATATTGTCACATACCATGATAAGAGCCCCCCTCTCGGTATGCCTTATTTGCACTGACATCGTAGACCTTGCCCTAGTAGTCTCATGTGAGATGATGTAACCTTGAGCAACAATACAAAACGGGCTGGTTCAAAGAGATCAAGACGTAGTGTTTTATAACGAGTATACATACTTTGATTGCCACATAAGCCTTCTGTCCCTCAGTGCCTAAGTTGAATATTAGCTGTAAGATCTCTATCTATACCTTAGGTTTGACAGCTAACCCACCGTCTGCTTTTGCTAGCTCTTCGGGAGAGATAGGGTCGTCCTTAGGAGGATCCAGGTTTACAGGAACCTTGGGTTCAAACTTGCCCGCCATTGCTTTAAAATTTGATAGCTAAATGGAGAGGACTCTATCGATGTTTGAGGCTAGAATGCGATCAATTACCGCAGATCCTTGATTATAGAAAGTGAGAAATCAATACTAAGAGGAGGGATTATTGGGATTGACTACACAGATGAAATGCGATGGAATGCGACGAGGAGCTCAATGTCGCAATTGGCCAATGCGCACTTATTAAACGTTTGCAGCCGAGGCACTTGTACCCATGTATCTCTTGCCATAGTACCTGGCGTAGCCAGTTCCTTGACAGCCAGACAGCCCGAGTGCCTGACTATTTGGCCGACAGCCAGCTGGTAGTATACGTCATCGGCTAGGTGATGTACTATGTATCATGTGGGAAGGAAACCTTACTCCAGTTAAAAAAATTATTACGTTACGGCAACACGAATATTTTAAACCGTACAATACATCAATAAGTCTGGAAGTGTAATATATCTACCTAGGTACCTTACACATGATGAAATGTGATTAACATATTGAAGCTATTGAATTTATATTTCCAATGGCAGCCTCTTATAAGGCCTGATCAACGAGAGAGATATAGATTGAATAAAACTTCAATCGACTTCCTATTATTCGGACTCTAGCGACTAATATTATAGTTGACAATTCGCCATGTTATCTGCATCGCGCACTCCTATCATAGCGCCTGCGCGCAGGTGCTTTTTCCATGCGCGATCTTCTCACCAGAAACGAATCGTGGAGTCTACTTCACTCGGAATACAATTACAGCGAGCCGGCATTTGCCCCTCCGAGGCGGCTCTAATTCGCAGTTTCCAGCAACGGCGACACCAGTCGTCTTCTCCGAATAAACCGAATTCCCAGCCCCCCCCCGTGCCAGACGCGAAGCTTCTCCTTCGCGCTCTGAGACAGAGTTTGAGTCTTCGTCCTCTAGTCAGCGCATTAAGGGGCCAAAGCCTTGGTTCCTTATATCGCCAAAGCCCGGAAGAGCTTGTTATCGCCATTATTCTGTAAGGGCCTCCTTGATATAACCTTGTTTGGATCACGCATATAACTAATGCTGTGGGCTTGTGTCAAGACTATGCGGCGTCGCCGGCATATCTGTCTACGTAATTTACGCATATTTCAATTACTTCCAATCCAAGCAGTTTACCCGATTCCCCCCGCCGATCGCGAAGTCTCTTCGTCGTGCGTTGTATTACAGCAACTATTCGCCAGACCCACCATTAGCCCTCAAGTACTACAAACGCGCGTTGGAACAATGTTCGCAACTTGGCCTTGACCCCTTCTCCGACGAAGTCATGGGGATTAAAATACAACTTGCCGCCTGGCTCGAAAAGATTGGTAGCTACAAGAATTCTATCGATGTGTTGGAGTCTCTCGTCAGAGACTGCAAAAGATGGCTTGAAGTACTGGATAAAAGCGTCCAAGACGGACTTGTTGACAGTTCTGGGAAGTTAGTTGGCTCTGCAAGTCCGCCGCCCCCGGCAGCACAAGAGACAGCACAAGAGGATACCGAGAAGAAGGAACCTGATACGAAGCCAGAGAATCTATGGGGCAAGCGAACGAGGATACTGGGGAAATTAGTTGGAATCAGTGTTAAGCTCGGGGAACTTTATTCCGACGAGCATGTTCTTCAAGGCGATTCCGCTGGCCAGCATTTAGTCTGGGCTGTTGAGACCGTTTTAAAAGAATTACAGAGGCGACAGTCTGAGGGTGTAAAAGAGGGCGAAGGCGATTGGATGACTCCAGAGCAAATCGGCGGCGCGCTCGAAGGTATGATAATCTTTATCGCCTTTTTGTACCATCTTAGCATGCCACATAGGATATCAACTGACCAAAACCAGCATTGGGAAATCATTACGAGTCCAAGTCCCAACACTATCTCGCAGCACCGCTCTTCCTGCAGGCAGTGTCACTTTCGCCCCAAAATAGCTGCCATACTGCCGTTCTAAGTAAGTGCAAACAAGACATACGCTACCGTTCCCTATTTTTTGCTTTACTTTACTGTTGTCAGCAAATATTGCTTTCTAGCTAACCAGGAGTTTTGCAAAAGTGAACAACCTAGCTATTTCTTTAGCACAGCAACCCGTTCAGACGCCAACGGAGACCGACCAGACTACTCAGGGCAGCGCATCCAACGTGACTACCCGTCCCACGCGATCTACTCTCTTAGCCAGTGCCCGCGCCTGGGCCTTGAAGGCTCAAGAGATGGCGCAGAAAGTACAAGGTGAAGACAGAACTGAAGAATGCGACGAAGCTTGTGCCGTGGCACTCTGCAATCTTGGAGATATCGCGGCCATGGCTGGTGATGCTGAGGAAGCCAGGCGTAGGTTTGAGGAGAGTCTAAGTTTAAGCAAAAGAATTGCGTTTGACCCCGGTGTCGCGCAAGCCCAGGATGGCCTTCGACGGTTATCTTAGGCGCGGTAACGCCAACCGGATCTACGTAGTCTAATATTTCACCACTCAACGAAGCTCTCGGTTTTTTTTGAGGCCGAGATCCCCCACAGCAAAGCTAATGGCAAAGCCAAGGAATGAGGTTATGGTAGATGCTACCAATGGGGGTTGTTTGCATAGCCAAATTAGGACACAGAATTTCCTACTACGACTGCGTAAAATATGGTTGGGACGAGAGTCGATGGCAAAATGGTTCCCAAACAACTTCAGTATTGAGTGATCTTCCGCAAATCGCTGCACTGCCGTGACGAATGCCGCAGCAAGTGAGTAGGACTCACTCACATAGTCGTAAGAGATCTACCACATAGCTTATCCCCGTATATGACAGTTACGGCGGACGCTAAGACGTGAACATAGATCCAAGCCCGATATTCGGAGATTCTTCATGCACCCTAGATGGCATCATTTTCACCATTCAAAATCGGCTACACCTACGGCAACGGGGCGGAAGCGGGATTAACCAAGAACTCGGAACTCGGTATCGCATAAGTTCGCATATATGCCGCACTCGGCTTCGGGTTTCGGTATAGCAAGCAGCCTGACCAACATGACGGCTTTGAATAGTAACCTCTTTATCACCGCGGGAATACAGCTCGAAAATGTATTGTATCGCTTGTATAAACTTGTACGTATGTGTGTGCCGGTATTCTTTCAGCTGAATCTAAATTCGCGGAATTAACCCTTCTAGATGAAGCCGGATACAAGTTTCTAGATGGATTCTACGCTCCACAATCATTTGAACTGTACACGATGGTACCGTGGATTAGCTTGCGCTGCCGTTTCCGCGACTAGCAATAGGACCGCGGGGAACGGCGGAGTGCATAACCGCTCATCTGTTAGGGCCCTAGACCAAACCGTACTATGTACAGCCAAACAGGGGAATGTTACCTATCCACCGGTATGATTGGACTCTCCGTCCTTTGCCTCAGTCATGAGTACAATCAGCTCGCCTGGACCTGCGCATCTTCGAACGGACAGACCCAAGTCTGGATTGCATAAAGGAAAGAGAACTGCTCAGTTATTATATGTGCAGCCTTAATCTGACATACATGATGCTTAAAGTTATTACTACGGATTCACCATCCATAATTCGTCCTAAGTGGTCAACCAATCTAGGGAGCCAGACGAGCGGTATCGTCTCTCATCCCCCCAACGTAAATCTGTATCTCTTTAAACCTCTTGGCAGGGTCAAGAGTTGGACGCTAAAGAACGGCTCCAACTTACCATTCGCCACGCATGAGTTACTTATCAATTACCAAACCAGTCAATGAAATACATGCCAAAGCGTGGGCTCTTTAAATTTTTAATTGGCTATGCGGATAACGCCGGTAGCAGCACGAAGGTCTACCCCAGTGGGTAGTTTAACCAAGGAAACGTACCTAGGTACCTTTCATATATTTTCCTTGACAATGGCGGGTCTCTAGGGTCGACTTTTCAAAAGCATTAAACGCTTTAAACGGCGGTTTCTATGTCAGGTACAAGACATACCGTAATATCGCTCTTCGGCGTTCACCGCTACCTAACACGAAGTTCCTGCTACCGGCCTACTGCCTAGCAACGCGGCTATTCGTGGTTAAGAAAAAGATATCTCTGGCCATGCTTATCAGACGCCGGCTTTGAGAACTTAGCCGCATGGATGAGAGTAGCGCCAGGTACAATGCAGACCTTCTGTATTTCACATTCCCATGGGTCCCAATCTAGAATCAGTACCCCAGAAACGCTCGAAGTGCATACTTGGCAACCAGGACAAGTAACGAAAGTAGAAGGTAGAAGTCCTCGGTTTCCGGGATGGACAATATTATTGCTGGCGATATCTGAGGTAAGATCCGGGAATAGGTAACCCTACCTAGTAAGTCGTCTCTATTTTTATTGAAGGCTTAGTCAATTGCCTCACTCAAGCGTTTGACCCCCCAACCCCAGCCCATCCTGGCCTAGCGCGGTCAAGCAGAGGGTAGCTGTCGATCTATACAAGCATTTTCCTATGCCAAGAGATCAACAAGCAGCACGCAGGTAGGTTTGGGTTATGTTACCCCTGGGGATATAATATTCTAGAGCTCGGGGCAGACATATCGCTCAATTGTTTCTCACGCCTACAATCCAAACGTTGATACTTAGGTGGAGAACTAAGATGAAATATCTTGGCATGTGGTTTTTTAGGTGCTTACAATAACGGATAGACATTGCATTTACTCAATCACCATATCGCCAAGGGGAGGAAGCCAAAAAGGCCAATCATGGTGGTGTCAACTGGTGCTGCTAATGACCACCGCGGTTACACTACGAGAAAGAATCCACCAGCAATATATCAAGTAAAAAATGATATAATTGTATCCCGAGGTGAACAATGCTTAGACCCCGGATTTTCGATCGTAGACCCTGGTTCGAACGCTGGGTCTAATTATTCCGCGAGAAAGCGTACGGCTCGGATCTTGTAAATCTTGAAAGATATACAACCCCATACTCCTTCGCGAATCCAAGCACCACCCACATCGAGGCCTAGATCTGGGATGTGGGGAAATGATAGACATACAGAGTAAGAGTTGCATAAAGCACTCATCTATACAAGATGTCTTGATCTACCTACGTCGTCGGAATATTGCTAGGGTAGCATTATCCGCTAAATAGATACCACATAGGTCCTGACGACATCCGCAACTTTGATAGTTTAATTGACGAGTCGGGTCTCACGCTGCATTTCCAACAGAGAGGATACAGTTTACCAAAGCAGGAGAGATTTGTGAGAGATCAGTAACTGCCCATCGGTAGTTGGAGTGCATCTAAATTCTAGTGGCGGATGTCACTACTCCTCCACATCCGCTACCTGGTGGGATGAATGATTCGCGATGTGGCGGGGCTGAGCGGCAAGGGCAGACATATTCAGTGTAGTCGGCAGCACATGAGACCCGATGCTAAAAGTAGAGTCGTTTGCGGATGTTCCGCAAGCACAACGATGCGGCAGGTTTTTGCGATCATGCGTCACAAATCGGATAGCTGCCTATGTCAAAAGACGTTAATATATTCTAGGTCAAAAAAGTTACATCTGCCATAACCGGGCATCTGAAGAACGACAGAAGGACAGGTAGAGAGAGTGCGAACTTATTCTGCAGTTCCTTCGGGTTTTACTCCGACAGGGGATGGTGGAGGGTGTGTGTGTGTTATACACTTGGGAATTATTGTCGTATTTTACAGCATACCAGCAGCATATAATATCAACATATATCAGTATACAACAAGCGAGCTAAGTTTAGTTTCTTACATACCTGACCTATCTAGGTAGGGTATGTAAGCTTTGCTTTCCGAATTTCCTGACTTCCTTACTTGCCTACCTCCGAATAATATCATTTCTCCTCCGAAGACCCCACCTACAGAAGACCGGCTTTCGGGTTCTTTTCCTATCGCTTTTTTGGGGGGGGGCGGTAACCCCCAGTTCCCATGTTCTGACTTACAGTAGCGTGGAGAGTTTCTCCCCCTATGCGGTTAGACAACCGCTTCTCCTGCACGTCCAGGGGTAGTATGGTACTTGCGAATACATGCCAAATCAAAATGGTTCTTTGCAGCAAATGTCAAGTTGACGGAGCGGCGCCTCGCCTACTGTTTACTGCCTACCTTATGTAGGTACTGGGGCCTCTGCAGATTGTCAGACTGGGTAAGACTTAACTTAGCTGGTCGTCTACGCATGACGCACGCCGAACTCTCCAGCTACAAGTCAGAGGCGAATAAGATATATCCTCGACGCCATCTCCTCGCCTGTTGCAAGTCAATTTCCACCCTCCTTACAATATAAACTCTTAGAGGCTTCAATCCCAAGCTCGTTGCATCTCAAACTTGAAACTAACAACCTAGTTAAAACCTATATTAACGACAAGGACATTAAAAAAGGGACTTACCCCTTCCCACAAAAGAGATGGATGAAATCGATGTTCCTACTGGTCTCGCATCTCCCTCCAAATCGATGGCGTATATATATGGTGATACCGACCTGTACCTCGATTCTGCAACCACTTCTTCCACAACGTCTAGTCCGACGGAATCACCGGTACGCATTTCACATATGGATTTGTTCCTAGTTGCTGCTAACCGTAATGTAGTATAACTTTACGTTCCAAGGGATGTATCCCAGTTCCGAGAATGCAGAAAGAGCTGGGGAAACAACTCAGCCAGACTCCCAACAACCTCCTTCTAAGCCTGCGGCAAAGAGGAAGCGCGAGAATAGATACAAAAACGCACCACCGTCCGTCTTATCTGTAAGCCGAGAAGGTCACTCTTAGTGTTGTGACTGCGAACCGAGCCACTAAGAGTTGTTTATTATAGCGCCGAAGAGCTCAGAATCGTGCGTCCCAGAGAGCCTATCGAGAACGCAAGGACCAGCGTATCAAAGACCTCGAAATCTTACTTGGTGAAGCCCAGAAAAAGAATGACGTCCTTAGCCTCGCCTACTCCAACTTACAAGCAGAGTATATTAGACTCAAGCGCGAACGAGAACGCGACCAAGAAGCAGCAGCACGATACACACAGGGCGCCCTAGTATACGACCCAACAATAGATACGGCTTCCAGCGATATGGATTTATTCCTCTACGGTGGTCCATCAGGTTTTCCCATGTGAGCCAGAGCGACCCGGATCATAGACGAACTAGATACCTCTCGTAATTTCTCCTACGTTTGGATCAAAACCAGTGCTGGCACACTACGACCGACCTATCGACCTTTTTCTCCAACCCTGGTGTACTTGGCCTAGAGAACGTCACAGGCAATGACTGCTATGATATTTCAGTGGTGCAAATACAACATCGGTGCCAGGCTAGTTTGATGACGTGGCGCCACCAGCTGGCACCATCACCGCATACGGTCAGCAAGAGCCTTAATTAAATGCGGATTTCATCCTCTTGACGAGGTGGATGAGTTCGAATTCTAAAGTGTTCGAATTTGCGCCTACCTCTTGGACCCATGCTCGCATCTCTCATTGGTGCTTTGAAACCAAACAAAAAAAAAAAAAGACAAAAAAAAACACCACTTGCCTCGCCTTTCGAGACCAGGCTGGGGCTATGGTCAAACAAATACCCAAGGACTAAGACCATACAATTATGTTTAGCCCAACCTTATATATAACAGCAGAAGCTTACATACTATGGTGATTTGATATTGGACAAGCTGGATGGAATGTGTACCGGACCTACCCTGTTGTATGGGACCGGCCTCTTTGAATAGGGTTCTTTTCGTTTGGCACAAGGTTTAGGTATGGCAAGGTGTCCCTTGTCACAACTGTACAATTCCGTGGTTATTGTTTCGATGATAGCCGGTCGAGGAGTTTAGGTATGTAGTTCCTCGTCCTCGGGAGTAGGAACCAAAAGAAATCATATAATACGGATAAAATCCTAAAGCGTTGTGTAGTATCTAAAGATGCGATGAGCGCTGGTAAAGCCACCAGCAAACAGCTTCTCCTATTATGCTAGGTAACTTAGGTACTTAGGTAGTTACCCGCCTATATACTTTACTTGTACCAACTGTATGGACGGTCGACGCTACTGTTGAATATACCTACCTGCCTAAATGATTTATGATCCATGTTCCCCCTCATGGTTTGGAAACGTCAACCTTAGACTGATAAGGTTTGCTCGAGTGTGTACTGCAGTTGAAGCTAATAGGTCGATTGATGTATGTCTCTCACTGCTACTGGAGGTTAAAACGTCTTAGGTCGAGGTGAAAAGACAAGTGGGGAGGATCGATGGGAAAGCGGGAGGATGATAGAAAATCCCCTATCATCCAAGCTGAAGTCATTAAAACCTCTAGTAATAACTACAGGAGGAGTGTGAGGGCTGTTATAGGCCTGGCATTAGTAGCGTCTCTAGTGGGTAGAAAGCTGATTATGATATTTGAGGTTTGCTTATCTCACTGGTATTTATCAAACATATCTGTAGTTGAAGAAGATAACTAGTAGACTGGAACCGTTAGAATTTACGATTACGTCGGCGTTATACATATTACCTAAACCAACAACAACGTTGTCGGGCCCCTTTTCTTAAATACCGTCTAGGTTACTTACCCCCCATATACTTGAGACTTATAGCACCACGCGCTTGAAAGCAGATCTTTTAGATATCTCGTAGGAAACATACCTGATATATTCCCCAAGTTTCACTCGACAGGAGCAAAGTGAGTATGCCACATCGGGCTACAATCACAGATGGATGAGAGAATATACCCACCTCGAACGGATAGATATCAGTCGCTCCTCTATATCTAAAGCCCTGGGTCTCATTCCTATATTTCCTCATTAGCATAACGTAAGGATCTAGAAGAATGATCTGATATATGTAGACTTGTTGATTGGTAGAAAATCACCCCTTTAATTTAGCTCATCATAAACAAGCTGTCGCCTTGGAATAAGATATAATTATATTTATTCATCCGGCGAATCTAAATTATTTATTTAGCTTGGTAAGTTTAAACGCTACACTATTGGTTCTGGAATTTTGTCTCACAGGCCTCTGCGCAACCCGGCGTTTGAGAAACAGCAGCGTCCTTGTACCAACATAAAAGGAGAACGAGTTGATGATTCGCACGCTCCAGAATCACTTATCAACACACAACATATATAGTCGCAGCCGAAACGAGAAGCACCTAATATATTCCATCAAAAGAGAAAGAAGAAGAAAAAAAGGTGGTAGGGGAAGAAGCGCCGGCAAAATGCAGATTGGAACATACCCCTATGCAAGAACGCTATACAATATAGCCACATTTGCCTATTCTGGATCTTGGCCGCTACGACATATGCATAGATACTTTATTTCATCACGTCCCATAGGTACCTCCTAATGAACATATAATAGTGGCCAGATTCGGCAGAGATCTTAAGACGGCGTTTCTCCGACTTTGACTGGAATATTGCTTCGCAGGAGAAAACATCCTCCAAGTCCTGAACTGATTCGACTCCGTATTATATATATAGGTATATGAAGGAACATTGAAAGTTGAAAGAGAGAAAAGAAGGATAATGTAATAAGAGATTCCCGATTCATCTTGAACTCCACACGAACACGGGTTTTCAAGCGACGGCGATGACAGGCTTCCAAAACGAATTCAAAGGCGTCACTCGCGGATCCGACCTCCTGCTACGATGGGACGTCAACGCGACCGCCTCCTACCCCCTCGTGGTCTACTCCCGACTCATCAACCAGACGAGCGAATCCGGCGCGAACTCCTTGGAAATTAACATTACCAGTAAGGAGATTCTTCGTGATACCTACCTACCTAATCTACCTACCTAGATTACCTCTTATAGGTACATACATGGGTCCCCAAAGATAATGAATCTCACACGTTGCGATCAACCTAGCTGGACTCAACGCGACTTCGTTCCTCTGGAAATGCGTCCCGTACCCGCTCCCGTATCTCGCAACGGCCCTGTACGAGGTCGAAGTGCGGCCTCAGAACCAAGTTGGGTCGAAGGGTGCGATCGCGTCTTCCTCGTATTTTACCGTTTCTTCCGAATCAGACGAGGAGGACAAAAACGAAAATGGCTTGATGAACGTAAGAATCTGAATTCTTTAACCCATTTGTTGCAGGTAGAGAGAGAGATGTTGATAAGAGAGAGAGAGAAATATATATAGCCTTTCAACGAAACGACGATACTGCCGTCGAGACCTACCAACCAACCGGTTTCCCAGGGCGGGGTCAATAATAACACGGCGATTGCGGCCGGGCTTGTAGTGCCGGTCTTCGTCATATTGGCCATCTTCGGATTCGTGTGGCTGCAACGGCGACAGAAGAAGATCATCGAAGAGAAGAGGAAACAGAGGGAAGATCTCTGCATCGATTAAGGCAATACTTTGCCTTGGGTTAGGTACCTATCTGTAGATAGGGCAAGATGGGGAACTTAGTAGTATGGTTCTATCGTCGGATGCGACTAAGGGGGATATTCAACTGCGTCCTTCAAGATCCCCAGACATGACGTCGGCATTCAAACCGTCGACTCTACGTCAACTACCGAATCCACAACGACGAGGCGAAAAGAAACATCCGATGGAGCCCCTATTCCCACAGGTGAACCACCCTGAAGATATTGTGGTATTACCTTAGGTACCTACCTACCTATGAATGAAAGTTCCGCTCTCGATACCTGCCAGAGCCGTGCAAACGCAATGAGTAAGACGCTGGGTCCCATCGATACGCCGATAAAAGGGGAATAGTTATCGAACCATTGTACAAGCTGATGCCTATGAATACGCTCAAGAAACTATATTTCTTTCCCTGGAAGGAACTGCGGAAATTGAGAGGGAATCGTGCGCCGCTCTGGATTTGTGGCGTGGGGTAATACCCAAGAGAAAAAGGGGGCGAAAGTCAGCCCTGAAGGAGCGAGCTTATGAAGCTACCTGCCTGGCAGCTTATATTGAAATAAGACCTAAATGGGAGATACTAGCTACTCATCGCGGTCGAGTTGAACCGGGAAGATACGAGGTATATAATTATATCTAGATCTTCTGTAGTTGATGCGTTCACTATCATCGGCTGCAATAAACGATTCAAGGAGCATTCTATCGATTAGGAAGAACTGAGCGGGTGGGTAGGTACTGACAGTTAAATGATCTGGCTGAGGTTGCATCTCTTTTGATCCTACTCCAAGTATATATAGCACTGATTTAATGATGAACAATTAATTTAGTTAAGCAGGTTGTCTACCCAATTGGGGGATTTTTTGCGCGAAAATGTCTAATCACGTAAGACGGGGCGTGAGAGTACAAAAAGAAGGCAAAAAAAAAAAAAAAAACCCGTCACAAATCCTCCGGCAATTATGTTAGTATTTGAGGCATTCGCTCCAACAGTTGCTCATTCTTAGGGTCTACACACGCTACGTGCGATAGTTGGTGTTCGACCCAGCGTTTTTGTAGCTATGGAATAAGCTCGAGCGTCGAGCTGGAGAAGTTGGAAGAGAGATGGCAGATCATTACCATAAGGGGTCGAAACCGAGATGCAAGGAACAACATTGATCGGCAGCAGGCCCAAACAACATACCATATCTAGTGTACCTAGAACCCGCTAAGAGATCTTGATAAAGGAGCCGATCACGACATTTAGCATCGTCAGTGCCCACTAAGAATACATATCAGCCGATTGGTTCCTAGACTCTATATAGTAGTAGACCCCGGGATAGCAACAGGTATAGTACTCGGATAGCATCGAGCTGGAAGATAGCTTTCATATGACGCTAGTTATAGACTGCACTGCTGTTTTAGTTTAGAGGTGGTCAATTCTTTTTGTTCACCAACCAGACAAGGGGGAAATGAGACGGGGGTGGTTCACCTGAAAACCAACTGGTGTTTCAAGAGAATTGATTTGCGAGGAGCGCACATGGAGACATGGGCACATCCTTAACATAGCCACCGAATCAATCAACGTGGGGTTCGCTTCAACTTCAGATAAGTGGATTTTTTAGCTCTCCCACAACCTGTAACAAGCCAAGTATTTCTTACCCGTATGTTCCTCCTATATAGTACGTACTATGACAGCCGCCAACCAAGCCAGGCTAATGCCATCTGGTAGCGCCCAGCCATGCTCGGCCATGCTCGGCCATTCGTGGCCATTCGTTTAACTTCCCCTTTCTGTGAACTTGTCATGTTATCCACCCAAGACCTATCACAGTCCAGAATCCCTCAAGAATCGGCCCCTTCCCAAGAGTGGAAGTTGGCCTCCGTAGCGAATAAATATAGTTTGAAGTAAAGCGGGATGCTACCTAATAGCAACGCCGTTCCTTTTGTCGAAACATGAGCCCACATTGATACCAGGAAGCTTACTTGCCTACGTACATAGTATGCGCAGCCCGGTAGCAATGCCGCTTGTCTGCAGCGTCCCAACTCCGCAGCTATTGGTCGTCGAAAAACTTCATGTTTCGATCCAGGGGGGGTTCTTATTTATCCCTTAGTTTTTTCTTAAATATGTCCGAACCGCTGTGTCGGGGCATAGGATGTCTTCCCCTTCTCTGACGTTGTTTTGCTGTTTGTAAGTTTCTAGAGTAGATAGCTCTTGACGTAGATACGTCATTCTTTATTCTTTCTTTCTTTGCTTCTATTCGGTCATTCATTCATTAATATATATACTTTACCATAGCCATAGCGATGGCTCCATCACTCTTTAAGACTGTCGGCACTGCTGCTGCTATTCTAGCTGCCCGTGCTGGTGCGACTGAGTCGTACCAAGTTACCGAAGTTTATAACTCGACTAACTTTCTTGATAAATTCGACTTCTTCACCGTTAGTATCCAAGTAAAAGAACTCTAGTCTTGTCCAGATCGTCTAACCTTCTGCTTAGGGAACTGACCCGACCGGTGGCTACGTTCAATACCAGAATCAGGCTAGTGCGCAGGACCTCGGCCTGATCAAGGTGCAAGATGATGAGATATACCTTGGTGTAGATCAGGCTGACGGCTATCAACCTAACGGTGGTGGGCGAAAGAGTGTTAGGTTGGAAAGTAAGAAAATCTACGACAAGGGTTTAGTTATCGCCGAGTTTTCTCACCTCCCTAAGCCCGTCTGTGGATCATGGCCCGCATTCGTAAGTTCCCTCTATACCTTACGTACCTAGGTAGGTAGCCAGCTAATCTCATTTATTAGTGGTTCTTTGGTGACCCGTGGCCGACCAAGGGTGAGATCGATCTCTATGAGAACTGGAACGATCTCAAATTCAACCGACACACTTCCCACGTTGACAAGCCTGACGTTGTTGGGGATTGTGTGCTTGTCGCAGATGACATGACGGCGAAGATCGACTCTCCCAACTGCTACGACTTCGCTGAAGGACAGGCAAACTTCCAAGGTTGCTCCGCTTCCGAGTTCTCCTCTACCTTCGGATCTGCCGATGGAGGTATCTTCGCCATGGAATGGACAGATGACTTCCTTAAGATTTGGGATTGGCCCCGTAACGAAGTCCCCGAGGACATTTCAAGCGGCCAGCCGTCTCCCAGTGATAAATGGGGCAAGCCATCCTACGTGATCAGCAACTGCAACGTCGACAAGGCCTTCAAGGAGATGAAGATGGTATTGAACATCAACTTCTGTGGTGTTGCTGGCCAGACTGGTCAGTGGGATACCGGCTGCGCGGCCTCGACTGGATTCGGTACCTGCCCTGAGTATGTTGCCGCGAAGGGCGGTGACTTCGAGTCTACCAACTTCAAGGTAAAGGATATCAAGATTTACGAGCTTAAGGAGGGCGAGGCTCCCAAGCCGTCGACGTCATCCACCGTGCCCAGCACATCTGCCGCACCTAGCTCCTCTTCGGCCGCTCCCACCGTTTCGACTACCTCCGAGGCGCCGGCCAGCTCTAGCGAGTCCCCAAAGACGACCTCCTCTGCTTCGGAAAGCAAGCCGACATCATCAGTCCCGGAGGACGACGATTCTTGCACCGACAAGAACGGCGAAACATCGACCGCGAGCGTGTCTGCCACCCCCACTACCAAGGAACCGGAAATGACCACCTCGACCATCTACTCGACTGATATCCACACAATTACATCGTGCGCTGACACAGTGACCAACTGCCCGGCTAAGGGTTACGTGACTACCAAGATCATTTCTGTCGGAACTACTGTCTGCCCTGTAACCAAGTCGGAGGCCGCTAAGACTGAGTCGACCCCGGCGCCGACGTCGACTTCCAGCGCCCCCTACACACACACTACTAGCGTAATCGAGATCACGAACGTCTACACGATCACCTCGTGCGCACCCACCGTCACCAACTGCCCCGTCGGCGCCGTCACCAGCGAGGTTACCGTAACGACGACCGTGTGTCCCGTCAGCGAGGGAAGCTCAAGCGCCAGCTCGACGCTTAGCGCTCCCAGCGCACCCGCGGAGAGCACCAGCTCGGAGGAGAAAAAGAAGTCGAAGACCAAGACCTCGGCCACGGAGACGGTCGCGACCGACACCCAGACCCCGGCCTCGACCCCGACCCCGGAGCCCACGACATCCAGCAGCAGCAAGGTTCCGTCGTCGGAAACCGAGACGCCTACCGGCAACGGAGGATACCCCGTCGTCACCCCGAGCACGCCTCCTTCCAGCACCATCAACCTCGGCTACAACGGAACCATAACCACGTCGTATACCGCCCCCGGCAGCGCGGCCTCGACCGGCTTCGCAGGCTGCACGGGACCCAACTGTGTTATCCCCGTCGCCGGCGGCGTCAAAACAAGCGCTAGCTTTACGCTTATGGGCATGGCGGCGTTCTTCTTCCTCGTCATATAGAGATTGCTTCTTTTTTTTTAGTAGTGGTGGGATGATATCAAGGACCGGAATCCTGTTTTTACCTTTAATACTGTAGATACTTTTTTTTTCCAGGTTGGTATAGATACCTTGTATAATGAGTTGGGAGATGTTAAAATAAAAAATACAGGCGCCTACCTAAAAGCTATTATCGTATTATACGATTATACGATTTAACAATTTATACTCATACCTGCTGGCTGGTTGTATGTCCTTCTATGTTTGTATTGTGATATTGGTACCTTGCATATGCGGTTAGTTTCATAAAGATGTTTGTCCGACAGGTTGAATAGGTATTTCGTCAGTGGCAGGTGATAGCGACGTATGTTACACGAGATATATATAAGTCCCGAAGGTCGATCTACAAAAGGACCAGTCCAAAATTGTAGGTATAATATGCCTTAACCTAGGTACCTAGGTAGCACCTGCAGTCCAGTGAATAGAGTTTCAAGTCCCATTCTAATTACCTCTAACCCCGGATTTACTGGCCTTGGCATTTACGACAATAATTGACGTAATGAGCTCCCCTCTTAATTCAAAATTCAACTTTCAAAAACTTCACAACTTTATTGAACTTTCGACTTGGCTTGTCTTCTACCTTGCAACGCGCGCGCAAGCGCACACCTCACCATGCAGTCGCGTCGGTTCTTACGGCCTTTATGGCGCTCCTTAACCATAAGGTCCTTTCCTCGACCTTCCGCGACCTCCTCTCCTCTCCGCCCTTTCCAACAAAATCGACCCTTCTCCCCTACTTGCTTCCGAAAGAATAACTGGCCACGCTCTCCTCACGAGACACGCAACTATAACATCGATCCTCGCTACCGGCTCTCCCAGGCCAAGCCCCTCATAACTACCGATCGACTTAGACGAGTCGCCCGTTCCCCGAGCACCCACACCATCGTCGTCCTCTCCATCGCCGCCGCCGTGGCGTTCTACTTCAGCAACATCCAGACCGTCCCGGTGTCTGGCCGCCGCCGCTTCAATTGCTTCAGCGAGGAGTCGGTGGAGGCGGCGAGCGAAGCGCAGGTCAAGAGACTCATATGGGAGGTGGAGCGTTCCGGAGGGCGTTTCCTAAGCGATTGGGATCCGCGCGTGGCCATGGTGAAGCGCGTCATGAGGAAGTTGATAGCCGCGTCGGGCACGGAAAATTACGATTGGCAGATCTGGGTGATTGACGATCCCCGTACGTGAAAAAGCCTCGGAACTTACCTACCTGCCTAGGTACCTACCTATAAGTACCTATCTCGACGGATATACATGATGCGAGGCAAGATAGGCCAGATAACGCTAACAGCCATTAGGCTCCGTGAATGCGTTTGTTCTTCCTGGCGGAAAGGTCTTCGTGTTCAGCGGCTTGATACCGATTGCTAGGAACGAGCACGGCCTCGCGACGGTGCTTGGCCACGAGATCGCTCACAATCTCGCCCAGCACACGGCCGAGCGCATGTCGGGAGACATTGGGATAAATATCTTCCTCTACTCTCTTATATTCCTTACGGGCGGCTTAGCCATATTAGGCACACACTTCATCGGAAGCACGGTTCTGGATCTCCTATTTTCGAGACCCATGGGCCGCGTACAGGAGAGCGAGGCCGACTACATCGGCTTGATGATGATGGCGGAGGCTTGCTACGATCCGCGCGAAGCCGTCCGCTTCTGGAAGCGGATGGAGAGAGCACAACAGGAAGAACCGCCTGAATGGCTAAGTACTCATCCTTCCGTATGCATATGATATCCCATAGAGCAGAGCGAGTCCCACTGGTCAGGTTGACTAACAACGCACAGAGCTCCAACCGAATACAGAAGATAGAGGAATGGTTGCCTACTGCTTTAGAAAGGAGGCAGCAGAGCGATTGCAAGGGAACCTCGACATTTGCAGACATGTTTAAAGGGGCTATGAGACAGGGTACAGTTATAGAGCAGAGGGTATACTAGCTGAGACCAAAGGTGAGAGAGGTTAAAGGGTTAAAGACTTAGAATACTAAGCAGAGATATACAATAACTAGGTACGCTACGCCCGGGTTCTTAGGATTTAACAGTATAACAGGTAGTGATAGCCTGTAGCGTACGAAGAGAGCTTTAGTCCCAGTAGGTACGCTCTATCGTTAAAAGACGAATTTATATTTACCTATAAACAACTCTTGAGTGAATACGAAGACAGATCGATCACAAGTATCGTTCTGTACCTAGGTACCTAGGTAAGTAAAGGTACACGATGAGATCCACCAAGGCCTCTATTCCGGAAACACATTAGTGCTCGTCATTCCACTTCCGGGGCGGTAAGGCAAAATGTACCCGAGTCTTACAGCGCACCAATAGCGTCGAAGGTAATTGATCGAACCCCTGCTTAATCCGTACCCTTGGAGGATGTTGTGCCGAGGTTCTTTTTTTGAATCGATTAAATCGCAGCGGGAATGTCGCGATAAGTTGGCTTTCTTCTCAACAGTCATTTATTACACGAAGTTCCTTATTCACTTCAACACGTATTTTTTGCTTTCGACCATAAATACCTGAATATCGCATCAGCCGGACATAATAACATTTCCTTACGTCAACTACCTACCTGCATAGCCGAGTTCTTCCCAGTCCAGCATCGCATCGAATTACATACCTTAGGTACCTACGTATATCGTATACCTAATCCACCATGTCGAAGACATTCACAGCCAAAGATGTTGCCGAACACAAGGATGAGCAGACCGGCATGTATATAATCGTAGACAGCGGCGTCTACGATATAACAAGTGAGAGATTATCTTCCTTTTTTTCCCCTTCCCCATCTGACTTCCATCTATCTTACTCCGTAACACACTACCTCTTAGGTTTGACTAACCACAATCCCCCCTCCCACCGCAGATTTCCTCGACGAGCACCCGGGCGGAGCAAAGATCCTCAAGCGTATGGCTGGTAAGAATGCGACGAAGCAGTTCTGGAAATACCACGGGAAAACCGTCCTAGAGAAATACGGGGGTAAACTGAAGGTTGGGGAGTTGGCGGAGACGGCGAAGTTATAAGATGTGGTTAGTGCCCGGGGAGTTACTTGTATACCAGTTAAACCAGCAAAGTTGTGAATCGCTCTTGTGTTGGTTGGCGTTACGACGATGCAGATCATATCCGCGAATCTACTACCTGCAATTGATTTTAAAGATACTCATTATTCTAGCCTCAGTCTCTACCTTACGGCGCTACGGGTTTGGTTATCATTTGTTAAATATCCGTGAAAGTTGTTATAAGGTAGGCAAGTATAGGTTTATATTCATGATAGCTATAGTTCATATACCCCTCTGTATCTATACCCAATTCTGAATCATAACTCTTAAACCCAAACTATCTTCATACGGCGCTATCGTTATGAGATTCGATGTCTTCCCTCGTAGTCTGATATGACTGGCTCTAACGTCGGTCCGTTTTGGGTCTCTGAAGTGGAATTGTAAATATCGTAACGCCTGGCCATACCAGCAGTAAAAGTCTGAAGTTCCTAGTACACAAGGTGTATTCCCATGTATTGCCGCGTTCACCTAGAAAACAACATTAGGTGTTTTTGAAAGTCCGATGTTTGCGGTGGGACGATTTGGCATAATCCAAATAATTGAGCTATTCGCAATGTATCTCCTCCATAACCTAGCCGTACTGACCCCTTCGGAATATATTATGATGGGCATGGCACCACGTAGATAGTTAAAGCTTGACAGCCTCATTTGGCGTTTTCCACTTATACTGTACCTAATTGATGAAGGCTACTGGCCATAAAGCATCACCATCAACGTCGAGAAAAGGCTTTGAATGAGAGTGCCAGCGCCGACTACAGGTATTTGAGAATAGAATTCCAAATTCATGACGAACGGTAAATACACCTTCTTCACTTGGCACCTATGCGAGAATTGGAAAGATTCAATTGGTACCTACATCAGGAACGAGGATCCGGTTCCTCGCTAAATTATGTACATACTATGTAGTAGCGTGCCAACTCTGCAACTTGGCCCTATCCCAGGGATCTACCTAGTTTAGGTTGGATTAACGTTTTGCCTAGAAATTTTAGTTTCCACCTAGGGTACGGGAATTGTTTATGTTGAATCAGAGGTGTGTTGTTCCCTTGGTTTAGGTACGTACTTTAACTTCTTATACCTACGATTACCTGTAGCAAGTTAAATAGGGGTCATTGACAAATATTAATAATACCTTGGTAAAGACACGTTGGTAAAGCCTCAGAATCTTTAATAGGTATGCCTCACTGTTACTAGTTATATATAATTGTCTTGAGATGTTTCTCATATCCTTGCAAAGTAAACAGAAATATTCCCAAGAAAGGAATGCTCCACAACGGCGCCGGGTTCAACGATGCGCGATTGAAATTGAAATTTCCAACGGGCTCGCGTTATGGTTTAGTACGGTGCTATCTATCAGCAGGTACCCTTATCTGGATTCTGCTTGCCACGGACCATTGACGCGTCTCTGCGTCGTCTTCTTAAATGTCTGTTCTGTCACTAGATCGTTTGTAAGTTTGGCTCCATCGACGATTTAAATCTTGGCTTTGCCAGGATCTCTCTGTAGTACCGTAGTAATATGGTACTAGGTAGGTATCGTACCTAAACTTGAAGGTCTTAATGTACCGAGGTGTTGTATAAGTCGTAAGACAACTCGATAAGCTGCTCTTAAAAAGGTAACTGTCTGAATGGCTTTAGGTAGTAAATTCACGCATTGCCACTACGTACTGCAGAGTAACAGTAGGGTACTTGCTCTCGCTAGGTATATCGCATACATAGTTCCTGCCGACAACGACAAGGTACCTATCACTATCGCATGACTGGTGTACTACTAAAATGGTTTAGGCCATCGCAAGCCGGACGCGGTCTAGTGCTGGCCGGTCGCCCTGCAAGCCTGACATCACCGCACTTGGTTCATAAACAACGGTTTAGTGACTCCACATCTCTTCTTTTCGACATTCTCCATCCGTAATTCCAAGTTCCTAAATCCTACGATACCGCCCTTCTCCAGAATCCACATCCCATCGGTTTCCCTCAACGCCGAGGATCTCCGCAACAATTCGCAGAGAGTCGTCTAGACAGTGGAGAACGAGTACTCACTGAGGCTGTAAGTAATTATTCCCTTTTCCCTTTTCAATTGATATTTTTTAATGAGCATACAACTGGCATCTCGTCATCGCGTGGCTAGCTCGGGTTTACTCGCGAGCTCAGACCCTTCGCCGCCTTTCCCATTCCCCATTGCGCCGATCAGATGTTCCTTAGCCATACCTAATTCTGCCAATTTGCGGCATTACAATAAATACAGCCTATCCACTCAGTGGATCCGGTAACCCCGGTGCCTGTAGACCAACCTACAAAATCGCGCAGAGCTTCGAGCCGCCCTGGCTCCTCTTCTGCACGCTTACAGGCTTACCGAGTTGCCGCCCCGGACAAGCTTTTTTTTTTTCTGCTGCCCTCGTCTCCAGGTCTAACGCCGAAAGCTCATATTATTTTTCCTTTTTGACCTGGATCTTTCCCACCTTTTTTTAACTTATTATTTCTGCTCTTTTTCTTCCCTCAACTCACTTGTCCTTGTGGAAATCTTCTCACTCGATCCTATCCAAGGGCCTGTGTTGTTCGCAGATTTAGCTTCTCTGACCAGTCAAACAACAGTTAAGCTCATCCACCACCACCACCAAGTCTATCATCTCCACTCCGCATAACAACCACAGAGTCACCTTCCGACCGCCTAAGAGGTAAGTTCGCATTTTTGTGAAAAATCAACTGGATGCTTCAAGAGAGGCCTGCCAGCAGCAGTCACCACCACCCAGCCCAGCAACTTCAAAGCATGTCACTATTTCATTCGCGTTACCGAATTTCGCCCGAGAGAGCTTTGCGATCCCGAGTCAGATTTATTCGATCCCAATGAATTGTTACACATGCGCCTTTTTGTATCTCACCGTGACGCGGGAATTTCATGTCTGAGGATCGGTCTGTCTCGGTCAGGTTGTTCAATTGGGTCGACTTGCTGCTTCCATTGATACATCGTTGGACTTGGAACAAGACAGGACTAACTCGGTATACTAGTTTGTCGACATGCCTGCTATCAGCAACGCCGTTGTCGCTCGCGACACCCTCAACCACATTGTCCGTCGTGAAAACTGGGCTGTATGTGAACCAATCCTTGTCATTTCCGGCTTAGCCGTCGATTGCGTTTAAGCAAGATGGCTTTGAAGAGTAATGACATTTGTCACTAGAACTTACTAACTTCCAACAGCAACAAGAACCTGGCGTTATCGTCGTCTTTTGCATTGTTTTCGTCGTCGGTGTTGGTCTAGTCGGTCTATTCATATCGAAGGCTATTTCCAAGCGAAGAGCAAAGAAGGCCGCTCTCCCCTCGTAAAGGGCTATTAATGAAGAGGATGAGGGTGAGGTCTAGGGGAAAGGGAGAAGGTGTTGGCAGAAATGACGGAACGAGACATCAGTAATGTGTTACATATTTCGATTCGACAACCCGTCCGTACTTCCTGAATATGGCGTATCGTATTCGAGGAACTGGGGGACCTGAAGTTGGTGGTCCGAGAGAGTATTAGCATGTCTTGCGTTACATGCTATACACATACCACTTAATGAGCTCTTATCAAGAGATGTTAGTCTCGATGGAGTCCAAATACTCATAATTTCTCTAATGACAATCAGTTTAAGCACACCTGGTTCAGACCATGAATGCATGATTGACGCTCTTTATTTGGCCTCAATTATATGAGCGTGATCCTTTATCTACAAGTCCTCTGCACCACCTCTATCGGAATTCCCTAGATGCCTACCTAATGTACCCAGGTTCCTTGCAAACAATTACAATCCAAAAGGTGTAAAGAACATGCAGGGTCTGCAGGGCCTGCAGGCATCAGTAGAGTTCCATCTTCTCCGGATGAATTAGGCCATTAGCCGGCTACGTGCGTGTTAGTGTCGCCTCTCATGTGCCTGGACAACCTTGTAAAACTTGAGCAGGGAAAATGAATACTTACCGCAGAAAACTGTCTTAACTTCACTCCAGCATTTCTAAAGATCTCGGCCGTCTCGGTATCCATGCTATATCCTTGACTGTATACTACCTCGGTAATACCGACCTGCACGATTTTTATACTGCATGTCAAGCACGGACACGTGTTACAGTACAGAAGGCTTCCGTCGCGAATCCTCTCGCGGCCGGCTTCCAACAGGGCGTTTTCCTCTGCATGCAGGCAGAGGCAGGTGGACAGCGCGGCGCCGCTGCTCTCGCCCGAGTTACACCGCGGACAGCCGCCTTCGCCGCAGTTGCGCAAGTGGCGCGGGGTGCCGTTGTAGCCCGTGCTGATGACGTGATGCTTGGAATCGACGAGCACGCAGCCCACGGCGCGCTTCATGCAGTTGCACCGCTGCGCGGCCAGGGACGCCAGAGCCATAAAGTAGCTGTCCCAGCTCGGGCGCAGGCGGTCCGGGTTCGTCAGGTCCAGCTTGGCCAGCGTGGCGTACAGGTGCGCGAGGTCCGACGACGTGTTCAGCAGCCGGATCGCGGCCCGCGACATCAGCGGGAGGACGCCGTGCGACGCGTCGTAGAGGTGCCGGTCCGACTGCGATACAAACTCCTCCAGGCTGATGGGCTCTCGGCCTTCCGCCCCCTGCTGCTGCTGCTGCCGCTCGCTATCTCGCTGCCGGTAGCGCTGCCACCGCACGGTGAGCGGTGCGTCGACGCTGATCAGGATGAAGAACGGCCGTCTACTCAGGCTTTCGAAGACGGCTTCGTCGTGGACGTCGGTTGTGACCCAGCGCGAGCGCCATCGCTTCGTTACGAAGTCCAGGAGAGCAGCGGTCGTTGAGAAAGTATAAGATGCAGCAGATGTCTGTTTCCGAGATAGAGCAAGACCGTTCGTAGAAGCATCAGAACTGGTCAGGTCTGCATCAGAATCCGAAGTACCCGAATGAATAATATCAGCCTTGGATGATGATGATGATGATGCTGCTGATAGGTTTAAATGTAGCTTTTTAAAGCCGTGGTGATCTATCAGGTATTGAGCCACGGTGCTCTTACCAGCGCATTTTGCTGTGGTTTGTTTTTTCTATGTGAGTGAGAGGTTTCAGAGAAAGCGAAAAAAATAAATATTTGGAGATTCTTACCGCCACAAATTCCTATCAGCATCTCTTATGGAAGAGCACGATGAGTTTTCTGAGTGAGGTAATGTATAAGTGAAGTTTATACAAGCAAGACACTACCTACCTTAGTAGGTAGGTACATCTAAACTGAAGTTGGGCAATTTCTTCCCAATGTATTGTACCTAACCTAAGGTACCAGTATGTCTAGAGCTACTAAAAGCTGTAGTGGAATGGAGCCTTCCAACGCCGCATCCACTGAAAGACGCGTCTTGTCGCGTGGGAGAAAGGAGAAAGAAAAGGCCACTACCGGGATTTAGCCGACTAGTTGAGGTATGTTAGGTACCTAAACTAATGTATCTCAATACTTCCTATAGATCCGCACTCATTAAGCAGGAAACCATTATGGCTTAGGTATGAATGTGCACATCTTGTGCATGAATTAGGGTCGATGAAAGTGCGGTGCCAAGAAGAGCCTAGAAAGAAAGAAGCACCTGCTGCAACTATCAGTCCAGCCCATCTGTTCAGGGTGTTCAGGTGTTCAGGTGCCCCTGGCAGGCTGGAAGGTCACGTCAGCGTCAGCGGGGAACCTTAATATTTGTGTTTGCAGCCCTACAATTTATTTACATCAGCAACAGCTCACAGCCCATGGTCACGCCGTAGTTCTTGGGATGTACTATGATGTAGCCATGTGATCTCTATCTGCATAGTAATTAATACCTAAGTATTAATAAAAAAAAAAGAAGCACATTATTACTCTTAGACATAGTACGTAAGCAATAGCTATTATTGTTAACTAGTAGCTGCTAATTATGTATTAGTTGCTGTATCGCCATATACCTTCTTTTTTATTTTTTTATTTTTTATTTTTTATTTTTTTTAGGTTTCTAATCCGAACGGCAGGTTTGATCTCCATCCTATGTCATCCATCCCCTTGGAAACTTCAACCCACTTACTATCAAGGACGTCGCCCCGCTCTCACCTACTTAGACCCTACTTGATTTGAATCTACCTCATACGTCGTCTTTCAACACATAGCGAAACCAACACTACCATCTTCAAACTTGTGATATCTGATACATCATTGGTTTTGTAGTAATCCATCGCACTCAGATAATTCCCGCAACGCGGCTTAGGCGCATTTCCCGAAGCGCCCTTGCATTTATCACCACCTTCACTACCACCACGCCGCCATCTTGGCTATTGCCTGTCGACGTCATGGCAGCACTCAAATTTGCGCCCTTCGCGTCCGAGATTGAGCTGCCTTTTTACTCGGCTTTATTTGCCTCCAAGTTAGACCATGACAAGCTCAGTGATTCTGCACGACCAGTTTTGGGGCTATATGAGCCTCGCCCCGGCACTGCACCGGACGACAGCGTGAAGATGCAGATTCTTGCCAGTGCCTTGACCAGTAACAGGTATATTTGTGTTTTTCTTTGTACCATATATCACAGAGTTATACCTAGGTTCTCACAGCTAATCTCGTTGCCCGCAGCGTACCGTTAAATGCCGTAAGGGCAGAAGGCATCATCCGAAACACAAACACCTTGGAAGCCTTTAAGCAAGTAGATAAGACTGAGATGATCCATAAGGCCGCACGCCAGGTAAGTACTCCCCGGTCAATTATTTGGCCCTCGCTAAGCCGATATTGATGCAAATAATATTAGATATGGGATGCGATCAAAGATGGAACCATCTATTCCGTCCCTTCGCTCCTCTCTCACTACATTATACTTTCTTACGCGGATCTCAAGAAGTATCGTATGACTTATTGGTTTGGATTTCCAACCTTGCATTCAGATCCCCAATGGAAACGTACCGGTGATATCCTTCGCTTCACTGCAGATGAAGCCACTGCCTTGGTCGAGCGAGTAGGGACTTGGCGATATTATGTTGACTCTAGAGAGCATGGTTTTTTCCTCGCTAAAAAGGTTCGGGGACATAAGAAGACTCACCTCCAGCCCCCGCCTGAAGCACCGATGGAGGATATCGGGTACACATGGGAAGTTGGATCACTTCGCGAGTTCGAGACGGGTTTCTTCCGAGGCGTTCGCGAAGAAGACAAATATGTGGCATTTGTTGACCCCTCCACCTACGAAGAGTATCCAGCATGGCCTCTACGAAATCTGTTGGTCCTTGTGAGACAAAGATTTCATCTAACCAACGTTCAAATTCTCTGCTACCGAGACATACATGCACGAAGACACGAAGCTCGCAGTATAGTTCTTCCTCTTACTATGGATCCCGTAGAAAACATAGAAACAACCGAAATGCCCAAGGCTACCGGTTGGGAGCGAAATCCAGCAGGGAAGTTAATGGCGAGGTCTGTAAGCCTGGCGGAATCTATGGACCCTACTCGATTGGCAGACCAGTCAGTTGACCTTAACCTCAAACTGATGAAATGGCGAATTTCACCGAATCTCAATCTCGACATCATCAAAAATACCAAGTGCCTTCTTCTTGGAGCTGGTACGCTCGGTAGCTACGTATCAAGAAACCTTATGGGATGGGGTGTGCGCAAGATCACATTTGTTGACTACGGTGCAGTGTCCTTCTCCAACCCCGTGAGGCAGCCATTATTCACCTATAATGATTGCTTAAAAGGAGGCGCTCCAAAGGCAACTCGGGCAGCCGAGGTGCTGAAGGAGATTTACCCCGGTGTTGACAGCAAGGGCCATGTCCTTTCGGTTCCTATGCTTGGCCATCCCATAGTTGGGAAGACCCAGGCAGACTTTGAACAACTGAAATCCCTCATCGATGAACACGACGCAATATTCCTTTTAATGGATAGTAGAGAGTCGAGATGGCTCCCTACAGTAATGGGCAAGGCCGCCGGAAAGATTGTCATGAACGCGGCTCTAGGCTTCGATACCTACGTAGTCATGAGACATGGTGCTGAACCCAAGGATGGTAGCGAGGAAACATTGGGTTGTTACTTCTGCAACGATGTTGTAGCCCCTGGAGACGTTAGTTACCTGATTGGAATTCTCTTTCCCAGCTAACTCTTGAATAGTCGCAAAAAGACTTGACTCTTGACCAGCAGTGCACAGTTACACGACCCGGCATTGCCGCGATCGCTTCAGCACTCCTCGTTGAGCTTCTGACAAGCCTCCTGCAACACCCTCTAGGCCACCATGCTCCAGCCCCCGTAACCGGTCCGTCATCAGGGACCTCTGAAAGCAATCCTGGTGACGAACATGCTCTCGGAATAGTGCCACATCAAATTCGTGGGTTTCTACACAACTTCCAAAGTATCAACATTAAAGGTCACTCGTACCCGTGCTGCAGTGCGTGTAGCAGGCCGATCATCTCCGCCTACAGAACCCAAGGATGGGATTTTGTCAAGCGTGCACTCGAAGACAAGGAATACGTAGCCGAGCTCAGCGGCCTCGCTGAAGTGCAGCGGAAGGCCGAGGCAATGGCTGATGAAGTAGACTGGGAGGAAGAGGAGGAGGGCGAAAAGGAGGGTGATGACGAAGGGGTGCTTGTATAGAATCTTCTCTTTCACATTCATCACGGTCGCCGTGCACGCCTAAGAAAGACACGGACCGATCGTTTCAAGTTTTGGAAGTGGCCTCGATGGTCTAAGATTAGGTGGAATGATAGCCTTCCATCGAGCGACTCTCGAGGATCTTCGATTCGAGTGGCACCACACAGAATATCCTATGGATCGAGCACATCTTCGTCTGAGGAAGTCGAGATATTCGGTCCGAGGTTGGTGCGGCTGCATGGCAGCTCAGATGGTACGGCTGACACGATTATATCCATTGGGGAGATCCTTAAGGAAGGTCCACCCGTGGTGTGATAGGGGACAGGCTTCGTGGGTTATGTTTTACGAGGAACCATCTGTATAACTGATGACCCGCTAAACTCTAGAAATAGGATAGGCGTTATTTGAAACGCTGGAGTAAAGGAACCGGAAGGCCCCGAGGAAGTTCGGTCTAGGTCCGGTCACACCCGAGTGAATTCGGAGGTTTCTTCAGGTTTGCAAAGCTGTTAGAAGTAGGGCGGTTAGCATGATACTATACTCATAGAGAGGAACCATGCAAAATTTAGGGTAATTCTTAGTTATATGAGGCTAGGATCGAACTAGGAGTTCATAATAACCTCTTAGGTGTGATATCGAAAGCGGCTGTTAGGACCCGACCGCCTATGTAAGGTCGGGTTATCCATGGTAACTTGACTCCATACTATCTATCTAGCAAGCCTTAGGTACGGATGATCGAAGCCAACAAGATAAGGAAACTAACCTCGCTACAGCGGCAGTTTAAGGGGGGGATGTAAAGCAAATGACTCGATAAACACATTTATTAGTTCATTCTACGAAGCTTGGTTCAAATTTAGCTAGGGTCGTAGCCTGAGTTTCTTAGGAGGTACCTAACCTAAGATAATAGAGTTCAGTCCGGTGAGTAAAGTCAGTTTTAGGAACTTCCACAGGTGAGGGATGTGGCACATTTATTCACGCTGCTTTCTCGACAATCTACCTAGGTGGGTAAATAAGATATGAAACATCTAGGTTGTCCATTGCCGGAATGGCTGTCAAGTTCACAACAATTTTAGGAGAGCTTACCTTTTTGACTGTTAGAGAAAAGAGGTCTACAATTATCTATAAGGCATGAAGCTGAGGAGCTACTGAATATAAACATGGTTTCAAAGCTATACTTACCTAGGGACCTACCTAAGCTATAGAGTCATACGCTTCAGTTGTTGGTTGTATGCTTTTACCCCTGGACTATACTCCTGTCGTCCGTAGAGAGTTGTTGAGCCTGCTACCCAAGCTACTCCACAACCCCAGACGAAGCCGTTTCTCTGATACTGATCGTTGAACTTGGACATGCCGCGCAACCCACTTTCGGTCTAGAGTCCGTTATGGCATGGTTTTTCCGCAGGGAAGTTGCTAGTTGACTGAGTCATTGAAACTCCACGTGCAAATGTTCAACTGATAACGGGGAGACTCGACTCGACGGTCCGGGGGGATGTTGCAGGCACAACGAGTTCGACAAACTACTAGGTAGCAACAAGCCCCAATACATACCTACATCCATCTCCGCCACAATCTATCTCACGGGATACCCTAGGGTTTCATGATTATAGTTGCTTGGCTCCGTTATGTTCTCAAGGCTTTTTGTTTTTGTTTTTTTTAGTCCCGCACGTCCATCTAGCCCACCAGGGTGGTGTAAAAAGTCATGAGGTTCATACCACACCCCTGAAAGTCGTAAGGGGATTGGTGATATGGTGATATCTGCCCGAAGGACGCGTTTTCGAGATCGATATGTAGCTGCGACAAGCAAGCAAAATTCCTACTATTCTCGTTATCCGATCTACGTGATGGTATCTAGGATAACCGGAAGATCATAAAGTAGCGCGGCATTCCCGCCGCTATCCCTCTATGAGATGGAGGATAGTTCGTCAGAGCTTTAAATCCTCCCTCCCTCCCTCCCTCTCTCACTATGTGTGTGTATGTGTATGTGTATGTGTTATGTGTGTGTGTCCCTTATCCACTATACTACATCCCAACCTTAATCCAGAAAAAAAAAAAAAAAAACTCACCTCTCAACATATTTACACACTCTTGCGATCCTTCTACCACAACCCTAGAATTCAAATCTTTCTCCCACCGAAATCTCGCTAGGACAAGTAAGATACCTAGGTAGGTACCAGGTACCTAGCGTTAACGGGTTGGCAACAATGGCCCGATTACAAGAACTCGAGCGTGCCGCATACGACGTTATCCGGAACGTCAAAGAGATCCAGGATCTCAGACATGCGAGGCTCTCGGTCATCGGAGGCCTAGCGCTGATGCATTACCTCCCCGAATACCGCTCAACAGATGTAAGACAGACAGACAGACAGTCCCTGTACCAAAGGGTCTTTAGATAAATAAATCATAAAAAAAGCCATGAGCTAATAATAGTATCGCTATAGAATATCAATTTCATCACGAATATATCAACATCGCCGAGCTCGTTGAAAAAGCGACTACTAGAGCGACCCGGCTCGCCCTTCTTCCAGCGCTCGCAAGCGCTATTCCACAAGGCCCCCGACGGTCAGGAGATCCGAGTTGACATCAGTCCGGAATGGCTGGTAAGTTTTTTATTTATTTATTTAATTTTTCATTTTTAGTTTTATTCTTTTCGAATTCTCTTAGGTCAAATTCCTACCTACCTACCTATCCTATCCTCCTACCTTACCTATCCAGTTTTGCCCCAGGTTCCTCTAGGTAGTTGGTTGGTTGGTTGGTTAGTTAGCTAAATGAAATCACCACACGTATGTATGCAGTCGCCCTACCTCCCCGAATCAGCCGTCGAGGTGCAGGACATGCCGGAAGGCGCGATCCCGTACATCCCCCTGACGGACCTCATCGTGTTCAAGCTGGACTCGAGCGGGCTGCGCTCGAACCCGGCGAAGAAGGAGCGCGACGCGCTCGACGCCGCGGCCCTCGTCGACCTCGCGACGCGCGCGGGCGCGCTGCGGCTGTCGGCGAAGCAGGAGCAGGTCGTCGAGGAGGCGCTGTGCGACGTGGCCAAGTGCGGGACGAAGGAGAAGGGCTGGTGGGAGGCGCGCATGGGTCTGAGGGGGAGAGCGGGTTACGATACCTCCGGCGGCAGCGGCGGTGGTGGTGGAGGGATGGGGACGGGGGCAGGAGGATTACCTGTATTCCTGGAAGGGGCACGTAGTGGTAGTAGTAGTAGACAAGGAGGAGGAGGAGGAGGAGGAGGAGGCCGTCCGCACTCGAAATCGGATCCTTCCCCGTCCCCGGCGCAAGACACCTTCCAGAGAAACGATCCCGCCGCGACCTGGGACTACGAACGCCTGGACCACACGCACATCCGGCGGTTCAACTCGCTGCACGGCGCGAGCCGTAAGAGGTCCGGGGCCGGGTTCGGGGTCGGGGCTTCGCAGCGGATGATGATCCGCGACGCGGGGTGCACGCTGACGCAGCCCAAGACGACGCACCACGCGAGTTTCCTGCAGCTGCAGATGGAGGCGGCAGCAGCTCGACGGTCCGGAGGGTCCGGGTTGGGTAACGAAATGATCAGCCTCGGAAGCGGCGGCCGTGGCGACAGTAGTGGCGGTTATGGAGGGTGTGGTGGTGGTATGAACGACGAGCACGAGATCGACGATCTGTATTACACGCTAGAGCCGAGAGGGAGCCCGACGGGATGCGGGTCCCTAGTTACGGTAGCGGCGCTGGGGGCCGGAGCAGGGGGATACTTCGATGTTCCCTCGAGGCGGCCTGGGGGGTTAGAAACGGTAGCGGAAGACAGCTCCGGGGCAGGTTATTTTGATTCGAGTCCCGGGGATACGCCTAGTGCCGCGACGCAGCCCCGAACGCCGCCGGGTTCGGATAAGAAGAGCGTCTCGTTCCTACTCTAGAGGTGAAAAGGGAAACAAAAAATTGAAAAAGATTTCGCCAATGGAAGAGAGGTGTCGCGCACTATGGGGGGAGAAAAGGGGGGGAGAGGGGGTTTCGCGGGTAAAGCACTCATAAGCTTGTCACGACGGCAATGCCCATCCAGATGTTACTTGTTTGAAATATTCCGTTTGTTCCTTGTGGTAGTTTTGGCTGGCGCGAGCTTTTGAATTGTATACTACCTGATATATACCTAACCTAAAGTACCTGGCATTATATTTTGTTATTTAAAAAGGATTTAAAAATCAATAAAGAAGAATATAGAAGAGATAAGTTTTATGTACCTCTAGACTTATACTACCTATGGTATTGTATTGTATTGTACGGTATGAATGCTTACACCTAAATGTTACCTTTAGGTAATATTTACCCCCTAAATTCATTGTCATCTACTAAAGAGGGGTAGGTGCCGTACAGTGCCTGCAGGTTAGGCGAGGGGAATAGGGGGTCCTCGAGCAACTTGGCAGGTGACCTCCACCTGTAATAAATGAGCTTCAGCGCCCTTATGGCTTGTGACGCGGGGCCCGGGAATGAAGATCATCCATCCATCCATCTTACAAGCGAAACCTGACATTTCGAGCAAGCCCTTTCTTTTCATTAGTAACAGGCAATTTAGGTGCTTTTTATATAAAACTCATTTACCATATTTACCTACATTAGGTGTACACATATTTCAACACTCATTCTAAATTAAATAAAGAGGAACCAAATTACACCTCGATAATACCAGGTATATAAGGTATATATATATAAGAGAAACGGGGAGGATTCCTTATTGCAGGGATTCCTTTTTTTTTTGGAGAAAGTCGGCATCGTGCATGTTCTGACTGTTCTGGGTGTCAAAATCGACCATCACGTGGGCTCTGTAAGACATATTGGTCTCGAACCGCTTTTGGGGAGGGTGAAAATAGAACCATCGATGTTTATTTTTTGGGAAGGAGAGGAATATCTCATCAGGGCGACTCTTTGTTATTACCTAGGTATCTACCTAAGGTAATTACCTACCTACCATTACGACTACTACTACCTACTTCTACTTCCGAGGTTTCCTACCGGATCTTACGGATCGGATGAATGGGTTGGTTGTATAGGAGGTAACCTAGGTAGGTAGTAACCAGCTTCCACCACCATGAGATTCCCGTTCCTACGCTCCAGACGCCCGGACTCCGTCCACGACTACGTCGGCGTGCTGGTCCCGCTCGAGGAGGCGCATCTGTACAGCCACTCGGCTCGGTGCGGGAGAAGCGAGTTCGAGGAGCTCGGCTCCGATGACGGCGTTGGCGTTGGCGAGCAGCCCCAAGCCGACGCCGAGGCGGCAGGCGGCGAACGCCTGCCGAAGAATGATGACGACAACGAGCATACCGGCATGTTGCAGATGAGCGCTGCCGAGTATACCATCGAAGGCTTGAGGAGGGAGGTGCGCGAGGGCCAGAGACGACGACGCTGGTCCGAGTACGAACGTGAGCTTTCCTGTTTTCCCAGACGGACCCCTGAGGGAGCGCTGCCCCCCAGTGTATAATTCAAGCTGGGAAGCAAATACTGACGAAACTCCGGGAGTAGTGAAGTCGAAGCTTATTAATAAAGCTATCCAAGATATCGGCATGGGTCGGTATAACTGGCAGCTATTTGTCTTGTGTGGGTTTGGGTGGTTTGCGGATAAGTGAGTGATCCTTCTCGTATTATATTATATGAAAGCCCTTTTTTTGAACCCGGTATTCTTCTCTATTGTTACCTAGGTACCTAGGATATATACCTGTTACTAACTGAATTCGTAGTTTATGGATGCAAGTAAGTAATGGTCTATCTTACCCCCGGACGCTTCTAATATTGATATCACCCCTGGTACACCATCTCACACAAAATGCATATAGGGTGTCTCTCTGACTCTCCCTTCTCTTTCCGAAGAGTTCGGCGTCTCGGAGAAGCAGGTCAGGTATACCACCAGCTCTCTCTTCGTAGGGCTTTGCCTGGGCAGCTTTTTCTGGGGGCTCGGATCCGACATAATGGGTAGGCGCGTCGCCTTTAATTTCACTTTGCTGATTACAAGCATTTTCGGCATCTGGACCGCGTATGCTTCGAGTTGGGTCTCTGTCTGCATCTTGTTCGCGTGTCTGGGTACCGGAGTTGGAGGGAACCTGCCGGTCGACGGTGCGCTTTTTCTAGAGATCCTCCCGGATTCCTCGAGCGCCTTGTTAACTCTCCTGTCGGTATGGTGGCCCGTAGGTCAGCTTGTGTCGTCGATTTTCGCCTGGTATTTCATCACGAATTGGCCCGCCGCGGAGGGATGGCGTAACTTCGTTATGACGATCGGCATAATCACGTTTATCATGTTTCTGATTCGATTTGGGATGTTCCATTTGTTCGAGTCGCCCAAGTATCTCCTGTCTCAGGGACGACAAGCCGAGGCTGTTGCTGTCGTACATGGCATTGCTTACCGGAACGACAAGAAGACCTGGCTCACCGAGGAGATCCTCGATGCCGTCGCCGATATGGAGGGGACCGAACGAATGCCAACTAGGGTCTCGGCTACTAATATTATCAAACAAAACCTCATGTCCTTTTCGATCGATCGCATACGGCCTCTCTTCCAGACCCGCAAGCTCGGCACAGCAACAGCCCTGATATGGTTTTGCTGGAGCACCATCGGCTTAGGTTACCCACTGTTCAATGCCTTTCTTCCGCAATACCTCTCGCACGGCGGTTCGGACGCACCGGCCAACGGCGAGGCCGTAGGGATAAGCAACGCCACACCAGCGGAAACATATCGCAATTATGCCATAATATCGATTGTCGGGGTACCCGGCAGCCTTCTGGCCGCGTATACCGTCGACCACAAGTCGCCGTTCCTAGGGCGGAAGGGCACGCTCGCCATCTCCACGCTGGTGTCCGCCATCTTCCTCTTCTTTTTCGTCACTTTCGGCAGGACGCCCAACTCGCAGCTCTTCTTCACCTGCGTCGAGGCCTTCTGCCAGAACATCATGTACGGCGTGCTCTACGCCTTCACCCCCGAGATCTTCCCCGCGCCCGTGAGAGGCGCCGGCACGGGCGTGGCTAGCTTTTTGAATCGCGTTACGGGACTCGTCGCGCCGGTCCTCGCCGCTAACATGCCGGGGGACGGCACCAAGACCCCTATTTACATGTCGGCGGTGTTGATCCTGGCTGCTTTCGTAGGCATGGTATTGATTCCTATCGAGACTAGGGGCAGGCAAAGGCTCTGAATTCGTTGTATATATATTCGGTACCTCCTAGCAAATTCTTTATCAGGAGCAACTCCTCTATAGTAGTGATATATGTACCTACCTACCTAATACTAGAATGTTCAAATACGTATAAGGGTTCAATCATTACGCTACGACTTTAGATAAAAGGTAGTGACCGCGATATCAATAAAAAAGCCATCAGAACTAAAAATCTAATTTGATCAAACAAAATGTAATATTGAAAAATTGCTACCGAAACAAAGTCCTAACATAGGCTACCTACCTACCTAGGTACCTAGGTAGATAACCTACCCATTCACCTATTCCCCTTAGCCCCCGCGGGCGCATCCACCCTCCTCTTCTGGAACGACCTGCCCAGGGCGTCCTTGACCATGGGATCGGCGCGGATGGTGTTCTGGACCAGCCACTCCTTCAGCTTCGTGCGCATGCTGCCGATGACCTGGGCGTCGCCGACGAAGGGCGCCATCTCGAGCTCCATGAGGCGCGCGGCGTCGACGTCCATGCTCCGGGCCGTGTGCTCGAGGCGCTCGAGGCTCTGCAGCAGGGCCTTCTCCGAAGCCTCGGCGGGGTACTTTACCCCGCCCGCACCCGCGCCGCTCTGGTTCGGCGGGTGCAGCAGGGGCCCGAGCTGCGAGAAGGCGATGTACAGCGTGATGCTGAGCTTGCGGGCGAGGGCGACGGCCTGGAAGGGCAGGTAGGGCGGGTGGCGGGAGAAGCGGGCGAGGAGCGGGTTGACGAGGGCGGTGAGGAGGCGCGGGAAGGTAGGGCGGGTGATGGCGTGCAGCTCGAAGACGCACAGGGCGACGAGGGTGAGCCAGCGCCAGTAGCGGCCCCACTCGAGGTAGCCGAGCAGGCCGAGGACGTACATGGCGAGGGCGGCGAAGGCGTAGTACGGGACGAGGACCTGGGCGCCGCGGACGACGAAGTCGCGCACCGTGACGCAGTGCTTCCAGGCGAGGATGTCGGGGCCGAAGCGCTCGTAGGCGAAGCGGCGGGCCGGGTCGACGAGGGTGTCGGAGGCGGTCTTGAGGTGCATGAAGAAGTCGGCGCTATTGGCGGCGGCGCTACTGCTGCTGCTGCTGCTCATGACTTTGTCCGGGTGGTGCAGGGCGGCGAGGCGGCGGAAGCGGCTCTTGATGTCGCGCTCGGAGGCGGAGAGGGGCACGCCCAGGTCGGTGTAGAAGGTGCCCGCGCGGCGGAGCTCGTAGTCGGCTTCGTAGATGGTGTACAGCAGGTACAGGGACACGACGAGGATGTGGATGCGACGGCGGTGCTCGATGTATCGGGGCGAGTTGGGGGCCGGCTTGCGGTCGCCGGCGCGGATGGTCAGGCCGTAGTATATGGATTGTACCCAGCCGGTGACGAGCTGTTAGCGCGCGCGAGGTTTGTTGTTAGCTTTCTTCTTCTTTCCTTTTTTTTTTTCCTTTTCCTTTTTTGGGAATTGCATCTTCGTTACAGGACGAATACCAGAAAAGGTTTACGTACATTGGGGAGAAACATCCATCCCATTAGGGAGAGGAGATTGTTACCAGCCATGGCGGTATAAAGTCGCGTTAGGTTGGGTACACTACTTTGGGTAAAGTAAAGGTTAATAAATCATATCATGGCTTGAATGTTGTTGTATGTATGCTCAAGATTCGAACGAATCATGTAGCGATAGTTGTTCAAAGAAGGTGTTGAAGACAAGCATAAAGAGAATACATTTACAGATACATTTACAGATTACTGGCTCTAGATTACAACGTGGTCGCTAAGATAAGAGGTGAATTAGGTACCTATTACGTAGGTCCATACACCCCATATTACCTAATCCTTCATATTTCTTAGGCCATTTATTCACTGCTTAGGAGGTACGTACATATAACTGTATTGTGCAATGTATATCATGCATGGATGAATGCAATGCTGTGACTTCGCTACATTTACAGCAGCACTATTCACCCCTTTTCAACCTTCCAATTGATATAATTCTTACACGTCCCTCTGTGTCATATGTTTGGGTTCGTTAGGTGTCTATACACAAATATAACCTCACCCTATCATCAATTCAGATTCAGATGATTCAGACAACGAGTGTAATACCATCACATAATTCGTACTCCTCCACTTACCCACACTCGCTGCTGTTATATCCAGGGAGTAAATAATATATTGTACATTCCTCCTACATCATGCATACCTATATAATTATAGTGGACGTTGGGTGTAACTTATCATGTTAAGTGCGTGCGTACGTATCGTAGGCTTCTTGTGTCAACGATTCTTGCAGCTGATGATGCCTTGGGCTTCAAGCCTTCTCGAGACGACCAACCAACCAGTATGATATCATCCTGATCCTCTTTTGCTGACCTTGAGAGAATTTTTTTGGCTTGCTTCCCTTCGCCTTTTCCAAGACAATAAACTGTTTTCCGCCTTGGAAAAGCTTGGTCTCGAAGCCCATCAACGCACGCCCCCCTACTTAATGCGAGCCAATAGACGTTGTTGCGTTGTTTTGTCCCATGCTTGCTCAATGTCGTTCATAATGACTGACCCGTCCAACGTCCAAGGCAATATACTATGTGTACCGGGTAGGTAACGTGGCGCAAGAAAGAGAAGCGGTGAAGCCTGCGGAATCAGCGCTTGGGTCGTTATTCCGTTGTGCTAGGTATTCTTCTCACTCGTTGCCGCCGCCACTTCCACTGCCATTGCCATATCCGCCTGGCTGGTTCCGCCTCTGCTGATCCCGTTCGTGTTGCTATATAGGGTCAAGTAAGCTTGGTGTTCCCCCAACTACCCGAGCTAAAAGCGGCCTGAAAGGAGGAGAGGAAAAAAAAAAAAAACAAAAAAAAACCCACAGCATTACGTCGAGCTTGTTTTATAGAAGATCGTGTGTAACTAAAAAACATCTAGTTAGCGCGCGCAACGCCACCAGCAGCAGCAACAACATCAAAGTAACTGGGTAAACTTCGTACGCAAATAATACACATGCCATGGTGAACGCGGCAGCAGGTGCCATGATCGTCTGCGTAAATCCACCGTTAGATCAGCGGATCTCCTTACGGGTAGACTAGGATAGACCGGAATTCATACCCGTGGCGTTAGATTGCCTCTTGGTGCCATATCTTAACCAAGTAGGCTGGTAGGTAGGTACCTCTTTTCTTCCGCTCAATGTTTGTTTTATTATACCTAGTTATAGGTTAGGTTAGGTAGGTATATTGATATATATTATTACCATTGGTGGGATGGAAAGCACCTTACAAATGGAATGCGGTTACCAAATGCAGTTGGTGATATGCAAATGTTGCAAGCTGAATCACGGTTATTTTTGAGAGAAAAAGATGCAGAGATAATAGGCGAAAGTTTGGATCATTTACCTAAAGAAGGCTGCCGATCACTGCGAACCGTAGGATCGTACGATATTGGAGTTAAGAACCGTTCGCGCTTAAAAAGGGCTAACCTTAGGTCCCTGTTAAATCTATCGCATACCACTTACAGCACAGCACTTACATAGTTGCTCTATGTTGAAACCCAATTGAAAATAATCATCTAAGATCGCGAGTTAAATATAGTTATGAGTATTTACTTATTGACTTTTGGTCTAATATCAAGTACCTAACCTACCTAAGAATACCTATGAAATTTCATATGACAGGTAAATAAGCAACTCTTATCCCCTGATGAAACTAGGGAAATAGGAAAATTACAGACTATCTCAAGGGACATGGAATATTTATTTTTAATATTCTCATAAACCTCGCGTGGATATATGAATATACATATGTCTAAGCGTTACCTACGTTGTCCAATTACTCCTGTCAATTGCTTACGACAGCGGAGATTGCTAGGATCATTCAACGTCGGTACTATGTTAGGTACGTATGAAGATCAAATGTATCTTATATAAGCGACCCAGGAAAGTTCAACAGCGTCTATCGTGAATCGGCAAAGTTAGCACATCCTCAAAAATCCAATCGCGAATTTAAGCACCGGTAGATACTTCAAAGGCTACCAGTGCTCAGCTTGCCATCCGCAAGACCCCTCCTCGGAACTTTTTCCAAACCCAATGTCATCATTACCTGGGCTTGCAACTCTGATGTCGTATTTGCAGGTTGGGTAGAAGGTCAGGGTCCTGGCCTAATATGATCATAGTCAACGTGATTTGGCACACGCGTGCTGTGTTGTATTACATTACACAGCTTGCAACTCTACGTGTGATAGTCATTGGTTATGACCTTGTCAACATTCTCATTATACATATGTCACGGTGCCAATGCTTGCATATGCGTGGAAGCTGGAACTATGATGCACCTTCGTCTTCCTCTATATTTTCATTAGCATACAGCCTACCTGCCAATGGTCTCGACTCCGATAGATGGGCGAATACCTCAAACCTAGCGGAGTACAACTTCGCGATCCGTCCAGTAGTAGAACCGGCTGTACTACCAATAGCAATTATTGCCAACGGCGAGAATCCGTAGGTCCGGTAAGATATTTGATGTGTGAAAGATAGATTGACGGATTGAGTTTCGACGTTCATATTCAATCCGGGTAAAGTCCAACACTAGAAAGTACCTCTTTGGTTAGGCAGGAACAGAGTGTGTCATATAATGAATACCAGTAACGGCTAGGTAAGGTTCCCATATGACCACCATGGGCCCCTAGAAGCTTAAGGAGTATCTACCATAGATTTCTGATCGATGTCTATTAAAGAACCAGGTATAATACTTACCTTTAATCCATGAGACCTTATCCGCAGGTAGCACCTATACCTATACGATGTAGTATCCGCGCCATGATTCAGCTGAGGTTCATCCTAGATATTGACTAATGCGGGTGAGATCTTCATCAAGGCGCCAAAGCGGTGACCTGGATGTTCGGAGCTGAAGTCTCTGTTCACACTGATACCCTTTAACGACCCAATTTAGGCTCGATCTGGAGTGCCATATTTGATGATTAGTCGTATCTGGTGATACTCGGCGATACCTCTCTAATCGAGAGGGTCTCCACTGCAAAGTCGGATAGTCATAAGGTCGAAATACCGTACTATCTGCAGCCACATTGGTAAGGCTCCGATGTCCACCATTCGAACTTGCAGATGTGCCGTTGTATATGTGACAATGTAGGTGAAGCGAATAGGTATTAAGACGGCAATTAGTATACTACGTGGATCAGTTAGCCCAGGCTCGAAATGATAGGGGCAATCCCTTTTGCTCAATAATGCGTATCACGACGTCGGATACCAGATAGCCAAATCCTCACAAAAGGGTTCGTAGTACGTCGGTGCCTAAGCAACCACCAATCGCCTTATCACCCAGATCTGTTTATTCACGACCGAGAGGCGTGGTTTAGACGATGCGCGCGTAATGCACACGATTGGAGTATAGTAGCCTGCAAGACAAGTGGTGTTGTACCCAGGCGTATGTAGCAGCATCCAACGATGCAAAAGAGGTGACAACCCCCCCTTTTCTAGGAATACCGTGAAGATGAATAAACGTATGGCCCTATGTCCTAAGCCAATTGTAACAATGTTAGTGCATAGTAAAGTCGAATTGACTCAGGTAACATCTCTGTCAGGTAGATATCAGGTTACCAGGACGTGAACGAAGACCACGTCTTGGAACTAGACTCCAAGCACTACTGTCGTAAAGCAATACTGCTTCATTATCGACCACAGCCGCTAAAGGATCTTGTCGGTTTTACTAACCCAATACGCAAACGGTCGTTCCGCAGTTGATGTAGGCTTCGCTGAATCGGGGAAGGGATATGAACGGTTGACAAATAGCTAAGCCTCGTATCTACCTAATTGCAATCGCCTAGGTGCCTAGTAGATGTAGTTAGTCTAATTCCATGTGGGTGGTTCAAAGGGAAGAGCAGTTGGCATCTTTTCCCGACTCAAGTGCAGAAATAAGCCGAAACGGGCCTTTATTGGCACCTGTAGGCATTTCCCAAGCTAGAAGTCGGGCTATCATATAGTGTTTCATGTCGTGAACCACACTCGGATTGACTAACATGCAGAGATACTCTTACTGCTGCTGATTTGGCATCGACTTAGTGTCACGAGACTATGACCACATATTCTTACATCTAGGTTGGGTGGTTTTTTTTTTTTTTTTTTGATACAGACTCGAAAAATCTAGATTCCACGAGCTATCGAACCTGCTAGCAGTCTGTTAGTAGCTGGCTAACGTACTGTTACCCAATCTAACCTAAAATATTATTAGGCTTACTGACAAACAAGATTGTAAGGCAAGGGAAAGTTGAACGCTTATACCGATTGATCATCATGTTCGAAAAAATGTATGCCTTGAGCCTAGAATAGTTTGATGGATGTGAAGAAGCAGGCTGCGGCTTGGCTGATGGGGGGGTTCGGAAAATTGAGAAGGAGGGGAGGATTGGGGATCCTATCAACTCTTCGTCGACATTGTAGGTTTGATCTTGGTTGTAAGTGGAATTAACAGTAGATGAGTGTGTAGGAAATCTTAAGACAATAGGCGCACAATAATTGCACAACATAGCCTTTGGGTCTTGGGTGTGTAGCTTCTTGTGTGTACCTAAAGTTCTTGATTACTTTTAGTACATTTAGTAATCCGACATGATATAGTATTATGAAACTACCTACCTAAGGTAACTTACATAGTATGCGGCTCTGCGTGCACGTTCTGCATACGGGGTATTTCTTTTTGGAGATCACCTGCTTGACCGTTGCACAGATCATAATAAAACTAGCAGGGTTCAGGTATGTACCAGGTAAGTACCTACCTGGTAGGTAACCACATCGCCGCCTAGGCGTGGCCCCCCCTAGTAAAATTTCCCCCTTACACACTACTACATTAAATACAGTGATGAAGCAATTATTAGTCGTTAGAGCAGAGCCTCATTCCGATCCTCAAAATGTCGTGTCCTACGTATACCATGGTGCTCACTTCGGCTGAGACAGCCCGCTTTCATACCAGGTTTCTCCATGAGGTAGTTTATAATGAACCGTAGCAATCATCAGGTACCTTAGGTACGCAAGGCTGGAAGGGACCTCGGGATACACCATGCCAACTTTTATACGGGCGACGGGCGTACCCCAAGTAGACCGAATTGAGGCTCTTTTGTGCAGGAATACGTTAAAACATGGAACTCCCCGGGGTAGTGCTATTAGGTGTCAGAACCTACCTAACCTACCTAACCTCTACCTTCATCCCTCTCTCAAACTTCAACGTGTGCTACCAACCTTCCTTGATCAAACCAACACACAGTTTACCTACCCGTTTCTTCCTTAAACTTGACCCCTAAGTTCGCCTCAAGACAGATGACACCAAGGACCTTGTTGATCACCCCGCCAAGGACAGTATCAAAACTACAACGGTTACCTTACGAAATAATGGCTTATATCGTGGAATATCTAGACATAGATGAGATATTCGACTTATCTCTATCCTGTCGTCACTTCCAGTACTTGGTAAAAGAAGAGAGCTTCTGTAGAGCTATTATTGCCGTGAGTAGCCACCCGGAGCATACCTACCTACCTATTAGTTGGTGGCAAGCCAAGCCACGCACGAATTGCTGACCGCTCCCTCAAAGACCCAAGCCTCACACACAGCCGAAGCCCGAGAGGCACAGCGTACTGGTCAGTTCTCTCGCGCTCTGCGGCGAGTTGCAAAAAGACGCCAGGCATTTTCACGAGCGTCTCCATACGTAGTAGGTATCGTCGCTCTAGCCGACTCTTATGAATATATCCACGGGATACTTTGCTATATCGTCGAGGCCCGGCCCAAGCGCTGGTTACGGATCCTCGACCTTCACGGTTCAGCAAGCTATGAGCTCGTTGTAGATATTCCCACCCTGGTTCAAGAGGCCGTGCCGAGATCAGCCACGAGTCGTAAATACAAGTTCCGGGTCTTATATCACGCGAACGGTATTACTTCGTGCTTATTTTCATTCGCGCTGCCGAACACGGAGAATTGGCTTTTGATCTTCAAAGCCGATGAGCAGCTAATAGTAGCAGCACTTCAGCTAGACTCCGCAGCTAAGATATTCGTACGAAATAATAAAGACTATCTTTATGTTGGAACGCATTCAGAAGAAGGGGCAGATGGGTTTAGAAAATGGGTGCTCATGGGCTACGACATCGAAAAGCGTTCTTGGTTTTCCCGGAAAATGCATTTAACAGACTTTGTCGGCTACGACATTGGTTCTACGGTCTGCTTCGAAATTATAGACGACTATTTTTACGGACTTTCTAACCAGACAGATTTTGAAATCAGGGAAACGGATTGGAATTCCTACTATCATTGCTTTCGCTTTCCCCTAGATGACCCGGATGTTAAGAATAAGCAAACCATGAAGACGAAGGACAGCTGGAGGAGACAACACGGCGAAGGCCCCATAGACGACAGATGGAGCTTTCTTAAATTGGAGAAAGACGAGGCTTCGGGTAGAATAAATATTGTCGAGTCACGAAAGGAATGGCTCAACAAGAAGAGTGGTAGCCTACAGAGTGGTAGTCTGCGGACTTATTACGTTACAGAAGTAATTTTCGATGAAAATTCCAAGCCTGATAGCGACGGAGAATCCGCAACGGCCCATGGCAATTTGCCAGCTGAACAAATAATAACCTCGTCTCTCACAAGGTATCTTAACAAACCGCCAGGCTCAGATATACGATTCCGTTCCCCCGAAAATGTGCACCCAGGAGATGATAGCTCGATGGCTCTCGTCTTTACGCGAAGCCAGACGCACCTGCGGGCCTACCAGCGGTGTTGTAGCACCTATTTGGATTTGGTCGACGACGTCTCTAGCGGATCATTAGGTCCACGACATTTACGCCTTAGGACCGGCTTTAGAAAATCACAGACTTATTGGCCTTCCTGGAAGTACTCGGATTATAATTATGAGGTGGAACCGAAGCAGAAATCTAATGAAGAACCGGCATACCCCTATCAGCCTAACAGGGTTTACTTTTGGCCCCCAAAACAGGACACATCAAACCGAACCCCGTTCGTAGACGACATTTATCAGATACTAAACCCTCCCGGCTGTCTAGGTGGTATTATTTCCACTAGCGATGAGCGTTCGGTAGTGTACGCAACAGGAGAAGATACAAACGGACTCAAGATTTTGGTTTATCTCAGTTTCGATCCAGCAGCTAGACTGGCTGGCATGCTTCGGGAGAAATACGTACTGGGCGAGCAAGACATGTCAAGTCTACCGAGTAACGAGACAGAAGGGGGCTATCACAGCCTCGAAGCGGGAAAGGACCGGTGTATGCGACATTTCGGGAGCACAGACAAGCTTATTGGCGACCTTTCTCGTCATCCTTTGCCTTCATATATATCCGATATCCCGTCTATGCATACAGCGATAATGTCACCTCCCGAAGGATGTAAGCCATGGGCTTCGACCGAGCAGCCCATGTATTGGAACCTTCCAGGGAAAATTTTCGCCTTTGCTCATTAGAGCTTAACAGGACATTCTACCCAGGAGACCAATTTGCCTCAGTCACATATGTCGTTATGATGGGTTGGTTACATTTACCCTGCAGCCAAAATATGCAAAATAAGAGACTCAACAGTGGTGGAAGAGGACTTTAGCCCCGGATTTATATATCTTTGAGTCCTAGGCCGAGTAGTTTGCATGTTCAAGTGCCACTTAGTAACCCAACTTATGCGTGTCAGCACTACTTCAATATTACTGAGCAAGCTCCTCGCTACGATATATGCCTTAGCTATTAGATTCTCTCTTCTCAAGCTTCGTGACTATACGTTGAGCAACGTTGCCCCCCCCTTTAATATGCATCATGATATTCTACTTACTGGATACCAATGGGGGCTATGCAGGCCTCTATTGGCTTCGACCCTTGCAAAGACTGCATGTTGGTTCGCCCTGCTAATGAGGACGAGGCTAGTGATACTACTGTATCCTTCACTTTTCCTGCTACGCCCCCAAATTTAGACCCCAATCCGTAGTATAGCTTCCGATAGGGCTACTCAACAATTTACTCTGCTTATTATTTTTGCTCATCACATATAATCCAAGCCACCTGACACGGATATACGAGGTATTGATGGGCAAGTTAGGCTATTGCGCGCCGGAAATGGTACAAGACTGTCGTCCCATTAATGTAATCTCCACGAGTCCTGCATGGAGGCTTAGGTAGATCGCACGATCAATTGACATGTGGCGAACTCGTTGCTGTTATGCATATAGAAGGGGTAAGCGTACCAGGTAGTAGTAGATATATGACTGATCACCGCTAACGCTTCGAATCCTCTTCAGATGCCCGGGTGCTTCCGAACCACTAACGTTGAACGATATCAATCATGCCGTCGAAAAATCACATCTACTGTTATCGGATCATGATGAGGCTTTATGTTAACTAAACCCGCTCATTTTTCTAATCTTCTCTAACTACCGTCCTTTCATGAACAGGGACCCTCCTCCCCCCAAAAACCTTTCTACAAGCATCATTCAAAGCCAATACTCCCTTACTCGGAACTCCGTGCGCTGTCCCAGTCGGGGAGTTCGATGACAGCACGTATTTCCCCCCGGGAAAACCGTCGTGCGAGTAGTATTATCGGAACTAACATCCCGATGTATGGCCGTCACAAGAAAGAGCATATGTAACAACTCATATGCACTTTGCTGCGTGACGGTATTACTCGTCAACGAGGCGCCCCGAAAATATAGTACGACACGTACGATATCGCTCATCGGCTCATATTGACGGCACGAGGCTGCGGTGGTGGGAGTCCAATATGTCAACCCCCCTTTGAAGTTACAAGTCAAAGACGAATTGCAAACTCCTTTCGGCATGGCGAATAAGAGGTACTTGGCCTAATTTAACACTGGAGGGGGACAGAGGGCGTCGTCGTAGAACAACGGGGAATATATAGACTACTCCCTACCGCGGCTATAACTGCTCCTCGGACATATAGTCTGGACTAAGCCATCACGGCACCCACATAGTTGGCTTGGAACTCATCTTAGGGTTGAAGGACTTCTACCGTGATACCATATAACTAAGTCTCGTGAGTTTCCCATAATCTTGAAGCCATCTGATGGGCGTTATGTATGATCTATAGTTCTGATACCACGTAACTAAGGTTAGGTAGGTAGGTATCTAGATGCCCAAGGAACTTAAGAGACTAACTTAGCCCTCCCTCGGCCCCCCTTGGTAATGTTCCACGTGCCAATATTAACTCATGATATTCTACATACTGGGCATGGGTATGGGTGCGTTGTCCGGGGTAGATCTCAGACATTCTCGGGCAAATCTCGATACCCGCGAGGTGCTAGATCTTGATTCATAGATGCCCGTTAGACGGCTCACCAATGGAATACTAAACATGCCACGAGACCAGCCGATTCATCCTCATACCGCAGTCTTCCTTGTTGGAGTAGGTAACCCTATAGTGTCAGGGCCTCGTCCCCGATAGGTAGCCCCTTCCCAGCCCGTTTCACCGAGAAGACTAGCCCCACAGCGCCTCGCTATCTGGCCCATCGACACACCCAGTCAAGTATAGGTGACGGCGCAGATCCCCCATGGCGGGATCTCCAACCGGTGAGGCTCAAACTAATCCCGTCACGGGGTGGCAAATAAGCAGCCATTGTGGGTCCCCGTAGGGCGTTGTCCCTGTCCCCGATGTGAGAGGTCACAAAGCCACGCGCCGGGAGATGCGCCAGATCCAAGATGCACGCGGGGAGGGGTCGTCCCTGGAAGCATATACAGGGAATCTCCCACACGGGTCCTCCCTTCGAATTGAAATTTACCATTTACCTACCTACCTAAGGTACGTCTCCAGGCAGGGGCTAGGAGGGGTACACTTTTACTCTATCAGGTTTTCATTGAATACCTAAGTCAGCGTATAGGCATTGAGGATAGGAGATGTTAGGTTAGAGGTAGGCTGCCTTCGCCTCCTTATGCAGCAGGCTGGCAACGTGTATAGTCAGTCAAACTCACAGAAAGATGCAGTACCTATGCCGTGCCTTTGCCTCGCACCGATAGTGATATTCGACTTATCCAATATTCATTCGTCAACAGTCGAGATTCGTCGTAAAGAGGGTATGTTACTATACTGTATATTTAGGTACCTACCTAGTTGTCAATATTTAATATCATTTACAAGTCTTCCCCCTTAAGTCTTTTCTTGTGAAGGACTAGACAGGTACTAAGTAGTTAGCGATAGAGTCCTGATATAGGTAACTAACTACATGTAAGTTGGACCTTTCTTAAGTATACCTAAACAACCAGCAAGGCGTATCGACACAATATCACGTGGATGAAGATATATGTATGACTACTGCTAATAAGTAGCTTCTCTGTGTTACAGCTCTAACTGAGCAACGGGCAAGGTAAGACGAAGAAGGGGGAGAAGAGGGGGGAAAGGGGGGAAAGGGGGGTTGAGCTGAGTAACACAAAATTGAGCATCCGCAGGAAAAGCGGGGTGGCAACATTAACGTTCGACCCTAAGACTTTATGGCACCTTACGGTCTGAACAGTAAAAAGTGATTGGACGAGATGAATCAATGGAAGACCCCTAAAAAAAAAAGATGGGAACTGTTGATTAGCTCTGATAAGCTCCCATTAGTCTAAGTTAGGCTTAGGTCGTGCAGTTTGTGCAGCTCACGGGCACGCCACACTCAACAATGTTAACAACAGCTACTCTAGGTACTGCTGGAACTTGGAAGTACCACCACTAACAATTGGTAGCCATTAGTGTTGTTAGGTACAATCTAGGTACTGCTACAGGGAAGTCTGGAAGGGAAAACATCTTCACCGCAAATATGAGTTACACGCAATCCTAGCTAAGTATCTCCTTTCCATATTCCACTTCCATGCCACCTTGAGACGGTTGGTTTTCTCAAGTGCCACTTTCCTTCTTTCGTTTTTTTTAACAGTCTTTCTTTCTTTTTCCCCCTCTTCACTCTTTTAAATCCCGGAGGGAGAAATTGGAGGAATAATAGGAAAAAAAAAAAGCACCTAACAATGGCCCCTCCCTCATCGTCTTCGACCACGACCAGCGCCCCAGAGGCACCTAATCTACAGAAGAAGACCATCCGCCTCAACGGCAAAGGCGCAGAGAAAGTTCAAGATGGATCCCCGGAACTGAAGCGAGACCCGATCGAGGTCAAATATCGTGACTTCTTCTGGACCTACACCGAAGAACCGCATCGGACGAGACGCCTGGCCATCATCAAGGCGCACCCGGAAGTCACGAAGCTCTGCGGGCCCGAGCCCCTCACCATCGTGGTCGTCCTCGGCGTCGTGGCCCTGCAGGTCTTCTGCGCGTACGTCCTCCGCGACACCCCCTTCTTCTCGCTCCGGTACTGGCTCCTGGCGTACGTCGTCGGGGCCACGGCCAACCAGAACCTGTTCATGGCCATCCACGAGATCAGCCACAACCTGGCCTTCCGCTCGCCCACCGCCAACCGGCTCTTCGCCATCGTCGCCAACCTGCCCATCGGCATCCCCTACAGCGCCTCCTTCCGCCCCTACCACCTCACCCACCACAAGTCCCTCGGCGTCGACGGCCTCGACACCGACCTCCCCACCGCCCTCGAGGCCCTCTTCCTGGACTCCATCCTCGGCAAGGCCTTCTTCTGCACCTTCCAGATCTTCTTCTACGCCGTCCGCCCCATGTGCGTCTACGCCGTGCCCTTCACCTGGGTCTCCGCCCTCAACGTCCTCGCCCAGGCCGCCTTCGACCTCGCCGTCCTCCGCGCCCTCGGCCCCGCCGCCATGCTGTACTTCCTGTTGTCGTCCTTCCTCGCCGGCAGCCTGCACCCGCTGGCCGGCCACTTCATCGCCGAGCACTACGTGTACGAGGCCGTCACCCCGGCCCAGCGCGACCCGGCCAGCCGCCTCCCCGTCCCCGAGACCTACTCGTACTACGGGCCCCTCAACTTCCTCGTGTACAACGTCGGCCTGCACAACGAGCACCACGACTTCCCCGCCGTCCCCTGGACCCGCCTGCCCCGCCTCAACCGCCTCGCCGCCGAGTTCTACGACGACCTCCCCCACCACCGCTCCTGGACCTACGTCCTGTGGCGCTTCATCTTCGACGAGTCCGTCGGCATCCGCTGCCGGGTCAAGCGTAAGGAGGGCGGCCGCCTCGTGGGCCAGAGGTCCGATTGGAAGAAGAACGAGCTGGAGGCTTAGGCTAGCTAGTAGGTTAGAGGTAGGTAGGTAGGTAGTTTTAGATGGGGTTCAAATGGGTTTATGTATCTACGTGAGAAGGGGGAAGGGGGGAAACCTTGCGTGCTTAGGTACCTAGCAGTGGTACACGCTATATACTCCGTTGGGTTTATCTTGCGGGAGATGGTGTGTATGTACGTATGTATATTCGATTAGTTTAGGTACGCTACCTATCTGTCCACGCTTAAAAGGGGGTTAGATTCGTCAAAGTGTTACGATCCGAAACTCAATTACCTCGACACAATCGAAAGTTTTATTGTCTTGAACTATATAGTTTGACAAGGTGAAAAAAAAAAAAGATAGCACGTGGCAGTATCGTAATCTAACCAGATACCTGGGAAGTATATAATAAACAAGATAGTAAAGTAATATCCGACTGGCATGAATAGTTGAGTTAAGGCTGGATCATTATTGATACTCAAGTATTCAGATCCCCCCTCAAAAAGCAAAGGGAAAAAACAATGTTATATACGGAAGCTCTTGGTGGATGAAGGAGCTTATATGCTAACGCCGACCTGAAGGAATTACAACGATCGCCCAGGGATCGTAATCAATTTCAAGCAAATATATATCAGAATGCTCATACCTTGAACGGCCAATAGAAAACAAAGGGGAATACATGCTAAAGTACAATGTCTGCCACAACGAAGGCTAAGCTTAGATGCTTAGATCCTTCGTCTCACTTCCAGTCCATTTTTCACAATAAGAGGCGGCCTAACTTCTCACCTACCTCCCATTACTTTCTCTTCGTCTACCTAGGTACCTAGGTAAGTATAATCTTTCTTCGCGCCTAATGCTTTCCATCTAATAAGAAACCCGTCTGCCAATGTCCCCCAACCGCAACAAGGGATTTCCTCAACTCTCGCCTCGAAAGAATCGGTAATAACACCCATTGCCGCAATTTAGAAGAAGAGATACGCGAGCATGAAGCTCACGAAGCAAAGAATTGCTGTAAGCTTGATTGGTACACCTTCAGTACCGGATCGTGCCGTCTGAACTAATTCGGTAGGCTTGGAGCCGGCCTTATCCGCGCCCGCTGTCTTGCGTTGCCGCAAACCTTCTTGATCTTGCTTAAGTTGTGCGATGACTCTCTCGGCTTGGATAAGTTGCTGCTTGAGTTCCTCGGGGCTTAGATCGCCATTCTTGGTAGCCGCAACTGCCGCCACGCCTCCGGCTGCCAAGAACTCGTCATGCTTGACTTCGTTGTCCTCCGTCTTAGCATCGGTTTGGCTCGTCGAAAAATCACCAGGAGAGGAGTAGGCAGGAGGGGCCACATCAAGGTTTGCCTAGGTTAGGAAGGTGAGTTAGTATGGTAACGGTATTATTAGAGCGTTAGAAACTTACGCCGTTGGCTGTGGAAGGTTTGACGGGCGTCTCGAGGTTAGCGGCGCCAGCAGGAGTACCGACGGGGGGCAAGAAGATAACCCGAATCTTCTTCTCCTGTACCGACGACTTCTCAATACCGTCCCACTTTTTAATTTAGTCAGTCGATTATAATTATTCGATATAAAAGGGACATAAAGGGGATATCGGAGTGGGGTTGAGTGGCACTGACGATAGATGCTAGGTTGGCGAATTCCTTGTCTCCAGTGATCGCGACAGACTGAACTAAGAATTTGTCTCGGCATTTCGTGTCAGGAGGAGGCTCTTGCTTCATTGCCTGGAGTATCACTGGAAACTATTAGTAGAAGAACCATATTGTATATACCTAAACTTGATAATATGTACCTGAAACCTCCACCTCTTTGCCCGGCTCAACCCGGCCTGAGTTAGGCCTGACACAGTACCTGAGTTAAGAAAGCCATCAGTATTGAGGTGCTAATAGCTTTATAGGGTTCGCTGTTTTAGATATGGGGAGGGCGTACTGCTTCGGGGCGGTAGTTTTCACCTATAATTCGTTAGCCAAGGGCCGTCAGGGGTTGCGCGAAAGGTTGCGAATAGAGATGACATACTTTAAAGCCCACCGGGTGAGAATTTGGGTTTCTGATCCGTAAGACTTCCGAAACTTCCGCGGTAAATGGCCCTACAATAGACTTGTAAGTATACCTATATGATAACGGTAATGCGATACGTAGTAAGGCTCATGACGCACGATGGAAGCCAAGCTCCTGAGGATCGATCTCGACAGACATGTTGCTGGTGTATCTGTGCACTGTATGCACACTCCAAGGATAATATTAGATCGGTATGGGTGCTGTGAAATGTTGCACTAGAAGGCAAGTAAAGAAAGGAAGGGTGTCCGAAGTTTGTTGGAGAATGCGATCGGAATCTGGACACTTTGGCACGTAAGTACCTATTGAAGGAGATAAAAAAAGATTATCAATAAGAAAAAGAAAGAAAAAAGAAGATTCAGCCGGGACTTTAGAAGTGCCAAAAATAAAAGTCGGTGTTATAAAGTTTGGCAGAATTAGAAGAAAAAGTAGGTAACAGTTAACAGTGTTCAACGATCAGAAAAAAAAAAAGGCGTTGAAGATAGAAACCTGGCTGAGATGGGATAAAAAGCACGGACTACAGTGGTGTTGTCGACGTTTGTCGTGTTACGACATAGCACTGGCATAGCACTGGCTTTCCATTAAAAAGCCCGTTAACTGGGTCTTGTCCGATGCTCTGGGACCTCAGGACTTACCTAAATTAGATATTCCAGCCTGTATCCGTACCTTAGCTACCTACCTAATTTTAGGAAGTTACCTTAGGTAGGTACCTAGGTAACTTAGCTTTTTGCTCATAGGGGTAGCTATAAGGGAAGATTAAAGTTCGTGAGTAATTACAGTACGGATTAATTACTGGACCTCTGAATCTCTGATGAAGATAATACCTTAGGTAAATGAGGTAAGCACGAGCCAGCTGTCACTTCCAAGGTTCTTGAAACAGGCCGTACCTTAGGTATGTACTTAACGTAATGAGATTGTACTCAGAGATGTACATTTACATACCGAGATATATGAACATGCACGAAATTGTGACGGAGATATAAGTACTCCAATACTTGCATAGGTACTTAGGTAGGTACCTAAGGTATCCACACTGTTGTACCTGATGAGACAGCTCTGCATTTCGGTTCGAGGCAGCATCTAGAATGACGTGCCACTAGAACGAACCATAGAATTCAGAAGCAGAAGTCGCAGTCACGTTTTACTGCCTTTACAGCTGGTCTTTTTACAGCTTCTATCGACTTTTTTCCAATACAAATTTATTTGCAAATTTACTTGCAAATGAACGCATAAATATAACCTGTCACCTTAAACACCTCAGCTCGTCGCCGCCCCATTTCTTTTCCCCCAACCAAACAACTTACAACAGTACATCCTCTTCACCTAAGCCCAGTCTTAAACGATATCCTACAGCAGCATCGCCCAAGATGTCACAGTCCGTGCTCGAGCAACTCCTGGAGATGGGGTTCGACAAATCACGTGCCGAACTGGCAGTGAAGAGATCCGACGGGTGTAAGTCTCTTGCGTCTAATCACATGCCTACGTATTATTGGGTATAGTGTACTGATGATGATCTGTCTTAGTGCCGGATGCTATGGACTGGTTGGAGAAGACCCAGGATACTCCATTGGAAGAGCTTCTCGAGGAGGAGCAATCTGGAGCCAACGTTGCAAAGGTAGATGAAGGTGCAGTCGCAATGTCACTCGTCTGTAATGAGTGTGACAAGAAGTTCCGTTCTCAAGCCGAGGCTGAATTCCATGCCAACAAATCGTGAGAGCTGTCAAATTTCTCATTTTTTATATATTATTTCATACCAAAGCTAATCTAAAATCCCAGGGGTCATACCGATTTTGCCGAGTCTACTGAACAGATTGCTCCCCTTAGTGAGGAGGAGAAGAAAAAGAGACTCGAAGAGCTCCGAGAGCGTGTCAAGGCTAAGAAGGCCGGCCTAGCTGCCGTAGATAAAGAAGAGCAAAAGCGCAATGAGGTACTTGCAGTTTCATAACCCAACCAGTATATTCCGTTCTTACTGACCACTACTTAGCAAATCCGCCAAAAAGCTACTAGGGAATCTCATGAGCTTAAGGAGGAGCTCCAGCGCAAGGAGCAGATCAAAGAAGCCGCCAAGAAGCGACAAGAGAAGCTCGATGACATCGAGGCCAAGAAACGCATCAAGGCCAAGATCGAAGCTGACAAGGAGGAACGCCGACGCAAGGCAGAAGAGGCAAAAGCTGCAAGGGCAGGAGTCCCAGTTGCAGCCCCAGCCGCCGCCGCTCCAGCGCCCGCTCCAGCACCAGCTCGTTCTGCCGTTACTCACAATGAAGCTCGACTGAGACTACAGACTTTCGGCGGCAACGTCTTGAAGACACTCCCGGCAGACACCACACTTTTCGAGGTCAAACAAATGCTGGAGTCGGAGAATGGACTTACGGTTACCAAGTTCGTCCAGAACTTCCCCAGAAAGGTCTTCGAAGGCAGCCTCGACCTTGGTAAAACTTTGAAGGAGGCTGGACTAGTCCCGAGCGCTGTTTTGGTTGTACAATAAGTTACGAAGATGCGAAGATGAGGGAAAAGGGGGTCGGGGATGTTGATTCTCACGGATGAATGATTTGGCGATGACTTGGCGTTTTGACTTTGCTTGGGAAGGTGAAATAGGAGGTTTCATGATAAGGGGGGTATCATGAAAAGAATGATGAGTCAACGCAAATAAAAGCAATCTTATGAAGATTGTAGCATTTATGCGAATGCTATTCGAGATCACTAGAGTTCCCCTAGGAACTTAAGCCGGGGCCATAAATTTGCATTTCACTTCGTTTGCACAATGAACAAATGAACAATTCACGGCGCAGTAGGACTTTTTAAATTCGTCTCTCATGGCTTCATCTGCAAAAGCCAATTGTCATATTAACCTATGACTTGGTAAAGGTCGCCCATGGCATCCTGATATTGCCTCCTTCACGCCACACCAATGGTGTATGGAACCCCAGAACCATGCAGTGAAAGTACAAAGGGAAGATGAGAATTCGTAATCGCGGAACGTGTTTAATCGAAAAGACCGAAGCCCATGTCCTCGTCCGACTCCTCCTTCTCTGCGTAGGAAATTAGTATACTTCAAGCGATGCTGCTGCACGCATGGACAGCATGAGTAGGAGGCAGAGTTGGACATACCCTCTTCCTTCTTCTCCTCCTCAGCGGCCTCCTCGGCGGCGCCAGCAGCACCACCGGCGGCGGCGGCAGGGCCACCAGCAGCGGCGGCACCACCAGAGCCGACGTTCGATAGCAGATCCTTTACGTCCTTGCCCTCAAGAGCCTAGATAAATCGCATGCATCAGCAAATAGGGTCTTTTATTTCCTCGCGAGATCGGTTCATCGTTCGTTACCTTAGCGAAAAGTTGCGTCCAGATGGGCTCGACATCAACGACCTTAGCGGCCTTGATGAGAGTCTGTAGCTTGTCGGCCTGTGTAATTATCACGATTAGTATTCTCGCGGTCCAGGTTATTATTATTATATTCGGATTCCCCCGTCAAAACACCCCGCGCTCAAAAAAGAGCTGTGCGGAGGGGCATGCGGCGGGTTTCTTGGTTTTTGGTTCTTTGCTCACAGTGATCTCAACACCGTCATCGGCGAGGATGAGCGCCGCGTACGACGAGGCAAGTTCGGCAGTCGACATTGTGTATGGGATGTGTCTGGGGGCGAATGTGGTGTTGGATGAGTAAAATTGTCGATCTGGAAGGACACAACCTCGAAGATGTTGATATTGGATTTGCGCGCTCGTGAAATTATTAGCGGAAAATCCACATTCAATTCAATTGGCAATGCGAAATTTTTGGTGGGAGGAAGATAGGGTTAGCACACGGAAGGAAAAAAAAGATTCCGCTTCGGAGAATGCAGGTGGTCTACTTTTAATTGGTTGGTTATCAGAGCCAATCAGAGCTTTAGATTGACTGCCCCGCAAGATCACTTGAAAGTTGGAAACCTTACGGCTTTTACTAGTATGTACGTACAATACAAGCCATATACAAAGCAAGTACAATACAGACTACGTAACCTAGACACCACTATTGTATTGTAGGTATTGCACTATTAGCTTGTGATGAGCACACGACCCCACCTTACCCACCTTAGCCTTAAATCCACCTGCACCTTTTGGCATTTTTGGGTCTGCCAGTCGGGTCTATGCTCTTTCCTTCATCGGCGTCTGTCTTTCCTACCTAAACCTACCTAAAAGTAAACCATTCCCCCTTCGACCAAATACTGTACATAGTAGTAATCAAGGCCTTAGGGATAAGCAGCACTTAGGAGCAGTTTCAGAAAGCTCTGACAGGTAAGATAAGATCTTACCTAACCTATAAAGTAACAAAAACAAAAAAAGAGTCATTGGCCTATACCTACCTAAGGCAGATGGTTATATGCACCTCCCGGGATTACGCATGTGTTATTGCTACTCTTTACCTTTCTACGGAACCTCAAATTGATGAAAAATCACCTATAAGTAATCAAACAAGCGATCACCTAAAGTTTAGGTAGATATCAGTGGACAAAGAGGGGGGAGCGAGGCAGGAGGGGATTGTACTAATATTTCCTCCCTTTTTTATTTTCGTTTTCGTTTACCATCTTAAGAAGTATAACGGCTTGTACGGGATTTATTCAAAGCTTCGCAGTTTAAGGAATTACTTCCAAGGACCGACAGTATGGAAACCCCAAAGATACCAGCTCCGAAGGACGAGGGCGAAAAGGAGGTCCTCGAAAAGTTAATTGCCATCCGCGATCAGTTACAGCTGCGCAAGCTCGACCGTACCACTTACGTTCGAACTCAAGATGTCATGATTTTATATGACCAGACTATTGAGCAGGTCAAAATCCTAAATGAGATGAGGCGTGGGAAGTCGGTTGAAGAGAACAGAGGTACGACAAGCAGTACACTAGAAATTGAAATAATCCCAACCTATCCGGTCGTTTACCTATAAACTTATTGTAAATAACTAACTAACTTTGAACCCTAGTGGATAGAGTTGTAGACAGCTGCTTCCAATTGCTATCGCTCTTCTTCATGACGATCGGTCGAAACAACGAGGCCCCTGCCGCCTATGCACTGACCTCGACCATTAAACGGCTCCTAGATCATCTGAACGAAGCCAACTTATACTCGGCCCGGGATCTCGAGAGCATGTCACAAACCCTTGAGCATCTGTCCGTAATAGCACACAACTCCGCCAGCACGAAGCCAGCCCCCTTTCTCGAGACCTTAATCGTCCAGAGGATAGAGAGATGTCGGGCATTATTGGCAAACCTACAGAAAAGGATCGAGGATATCGCAGAGCCATTGCGGCCTACCGCGGACAAACTGGTCTCAATAATGAGACAAATGGCCATTGTCAACACCAAATCAAAGGTAAGTTCTGTCTGTCTGCCACCATGACATTATCACGCATTAACAAATTCATTTAGTTCGCGCCATCGGAGATACATAAGCGAGAGGCGGAGCTAAAAGAGATCGGTGAGACGAGAAAAGACGGACAGTTCCTAGATGCCGACGGCAACATCTTAAAAGGCAGCGAGAGTGTCTCGAATCTGGTGGACCGATGTTTAGACTATACCAAGATTGTCCTTGAGAGGTACATAGTGTTGTCCAACTACCGATTTACAGGAGTATATTTGCTAACCTTGTTTTTCAGAAACGGCCAGTTTCCTGACAAGTGGAAGCCACTCTACGATGTCCTAGTCGGCATTAGAAATAACCTTGATAAGCTGTCGCTAACTCAAGCGTGGTCACTGCGAGAAACGGATTTATACGACTACCAACGACAGCTCGACAGGATCGACGAGAGCAGAGTAAACGGTAATTGGGTTGACGACCAGGGACAACCAGCTGAACTTTATGTCCAACGAGTACGTTCTTATTCCAGCAGCCATACCTCCCCCTAATTATCTACTAACAAAACTTTAGACGCTTCTTTACCTAATACGAAGGAGCTACGGTTATATCTACCATCTTATGATATCGTCAGAGCCTGTGTCCGAGGCTCTGTTACCGATCTACAATCAACTACAAACGCTAAAGCGCTGCCTCGTCGAAGTCAAGAACAGCGGTGGCGTGACGTCGGTGAGGGAGCTTTACCCCTATAGCATGAAGCTAAATTCCATCGACAACATGAAAGTTGACGGTAAATTCATGGTCGGGGAAGATATTCCCGAAGGTCAGGGCAGCGTAGCTGAACTGCTGGCCGAGTGCTTCGACCTGAATTACGAGCTCAGAGTGGCGGCGGAGGCGGCAACAGAGACCCCTCCATCAGAGCGTGAGTCGTGAGGTGGTTTAATACATAAAAGAGCTTTGCGGTGCAATCATTATAGAGTGGTGGCTCGTCTAATCTGGCTCGGCTGGTTTGGTGTATAGGAAGTATATGTTGTAATATCGTCTTGTGATTTATTAACTTCTACGGACAAGGCCAAATGCCATACCTCTCGTTACAAGCAAAATATGTGCAAGTAACTGGTATAGTTCTACACTAATGTAGCCGTGGACAATGGACGTTCAAAATAAATATTGATAGGTAGCTTTGGGGAGAAGGCGTCGGTCTTAAGAAATTTTCTAATCTTCTAAGCTTTGAGGCTATATTATCCGAGATCTGTAAATCAGTTGGTAGCCCAAGCCGCCAACTTGGTCTAAGAAAATGAGTTTAGTTAGTATCGTTTTCATTTTCTATAAAAGAGATAGACGTATAGCTCAGGTAATATGAGAGAAGAGCATACCGCTAATATCAGAGCCTAGAGTAGTTTGACTTTGTTAGCAACTATTAACATAAACTTATATACCAGTTACCTATTAGATTAGGTACCTACCTAGGTAGGTACCTGTTACGGTTTTGTGAGAAGTTGGCCACGTTACCTTGTCAGTATCCCAGACTCCGGATCTGGTGTAAACATCCTGCTCGAGGATAGCCTTGACCTCCTCCTTGGACTCGGCGACGAGGATCAACGTGCTGCCGTACCAGTCGAACTTGGCGGGGTCGTCGCTTTCGGGCTTGTCGTTTAGGACGGCGCCTGTTTTACGACAAAGGAAAAGAAAAGAAAATGGTTAATTGGTAGGTAGAGTAAAGTTTGCCGGAAGACTCGGAGATTTTATTTAGTGGCGTAGGATAGGATAGGTAGGTAGGTAGGTAATAATATTATAGCATACCTCCCGTTTTTAACTGCCCGGACTCGACGTACTTCTTGATGCCCTCAAAGTGCTGGCTAGAAAAGATGAATTTCACATGTAAGCCTGAGACGACAAATAACACAGCTCCCCACCACAAAAAAAAAAAAGTTTAAGTTGATTGGCGATGGTGGTAGGTAGTAGTAAAGTTTGTTTTGACTCACGCGCGAACTTCCAGCCTCTTCTCCCGGGTGCCCGGCTTGTCGGGAACGACTACGAGCCAGTTGAACTTGCCCGGGGGCGGTGTGGTGACGGACGCCATTTGGATGTGGACGGGGCCGCGAAATATTCTAGAGGTGGTGGTGCCGGTGTTACGGACTAGTGGTGCTGGCTGGAAGGGTCGGGGAAGCGTTCTAATAAAGCGAAAGGCCATAGACTCTAGAGGGGTTGTTGCGCGTTATCTATATAAGAGGTTGGTTTATATATATTATACTTTATACTACCTACCTTATATAGGCACCTAACGTAGGTATGTTACCTTCAACCAAGCCGGTGTCGTGCTCGATAGCATTGGAGTTACAGGTAGGTTAGGCTATCTATATTACTATACCTGATCTACTAACTACCGGCACTTTGAACCCCGAGGTAACGACGATGGCAGTTGAAGGGCGTATAGCCTATGTAGGGTGGAGTCCAGAAACGAGTACGTTAGGTAGTTTAGCTCTATAGATTATACTATAGTATACTACCTACTATCGCCCGAAGAAGATCTAATCGGCAAATTCGTTCCATGTGCCGTCACCGGCGAACCCGCCCCTCCCCTCCTAACCAGACCACCAGTTCGTCTTACTGTTTTCCCCGCTATGATGTACATATGTACCTTGGATACCTTATGTATTGTATTGTACAATGCATAAGAATAATGCATGTACGTACCTCGAGCCTCGAGGTCAGGTCCCGTCACTATCAAATGGTTGGACAATGCAATTGTCGCGGCATTAGGTAGGTAGGTAGCTTCTTTCCGAATTCATCATTTGTCCTTTCGCGGCGGCGCAGCCAACCAGCTAGCTGGGAACGAAAGAAACGAAAACGAGAGAGCCTCCCTGCACCATCATCATCTCGTATGTACATTCCTTATTCTCTCACTTCACTGACACATTCTTTTATCACACTATTGAACACAGTCATACTAGGAATAGCAACCCGTGATACTAGGCACGAGACTTTTCCACCTCCCCCGGGCTGAAAAGGAACGAAAAAAAAGCCTCTTTTATCCGCGTTTCTTTCTGTCTGTACCTTTTCCCTTGACCTTGGCTTTCCGATCCTCGTCCCATTTATTTTCGCTCTTAGCTCGGAAATGTGTCAACAATCGCCTGGTTTCTTGCTCTGGTCGCCTCATTATCGTTCACTACCATAGTGCTCGCCATTCGGTTATGTGTGTGTGTATTGCTACTATTAGTCTGGGCGGTCTGATTTTTGTTTACCTAGGTAATCTATTAGTTTGATTAATGACCTATCGTCAGTTCCAAATTGCTCAATGGGGCTGGAAACTAGGAGTTTGCCAAGGCGATGATCCGGTACGTTAGCTTTCGTCTTCTTCGTCTACCTAACAGGTATGTAAGAAGGGGGGGAAAAGAGAAACGCCCTTTGGATGGATGGTACCTATGTAAGTACAATACCTCAGGTAGCTGCCTAGCTCAGTGCACGGCTAGACCGGGGGGTACTTAACATCATATGTGAGAGAGAAAGCTTAGGGTTATCATCGGCGTTGCAATTGTGTCGTCATCAGCTTCGTTCCTAACATAGCCCACGCAACCAGCGCCCCGCCATGCCACTACGTAGTATGGTCCCTGAAAAAAAAAAGGAAAGGAAAAGGTGCCATTATCATTGTCGGTCTTCGGCGGTCTCGATAGCTCCCCGCCATAACAAAGACGGCTTCCAGGGTGCAACCCTCCCCGGCCCTCCAAGTTTTCTCCAGGTATCATGACCTTACTACTACCTACCTAGGTAGCTAGTGACATATAGAAATCTGGGGAAGCCGAGGCAGGTGTCATGAGTTATTTTGTGTGTTGAGTTTAAAAGTCTGGACACTTCCCACGTCCGAGAGGATGGGATTGCCTATTACGGAGACAGATGAATACATTCCTATTGTTAAACCATCTATCCGGTCAAGTACTTATATGTAACCTAATACCTACTACTACTGCTACTACTACTACTTCTCTCATCTAATCAACTAAGTCAGTAGTTACCTGTTATTCTTTATTTAAACCAATTTACCAATATACCGAGCAAGTAGTGAATTGTTTCCACACGCACACGCACACACACACACACATATATATATATATATATATACAACTTATCCTATACAGTCACAAAGTTAAGATTTGCCATAGCTCCATCAGAGCCCACTATCACCACTATCACCACTATCACAATGCTATCGCTCCACCTGCAAAGAGAATCAGAAAGGTGGGCAGCTCAACGCCAGAGCTACCCCGCCCCCTACTCCTACTCCTACTCCCTCTCCTCAAGCAGCAGCAGCAGCAGCACCTTCGACGAAAGCGACAGCAAATCCGTCTTCTCCACCACAAGCAGTAGATCGAGGCGGTCTTCCCTGTCGAGCGAAGCTCCCGACGACGAACCCGCACCCCCAACCTTCTTCCAACAACAACAGCAGCAGCCCCGAGACTCTAACGGCGCCCCGATCGCCATCTACGCGTCCCTGGAGCAGGCCGTGGCGCAGAGCACGCAGGCGGCCGAGGCCCAAGGGCCCAGGCGGCTCGTCACGCCCGGGAAACTATACGAGAACGAAGAGGACGACGACGAGATCGTCGAGTGGCCGGAGGAAGAGGGGCAGGGGCAGGACACGAAGACAGCGACAGCAACGGCAACGGCAGCAGCAGTACTAGCTGCGTAGCAACGCAGCAGCAAGCAACTATGTATGCCGAGAGCGGGTTCTCCCGCACCACCCTTCCCCCCCTCCCTAGGTTGGAATTCCAAAGGGGGGGGGGGGGGGGGGGAGAAGAAGAAAAAGAAAAACAACAAGAAGAAAAAAATGAGGGAAAAAAACAAAACAAAAAGTTGCCAAGCATGAGGTGTTTTACAGGGAGAGAGAGGAGAGAGAGGAGAGAGAGAAATTCCTGTTAATTGCGAATAACGCCACCACCCATCTTGGCGCAGGCTTGGGATTCTTGGGGGGTCTTTATTAGCTAGCTATTTTCATCTACCTACCCTACCATCGCGGTCCAAAGGGCGACCCGAAAAGGGGATATCGGCGTTTAGGAACCTGCAGCGAATGATCGGAGAATGTTGGCTGGGCAGGGCTGGGCAGTGCAAAAGCATCATGTGTATAAGTTTGGAACGGGCTGCAATTGTTTGCTTTTTTTTTCTTGTCTTGTTTCTGGATGGATGGATGGATGGATGGAACGAATGAACGATGATACCCCCCCAAAATACCTATGATAAAAAGACTCTCGTCTCTAATACAAAAATATAATCTAAATTGCATTTTTCTTCATGACTATCCTTCTACATCATCGATTTCTATATTCTAAACATTTATCTAGCATAAGCCAAAGTCGCGCAATCACCTTTTACGCTTTAAGATATCGCCCTGCACATATGTTTTGTACACCCCGTCTGTTCGCCCACCTATACTCACCCGCACGCCTAGACCTTCTGCTTAATCCTGTACTGAAGTAGCGGGGATAAAAAGCAAAAACAACATTCTACCACCAACTTTACAGCTTCGCCTTGGGAGATTCCTGCTTCTGCATTGTCTCAGCCACGATGCGCCTCTGGATCTTTCCTGTCGCCGTCTTGGGCATGACCTCGGTAAAGTAGATCTACCATAGCTGATTAGCATCTCTCCTCGTTAGCCTCCACACCAAAAGAACTGGCACTCACCTTCTTGGGTACTTTGAAATTGGCCAACTTCTCCTGGACCCAAGCTCTTAATTCATCAGGTTCAAGTTTGGCCCCGCTCTTGAGCACGACCGCAACACCGATATCCTGGCCGTACAGCTCATCAGGAATGGCGAAGCTTACGGCTTCCGAGACGGATGGGTGTCTCGTTAGCACATTGTCTAGTTCAATCGGGCTAATCTTTTCACCGCCCTTGTTGATGAGCTCCTTGATACGGCCAGTGATGATGATGTAGCCGTCCTCATCCTTCTTGCCTTGATCGCCAGTACGGAAGAAGCCGCCTTTTGTGAATGCTGTCGCATTGGCGGCTGGGTTATTCAGATAACCTTTGGTTACGTTTTCGCCCAAGATGCAGATCTCGCCCTCGGCACCCTGAGGGACCTCATCTCCAGCTTCGTTGAGAATTTTGACTTCCACGCCTTGACCCAAACCTACCGTACCAGGCTTTCTCTTCGCCGGAGGTAAGGGGTTGGATGTCATTTGGTGTGCGGCTTCCGTCATGGCATACGCTTCCAGAACGGGTGCCTTGAATTTCTCTTCCAGCTGATGGAACACTGTGGGGGATAGAGGCGAGGAGCAAGACCGGATGAAGCGAATCTTAGGAAGGGGATTCGGAGCAGGGTTCTTAAGCAGGATCTGATGTATGGTTGGTACAGCAGTATACCAGTTCGCTCCGTGGGCAATAAAATCACGCCAAAAGTCTGAAGCAGAGAATTTGGTCGGCACAATCATGGAGCCACCTGAGTACAGAGGAGCTAGGAGAGCGCAAAGAAGACCGTGGACGTGGAACAGCGGCATGACCAGCATTGTCCGATCTTGCGCGGTAAGTTTATACGTCGCCTGAATGTTTTCTATAATGACTATTAGCACAGCACTATTTTCCCTAGGTAGGTTCATCAACTTACTCATTGTTCGCGTCAAGTTGCGATGCGTCAACGGAACCTAGCTTACGAGTTAGAGAACAGATATAAAAAAGATGCGCCGGGTTAATCCATAACATACAACTTTGGGTCTCGATGTCGTGCCACTGGATAAAGAGAAAAAAAAAGCATGTTAACCAATATGTTTATAACACTGCGTCTTACTGGAACTCCTGAAAGCTTACCTCGTATGTAAGACCAAGGCAACATCATCTGGCTCTGGCCGCAGCAGGTTTTCTTTGGCCTTCCCCTTCAGTTGACCGAGATCTTTGACATCCAAAGCCACCTCGTTCTTCGCATTGTCCCAGTAGCACTCGGCGATGGCAGCATTGAACTTACGCGCAGCCTTGACAGAAGGCGCATTGGCTTCGTATGCGCCCTTGGGTACCAACACAATGGCGGACTTGATATCTTCGATATAAAACTCGAACTCCTCTTGCTTATAGGCCGGGTTTAACGGTGCGGCGATACCGCGCTGCCACGAGGTAGCAAGGAACGAGACGATAAACTCGTACGAGTTTACCGTCGCTATCGATACGGGGGAACGGTTGGTGATTCCGATAGCGGCGAGTTTCTGCTGAAAGGAGGAGCATTCGGCGATGAGGTCTTTGTATGTTACCGTCAACGGCTTCGGTTTCGAGGGTATTATAATGGCAACAGAAGAGACTACGCTATTGATGGAATTCTGAAGGGTGGTCATGTTGAAGTTTTGTCTCGCTGATGTAAGTGTATTAATGTCGTCCGAGGTTGAGGATATTCTCTCTAGGAGGTAGTAGTTGATCAATTACTTTAAAGGTAGGTACCTACGTAGACAGTCTATGTCTACGATTGATGTATGATACAAAGAAATAACACGATGCTCGAAAAAAACAAAATCAAAATTAGATAAGTAAGAAAAGTGATGAGAGTTATAAGTGTATAATAAGTGCGAAACATACGATAAGCGAAGATCTTGCGTGTTCGGCAATGTCAATGCAAGTTTGAGGTTCTTGCCGTTACGTACCTAACCTAACCTAAGGTAGGTACATAACCGTTGCTTGCTACTGCCGTCCCAACCGTGTCAACCGTGTCAACGGGTCCCACCACCCATAACTTGGGATCCAAAGTCTAAGGAGGTAGGTATGGTGTAACTAATGGTACCTTCCCTAGAGCTGCCTCTGAAGTTCCCTAACAAATTAGTGCCGATGACCTGATAATTAGTGGGCATGGCGATATGAAACCCCTGTAAATTTCAGAGCTTCTAGCGTCAACTTGACATTAGCTTAGCTACCTGGTACAATACGTAACTTTTTACTTTAGGTACATTCCAACCTAATATTATTCAACTTATTTTATTCACGACATCTCTTTTTCTTCAGCCTCGCGAAGTAGGCTAAAACAACTATTACCGAAACCACCACAGACATGGCTGCTCAACAGCCGCGGACAGGTCTGTCCTTATACGCTAACCTTCTCGAGCCCGAAGGCGACTCGTCTACCTCCATATCCCGCGCTCCAGTAGTGTCGCAAGAAGCGCTGGAAGCAGTGAAGGAGCAAGAAGCAACCAAGAAGCCTATCGACCCTGCTCTCCGCTTCCAGCCGCACCCGCAGATCCGCCGCCCGCAACAGAAGACCCAGAAGCCTAAACCCGCCTTCCCAAAAGTGCCCACGGTCCCCAATGCCTCCAACATCCCTGGGGTTGTCGCGGCCCCGCCAAAGAGTACGCTAGCCGACTGGGCGCCTACTGAGGAGGACGAGTATATGTACGGGACGGTGGAAAGGAGAGCTCGAGGCGGGCGTAAGAAGAAAAAGAAGAAGGCCGAAGATGTGCCCGTCGAGACGGATTGGGACGAGATTTACGACCCTTCGCGGCCGACAAATGTAGACGAGTACTTGCGGAGTGACGAACGCATACGCGAGGTACGAGAATGGAAAGACTTGCTTTACAAGCATAAGCGGCGCGACGACGACGATTATGACAACGACGAGAGGCGCGGTAGCTGGGATAGCGAGGAGGAAGATAGGGCTCCAGTACAGAGTGAGTTGACGTACCTGATATACACCTGCGGTTGCAATTTGCTAATATATAATCTTTATAGACCAATTTGCGCCCCCAGGTTCATATTCCTTCGCCCCGCCGCCCCCTTCACCTCCCCGAGCTTCGATACCAGACGACAAGACCGGCGACGATGCCTACGCACGCCGACTAGCCATGTCCCAAGGCGCCGTACCTCCACCTCCACGCTCGCCTACACCTCCTCCCCCGCCGCCACCTCCTCCGCCTCCGGCACAAGCAGCGCCACCTCCCGAACTAGAAACCGCAACGATATCCCGCGCACCGGTGCGGTATACCCAACCACAACCTCCGGCGCCTCCCGATCCAGACGCCATGGACGAAGACCGGGACGAGGACGAATACGTACCCCCCGACCTGCCGTCTAACTCCGAAGAAGCGCCCGAACAGCGTGCCAACAACACTCGATCCCGCGATAAGGGCTTCGCCGCGCGCCTCATGGCCAAGTACGGCTGGTCCAAGGGCCAGGGTCTAGGCGCCGAGGCCACCGGCATCCTGCAGCCGCTGCGCGTGGAGGTCGAGAAGCGGAAGAAGAAGTCGGACGCGGAAGGCGGCGGGTGGGCCGGGCCCGGCGGGCGCGGGCGCATCATCGGCTCGAAGACGGGCGAGGCAGCGCAGCAGCAGCAGCAATCCGAGGGCAGCAGCAGCAGCAGCGGAAAGAGCAAGTTCGGACCGATGAGCAACGTCGTCGTGCTGCGGAATATGCTGGAGGGCATGGAGGACCTCCAGGCCGAGATGGAGTCCGGGCTCGGGCAGGAGATCGGCGAGGAGTGCGGCGATAAGTACGGCCGCGTCGAGAGGCTGTATATCGACGTCGAGGGCCGCCGGGTTTATATCAAGTTCACCGATCAGGTCTCCGCCTTACGGGTGAGTTATTTTACAGGTTTAACATTTACCCACCTACCTACCTATTTACCATCTCGATGCGATATTCCCCTCCCCCCTTCCCCCCCTTTATATATATATATTAGAAGTTGTTATTGTTAGAGTCTAATTGCTAACTAACATCGATAACAACCACGCTCACAGGCTGTAAATGCTCTAGACGGCCGCATATTCGCCGGTAACACTATCCAGCCGCAGTTCTACGACGTGGACAAGTTCGAGCAGAGAATATACGAGTAATGCAATTAGGTTTTACCTTAGAGGTTGGGTACTCCAGGATGCCTCTCGGTGGAGAGAGTTATCTAAGAGTAAAATAAAGGAGAGCTTCGCATTTGCATGAGTTAGCTAGAGAGCTGTCCGTAATATATACCTAAGGTTAGGTACCTAGGTATATATCTTAATGATTACCTATATACAAAGATCAAAAGCCTTGGTTCTATAACTACCTCATATATAACTGGCCTACAATGTTTCCCATAACAAGAACGAGTAATGTTAGAGACTCAAGCGTGGGTGTATGTATATAAGATAAGACAAATAAATAGACCCATTAAAGGGAGGCCAGACTTGTTGATTCCGGTTAGCTACCTCCTATATAAGAAGACCGCTTTTAGGATGAACATTTAATGAACAATTATGAAGCTCTAGGATTCACGTAAACTTTGAAGTATCAACTGGGTAAACTGCTTATATATATAATCGAGTCATGTTTTCATACCGGGTATACTATAGTACCTCCTATTGAAGCCTTCGGAATACTTAAACCGAATACTGCATATACTGCTTCCAGACCAAAAGGCTCGCAATGTCATAATTGGGACCGCATCACACTGCTTGTTCCGCCATAGTACCATAAGATACCTAACACTTAGTACAATCAGAAATATTAGACTTGCATAATAACGCAAGATAATAACGGAATGAAAAAAAAAAAAAAACGCAAATTCACCAGGTATTTACAAACCCGCTCTCATTAAACCATTTCACAATTGACGAACGAAAACCATCTGCCAAGTAGCACATGCATCAATATTAAGTCTAGCGGTTCCTTATACGTAGCCCAGTTGCAAATTGCAACCCCTCAAACGACAACAGGTTTTATGACACTGGAAAAAGGAATGTTGGGTATGCCGCCACGTTCCGCCCCAAAAACATCCGTTTATTACAAGAAAGCGGCAACAGCACCGCTAAGAGCAGCCAAGGTGACAAGACTGGTAGAAACAACGTTAAAGGACGCCGCGCTATCCTTGTCATCGCTGCTGCTACCAGAACCCTGGCTGGAAGCGGAAGAGGTATCGTTGTTAGCATCGGCGACCTTACCCTCACAATCGTAGCGTCCCTGGACAACACCACCATCAAGGCTCTTCAAATCGTCACAAGACTTCGTGATGTCCTCAGTGCTGACAACTTGGAAGGCACCCTTGACGTCCTTAAGGCTGGGAAGATCGACCTCAGTGAAAGAGCCTCGGACCTTGACGGCACCGCCAATTTCGTTGAGCTTGCTAAAGCCGTCGAGCTTCTCCAGAGCAGTGTTGTTGGCAATAGTGAAACCACCACCAATGCGCTTCAAGGCGGGGATTGTAATGTTCGTGAGTTGAGGGTTGCTGACGAAGGACAAATCACCATCCTTGATCTCGGTCAAGTTGGCGGCGGTGAAAGTCTCGAAGTAGTTGGAGTCGAAGCGCATAGAACCGTTCACGGTGTGCAGAGAAGGGACCGAGAAAGAGGTGACGTTGGCAATCGTCATGTTGGCGATCCACTCTAAGTTCGGCATCTCCATAGTAAGGTTAAGACCGTTGGCGGTTACATACAGGGTGTTGCTAAGGCTCTTAATGCTGGAAGAGAACTTGGTCAACCGTCGGTTGTTGTTGATGTTCATGTCAGTAAGAGACTGGACATTGATGCCATTGATGCTCTCAATGAAAGTATCGGCAATCACGACACTCTTGGCCTTAGTGATACCGGTGGTTCCGAAGGTGGGCTCAGGTAGCGAGTTCAAGGTGGACCAGTCAATAGAGCCAACCTCGTTGAGCTTGGGAAAGGTGAGGGTAGAGATGTGGGTAGCATTCTTCAGAGCGAAGACACCTCCGATAGTTTGGAGAGAGTCACTCCTGAGGGTAGCCAAAAGACCATTGTTCTCGGCCCTGAGGTCGCCACCAATTTCCTTGAGCTTTCCACTAAGGTCGATATCGGGTCCAGCATTGGTGTCAATGATGACATCACCGTCGACTGAGTCGCATTTGGCGATTTCTGTGGCATCAGCAGCTGATCGGATTGTCGCAGTCGGGCCATCACAGCTCACACCAACAACACCTATTGACTTTATCAGTACACCGAATGTAAAGCATTTTATACATATTAGCTTACCAGACACCATGCTAATTGCCGCGGCGGCAGCTAACAATTGTTTGCAGAACATCTTGTCAAACTATTGTAGATATTGTTAGTTATTGTTCCCATATATATTGATACGAAAGTCTAGATTCAGAGTTGCAGATTCCAGGGGGTCAGTTTTGTCGGCTGGAGCAGTTATAATTGCATGACCTTCGAGCTATACCCCCAGTCATAACTTGGCATAGCCTGACTGCGAACATGATTCCAATTGAGTGTAGACAATCCACTTGTTCCGTATTCATCGGTTTCGGTGTGATGTAACTGGTGAATTTGGTTCGACGCGAATAGTACGGTTTCCGAGATGACAATCACCGCCGCTCCTGAACACTCGAACTTTGTTCCAACTTGAATTCATCGTCACGACCCGACAGTTTCCAACCGTTGATCATGAATTTCTGAAGATGGTCAAGTATGTCGTCGTAATTCCCGTTGCCATGCGACACCCACTCAAAAAGCGGACTAACACCCGACCGGATGGTTCAAGTTGTTTGCTAAGGAACATGATGCCGTGTCCAATCATACGCGTCGTGCCATCCAAAACCCAGTTTAGGTGACCCGGAAGTGTATCGCAGCAACGATGAAGTAGGACAATACCCATTGAACAAGTTGTTATAGTAAAAACGTACTAACCTGATAATATTCTCAAGATCTAATTTCCAGAAATCTTCAAACTTCAGACTTATCCGAATGCCCCCAAAGCTCCTCTCGACGTGGTTTTGTGTTAGATAACGTGTTGCTGCTTTGATTGGCTACTGATGATGGGAATGAGTAGAAAAAAATTTGTTGTAGTAACGCGGTTGTGAGAAAATGGAATTGAAACTCGAAGGCGGTAAATATTAAAGTGAGGAAGCTATTCAGCGAGTGCTCTTCCTTTCTACGGGGGGAATTATTGACAAAAACGAATGAATCCGAATGGGAAGAAAGAGGAAGATGGATAAAAAAAGAGTTGGAGAGGGAAAGTCAGGACAAGAAAAGGCCGAAACGTTTTGGAATTCGACTTCAGATGGGATGGCGTGGCTCCTGGGAAAGTAGGGGGTGTGAGAAGAGTAAGGGAAGGGGGATTGGGGGTGGACCTTTAAGGGGTTGGCATGTACAGTGCGCGTATCTGATAAGCTACTATCCAACCAGATCCAATAGCAGATGAGAAAAATTGGGGGCATAGACTAGGGGATCTTCATCAATTTCAAGCAAAGCAAGCAAGCACCTGCCGGGAAGGCCAGAACCAAGTTGTTGCCAGGTTTACAGGGCTCAGTTGCCCCCGGTATGAAAAAAAAAAAAAAAAAAAAAAATAATAATAATAATAAAGCAGTCGGTGCTGAACTACCTTAATCTGCCCATACCTAACATTACCTGCTAGGTACCTTAGGTAGGTAGACATTGTACCTCACTGGTCAAAACAATAAAAGGCAGCCAAGACGTTCAAATAACCAAGTAAGGTCCATCCGTTTTTTTTGTTTTTTTTCTTGACTGCTGCACAGTTAACTCCTTTTGGCATGCATTCGTATTTACATCGTCACCAAATGCATGCCCTTCTTTTTCTATAGCCTATCAACAACAATTCCCATCTTCCATGCGATTAGGAGAAACAACCATAGACCTTTTTTACGAACTTACCTCATGTAAAATGGCAGAACGTACCTAACCGCGGACATATATCCCACATGTACATACTTAAGGTACATATGTACCTAGGTATGTATGCATGTACATATGTACGTACATAGATTACGAGAGGCATCCGAGAGTTGGAAGGCATGGAAGAAAGGTAACAGGGGTAATACCGTATGAATACTAAACAAAAGGCAATGTCGTAGTCTTCATATCATGTTCGACCAACTTGGCGAGATTAGCCCTCATTTTCCACGGACCCAGTTCGGTAAAAGCAAGGAAATAGCTGGATAATCCACTCCGTCAAATTCACATCTCATCAGTCAGTTCAACGTTCGAAGGGATAAGTACTTGTTATTAGTTGTATCAAACGTATGAGGCTAATATAACTGCTGCCCGCCTACTATGGTAAGTGCCCGTCTAACTGTGCGCCGGTCTGATCGGTTATCTTTTTTTTTTCTTATACCCACCAAGCCACGGCTTTTTAATCCACTAATCCACTCTCACCTTGATCTGATTCTGGATATGTTTCTACGTCGTTTCACGTAGTTCTCTTTTCCCGGATTCCACGGCCTATTAGAAAGCTGCAGGACGTACAGAAGCGCGGATCTTAACAGCTGAAATGTGTAGCCTACGTAATACATTACAACGGAGCTTGTTTTTACAGCAAGCATCTTACCCATTCATTCTGATAGTGTGCGCCAGTGGTACGGAAGATGACGAGGATGGGATAACGCCGATCTTTTTTAGACTGTGATTCACCGTGACCCCCGTGCCGATTACCCTCATCCTATCGTGGTGTTATCGTGGTTTTATCGCTCACATGCGAGAGAGTGTGAGTTAAGTTCGCAAGATAGGTATGTAGGTAGACATATCTATATTATTTGTCGATACATACCTACCTAAGCCACCTCAGTCAGGATAGCACGGAATAATAAATATCTAAGGCATGTAGTGCATACCTCTATCGTGTGGTAAATATACATAGTACCTATCTAGGTATACACTATAAATATCCATCTCTTTCAATTCTGGAAGAATCTCGATTCAAAATCAAATCTTTAAGGAAGCTCCATCCTGTTCTATTCCAAGCCCGCGGCACGGGCTCGGGTGCACTGTATTTGGAACTTATTGATGGGAATGGGATGCCACCTGCACCTCCCTATCGATGTCAATTGTATTCCGTACATAGTACCCGTATATCATTCTAGTCTCACCCCACCCCCTATTCAGGCTGTGTACCTAGGTTAGGTACGCATCAATCCAAGCTGGGTCCCATCTTATTTTAGTGGCATATCGTCCAGGCACATTATGGAAAGAGGCCTGTAGTTCAGCATGGGATGCACCTGTAGTGGATGCTAAGAAGCTTAGCATCATGACACTAGACTTGATTGGAGGAAAGGTCGCCTCCGTCTGCATGGTAATAGAAAGTAGTGTACCTCCACTAAGAATGTATCTAAGTATTTTCCAATCGTTCTTAGCAAGTTCAGGTCGCTTTTTTCCCACTTCTTTGTCTGCTTTGGAGACACGCTTTCTTTCGCTGCCGACGACTGCTGGAATAACGCAATCCGTCCTATATGTATAAGAAGAATACAATTTCCATAGAGATAGCACTACAACCGCCATTTCAGATATCGTCAGCGGCGTTGCTTACGCGTCGCTCTGAACCTCACCTTGACCTTTCTCTGCTCGAACTCGACGAACACGAGAAAAACACATGTATATTTTCTTTCCGTATTAACAAGCAGTATTTTTTATTATTTTTTGAACCACTCCACCCCGTCTGTGGCAACTATCGACCAACGCACTCCTATTCGTTCCTTGTCATGTACGTTGTCGCGTCTCGGCTTCTTTGATTCCACGGGTCTGCGACAAAATGGACAGCTAGCGGCGTCTTCTCCTTGTTCGAACTGCGTCATGGATTACCCATCACACGCCCATCTCTAGTGATATACTAAATGGATGAGGCCCGAGAACAAGGCTTTTGCTCGTAATAATTTCTAGTTTGCTATGTATTCCACATGCTAAGCTATTAATTATAACAATTCATAGAATTACGAAGTTAATCCCTACCTATCGAGTAAGTATATTTAAACCATTTTTGCATTGAATGCAATACGAAATCTGTAATACCTGATGCAGTATGTATTCTTAGTGAGGTCTTGGAAATTTTGAGGTTGTCTTTGAATTGCTAAGCCTCCTCCAGGTAACCCCCGAGCATCATACCATTTGTAATTAATGCCGTCTAATGCAACCCATGTCGCCGGCAAGTCTCCAATAACATGACCCCTATACAATATGAAATGATGACTCCTATCATGGAGGTCTCAACTCTCCACAACCTATAAATATATATACCTCATGTACTCTCTTTGTACCTACTTACCAAATATCTTTATGACTATCAATAACAATAATAACGATGGCAATGACGATATCTATTTAATAAGGCGTTGCATTTCGTTACTCAAGACAAGAGTCTTCTTCAGCCTTGGATATGCAGAACCGCCTCTCCTTTCGAGTGATATAGTACAACTCATATCCCAGGTGACCTAGGTGGCATGCCCACACACCGCATTACCTATCAGACCCTCACTTTTGCCTTACTCTGAGACTTGGCGAACTCGCACTACGTACCTAGGTAGGTATCCAACCCGCCGGCTCGTGGGTTTTTACAATGGAAATGTTTCACAGGCAGCACGGGAGCACAGCTGATACCGAAGCCGTTGAGCAAATTGAGGAACCATAATTGCTCGACCTCCAAGACACTCGACTTGGCCTAGAAAAAGGAGGCAACCAAATTTTCCATCTATCGGTTGAAAAAAAGCAACAGCTTAGTTTCATTATAAGAAGCCTATGTAAATTGGCATCGAACTACTACTCGCCTTCTAAACGGGTGCAGTCCATAGACAACTCAACTACGTCTAGCTCATCCATCCCACCTGCCTTTAACTACCTAAGGTACCTAATAACGCCAATGATTGTATCGCCGCGAAAATCAATCTAGTCGAACGCCAAAGTTTTCACAACAGGTAAACTACTTCGCCAGAAGTCCTCGAAGGAAGACGTCGTCACAATATCGGCCGAAAGACGAGAGCGTCTCTAAGATAGGAAAGGGAGTCTTTCCGAGATACTACTTGACATATTCCTCGATTGCGGTGTTGTATAGGTTCTAGCATGAAAACTTCAGGACGATTGGGCATTATCCATCAATTAGGATCATACTAAAGATTATCCTAATGTTTAATGGAACTTGTGACCTTATAGATTACCTACCTAGCATATACTCGACGAGGAGAGATACGAATTTTCAAGACTTCCGAGACTACTAGAAATCTTGGTAGGTCTTCCTGATGAGCGAATCGCAACTTCTTTCGCAGGTATATCTACAATATCTGACAGAATTTCAGATAATTAGGTACTTTCACCTATGTATCTGTTTACAGTCTATGTAGGAAATTACCTGTAGACTAAATTAGGAGTTGCTTTGAGCGGTCGAACAACTGGCTCGAATCCACGAAGTCTATTGATCGATATTTTTGAGTTCCCCTCCCGGTCCGAAGTTGTATAAGATGCATGAGAATTGTATGAGGTTCTATTCTAGTTGGAGCAAGAATATCTTGTATTCTTCACTCTCTTTGGACCTGTGGACCTCAACAGCTTGTGTTTGGATAGACGATATGGCATTGTTTGTGACTGACTGACTGACTGACTGACTGACTTTGACAAGTGCGCTATCATCAAAATGTCAGGACGGCCTACTATGTGCAGAGGCTACCAAAGTCGGTGACTCTCGCGCCCAGCGTCAAATCATCTCTCCGAAGCTGGTCATATAGCTTAACACCTCAGTATCCATCACGCAGAAAGCTTCTTGCTCTTGCGATGCCTAAGCCTTGCGCAGATATTGCTAGACACCTAATGTCAAATGACCTTATTTTATCGTGAAAAGACCCCCGAACGAAATTTCTCTTGATGCAAAGGTCCAAGCTACTAGATATTCCCAATGTATAGGAAATATCAAGCTCATCAAAAAACTCATCAAAGTTTTGGAGATTGATTGATTGGTGTCAGTAAATGTACAACTTGAGCGTATACGCCTTCGCTTGATCTGGGAATCAAGCCAAATTCAAGTAGGCAATGGCCACATTATTCTAATGTGCTTATGTCCGTCTCCTCAACTCTCCACATATACCACTAATGACTGTTAGCAAATGTACCTGGATAAAGGAGTTCCATGTGTCAAGTTGCCATGCTTTCATACATACCATGAAGACACTCCTATATGGAGCAAATTTCCTAGATATCTCTCGCATCTCCCATTCTGACATATACTTCCATTTACCGCCCTTGCTTTTTAATCTAGCCACATCGCGCCCGACGAATGCAGCCATGCCTCTCTGTACCCCTAGGTCACCCAACGCGAAGACATCAAGCCTCTTCAAACCGAAACAGGCAAACATATCGACGGACCAACGGCCAAGGCCTTTAACTGCAGTTAGTTTCTCCACGACAACGTCGTACGGCGCGTCTAGTAGGAATTGAGCGCTTAGCTCGCCGCTGGTAAACTTCTCCGCCAGACCTTGCACATATTCGGCCTTGCGTTTCGAAAAGCCGACTGAACGCAGCCGCTCGATGGTGCAGGTTGCGACCTGAGATGGATGCGGGAATCTACCGCCGTTATCGAATAGATCAATAAACCGTTGTTTGATTGCCTTGGCTGCTGCTCCTGAAAGTTGCTGCGAAATGATACCACTGCATAGAGATTCGAAGGGGTCGATCTTTTCGTTCAATCCCTCTTCCGAGAAAACCCGGCAGTGATGCTTCTCGATTAGAGGCTTCATCCGCTCGTCGACGCTGATGAGGTGCTTACATGCCTCTTCGAGGATGTTGGTCGTCGTTACCTGATCGGCCGACGCCTTAGATGGAGATATGTGCCTAGTCACTACTCGAGATGTCTCGGGCGAGAGAAGCGTCGCGTTTGTGGCGTTTGGATCTGCTAGCCGCCTGACAGCCGCTGGTTTTGGTTTGGGTGTCTCGAACGCCTGAGCCGGCTCGCCAATAAGCTGTACGTTACTCGGCGTGGGCGTTGCAGGTGGAGGGTCATCAGATTTCTTTTGAATACGACGCCTCTTGGGAGTTGCAGGTGCCTTAGCTGCTAAGCCTTCGTCAACGGTCCCGTTTAAGCCATCTTGTGGCGGATCCAATGCTGCTTTCCTCTTACGGCCCCGAGATGTTGGTTTTGGAGCGGATGGAGGAACTGATATGGAATCTGATTTGGAATCTGAGCTTATCGACCTGGCGCTCAATCGTGCGGATCTGCGTGTCGCTATATTCGCCATTTGACAATTATGAGATATGTATTGTCCTAATAATAGTGTGGAAGGTAAGTATCTTCTTCTAAGGCCACTATGAAATAAGTGGCGTCTATATGATGCAAAACATGGAATTGCCTGCACGAGCCTTGCGATGGATTTGCAGAGATAGACGTGAGACTTTGAAAGTATGTTTTGGTAAGCTTGAGGAGGCATGTGCAGTTCACGGCGTCGCGGACGAAGTAAGATGAGATCGACTGCGATTAATTGTTTAAGTGAAGATCGTCGACTGTATAAGCAGAAAATAATCCCACAGAAGTCATCAAGTCAATCGTCTGTATAAATCAGGAAATAAAAAAAGTAAATTAAATACAAGCTCGATAAGGTATAAAGTATAAGGCATTGGAATCTCTACAGGTCAGGTGGTATGTGTTTCTCTTATTGTCTTCTTTTTCGTTGCTTTGTCATTTCGGTGTGAGAGTAAATAAATAATGCTAGAACCAATGAAAATATTAGGTATTTTTTTCTGACTCATACCTAATCAACTTAGATACCTACTTAGGTAGGTACGGAAAGAGTCTACGAAGTAGCAAGTAACGATATGTTTACTAATAAGGCACAGGTGCAATGGTTTTAATATGGCAAGAAGGGTTTGATAGACAAGGCTGGACAGGAAGGGTTGAATCTCCACACGTGGTTGCCTGAAATTATATAAGTGCATAGTCTAAAAGTACTAGCCCTATTTACTTGGTACGTTTCTCTCCCGAGGTGTTGAATCTTAGGGTAGAGAGCAATTGAAATATACCTAGGTATGTAGGTAGTGAAACTTATAGACCTAACAATGGGAGGTAGTTATACTAAAAAAAAAAAAAAAAAGCTGAAGAATTATATAAAAATAAAGATAATTGTATAGATACCTTTAATAAGTGGGTATTTAAATTGTCTGTCCTTGCCCATTCAAATGTCAAACTCGTAGTTCCTTTGAAATTTTACTCCCGTAGTATTCTGCTGTTGTCAGTGCCTGTCAAATAGGCAGTCTACGATGTTGGATGTACATTAGGTACGTACATAACACTAGGTCTCCTCGTTCTCCACCTCTAAAACCGTAAGCCCCCCCATGGGTCTTTCCAAGTGTGACTTTGGGGGGACTTTGGTGTAGTCGTGCTGCGTGCATCCGCAGGCATCTTAAGCCGCCAGAGGTTCCAGGCCAGCTACCTGGCTAGGTACCTGGCTACCTGGGTAATGTTTCGTGTCAACTAAACCTACCAAAAAGCCTTCCAAAACTTACCACTGCCACGACCACCCCAAATCTTGACTATTTTTATTTTATTTTATTTTTTTTCAACATAATCGGTTCGTCCAATTTGGAATCTTCTCGCGCCAATTCATTTCCTTAGTCCTTGGTGCCGATTTTCGAACATTCGCAACCACGAGACAACCGCGATTACCATAAGACCGATCTTCTTATCAGCGATTTCGAGACTACCCAATTAATTACTCTAATTATTACGCTCGTTGATTTATTAGATTTCATTGTCTAGCCGCCCTTCGTAAACGTCGTGCTATTCAACCCGCACCTTGATACCCCGGAAACGCGGTCAGCCCCCATAAACGAGCAAGAGCCTGCCTCGCATCCGCATTTGGCTTTCAACCTTTCCTTCATTTGCTTGTACTCGCACTCGCGCAAACCTAGGGTGGTGCTGAGGGCCGCCCAAAGAGCTCACTCGCCATGCTTCTTCCCAAAGGTGGCATCACTTGGAAGTCTGCCAGGGCACAGCTTCCACGCACCAGAGCGATCTGGATCTTCTTAACAAGAACCCGTGTGCTACTTTCGATTGCCGTCGCTGGTATCATCTTATTATTATGGCGTGGTATCAGAACTTCGGCAAGCGAGATGCAAAGGTATGTATTGTATTGTACAACTTCGTAGCAAACGTTCTGAGCATACACGTTACTAACATGTTTGACTTTTACAGCTTTTATTGCTGGGGTCCCTCGAAACCTCCGATGGATATGACGCTTAACGAGCAACAGGCCTGGAACGCTCACCTGCAGACCCCCGTTATATTTAACCATCACGCCCCGATAACCATCAACGAATCCTCGATATCGCATGTTAATCTCAACGGGATCAAATCTACACGCCAAGCTATTGATAATAACGAACGAGTACTCTTACTTACGCCCCTCAAGGATGCTGCGCCGTACCTTTCGAAATACTTCGAGCTTATTGCTGAGCTGACGTATCCTCATCGCCTCATCGACCTCGCGTTCCTTGTTGGGGACTCGACTGATGACACTCTAGGTGTGTTGGGGATGGAGCTTGATCGCATCCAGAAGCGTCCGGATAATATCCCGTTCAACAGTGTCACGGTCGTCGAAAAGAGTTTTGGAAGTCATCTCAGTCAGTCCGTTGAGGATCGTCATAGTTTCGAGGCTCAGGGTCCGCGACGAAAGGCCATGGGGCGCGCTAGAAATTATTTACTATCCGCTGCGCTGAAGCCAGACCATTCTTGGGTGTACTGGCGCGATGTTGACATCGTAGATAGCCCCAAAAGCATTCTCGAAGACTTCATCGCTCATGATCGAGATATTCTAGTTCCCAGTATGATTTCCTTTCTACGACATGTATGAAAAGGTCGCCTGCTTACTTTTTTGTTTTTATAGATATCTGGTTCCACCGTTACGAAGGCACGGGCGACAACAAATATGATATTGAAGGCAGATGTAAGCATATTCCAAAGACCGCACTTGGATCATCGCTAACCCTTGGATATAAGTCGACTATAACTCTTGGATCGAGTCTGAGAAGGCCCTGAAACTAGCATCTAAACTTGACAAGAATGTAATTCTGGCTGAAGGTACATACTCATTACCCTAAGATATTATAAATATAGCCACTAATCGATTATAACCTTGAAGGCTACAAGCAATACGACACCGGCAGAACCTATATGGCGCGGATGGGCGATTGGCGAAACGACCCGAATGAGGAAATCGAACTGGACGGTATCGGCGGCGTTAACATCCTAGTGAAGGCGGATGTTCACCGATCAGGTTTGTTATTGTTGTATGCACCAGCTAAGAAGACGAAGACTAATCGTAAATTGCATAGGCATCAATTTCCCATGCTACGCCTTTGAGAATCAAGCCGAGACAGAGGGCTTCGCGAAGATGGCCAAAAGAGCAGGCTACGAAGTCATCGGCTTGCCCAATTATGTCGTCTGGCACATTGACACAGAAGAGAAGCCGGGGAACGCATAGATTAGCGGTATCCAGCTTTTTTGAAGATGAAACATTCTAGAATAATTTTTCTTTTCTCTGGCATAGTCGCATTCCTTCAGTGTACCAAATTTGGGTCCGCCAGTCTCGGGCACTCCATGTCCAGGCGAGACAGGGAACGTAATACTTGTACGAGCAACTCACGAAATACGCATACGCTAAACCATGGCATCAAATTACCAGCACGGTCAGATACGTTGGGCAAAGAGGCGTTGGGAAATGATAGGATAATCGATCCTTGCGTTTTTGAAACCCCTTTCTTCTTGTTCTTTTCTCCGGCATAGCGTTCAAAAAAGGGGGGGTGGAAGTTCGGCACCTCATACTATTAACAAGTACGCCTCGACCTTGAGAACCTAGGCCTATAGCCCTCGATCACCTATTTCCCATCTCGACGTTCCACGCCTCATATATATTGGTTGTTCGGTTGGTCTGGTTGGTGGAGCAGGTTTGGACTTTGTATGTGTTTTGTCGTGCTTGGGAAAGGCCATGATGGCATGTTATGACTTGGGGAGGCGGGAGGCGTCCATGAACTTTCTGTAATAGAAATTTGGCTGTTCATATTGCCCTCGGGATGGATCCTGAAGGCAGGTTGAAAGGGGATGGATGTACGCATGTCGGGGTGCGCTTTGCACGGAGTTTTCGTTGGCTAAACTACTGTCGTGGTAATCTCACTGGCAAATATAGCTTATACAGGGTCTGAGATTCAGCCATAAAAGAACTACTGTTTTTTGTTTCAGGAGTCCGCATGGTATGGTGTCGAAGGCGCTAAATCAGCAGATAACCCAGCAAAACTAATATATGCAACCTATTGCATGAGGGGGTGTTCTTGCATTTGTCTTATCTGTACTCTCGTAGTGCTCTCTGGTTGCTTGATATCACAGATGAAATGGACCGTTTATCGAATCTGGTTGATTACCTGATATAACTTTGTCGAGCACCTATATAGCAACATAGCAGTTGCCAAAAGCTAAAGGCTGAACTGGCTAAGCTCTCCGAGGTTCTCTAAGATTACAACGATACGGGATTGAGAGGAGATTAAAAAAAAGTCTAGATATATATACAGGTAGTTATAATATATCTTTGATTGGAAACGTTCAATTCGTCGAGTTTTTACAGCCTAAGACTCCTTTGCGGACAAGCATGTCTCTTGTCCAATCACGCTCTATTCTTCTCGTCGTTTAACGCAAGGTTGTTTCTTCTTCTTTTTTGTTTGGCTTATGGTACAAATAACTCGCCGTTGTTTGAGACGCTAATGTATATATTTGTTTCTTCGGTTTAGTGGCTTCGAATGACGGTCAGAGTGTCCAGCGCCTTCTTCTCCTTCTCCTCGGTATAGATCTGGTCGATCAAGGGCTTCAGGTAGGGAACGTCCTATAATTATTTTTCCCCAATCGATTTCCGTTAGTCACTGGTTTTTGAGAAAAAGAAAAAGAAAAAGAAAAAACTCGTAGGTTGTAGAACCACCAAAACATGCGCGCGCATTGGGCGGGTGCTGCGGCTGCTACGGCTGGGCTCAAAATAGCATATTTAGGTAGGTAGATAGGTAGGTATATAAAGCTTACCTCCTCGGGCTTGGTCCACTCCTCCTTGGGGAGCAGCTTGTGGACGGTGCTGGCCTGGAACGCACGTCGTAGTCGGTAGACGCGGTCGTACGCTTCTTTCGGCGGCAGGCGCTTCAGGGCCCTGACGACGAGCTCGTCCTCCTCGACAATCAGATCGTCGGCGCTGCGAGAAGGGGACAATTGCATGTTAGCCATCTGAGCTTTATCCACCACTTCAACCGTCATTTTCCCGCACTCGATGTTGAGGAGGAAGAGGAAGAGGAAGAGAAGGAGGAGCAAGAGCAAGAGTAGTTGCGTACCGAAGACCGAGCTGGCGATAGCCGGCGGCATTGGCGTACCAGTTTGCGACGGGCTTGAATAGGTTGTTCAGCCATGGCCGCTTCATGACGAAGGGCGCGAGAGTCGGGTAAAAGGAAGCCATTGCGAGGGAGGGTTGGCGGTTATCTGTGGGCGGTGGGTGGTGGTGGGTGGTACCTAGAATGAGGAAGCTTCCCGGAGAAAAGGTGGGTGATATATGTTTGCCGTGATTTAAGAGCGTTTTTAGTCTCGATTTTCGGATTTGATGTTTCCAAAATGGCTCTCTCAATTGGTTGAGTCACGTGATGATGCACCGCACCCTTGGGTACTTCTGTCACTTCTGTCACCTTTTTTACTTGGCTCTCGGATCGAACCTACCTAGAGGTACCTAACCTAAGGTACCTAAGATTAAGTAGGTACACACCACTTACCTAAGGTAACCTGATTCCAGGTTTGTAGTACCCCTCATTATAGAGCCTCCATCTGTACCTAAGGGGTTATCTTACGCTGTGTATCCAATTCAAGTAACATCATCGTACCATTTAGAATGAGATATCGGGAAAAAATGCAGTTCACGTAAATTCAATATATTAAAGTATAATTTTAATGCTGCATTCCTAAGAGCTTTATTTCCTGTCTGTCTTGCGCAGCTCGAGTTTACAAGTATATACTCTCTATAACCATCATACCTCTAAAGCTTACTTAGATAGAGGTAGTTCATGTCGACTCCAATTCAAAATATTGGAGGCGATCTCGTGCCCAAGGATAGGAATGCACAAACTGGCTAAGTACCTACCCTAGGTAGGTAGCTTACGTACTTAAAGCATTATAGGGGAGGTACAATGAAAAGACATAGTTAAGGCAATCAAGGGGGATAAGATATGCTTACTTACGTCAGAGGGTAGGACAACAGAACTTCGGTTCCCTGCTGACAAAAACGAATGCTTACGATTTTTAGTTACTTGTAGGCTTACAACATCCTTTTTATAGCCCTTTTCAATCTCAACAAAGTCAACTGCAGTTACATTTACATTATTTACATAAATTACCGCAATCTTTTATTATCTTTTTTTTCTTTTCTTTTTAGCTTTAGTCATTCCGTAGGTTAAGAAGGTACTTAATATAGGTAACTACCTTACCTATAATATACATTTTACCTTAGGTAGACTTACATAGTAACATTATCTTACCTATTCCACCGCTATTACCTTTGGTATTAACATCTAAATACCTGTACCTAGGTATGTATTATCGATACCAATTTTTAAATTTTCTCTTTGTCTAACCCTCAAATCTCGCGCTAAAGCTAATGTAATCTACCTGTTCATCGGGTAGATTTTCTTCTCCTCAATTAATCCATATCTAATCCCAATCACGTTTTACGATTTTAGAACGATCTAGCGATTTAATAAGAGACCCAGCGACCCGCCAACCCGCTTAACTTTTCGCTCTAGTTGGCAAAAAAGTCCGACCCTCTCTTTCATACCTTCGGACTTGATACATACTTCCAATTCGACTTAAAACAATTCCCCATCACCTTCTCTTCTCACCACCCATTTCTCCTCATCTATTACCACCTAGCACTTTCTACATACGCCCAGTCGAAGCTCTACTTCACTTCGCTCGACGGGCGCTCTACGAATGTCAATGGCATGTGACAAACGGTAGCTGCTGGGTCGACGGGACGGTGGATTTGCGAGGGTGCATTCCCCGCACACCGCATACCATCACGACTCTTCTGGGCCGGACTCGAGGCGATCCGATCTTACGTTTAATACGCCTACGCTTATCTTTATTGCCGCTTTTTTCCCAGTCTACGCCGTCCGCTCTAGATACCTTTTTTTGCTTACCGGGGCCTCTGAATCACATCCAGAGGCCCCGAATCCGACTTCCGTCCTGTTTGGACTCACCCATCGGACAAGGGCATGTCTCACGATCAAGCTCAAAGCCATCCGACGGGACCGTCGTCACACAATCCCGAAGAACATGGGGTTTCCTCCCATCGCTCCTCTCCGACATCTACTTCCACCGTTTCGTCGGCGAATACCCCTCACCAACAAAATCAGGGCGCTTTGGGTTCCGCGGTAGCAGCGATGGAGCTGCACGACTCCAAGGGTTTGGATTTGATACATAGATGGGCCGCGCGCGCATCCGACGCTCAGTTTAATGCCTTATCAGGAGCCATAGGAGGCTTTACTTCCGGCATCGTCACTTGCCCCCTCGATGTTATCAAGACAAAGCTGCAAGCTCAGGGAAAATTTGTGCCCGTAGACAAAGGAAGATACGTTGGGCACCGCAGGGCCTATTCGGGTCTTGTGGGTACGGCGAAGATCATATGGAGAGAAGAGGGTTTGCGGGGGATGTATAGAGGTCTAGGGCCTATCATTCTTGGCTACCTACCGACATGGGCTGTTTGGTTTACCGTTTACAACAAGAGCAAGGTTTTCTTGGCCGATCACAAATGTAAGTCGTTCCGCGCGCGCCCAAAAGTAAAGCCAATAACTGAATCAAGTCGTTCATCTCTACAGTACAGAAAAGCGAGTTCTTTATCAATTTCTGGTCCTCCATTATAGCAGGGGCTAGTAGCACCTTGGTAACAAATCCCATATGGGTAATCAAAACTCGACTTATGTCGCAATCTGCCACGGGATACAATAGGCAATTATCCATGTTCCCGCGGCCTAGTACTACGCCAACATCAAGACCGACTATTGATTCTCCTTGGCACTACCGTTCAACTCTCGACGCCGCGCGTAAAATGTACTCCTCGGAAGGTATATTATCATTTTATTCTGGACTTACCCCGGCACTCCTAGGCTTGACGCACGTCGCCGTACAATTTCCCGTGTATGAATACTTACGGAAGAAATTTACGGGACAGGCTATGGGCGAGATGGGCAATGACAATCAGCAGAGCCATTGGTTTGGTGTGCTCTCTGCGTCGATATTATCAAAAATTATGGCTAGTTCGGCTACGTACCCGCACGAAGTGATCCGGACAAGGCTGCAAACGCAGAGGCGGCCAACACCTGGAAGCGAATATCTACAAGGCTTAGGGGTTTCGGAGGCTACGCCCGGCAGTCGGAATCACATACCGAATAGTCACTGCAGTATCACCCCCGAACCCAAATATCAGGGCGTGGCTATGACATTCCGTACAATTCTACGAGAAGAGGGATGGAGAGCATTCTACGCGGGCATGGGTGTCAATATGATGCGAGCCGTTCCAGCAGCAACGGTAACGATGATGACATACGAGTTCGTTATGAAGTCCTTGCATCGCATACAGGCCGAAGGCCAGGAAAAGTTGAAACGGGATAAGGCGATGGTACAGGAACCGTGAGGGATATTGAAGCGATGCAAGTCAAGCATTTGCGCATGTTAGGAAATACATATTCTTGCGCCATGGGGATTATGAGAGGCTAGAAGGGCCGATCCTCATTGTGTTTATAAGTGAAGAAGAAAAGAGAAGGGCTGGTTTATTCATCAAGAGAGAAAAATAACCGGCTCCATGGGCCCGGGCGGTTTGGGGTTGGTCTAGATACGATACCCTTCTTTGTAGGTATAGAATACAACCAGATCACAATGCAAATAGTAAAGCAAGTACTGTTCTCCCAACTTACTTTGATAAGATAGACGCCGAAGAGACAGCCGAAGTATCGCGCACTTGGGATATTTTGCCCAACGCATCTGAACATATATTAAGTACGTTTATGGTGGTTTGTCAACGAACTCAACCTCAATCCGAGGTTCTGATGTTTTCCGTATCAATGGAGGGAGACATCGAATATAAGTAGTAGATCTGTGGCAATCTCACAATCATTGAATTAGGTACCTGTCATATACAACAGCATACTCAATAGCGCCAACTCTGATATGAATAGTCGAGTCTTTGATCTAATTATCCTTTTTCTTTTAAGAAAACTACCCTGATAGAGGTATCATATTCTCGGGCATATATCATTGAGGGAAGTTGTCATTATGCTCGCTATCCTCCGTCTCCCCTTCCGTGATACTGGCATTTACGCTGTAGTTAGGATTTATTTAACTCGACGAGGACAACAACCCTTTCTACGGCAGCCCAATCGACCGTATCAAAAGATAGGTATGTATCTAAAGCTTCACCATCCCGAACCTATCTCCTGGTATTCCTCAGTCTCAATGTTGAGCCACCGTCCAGGTCGGAATAGCTACGAAATTGCTGCCGAAGATGGCTGTCGAGAGGTGCGCAGCAAGAGTATTACGGCCAATGCGCATTCTCCCCTGGGATTATCTTGCCGTTGGCTATGGAATCTCTGGTATTGGTATTAGTGGATTCCAGTCGAAGAGAGATGGAAGGTATTGGTTTGAGACAAGTTGAGCTAACGCTGGCAGAATAAGGATAGGAGTGGGAAGTAGAGTAAAGTGCTCGGAGCCCGATGCCGTGGTTTCCTTTGAATGCTTACGGGACCGGGAGTGGTCATGTATAGGAGAGGAGAAGGGAGCGAGCTGTGGCTTGTTAATGAGCAGGAGTTAGTATACCATGCTACGGCGCAAGCGTATATTAAACTCAACGATAAAAAGCTCAGGATAAAATGAATGAGTGAATGAACAGAAGACTAGTCTGTTAGGTGCAGCAGGGTCATGTAAAGTAGCTTTAGGTAGGTAGGTAGGTACCTAGTTAATTGCAATTTATTGCTGTTACTTCTGGCAACCACTTTTACGACACAATAGTTGCTCTTATACTTCAAATTATGTCGATCCCTTCAAGTCTTTAAGTAGTCACACATAGCATATTTATATGCCATAAAGCCGTGTATTATATATGAGGCAGGTATGTACCGGGTCACCCCCTATTTTACACTAAAACTTAGCCTTGTCACTCTGCGATAACTTCACCCATAAAAATCGCAAAATATGCTTTTGATTCTAAGCTATAAATTACTTAATAAGGATAAAATATTTATACCAAACTTTCTTTAAAAGACTTAAGATTGGTAGAGCTATCCTGGTTGAGAATTGAATACCCTAGGAGGTAGGTAGGGAACTCTCCAAAAGTTAACATGAGTCAACTTTCAACCGAAATAATTTTACGGGCTAAGTAACAGATTGGCAAGAATCTATTTGCTAAGGAGTTCAAGTCAGGCTCAAAAGGCAACGTAGACGATTGCTGTAGGTTTGCCAGTACTTCCTGAAACTCGTTCGAATTTCGACAAGACTGATAATAGAGCCTCTTATGGATTGTCATACGTAGGAGGTATACCCACATGTAAGTCATGCCCGCTGTCACCTTTTCGGATTTAACATGCATAGTGTTATATTATGCTGCGCTACTAGTTCATTGGTTCGATGTCGACGACGGTCCCCATGCGTCTTCTGCATGTGTCGGGGTTGCGACTGGAGTTAAGAAGAAGAGGAAATGGGTCGCAGAATCTTGATAGAAAATAACAGCTCGGTTGACTACCTTGCATTATGACTTCAACCTATGTAACAAGTTTTTAGAAAGCTCTATTTTGTTTTTTAAAAAAAAGGAATTACAACTAATATTGATTTGTATAGGACTCCATACTCAGGATTACAATAGTTGATCGATCACGAAAGAATATGATGAAGGAAATCCTACCAACTGTCTCTTGTGGGAAGAGCCAAGGGGGTTTACGAAGGATAAAGGGGAACTTGACTGCTCCTCTGCTTCTGTCCGTGGTCTTCACGCATGTGTACATACATACCTAACCTAACCTAATATAAGCAAAACCAAGCAATAATCCAGTTTTCGCCAAGTTCACTTTGTAACCTAAGCGACAATAAACTGGTCCATTCTCTATACAAGAACCTACCCAGGACGCGGAACCAAAGCTAGGTACCTACCTACCTAGGTAATAGGAACCGCATCCTTATACATAAATGGCGTTGGTATCGCGAGTCCCCCCCTTCCAGCTCACGGCCCGCTATGCCGAGCGCAGCAAATGGGAAGTATGTGATTAATCGCCCGGGAGTCTCGCGACCTATCGGACGGCAGATCGTCGAGGACAAAGGTCTCGTCGGAGCCATGAACTGACAAGGCCGTCCTCGTCACGGGGGGAGGGGGGTATTATCCGGCACCGGGCCCGAATACCGTGCGGGCTCTGGCGTCAACAGGTGCCACGATCTTCGGCACGGCGCGGAACCTCGGCGACCTTTTGTCCGAGACGACCCCGACAGGGCGGACGCGCAGAGTTTCTGAATTGTGTTTTAATTCAAGGCTGGAACAATCGGAGCGGAGAGACTTACCGAGATATTGTGTTTTACGGGCGTGATAGAAAGAAATACTAGGGGCGCGTGCGCAGCCGAGCAGCGGCAAAACTGCACGTTCTGATGAAAGACGCTCGGAGGCGGGCCGCGCCAAGCACGGCTTCGAGCCGCAGTTCGGCACGAACCACACCTCTCGCACTTCCTCCCGCGGGACCTGCTGCTCGCCGGCGTTCCGCTCGCGCGTCGTGAACGTCTTCGTCGTCGGGACGTCGGTACGGCCCAGTGCGCTCCGCAGGAATCGGATTTCGAGCGCGGGTATCACGGCTGGGCGGCTTGTATGTGACGATACGCCCTTCTCTCTCTCTCTCTCTCTTTTTTTTTCTTAGACAATCGTATATATATAAGTGATTTCGCTAACACCAAATGGGATAGACGGGCAGTCTAAGATGGGGCTGACATTTATAGGAAGTACAATCCTTTTGTCTGCGTTTCTCTTTCTTAGCCTGCCTCGTGCTCCCTCCCCTCTTCTACTCTCGAGCCGGCTCTCTCTAACCCAGCAAACCCCAGTGGCGAACAGAATCGAGCGGCTCTACGGCGCGAAGGGCCTACACGGACACAGTCTCAACCCACCGCTGGCAGTTCCTTCAGCCCGAACCTGCCGAAATACTCTGCACGGACGAGATGTAGGTGGTGATGGGCAATGAGTGGGTGATGAAGTACTTCGTCCGTCTGGAGCAGGTGTTGCGCGATGAGCGTGCACGCCGCCCGTCTCGGAGGAGTTGGAGGGAAAGGGAGGAGTGTATCTCGAGGGCGCAGCGATGGCCGGCCCCCGTGCCGAAGGATGGCGATATGGCCGAGTACGGTTATGGCGAATGGGCGTTTGATCGAGAGAAGGAGGAGAGGTTGTGGTGGGTTAGCAAGAAGATGGTTGGTGTGGAGTAATGGATTATAAGAGTCTTTAAGACTGTATTTTCTTGATTATTACGGAGGTAGAGAGTATTGGGGCTATCTTTTCTAGCCTGCTTGGGATATCTGTATCTCGCCATATACGCTTGTAAACACGCTTCATGGTAAAGTACCTACAATTTATGTTCATGTTTATCCGCTGGATATATATACATAGACGAGATACTTCAACCATCTCAGCACGTAAATATGAGAATAGAGAACTTGTTTAGTACAGCTTATACACACGTACCAGCTAAGTCTCAAACATATTGGACGAAATACAGCACACAAATCGAAGCTCGAACAAGGGGCAGTTATTCTTTCTTTTTCATTTCTTCTTGTGCGACTCGACTGCGACGCTGCTCAATTCCGGGTCGTTGTATCGTCGATACAATTCGACACCCGAGTTATGTTCTAAAAGATGGGACCTTCGTTCCCGCTCTCGCTAACAGATAACATCTAAACAAAAAAAGCAAATTCATTAAAAATGATCAGTATCCAAATAAGAGACCGGCCCGAAGCACTTCCAGAACCGTCCGCTCGATGCAGAGCTCGAATCATGTCATAGTTTTGGGTACCTTCGGAGGTAGGTAGGCAGATACGCAACCGCTTCCCTCCCCCCCCCGTCTTCCCCCCATCAGTCAATTGAAATTCGTGACTACTTCGTGAGCCAGCACGCGCTTTTACGTTCCGTTCCGCTACGTCTACGTTAAAGAGCAACGTTGCCTTTACTACTATTCCTACCAGCACCTAATATGACGTCGTCGAGGCCCTTCCACAGGTTCGTCAGCATGCCCTGGGCGTGTTCGGGCTCCGGGCTCGGGTCCACGTGGACGAACTTGAGCTCGACGCCGTCGATGCCCATGCCCTCGACCTCGGTGAGCGCGGCGGGGGACACGAGCTCCGGGTTCGCGGCGACGATGCTGATCTGGGCGGGGGCGACGGGGCCGTCCGTCGCCTCCGACACGTGGTGCGTCGCCGAGTTGTCCGGGAGCAAGGGAACGCGCAGGTGCGCGAACGGGTCGTTGGACGACCCCTCGAGCGCGGCGGACCCCGGGAAGATGATGCGGTCCATGGTGCTGGCGTCGGCCTGGGAGGGAGCTTGAGCCGCGCCCGAGGTGAAGCTTTGCATTAGGCGCATTGTGCGAGGGGGAGGATGAGGACGGTTAGATGATCGCGTGTATAAGTGACGGGGATGCTGAATTGAATATTAGTCAAAGTCAATTATAAGCTAGCAAAACCTAAGGTACCTAGGTAGGTAGGTAATTTTGCGTATTGGACTCTGGATCTGTAACTTACATCCGGGTCTATATTCCTCTCCTTGAGGAGATCTGCGTATTTCCTCGACAGAGGAGCAGCATTTTTGGAGCTTGTGAGTAATGTGTTGGACTTGGGCACGGAGGCCGTAGCTGTGGTGCTGATCGAGCGGATGAGCTTCGAAGCGGGAGTTGTGAGGCGGGGACCAGTCATGTTTGGAAGCTTTCGAAGGGAGCTAAAGTAGTTGGAGTCGGACGTTGGGAGTTGGAGTAAGAGCAAGAGCTCTATGCACGGACCGGATGAATGGATGGATGGTAGAGTTGGAGAAGCTGAGGCGAACGATTTGAAATGTAGGAAAGTTCAATGGCTAAACAACAAAGGGGTAGAAAAAGGAACAAAGGAGGTGAAGAAGAGGGGGGGAGTATGGGATGATTATGAGTAAATAGGTACGATAGAGGTACGATGAGTGTGCCCCTTGACTCTTGTTGAGAGGGAATCGGAGGTCCGGGGTAGGGTGAAGGGTGAAGAGGCGGTAGGGGTGAGCTGACAAGGACCTGGTTATCTGCTGTTGTATGCTTGATGTTGTAGTATGCACGAACGGCGGGGGACGGGATGATCATCTTTCCTATTCGACAGTTCTTGATTCGACCGACGCCATAGTACCATACATATCATACATATCATACCTACCTGGGTACCTCCTATAGCCATCTCGACTAAAAGAATGGAATCGGGATATAGAGAGAGCCAAGAGCGGCAGATGGAGCTTCGCCTTGCTTCCAAGAACTACCTTAGCTGCTTAGGTACCTTCTATGCTGTCTTTTTGATAGTGAAGCTGACGGCTAGGCAGCCTCATTACTACCATTATTTCCACGTGTCTAACAGAGGTACAATATAGTATATGCTATACCAGAGCTCCTAATATTAGATCTATTGATCACCTGCGAAGATCTATACACTAGTGATATAGCCTTAGCATGCACGTCCTTAAAACAGTTAGTTGCTCCCCGTTGTAGCTCGCGGACTAATCGTCTAGTTTGTACGTAACAGATTCAGCATCAGAAGAGCGGTGGCATGATGCATGCTGTAACTGATATTCAAACTCGCCTAGTTTTAACCTGCGTAAACGTGATTACGAGCCATGTTACATATCTTGCAAATCCTGCACATCTCATAGAGAAATAGGTGTAGTGTAAGAGGTGTAAGAGGAAACGCCAAGACTATGACCAGCATTTGGAAGATCTCTGAAATGGGTCGTATTCTTCGGTGGTTGGGGGGGAGAAGGGGGAGTGGGAGGAGGAGAAAAGGTCCAATAGGGATTCAAATAAATGGGAGCTTCAAAGTTTCCAATTCACTGACAGCTTCTTCTCTTTCAGGGTACATAGCAGTACTTCGTACTCCCACCCGTTGAGAAAGCAAAAGCTCCGCTTTCCAAAAGAAAACACTACCGAGACAAAAGTACCCCAGATACCAAGGTAGCCTGTAGGTACTGATCCGTATGATCCCCGGGACCTTTACAGCCCTGAACCAGTTTAGCGCCGCGGCCAACAAAAACTCACCATGTCGAATCATTTTGCGTCCCCTCTCCTATTTCCGGTAAAGTTTACACCGGCTATTTTCTTGGCGTCTGTTCTAGAAGAAGCATTGCTGGGCTTTGCTCATATTTCCCCTGAATTTACTTGGATTGCTCCAAGTCAAAAAAAAAAAAAAAAAAAAAAAGGAGATCTGTTTACAGATGTACTTGAATGTAAGGGAGATTTCACATTTCTAGAACGATGGTGAAATATTAGTTACTATTTAAACGATTTCTATTAAATGAAGCCAAGTGTAATATAGTAGCTTGTTCGCAAAGGGGTTCTCCACGTATCTTATTGCTTCGTAGGTACCTCAAAAAGATGGCTACGGTTTTAATAATCGGTGATAAAGCGATCCACGAGATGGGGAGATACTCCGGTTACCGACGATTGCGCAGCCATGGTTAGACCACCGAGATGCCATTTTACCTAGCATTGGTCTCGAGTACCTAAGTGGTCTTACCCTTCTTACCACCTACACCACAAATAGGTAAGCACCTAATCAGCTACCTAATGTGACACTTTTGTTATGCTACCTATGTCGTCCGAATGCTTAGTAGAGTCCAATTAAGCTTTATCTAAATGATCAATGATTCGACCGAGTATTTAATTAAAGTCAATTGGTTGAGATAAAGTTGTAGATCGAGAGAAGACCATCATACCTTAACGCCAACCTTGGATTGCGTTGCACCTAAGACGGCACGGATGAAGCCTACTTCGAATCCATGCAGCCGGCCGTCGTCGGGAACAGCACCTAATCTATCAGGAATGCACTAATTTAGAGGCCTGCATCGGTAACCGGCAGAGTTACTACGTATTGTATATAGTATTGCGGAAGCTGTTTAAAAAGAAGAAATACCTAGAGGTAGGCCAGGAGGTAGGGTACCTTAATCCTTCAGATACGTCGTTAAAGCGGTCTGGACTTGTTCTATGATAGGCTAGCCTTCTTACAGAATCCAACGGTTTCTCTATATTTATTTACCTACTTGTACTTCACACCCGATGGAAGTTTGTTCGCCTGCTTCGTATTTATTATTAATCAGTAGAAGAAAAAAAAAGTAAGATCTGATTTGGGCCTCTTCGTCGGTCGGGATAATACTCGGGTTATATACGTAGGTAGATAAGCTAATTATAAGTAAGGTCGAGTATCCAAGGTAATATAGTAAGCCCGAATCCTATCAAGCAGCGAATCCGTAGTCGAGGCGCTAATGTTTGTAAGCTTCATTATGCCGACCGACTTATACCCATGAATCTTACCCGAAGGCACGAAGGATGACCGTCGGAACGTATTGTACAATACCAGTTACCTAAGATACTTAAGGTTACTATAATAGTTTCAGGTATTTGTTGCGGCATTTCCCTTTGCTTCCAAAAAAACGATGATATTCCCGTTAGTATTCTAGTCCCAAGCTAACCAAGGAGCTCGGCGGTTATCTCGAAACGAGTCACGCAACAATCGTGTTATGCTTAGCCTCTCCTGCATTTCGCTAACGTACGTATGTCTTAGCTTAATCATGGACATGCACTTCGTAGCAGCTTTCCCTTATCACATTGTCGTTCTCGTTGACATACATTACGTAGATGTGCTTGTCCTTATTCTCAGTTTAGTTGACTCGGAGTGAAGCAGTCACGCGCAAGACGAAATATAGGGATAAATGCCACGCCGTAAACTTAGGTAGGTATGTAAGAGGTACATGGTAGAATATACTCACTCGTGGCTTTAGCCCTCCAGCTGAGTCCAGGGAGATAATGCTATACCGTCTATCGCCATTCCCGTATCGTAAACCCGTAAAGTTCCCACACAACGGCCTATTAGAGCCCCCTTCTATTTACCCTACCCACACGCAATAGACCTACTACCTACTTCCCAACGCGGCCCGGCTTCCCACCCCGGAGCGTCTCCCCAGCTTTCCCCCCCCTAGCCCGCCCCCACGCGCCCCGGACGCCGTCCGACCAGTTCTTGTCGACGGCCAGGTACACGAGGAGGCTGACGGGGACGGCGACGCAGAAGAACACCCAGATGGTGCCCGCGAGCTCGGCCACGTCGGCCGACATGCTGAAGAAGCTCGACACGAAGCTCAGCGGCGCGAAGATCACCGCCAGGTACGTCAGCCGCCCCAGCGTCCGGTTCTGCTCCAGCGCCCGCCGGCTCTCCTCGATCGCCGCCACCGCCGTCGCCACCGCCGCGATCCGCTCCGTCCGCGACAGCAGGTCCCGGATGTGCGCGGCCGCGAGCGCGAAGTCCTTTTCCAGCTCGTCGACGACGCAGCCTCCTCCTCCTCCTCGTCGGTGGTGATGGTGGTGGTGGTGGCTAGTGCCGATGCTGGAGTCGTCGTCGGATCCCCGCCGAGCCTCGTCCGAGAAGAGCTTCGCCCGCGTGTCGGCTACCATGGCGCTGTAGATCGGGAGCCGCCGCCGCCACGTGTGCAGCTTCTTCAGCGACATGTTGAAGTTGATGGACTCCCGCTGCAGCTCTTGCTTCTGCATCTCGAACCACTTGGGGCTTTCGATTTCCCATTCGATCTGCCCCAGCCGCGCGGTGATGTAATGGCTCAAGGTCAACCACTTGTACCATCCAAAGTTAGCCAGCCGTCTTCACCATGAATTTTTTTTCCCCTACTATTTTGAGAGTTTTGAAGCGGTCATTTACAGGTCATGGGAGATTCCGCAGTTCGGGAAGTACTGCTAGGAACGTACGACCCGGGGGGGGAAAGCAAATGAGTTCGGATGCTACGCCATACTTACCTCTGCGCATATGATCTCCAGAATGCGAAAAGCCATCGCCCGGGGGTTATTCTCGACAGCATCGATATCCTGCTGCGACGTCTGCTGGATCCAGAAGAGCAAGTCTTGAAACAAGGTAGTCTTGGGCGGCACGTCGTATCGCGCCTGATCTCCGGGCGTTGGTGAATTCTTGAAAGGCCGATACCCTCCCCAAAGAGGATGGCCTTCTGTTATCGAAGGGTCGATAAGTAGAACCCCTATTACATAAATGTGAGCCGTAAGTTAGAGAGTACGTGACTACCTACGCATATCGACTACGACGGATTGCCAAACTTACCAATGGCCTGCTGGCCGGTTTTGGCCGGCCTGATCCATAGGGACGCCTTGCTTCTAACAAGGGCAACCGTGGCCGACTTCTCGTCGAAGGGAGACTCGTGTCCGTCGTCGGCGTCGAGCCGCCGGAGTACGTTGAACCTCCCAGCTTGGCGCTGCGCTTCGTTGAAGCTTTCCGGCGTTTTGAAGTAACGAGGCTGGTTGTAAGTCAAGTGGAAGTATGGCCGATCCCTCGAAACTATATCCAAGTCGGGAAGCTCGACCCACGGATCGCGAGTGTTATACCACGTGTAGTCATTGATGTGCTCCCGGAAGAAGAGAGGGTCGATGTCGAGTTTTGAACCCAGACATTCAATGACGTCCCGCGAAAGGTCTTCTACGACGTATAACCGGCTGGCACCTGGGACGGCTGGCCGGTCGAGGCTTTGTACTAGACTCTCAGGGGTCTTGATATAATCGATAATTGGAGCTGGTTGGCCTGAGATGAAATCGACAGTAGCAATATTAGTTTGCTCGGCCCTGTCGCTCCGAAGCTTGCTCAATTTCTGCTGAGGTAAATCCTTGATAAGCTGCCATTTCGTAGGCGACGTAGTCACTTCCATCCATTGCGCAAGATAGCGCAGATGAGGCCAGGCCGCGGATAACGACTTGATGTGTCTGAGGTACGGATATTTTTCCCTTTAGATTAATTAGCCCTCATTCTCTTAAGCCTGCGTATCATTTAGGGAAGCAAACGTATTAATCTCCCAGCTCTGCTCATATTTACTCGGCTCGTATATGTCTCCATTAAAATAATCGTCATAGTCAAGGAAACTAACAAGCCTCCGATCCGGAATCAAGTCATTCGGATCCAGCTCAACTTCGTCTTGAGTACCAGTATGCACATTCCCGTTACCTGACGCGCTACGCCTCGTGAGATGCTGCATGACGTTGATCTTAAACAAACTTCAACAGATTCAAGTCACCTCTGAGCACACAGCCGAGACTACTCTCTCTCCCACTCTCCATATATAGGTAGGTACGTAGAAAATCTGTTGAAAAAAGAAGACAAAGGACAAAGACCGAAGGGGCTCCCCTTAAGACGGAGAAAATGAGAATTGACTTAGACATCTCGGTAGCTGAGCCTACATATGTACTGCTTTATGTTTTATGTTTGTCAAGCGGGTCTCGCAGATCAAGACCGGCAAACAGCCTGCGCCACATCTGAGACGAAGCTCTCGACGGTACATTGCATATAATAGTCCGCGCTGCAAGTCATCGAGGCTGATCTTCTCTATACCAGCTGCGTGGGCTGTAAGCTGAAAGATTCGAAATAGGTATCGAGGCATATTTTTTTTTTAGAGGGATTCAATCTTATAAGGCCTATTTTAATGATACCTATTATGAGCAGAGAAGACGAGCCGAATAGAATTTATCCACAATGTATCTTGTGATAGCTACTTTCGTGGTAAGACATGTCGTACCACACTCCTTTAAATGTTTGCGTCTTGTGACAAGTAAGTTATCATCTCAACCAAGTATTCTTCAAAAGGCAGGGAAGTACCTAGAACGGATTAAAAACTCGTGGCAAATGCAGAATGTGCCTGACTTACGAATTAAGGTACGAATGCTATTTCATTGCAACAAATAGAATATGGTCGAATTCAATGGAATGGTATACTGTCCCTAATGCCCCCCAACGCCAAGTGCTGTGAACCTACATTTCCCAAGCCGACGACGACCTGCCCTGCCCAATGCTTGCTGCCAAATGTCGATCGCAATCATGATCAACTGAGGTCAAAACACAAATGCGACTTTCCTGCTAGTGAGGTTTTTGCGACCTGTCTTTCAGATCCACATCATGCCACAGGCGAAAATATCTTTAACTTTACCGCTTCGGAATTAATAGACGATGCCCGTCTAGTCCGTCTTCCAATGGTTAACTAAGCCGCTATCCGAATCGTCGCCGCCTAGATATAACTCGATAGCGTAGAGACTCATCGTAGCAGCAACATTAAACCAACGCCAAGTATTACCTCCTGCGTCGCCGTGTCGGAGCGTCCAGCCTTCCTCGCCACCGCTGGCAGAAAAGTGTTGGAGTAAAAGACTTGTATAGACGGCAATGAGAATCGAAGGCGAGAACCAAGAGAGAAAACCCAGGATCCGATTCGCCTCATCCGAATCATCTAAGGAAGGCTCTTGTAGAAGCGCACGGGCACCTGATTCTCGTACTGCTGGGATAATACGAGTAGCGCAGTAAAAGACGATCAGTCGGTAAATTAGAGAGATCATGACAGAAGGGGCAATGGTTTGGAATGCAGCGTGAAGGAAACTGAAAGAGGAGTATACGGCTTCGGGTAACAAATTAAAGAGGTGGACGAGAGTTGAGTAGCTCGCCATGATGATGGGTGGTAGGGGTGGGAACTCTGGTTGATTTGCAGCTTGCTCTGCAGCTGCCGCCTGGGCCTCTGGTGACTGAACATAGTCGGTAAATATCTGATAGACGCAGAGAACAATGTAGGCAAATAGAAGTGACGACTCGACGGGATTACCGCGACCCGAAAGAATTCCTATGGCACATAAGAAAATTGCAGAGGTGACAGTCACTCCGATGAGGGTTGCATCAATGTTGTTGATGGAAGGGAACAAAGCAACCCGCCATAGAAAGTAGACAGCACTGGCAATGATAGAAGCGGATAGGATCAAGAGAATAAGCTGATACAAGTTAGCAGCTGAAAAAAAGAAGAGGAAAAAAAAACTACTCACAACCCAAGTATCGCTTCTTCCACGGTTCACAAGCCATCTCGAAATTTGACCTGCAGCTTGGATAACCAACAAGGTACAAAAGCCTTCGGCAAGCTGGAAGACGGGACTTGAATAACGCAACGTCTTGTCCCAAGTTCCCAGAGTGACAGACTCGACCAACCCGCCATTGCCGAAGATCCAATCCGTCCATGTACTAGGCTTCTGACCACCAAATCCACCGATCGTCCTGGATACCCAGTCGGTGCTGTTGGCATCAACAGCGAAGTTGTGCAGAGACCATATCAAGAGGGTCGGTATGACAACCCACTGGGAAGATTGGAGGAACTTGTTGACGACCCAGCCTATGCGGGAGTTTTCGGGGGTGACGAGCTTGACGGCGCTGTATACGAGGTAGAAGCCGAAAAGCGACAGGCTGTAGGCCAAGCCGCTGTCACGTCCGCCTACATCGAAGGAGATGGGTATGGATAGGACGATGGTCAGAAGGAAGACTGAGCTGGAGACGATGCGAAAAAACCACCACATGGGCGCGATGGTGGTGGCTGCTGCCGCGCCGAGGTAGCGAGGCTTTCAGCCAGGGTTGTGTTTAATGGTAATCGGTTCGTCTTTTGAAGGATGCCGTGGGACGTCCGTTGGAGGAGGAGGGGGGTGGTGGCAATTCGGGGGGGAGGATTGGTGATGGTGATGGTGATGGTGATTATGAATCTTTCCGCCGATCGCGTTAATACGGAGGAAGGATGTTTAAGTTCGCGGGGTCATTGGCGGCGATTGATATGAAAATTTAGGTATGGCAAATAAAAAATCGTTCGCGTCGAAGAAGAGGGGCTTCAGCTTGTCTTGCTCTTTCCCTAGCTGGATGACTTTCCAAACCAAGGTTTTTTTTCCTTTTGAATTTTTTGATCAAGGTGGCCCTAATCAAGCTAAGGTTAGGTACGTACTAGCACCTATTCTTTTGCGGTCTTACTCTCCCCCCCTGGTCGTTTTCGCACTTGACAATCGTACCTGCCAGCTAGCTAAGCTAGCTTATCGTTTATCTACACGCTTATCTGCACGTGGATGAATGGCTAGTACCTAGGTACCTAAGGTAGATGATGTTACAACTTGAGAGAGCTATCTGTTGGTAATAATTAAAGAAAATTAAGATGAATAAATATTGATTGCTAAAAGCCCGCCGAGGTTTAAAATTTTATTAAAATTATCCTGAGTGTGTTCAACAGACAAACGCCACATACGTCTCTTTTCATTAAATGTTCTTCTTAGTCAGGCCTTAAAAAAAAGACATGTGCAACCAAAAAATGGTCGCGTGTACATTGTGCATGTCTATCCAATCACTCACCATCGACACCGACAATGGCGCAAGGCACGATTGGACTAGGAAGTCCCATACCCTTTTTCCCCCCTCATCTGAGGCTTTAACCATTCACCGCCCTTGTCACATCAGCCCAGCCTTAAAAAAGCCCTGAATCCCCTGTCACTCAGCGCACATATCTTCATATCGTCAACTCACACGGTCTCAACTAATCTTATCAATCTATAGATTATTTAGGTATCTACCTATGTGCAAGTTACAATAGAGATAAATACAGGTACCTAGTAAGTAGGTTAAATTCATTCTTGTATATCATCTACCATGAATAAGTTAATTATCTTCACTTTATATCATACGCTTTGTACGTGTAAATGATTAAGGTAGATTAGTATTCACCCACGATGGGATGGTAGTGGCATGTAATAGTTCTATTATAGTGTTATGACTTGATATGCAAGTTGCTCAACGGCGGAGAGCTAACTTCTTCAAGGTGCAATATTCTACCATCCTCGGTAATAATAAACTTAAACTTAGTTGGAAGAATTAAATAGTACTATCTCTATTCTACTAGGAATATAATACCACGTGGTTAGGTAACTTAAGGAGTCTACCTCTTAATAGTCACCTTTGTTAAAGCTCTTACGAGGTAGAGTTCAAGGCATCTTGGTAATAACAATTAGTCTTGTGATTATTCTGCGCAAATGGTATGTATTATTTTCCTATCGTGAGGTAGTTATTATGACACTGAGCTTCTATTTTAGATCTGGTGTTAGTTGTCCTCGACTTCTACATACCTCATAACATCGTACCATTTAACCTAATATATCCACGGCACCAGCCGACAACTTGTTATTCTATTCCCACTGTCTATAGAATCAAAATGTGGACCATGATCACAAATTTTGCCTGTCCATTAACTTTCCTACTCATTTCTCAAAGAGCTCTAATAACTTAAAGTCAGGTACCTACCTACCTGATGGGAGTCTTCTAGGTTGGGAGCTCTCCCCTCCTGCCTACGGATTCTTACGTTCCAGTCAAACAACATATCTACACCCTTCATATATAATAGTAGAAAAATCTATTCGCAGAAAGATTACCTGCTCTACCTGTAACATGCGCCAGAATCCTTGGCACCGAAGACCACGCCATGCGAGTTTATGCCCTTCGCTTCACAAGTAGAGCAAAATAGAAAAGAAGCAGACCTGATGTAAATAGTCCGAAGTCTCTAAACGAAAAGAAAAGAAAAGTCTTCTCGTAAGGACAAAAAAACAAAAGAAAAAAAAAACATCAAGCTTCCTCCCTACCTCCCTACCTCCCTCCCGTTCCCTCCCGCCGGCCATGAAATAAAGACCAAAGAAAATCCGTATCTGCAAATGCTAGGACCGCAACTCCGGTACCTAATAACTCCAAACAACCAACGTGCTGTGGCGTGTCGAATGAAAAAAAAGGAAGAATCAAGCCTGTTTCACTTCATCTCCGTTCCATTGCCGTTACCATTGCCGTTGCCGTTGCCGTTGATAAGCTTCTCCTTCCGGAGCGCCCACTCGACCGCCTCCCGCACGTCCTTCGCGGTGTGATCCGGCGAGTGCGCGGGCGTCGACCCGGGGACGTGCACGCCCGTCTCGACGAGCACGCTCTTCCAGACGTACCCGCACCGCGAGCGCGCCGCGAACGCGTTCGCCCCCGCGATGTCGCTGCGCGGGTTGTCCCCCACCATGTACACGGTGCCGACGTCGCGCGCCGGCTGCAGCGCCCCCGCGTAGTCCCGCAGCGCCCTCTCCGCGTACGCGTACGTCGCCTCCGTCGGCTTCCCGACCAGCGTGTGCTCGAGCGCCGCCCGTCCGCCCGTCACCTCCGCCCAGATCCCCTTGAGGCCCGCCAGGAAGGCCCCCTGCGCCAGCCGCGGCGACGCGTACTCCGTGCTCCACACGAAGTCCGGGTTGCAGAAGAACAGCCGCGGCTGCCCGTCCTGCTGGAACCCGTGGTTCGGCAGCGAGGCGTCGCCGTTTTTCGCCGACCGCGTCCCCATGTATCCCCCCGACGACAGCAGCAGGTCCGTCACGACCTGGTAGTCGAGGCCCCAGTCGCGCGGCGAGGACCAGAACATGACGGCGGCGACGGGCGTCGTCCCGAGGACGCCGGTGTCGCGGCCGTACCGGTCGTGGTGGGCCTGCGTCATCTCCGGGAACGGGTGGATGTGGGGGAACTCGGCGACGACGTCGGACGAGGTGACGACCTTCTGGAAGCCGTACTCGCGCGCCAGGTCGCGGATCTGGTCCCCGTGCGCCCCGAGCACGAGCACCGTCTTGTCGCCGTACTCGGGCACCAGGTCGTAGTAAGGCGTGTGCGACTGCACGAACTGCTTCGGGTCGAGCGTGAGGCCGAGCTTCTGTCCGAGCTTCTCGACTCGCTGCTGTTCCGTGTGGCCGCCGCCGTTCGTCAGGAAGATGAAAGGGTCGTTGCGCCGCTGCAGCAGCTGGATGGTTTCCCGGGCTCCGGGGATCAGCTTCTCGCCCCTGATAAATACGCCGTCGATGTCGAATACAAACGCGGCTAGTTTGTCCTTGTCCTTGCCCTTGTCCTTGACTTTGGCCTTGGCCTCATTCTGTATGTGCAGTCCAGGCATGGCTTTGATGAGAAGTAACTAAAATGCCTTGTACCTGGCTGCGCTGCTGTGTATCGAAATATTTTTTTTGTCTTTCTTTTTCTTCTTTTTTTCCCAGATGGTATTCCTAGAAGTGGCACCGATGCGATGTCGAGTTCTTTTACTAATCCGTCGAATCTATGGCCACGCGATAAACAACAACTGCGTCCAGATGTGAAACCTGCATCAATCTATCAAACGAGACAATGTACCTCGGAGGCAGGAACAGATGCTTATTAAGGTCGAGAGATACTTGGGAGGGGGAGGGGAGATATTCGTAGAGTGGTTACCAGGTATGTAGGCACCCACCTCGTAAGTGTTGTAAGTGTTTGCTAGGTACCTACCTAAGATACCTAGGTAGGTTAGGTAGGTACCTAGAGTATCTTGCAGTCGCGTTATATTTCGCTTTGGGAAAGAACAAGGCAGCATTTACCTTCACGATGATTCATGTTGTAGCACCTGGTAGAATCGTCTATGACTACTAGGTACGTAGGTACCTAGGTAGGTACGAAATCCCACAGTCGCGGCCCCTTCCTTCTTGTTTGTAAAATCGACGGCACATGGGATCATCTCTTGATTTCATTGGCTTGGATACAGTTGGATACAGTTGATACAGAAGCAGCAATGTTCCATTATGTGTTCTGCCCTAGAATTTGAATACATATCCGTCCTAAGTTTAGATTTGCGCTAGAACGCTCGAAACACATTAATCAACGCAACGCTTCGACACATATGAATGTCTTGCGGCCCTCCCATTTATAAGACGCAAGATTAAGAAATGTATGCCTGAATAAGGCAAAATGGGTTGCTTTGAACGTCAAATTTCAGACACATATAATCAAAAAGAAGGTAACATACCTCCTATATAAATAGGTATAGGTAGATACCTACCTAGGTATATAAACAGATATCTACTATTATAATAATTATGCAATTTGCATTATTTATTATTATGATTATCTTCTTTTGTGTGTCGTTTGTACGGTCTTGTGCTGCTACATATATTGCAAGTACACACATTTCTTGGTGGGTTTCCTGATTAGGAAGATTTTAGGAAAATGGACCAATTAGAAGAGCTGCTGAGCTTGTCAAAATTTAAACTACCTCTTACATGCACTCCTGACAGATAAGAAGAGGTAACCCTAATCTTGTTTTCTTTTACAAGAAACAAAACGAAGAGCGTCAACAATTTAGCGTGGGACTGATTGAATTGTAAGAAGTTTGTTTTCCATCACATTTAAGATTGAGCGGTTTTGTTAGGTACCTCTTTCAAGTGTCTCGCCGAAGCTTACCTAACATTAGGTCCTTAGCAGCGACACGATGTTATTATAAAAGTGTTTATTCGTTGATTAAAAAACAATTCCAAAAAAATAAATTCATTAACTATACTCTAACAGGTAGGTACGTGTCAATTTAGTCTTGTCCCCCTGTTTATCAATTTAACCTTGTTTACATAAAAAGGTACCAGTATAAGATAATATACTGTTACATGCGTAATGCACCGAAATTATTTTTTATGTTTTGTAAAATGAAAAGAAAAATTGAAAAAATAAAAAACAATTCGCGAGAGCATTGCGGAAATACATGACTTAGAGAATCCAATGGTAAATGCGAAATCCTGCCCCTAGTTAGCGACGTTCGCCTAATCTGGCGTTGTCGGGATTTTCGGAATGTTGTTGAGGACGTGAGTAGGGCCATCCATGGGGATGATACGAAGGTGAATCAATCATTGATCCTTGTGGACGGGCCATATTGCCATGCTCATTTTCATTGATGGGCAGGCGGGTACCGGTGGCATAGCCAATTGATGGTATGCTCTGATGGCGTGTGTGCCCATGAGTTGGATTCGGAGGAGGGTGGCCTTGTAGGTGGCCTTGATGGTAGCCTTGCTGGTAGCCTTGATGATGGAATGGAGGCTGACTGGGAGGCTGGCTTGGTCTCGAAGTTAACAAAGAAGGTGAAAAAATATCAACGCTTCGTTGGCCAGGTACGGGCCGACCATCGGAAGAGCAAGGAAAAGAGGCTGTTTGATATCGCGCCTGTTCTGTTGTATTCGTGTCGTACGGTACCTGCTCTGGTACTTGATGTTGTGGAATGGGAGGGTAGGATGAAGGTACAGAAGGCCCGAAAGAAAATCGAGGGCCGTTGGTATCCATATCTGAGAAAGATCGCTGATGCGAAAATTGCCTATCGTTCACGTAGCCTTGGGGACGGTTGCTTCCTGGCGTTGCACCGATTGGTTGGATCTCGCCAGGCTGAGAAGCCGGACCAGGCCGACGATCGTAGCCGTAGTCGGGGTTGTTGTTGGCCCCACGGCGGTAATAATATGAATGCTCATCACGGTTTTCTTGGGTATTGTCAAAGATCTGACGATGAAGTTGAGGTTGCATTGGTACGGGAGCGAGTATCGAAGCGGGACCCTCGGGAAGCCTCGAATTCATAATGGACGCATGATCACCGTGTGGAGATGTGCCTGACATGCGCCGGCGTTTCTCATTGGGAGATTGCTGCGTATATCCTTCAGCCCCCAAATGTGTCGGTTGGCTCACGCGACGAATCATCTGGTCTGTCCCAGGTTGAAGTGCCGTGCCTACAGACTGGGAGCGTTTGCGGGTATGACTGCTGGTGTTCTTTCTCCGTCTTGGGAGCGCTCTGGTTTTTCTTCCAACCGAGGGCCCCTTGGTGATATTGGGAAGAATTTCTATGTCGGGAAAATCGCACCGTTTTTCTTCTATTATCTCACGCCTCATGCGATCCACCAACTCATAGATCTCAGCTGTGCTATACCCGGGACGACATTTGTTGCGTAGCCACTCAGGCACAGGGTTTCCGTTAATAGTATCCGTATCTGATTCACTGGAATTGTCTTCGCTATGTTCCTGGTAAGTACGCTTCTTCTTGGATTCTTGCCGAATACGATCCTGCTCTCTCTTTCGCATAGACAAGGTCCAATCCAGTAGGATTCCCGGGCGCCCAGCTGCTTTGTTCTCGTTGCTCCAGTATTGAACTAGGTTGATCTGCCTCAACACTAGATCACATTGGATCTTGACCCATTCATGCGCATTACGGTAACGGGTGCGCTGGTAGTGTTTGCGGCAGACGCGAACCCAGACGTGCGGTGGGATGTTTCGAGTGCACTTCTTATTGCGTCCGAAGATGTGCGAGATACCTTTGCGGAGAAATGATTTCGTGTCGCAGTTACGTGCACGCAGGCAGTAAAAGTTACTGACTCGGGGAGGATTGCTAGCGGATGCTGACGATGGAGAATTAGCCTCCATGTCGGATACTTGTTGAGCAGTGCGATGATTAGCCTCCATGTCGGATACTTGTTGATCAGTGCGATGGTTGGCCTCCATGTCGGATACTTGTTGACCAGTGCGATGGTCGTTAGCACACAGGCCATGAACACGCTGGCTATGAGCGTGCGAATCCAGCAGAGGAGGGAGGGTGGGATAACGCGGAGGCAGAGGAATTCTCGACTCCATTTCGGAAAAACCAAGATTAGGGGCAGAGATGGCCCTTTTGTGGGATCTAAGAGATTTCACGATTAATTCATGCTCAGTATACATGGTACCAACGCAATATTAGCAGTTCGAAAGCAGTAGATGTGATCGGGGTTGGGACAATAAGCCAAGGGCTTATATATAAATTCGAAGGGGGGGAGAGTGACTAGGACATGATTGCAAAGTGGGAATGTGAGAGGACTTGATGTGTTGACAATTACTCAATTGCAATCATGTTGAGATCAAGCGATCGTATGAATCAAGTTACCTAGTTTTAGGTAAATTGTATCTAACACTTGAGATGAAGGGAAGAATATAGTAGGTCTATTTTGGGGGAGGTGGTGGTTTAGCTGGTAATGTTTAGGGGGTTGTGGTACCAGCAGTTCGCTTGTATTATGGTAGTATACCAATTGAAAGCGACTCGTGAGTTAACCCCTGAAATTCGCTGACGGCCACTTGACCCGGAATCGGTTTGTCGATTTCCGTCCGACCAATGGATAAGCATAAAAAGCAAGTTGAAAGTAACTTGGGAGGAATAACTTGGATCACTATTGAATACTTGAGAAGAAAAAATAAAATAAAATAAAATAAATAATAAGATGCTTACTCACATTGTAACATCTCGTCGATCAGTCCAATCCAAACGCTTTAAGCTCCTTGCCAATATAAAATCGGATGGTGAGCTAGATCTCACTGGATCTGTGCCCAACTCTTTTCCATTGGTCCAAGGCGGGGAAATGATTGCTTCATTTGCTGTTTCCTGTTGTACGCCTAGTGGCGATGTCTTGGGCATCACAAACTCGGCCCACTCTAATTGGGATGGAGACGGATTGAATGGGATTCCTGGCATGGAGAAAGGAATCCTCGAGAGGAAGGAAAGTGATGAGTCGTCGGGCAAAGGCAGGCTGCTAATACTCTCGTATGACTCCTGTGGTGGCAACTCGAGACTGACGGACACCACAGGTGATGATGTTGTAATATACGTTGGACCCCCTACTACTTCTGCTAGTGGAACTTCCACAGTTGGCGGAAGTGCGAATTCATTGCTGTTCCATGTCTGGTCCTTCTGTCGATATGGTATTGTCGTTTCATGTCTGATGGAGATAGGGGGATTGTTTTGGAGAAAATTGTCTGACGAGAATCGATACCTTGTCGTCACCTCTGCTGCTGTCGCAGACGTTAAGCCGGCGCCATGGCTCACAATATTCCGTACGTCCTTATCTAAACTCGTTTTTCCCTGCACGGATGGGGATGAGTTTAGTAGTGATGTAACGTCCATTTTTTCCAACAGTCTTCAAAGCTGTATGGAGCAAGCCTCGCGCCTCGTAAGTTGTATGAAGTTAGCCTTGCGGCTCGTAAATTGTAGTGTAATAATATAGATGTTCTGTGCTGGGGAAAATTAACGTGTCGATTTTCAGCTTTGCCTTGAGCCTTTGGTCATATCCCTAGCTTTAAAGGTCTAGGAAAAAGGTCATCTATGCTGGTGCTTGCTGGGGGTAATGCCAAACGCCCTCGGTCCTTATATAGTATTTTAGCACCTTTTTTCGCCTCTTCCCCAAGATAAGAGTAAACTCCGAAGATGCTACTACTACTATGATTCTCCAGGCGAAGTGGTGTTATACGGAATTGAACAAAGAGAACGAGTTACAAATAACCTGACGGGGTGAATATAGATAGGTATGCATAGGATGTGGGGGATCTCAGGCTATTTGTTATCCGGGGAAAGTATAACTAGGGTCTGACAGGAGCATTAAAGTTATCAGTCCAGACCCCATGCCCAAAGGGAACTGATGGGCTACAGAAGATCGAAACGTTAGTTGTGAATGTTTAAAACGTTCGAAGATAAAGTAAAGGTGGTGTACTTCGCTTGTGTGGCCACGGAGTGGCCACTCATCAGAAGAACTTCTGATGAGGAGAGTCGGATTATGGAGGGAGACCGAGAAAAGAACGATCAGGGCAACGCTATTACCCCTCTAGTACTTGATGGAGCTTCACTGAAACGTTACGTTAGTCGCAGGCCCGATTCACTCTCTGCAATATTTATTTTTTATGTCCAACAGTAAGGAATGAACAGGCGAAGAGCCTCCGTAGTTGCTCTAGAAGGCAAAAGGCCAAATACTGGCAGCAAGTGTGGGCGTGCGCGAGGCATCAGAAACGGGATAGGGATGGGTGTTGCTGAGGGTGCGTAGGGGAAAGTTAGATGGAACTACTGGGGCGAAATTGAAGATAGGACGACGTCTCCGGGTGCTATACCCACGATTGGTGTGGCAGTTCTAACCTTGTAGGAGAGGAGCAAGGCTGTGTGCCACTGTCACTGCTGTGGCACGTAAGAAGTAAGCGAATGTGATAGGTCTTTAGGGGGTGGTGTAACTAGGTAAATGGGGGTATCCGAAAAGAAACCAGACGCTTATCACCGAGTTAGGGCTCAAGTCGCTAAGAGATTAGAGCAAAAGCTTACAGCAAAAGTTTGTCCCGAGGAGGTCGATTAGAATTTAAGGATATGTCAAAAAGAAAGCTAGATATGATGTTTAATGCAGTTAACAGGGCTTACAGAGCTAACAGACGATGCTATAGGATGAAAAGATGTTGTTTTAGAGCAGAGCTAATAAATCGAACCATGGGTTTACGCAGATATTTCGACGTATGCAATGCGTAGATCACTAGGTGACGAAGCTCTGCGTAGACTATGTAGTAGTAACAGTACATTTAATCAACGATACTCCTCCTCTCTTATGCACGATGCCAAAAGGGCCTAAGAATCTCACCCATTTATGTTCTCCTAAAGCTTGTATGTATGTACAAGGACGTGTAAGGCGTTTTGGGGGGTATAGGTGTGTCAGGTCGACGTGTTGTAGATCATGGCGTCAAACGTTCTGTTTAGAATTTCTTCTTCTTGATCTCCAAAGGGGTGGGTTTCGAGGGCCGGCCTAGTTGGAACACTTACTAGTGGGATGGACTGGTGATGAGAAAGACTGAAGTTTCGTTGATGTCTGGCTCGAATAATTGTAACTAATTAAATGAGCAGCAAAACGAGTGAAAATACACAACTACATAAATCATGAGTTAAAAAGAAAAAAAAAAAAGTCAAAAAAATCACATGATTGGCGATAATAACTGCAATATGATCGCCGAGGTGAGACTTCTTTAGCGGACCTTGAAACTGTTCTGCGGTTGTTTGAACCGAAACATTGATAATAGCTACTGAGGCCGTTTGGGACCGGATTATAACCTGACCGGAGACAATCTGATATTAGGTACCGTATATGGTAGGTTCGCTCGACCTTGATCCGGTCGCTGGGGTCGATAGTTTTTAAGGCTCGTGATAAGCCAGGCGAGGCGTTGAGGTATAGATATAGGTACCTAGGTACTTATCCCGCCAGCATGGTAGGCGATCTCCCCAGGTAGGTACCTAGGTAGGTAACGTGTTTTAACTATACCTACCTAGGTATGTATACCTAATATACCTAGTACAATACTAACCCTGGTAAATACACTAGGGCGGAATGTTCAAGCGCAGAACGCGGGTGAGCACGTGCTCCGTCGAGATAGATATAAGCTATCGCATTCGTGAATCCATAGGTTTACTCTCTATCTCTTTAGCAATTTCTAGGAGAGTGGTTTAAATTTAATTCAATAGACCTAAGACGGCATAAGTGCGTATACATACCTAACATAGTAATAACCGGCTCTGTTCGTCAGCTCTGTTCGCCTTGTTCGTTTAATACGAATAATGAGTTCTCGTACTATGTAGAAAGGCGGTATTGCGATTAAAGTATGCGTAATAGGTCCGTTATATTGAACTTATTTGACAGATTCCTTAGCCCCAAATTTGAATTCAATATTTGTTCAGGGGGGGTCTTCTGAGTTAAGGGTAAAAAAAGGGGTCTGATCGTTATGTACCTTGTATCTAATAATAGCGTCAATAGATACGCTAGGTACCTACCTAAGGTATGTATTTATAGCGATTGGCATCTTACGTAAGGTTTTGTCTTATCTGCTCTCTTCTACTTCACCTTTTTTCTTCTTCTTCTTCTTTCTCCTTCTTCTTTTTTAAGTTTAAATATGTACGAGCCTCTCGTCTATTTGTACATGCTACTAAGCAGATTAGCACTGCCCATCCATCACTTGCACCCAGTTCGGAATTAATAACACGAATTCTAACACTACCTAAATTCTAGCCTGGCGACCCTGGCGACCTCGTCGACCCTGGCGACCATACCCCTCATACGGATCTCAAAACGTTCTCCACTGCTGCAAATACCCGCTACTTGCGAAGTAAACATCCGAATCGAGATGTTATCAGTTTCATATCAGGTCATGGGCTGCTGTTGCATCTACGTTTTGAATTTCTCTTTGCTCTACTCTAGGTTTTATTCTACCAACCCTTTCCACCCCTCTTTTCACGAAAAGGTGTCTAAGGTTGTACTTATCAGACGTTCCAAAACAAGCCTGAAGTCCGTATTCAAAAAACAACCTTAGTTCATAGACCAAGGATGTCAACATTACCTTAGGTAGGTACCTATGAGGTGAGCGCATGTTCAAAGATAGAGCTCCCCGGAAGCTTTCTTGGCGGTTTCAGCCACCTAGGTATGCTACGTAGTATTGCGAGATAGCAGAAACTGGCTATTCCATAATGATGCTAGTATGCCGACTTTGACATCTATCCTACCGTCCCAACTTAACAAGTATTCGTTTTTACGCTAACTAGGTACATACCGGAAGTCTGCGAATGAAACAGCCATCCTGCTACTCAATGAGAAGCTAGGGAAGTAATTCGCACGAGATCAACATGGAATCGAAAACTATTGCAGTAAGTAGGTAAGTAGCCTCGTCTAGGAAATAAGGACCTTCGTCTATAAAGACCCCTCAGATGCGGCTGTCCTGTTACCTAACACAGCGGTATTTCTCCGAAGCATGTACGATTGGACGAACCGTCTGACAAAAGCCGATTTTATAACTCTGTGCGGCCCGGGAGATAACCAGCGCCCCAGCCACGTCATCTGATGTTCGATCCCGCCAAGCTAAAGCGCATTTGACGCTCATCGCCGGAGGGCTAGAATTCGTTTTGTGGCACGTCCTGATTTCCCGTCCACCAAAATGACCTACTCTTTAAGGCCGTTATCCTCCGCACCCAGGGATTTGGATATTGTACGTGTTGGTAGAAATAACCGGTTAGATGTTTTGATGTGCTATGTCGTATGCCTAGGTGCAGTAGCTTGGGGGGCGTGATCAGGCGACGGGGATGTGGTTTATGTCACGAGCGTAGGTTTATCGAAGAAGCCTCTCATAAGTCATACCTAGAGAGACAGAAAGAGAGACAGAAAGAGAAAGAGAGAGAGAGAGAGAGAGAGAGAGAGAGAGAAGGTGAGTTGAAAACTTGGGAATCGTGCCTTTCTCTGCAACTACCCTTGACGGAGATTTCGTGGCCCATAAATCGGTCACTCACAGGAGAGTTTTTTGGTCGGTTGTCAAGTCCAGGTGCCACCATCCCTTGGCTGCTATGGTTTCACGCAAACACAGGATAGACTTCGGTCAATAGGCAGTTGGCGAGCAGTAGGTTGATCGAAGTGCCTGATTTCGGAGAGATCTGGCCATGAAAGCAACTAACCGACATATGACAGATCAAAAGTTGGGCTCGCCGCTCGCGGTCGAGAGACAGCTTGCATCACTAACGCACAGATGCCGGTTCCCGTATTTACAGGCAACATCACTCCTCTCCGGAGCTAGGTAACTTTCTATCCTCGTGCAGCTTCCCATAGTCCCATGAATTCGACATGATATGCTTCGCCGCGTTCTGCTAATGTGATAGGTACCTGCCTAATGAAAGCAGAAATACTAACAAATCAGAGCAAAAGGCTAGATAGAATAAAATATGGCAACTGTTATGCTTGCCTATTCCTATTCCATGACTTCCTACTATATAAGTCTTCCTTAATCCACTTGTCTAAGTGACCTTGATTAAGGTAGGTACCTCCAACCTAACCTACCAACCTAACCTAACCGAACCGAACCGAACCTTGAATGACTTCTGACTTACACGAGGTGTACACTGATAAATAGGCTGGGAATCTAGCAGCATCTGCATACTGTGGCTACCTAGGTAGATAGATTAAATACCATACATGCCGTCAAGTGCGAACTAAGCGTAGGCAAATTGTTCGTTTAATTTTGATTGGTTGACCCTCTTCTTACATGTCCCTGATGCCGTGCAAGTCGCTGACAAATTCGTCCGAATTTTCGTCCGAATCTTCTTGGCATTAAGGTTAGGGTCAAGAAGTAATCTGTTCCCAACGAGCAAGAAGGAAAGATACCTGCTCTTCGAGGAATTTCCTAATATTTCTTTTAATTGGAATATAGTTAATTTCTTTACAGACCGTTACTTAAAATACCTATCTAGGTACCTCCTATGTGCGTGTAACTTCAGGTACGTAGCCAATTTTTCTTTTTACTCACCAACGACGTCCCGGGGCTTCGTCATGGGAGCTTCTTACAGGTGAGATGTTTTTACTACACGGTTTGAACTCACTAAGAATAAAATAGTTTATATATCTATAAAACGTAACCACAGACTGTTACTTGCTCGCGGATCAAATATAGATGTCTCACGCCGTGACGCGAACCTTGAGTGGAGGCGACCCTAGTGCGAAGAGGAGAAAAGTTCGTAAGGGGACGCACAGTTGCTGGGAATGTAAGTCACTCTCACTCACTTCAATGACCCGAGAGGGTGGACGGGATGCTAAACCCTGGCAAGGTAGGAGGAGAAAGACCCGGTGCCAATATGCATTTAGCACATCTGCCGTCTGCAAGGGATGTGAAGTCCGGGGAACGGCCTGCGTGAGCCAGGAGTTTCCAGATGTGCAACCTCCAGCTTCAGAATCAGGACTATCACAACGATTGAACAATGTTGAGGTTCTGTTGGAGAAGCTCGTGGAGCAGACTACGTCCCATGCTTATACTCCTAGCCATACGGGTGACCCCTTTACTCCCTCCGTTTCGGCCGAAGATAAACTAGGTTCGTCCCCTCATATGCTTAGTCCGTCTGCGGCCGGGAACCCCCCTGTCGTGGGTATGTTCGATGCTCTGCGGGAGGACACTGTATATGGCTCTTCCGTTCGCGCGTCCTTTCTGCCGACGCCAGCATCGATCCAGGCCCAGCTAGCACCCTCCCTTCCTGTCAAGTATGCCCAGATATCGAGGATACTTCACGCAGCGTTCCCATGTCAGCACGACATCAACGCCATAATACAGGCGGCAGGCCCCAGTGCGGAGTTCGTCGTAACATACTTCAACGGTCCCAATGATCCGAGTTACTCTATATTCGTCGACTCGGAAGTCCCACCCGCATCAAGCCACCCCGCCTTACTAGCGAAGCGGTTGATACAGGTCGCTCTCTGCATGCAGAGGACGCCTGTACAGAATTTCCCCAAGAATCTCATCTCGAAAGAGCCGATCCGAGCCCAAGCGTCTAGATTGGCCAGCCTTATCTCAGACCTTTTTGCATCTCAGGATGACCTTATGGGCTCGTGTGAAGGTCTCGAAACACTTATTTTCATATCGTTGTATCAGTAAGTTATACTGCCATTCAATATTTCTTCTAAAGTTTAGGTCGACTTGAGTTTAACCGTAGGTCCTCCCCCCTTCCCCCCCCCTCCTCCTCCCTTTTACTGACAGAAGAAGCACGTGCTAACTTTCCAATAAAGAATAAGCATATAGTTAACAATGCCAACAATTTAGCTCTAACGCGGGGAACATGCGGAAATCATGGTTAAATCTTCGCCGCGCTATTGCTGTCGCTCAGCTTATGGGCGTTGACAGATGGCCGACTGATAAGCGGCTAAAGTCGGTCGACCCAAAGTCAGACCCGGCGACTCGTCTCCGGGGTAGCACGTTGTGGTATCGCATAAACTTCAACGATCGCTTCTTGTCCCTACTCCTCGGCCTCCCCGCGGCCAGCGAAGACAACTCCTTCGCTACCCCTGAGCGGATGGAAGGGGATTCTCCGGTCCACAAGCTCACCAAACTACACACTGCCATCAGCAGCGCCATCATCAAGCGGAATGCGGGTTCCAATGGAAAAGGGGCGGCTGCTGCTGATGCTAGCTTTGGTATGACGCATGATATTGACCGCAGCCTCGAGGCTGCTGCTAAGTCTAGTATGCCCTATTAATTGCCTTCACCTCTCCTACCCCGTCACTCTCAAGACATTCCGCAGCTATAGCCCTCTCACCCCGAAGGAACAATGGCTAATCCATCTTCACTAGTGAGTTCTGAATGGTGGCAGCCGGTGGAACCTCCCGATCTAGCCACTGCACCCGCAAAAGAGCTGCTTGACGCTCATCTGCATGTGATGATGCAGATGAATCATCATCATCTCCTTATCCTAACACACCTGCCATATTTGTGAGTAAAACCAATGATTTAATGTTGCCCCCACCTTCGCCGGTCTCTGTCCTGGGAGTTCGTATTCCCGGTTAAGGGGCTATTACTCTCATGACATGCTTACCTCCTCAACCGACCTACCTCATAAGCTCCACAAACCTCATGAAATGAAATGAAATGAAATAAAAATAAAAACAAAAAGCACCAACATAATAACTCACATCCTCACCTAGCATCCGCGATCCCAAAGAACGGCGATGGGACTATAGCAAAACCACCTGCCTCCACGCCTCGCGCAAGGTCCTCGAAGCCTACCTCGTCTTCCGCCACCTGACGGACGTGGCTGGGGCCTGTCGGCACACGGACTACGGGGCGCTGACGGCGTCGATGACGCTGCTGCTGGGGTACCTGGACCCGAAGCTGCGGGGGCGCGACCGGGAGACGAGCCGGCGGCGCAGCGCAGACCGCAGGCTGGTCCTCGCGGTCCGCGACGTGGTGCGCGACATCGCCGAGCGCGAGGACGACAAGATGTCCCGCGAGACCGCGGACATCATCACCCGCCTCCTCCCCCTCACGGAGGTCGGCCTCGTCGCCAAGAGCAGCAGCAGCCCCCCCAACAGCGCCCCCGTCCGCCTCGAGATCCCGTATCTCGGCACTATCAACATCAACCCCGTCAGCAGGCGCATGCTGCCGCAGGACCGCGATCGCCCCGGGCAATACCACCACCAGCCCGACTCCAACGAGGATGACTCGAGCAGCGCCGCCGGGCCGCCGGCCCCCGTCAGCTATGGCGGCAGCAGCAGCGGCGACAACGACGGGGGATTCGTAGAGCAAGACGACTTACAGAGCTCCTCCTCCTCCACGGCGGAAAATGCGTATAAGAACCGCAGCACGCCGGTAGATCCCATTTTACAGCAGCAGCAGCAGCAGTCGCGCCCCGAAGCATCCTCGAGCTTCTTGAGTATGCTCGGGGAAGACGCGAATTTCACCCTCGTGCAATTCGAGCCGCAGGACGCGTCGCCTCCTTACCCGCTGCCGGAAATCGCGGCCGACATGAACGAGTGGCCGTTCCAGGGATTCGACGCTAATTTCTTTGAGAACCTGTTTTCGTAATAGGTTGGGTGCCTGGGTACGTACGTACCTAAGTCAATATGGCCTCGATATACATATACGAGGTACCTAAGTTGACATAGCCTCGACATATACGTACATTAGGTACCAACGACATCTAGGAGGTATATAGGTACCTAACGTTAGTATTCCATTTACACTTTCTACGGACGATATTTGCAGGTGTATATACCTTAGGTACTTAGGTCTTTTCGCTATTAGACAAGCGTTTAAGCGCTGCTTTAAGTGGCAAAATAACTAATAATGCTTGAGATAGGTATGTCCTGAGTTTACGAAGAGCTATTGTCACCAACTTGTTCCGGGTAGCTATGGTAATATTTGGCTAGTAGCGGCTAAGGGGTGTAGGAATAGCTAGGAGTACCTAACTCTCGCTTACAGGGTTTGCGAGGCCGAGCAGATTTACATAGGCCTGAGACTAAGAGCAGGCCCGGTGTTTTTGTAAACTTAGGGCTTTCATGCACCACGAACGGGCTGACGGGGTGCCTCATGTATAATGATTACGGATTAACGGTTAAGGTGAGGTGTGTCCCAATGCTATCCAATGTAACGTTAAATGTATACCTAGGTAGGTACCTAGGTACGGTAAAGGGTTGTGGATATTTGATGATGGTAGACGATGTTATATTCCCATGGTAACGTTTCTAAATGTGGCGATGCTTACCTACCTAACCAAACGTAATATACCACGGGGTGGTTAATGTTTTCCTGGCCCACTCCCCTATTCTATACTAAAAGCTCAGCTTTATCACTCTGCAATAACTTTACCAGTAAAGATAATATAACTACCATACCGGCAAAATATAGGTTTGTGGAATGGTTCCAAATGCGGAATGCTTTTGATTCTTGGCATTTTCTAGCGTTTTTATTAGTGGGGGAATGAATTAAAGCGGGGAATTATAAGCGGAATCGTTCCATAAAAGGTAAACCATTCCGTAAAAAAGCAAATCATTCTAAAAATAGAAATAGTTCCAAGTAAAAAAAAAAAAAAAATTTTAAAAAATTATAAAAGTTTAATATATAATAGGTAAAATCAAATAGAGTCTGATTATGTAATATTAGATAGATCGTAGTACCTTATATAGCTCAATTTACATATGTCTTGGAAGAAAAAAAAAAGTTGAAAGCAGTAGGTTCAAGTAGGAGGTTCGAGTTCCACTCGCAGTAAATTTTTGAAAAATCTCTTTTTTTACAGAACCGTTCCACAAATGGAACCATTACCATGTGGAACGATTTAGAATAATTCCAATGATTACCATAGGTTTAATGTTTTCGATGGGGTTCTAATCGTTCCACGTACATACATTTTGCCGGTATGGTAGGTGCACTTTTAATTTTTAGGCTATAGATATTTGAAGGGGCTAAAACCTTTATACTAGTCGTTTGTTAAAAAGCCCAAGATTGGTAGAGCTATCTCAGTTGAAAGTTGATTTAAGTTAACTTTTTTTTTTTTTTTTTCCCCTATAAAAAATTAGGACTTGCATAGGGAACTCTCTAAAAGTCGACATAAGACAACTTTCAATTGAGATAGCTTTACCGATTTTGAGTTCATCAGTGCCAGAGGGGAATATCACAGAGAAGCGTGGGTAGTAGTAAATGATCAATCTTGTGAATAGATCCAATCGGTGTGGCAATAGACAACGATTGCGTATTAACATCGATAACGCTTATCCTCCTGTCCATCCTCGTGTCCATCCTGACCGTCCTGTCCAATCTCAACTCTTTACAGTTAAGTTCGGATGCAACAGAAACCCTCGTACGTACTCCGTATAAGGCAATGAGATTCCAACCTCCATCTCGCAGTCTCATCCCTGGATACGCAATCTGGTCCCTGACAATCGGAAGCTTTTGTACATAGAAGATGTATCTAGCTTAAATCCCTACCAGCCACCTACCTAGAGTTGGGGTTCCAGTTTTAACATTTTTATAAGTGAAGCTATCGCAGAGTGACGAGGCTGAGCTTCGGACCTGCGGTGTGAATTTCGAGGCGGACTGGATACTTTTGGACCTTACCGGTAATAATAATTATTGAGCATTATTAATGCCCCATTGTTAAATATATAAATTAAAAAAATCAGTTTTGAAGTTTAAATAACTTAGTGGCAAAACCTTAAGCTTCTAAAAAAGAATCTTGTAGAAAAGTTCATATTTTTTTTTAAAAAAAAAGAAAAAAAAAGAAATTAAAAATTAAAAAAATCAAAGTATTAAGCATTGGAAATATGTTTAGTATTGGATATACGCTTAGCGTTGGATATTGAAAACCATTAGTCCCTATCAAGGTCCGGTAGATATTATTCTTGTTGCATAAGGAGAGAAAGGGGGAAGTAGTAGAAAGGCCTTTGAGGTAGCTACCTTATTTACACGATAGTGACCCACTAGGGTCCATACTGGGAGGTCTACGGGGCTATACCGTGACAGCCTCTGATTAATGATTATTATACATCCTAATTGTTACAATTCCTAACATTCTGCTGCTATGATATGCATGTATGTATATATAATGCCACGACTGTTCTAATAAAAGACCGTCCAGCGAGTAGAGAAGTATATGTACAAGAATTTTGTCCTAGCGTATATATATATATAAAGCCGTTAATCTCAACCCTAGTTTTACTCTCTCTCAAGTCTACGGTAGAGTAATGATCTGTCCTCCGGTGTTCTGTGGCGTTTTTGTAGGGGCTTTGGGCGCCAGAGCCAGGATCTTGTCGGCGGCGAATTCTGCGGCGGTCACGATCATAGCCGAAGGGTTTCCGGTGACCATGCCGGGGAAGATGGACCCGTCAACGACGAAGAGGTTGTCGGTGCCGTAGACCTTGGTGTTAAGATCGACGACAGCCGTGCCGTTTTCCTTGCGGCCGTCGTCTGTTCCCAGCTTGGCAGTGCCTATTGAATGTTAGCGAGAATGAAGTGAAAGTTGGCTTGGTGTTAGGTTATTACTGACCCATCCAGTGGTTTGAGCGACGCTTGGCTGACGTTACTTCAATGCCGTCAACATAAGCCTCGGTTGTTTGGTTTGTGCCTGGGAGTCGGAACTCGAGGTCCTTTACGGTGCTAAGAGCGTTTCGTAGGTTCTCAATACCCTTGATGACGGCTGCCTTATCATTCGGGTCTCGAAGGTAAGGCGGGGTTGAAACGACTGTGCTCAGTCCAGCGTTGATAGTCATCCGGCCTCGAGAAGTCTGGCCTCTGCCGAGATATTGGCTCATGATCATTGTATCTATATCATGTTAATTTTGCTTTCTTTTAAAAAGTTCATCTCGTGAGGACATACTAGTGGTGTTTGTCAGCTCGGAACCCTCGACACGGGCCGTCCATTGGAGTTGACGGACTACGCCATCCTCGCCTTTAATTTCGTCCCAGAACTAGTAATTTGGTTAGAAACGCTTCGAGATGTAATTCAATTCGAGACACATACCACAGGTCCAATGTTAGGAGCAGCCTGCGCCAAAATGCCAGTACGGTTTGCTATGAAACATAGGTAAGTATATATCCCAGTTATTCCGTAGGTAGTTCATGCTTACCGAGGTACTTCTGCTTGTCCGAAGGGATTGGTGAGTCCCATGCCTCGTAGAAATCGTAGAATACAACATCAGGGTGGGTGAAGTAGGTATCGGTCTATCATAAACGAGTTAGACAAACGCCGGTTTATTCATCCTGGATTCTCACTTACGTTGACATGGTCCATCAGATTATAACCGACTGGTAAATTAATCCAATCGTCTTTTGCGATGAAGGATTTACCGTCAGAAGTTGAAGAAGCAACAACCTCGAGTTGATCAGCCGGTCCAATACCACCTAACAAGATTAGCACATCGTTGCAAGTGTGAATATTTTTATACTGTAGCATTGGAACTTACTCCTGAAAAGGAACTTGGCAGAGCCGAAGGTTCCGGCCGAAACAATAACGCGTCCAGTATCGGGGGTAACATTTACGGTTCCGTACCCACCGCCTTCTATCGTGCAGTCTAGCTCGACTCCGGTAATATGGCCGCCTGTTCTGAGAGCCCTCCTAACCGGGGTGTTCATCCATAGCGCAAAGTTGTCACGCTTAGCCGCGGTAACCAAATAAGTAGCAAGAGGACCACCTCTCTCGCCATTAGAGAACATGTAGGTTGTGGCACCAAAAGTATGGTTCTTCTGAGTTGGGGCATTGTTGGGGATAGGTACGTTCTTCCATCCTGCCTTTTTCAATCCACTTGAGATGACATCGACTCCCTGGTGCATATACAGCTCACCATCCTGAGAGGGTCTTGTAGTTCCCGGGATGCGCTTGAACGTTCGGTCCGTAGCGCTCTGAAGATCCGAGTTATGCCACCCCGCAGGGAAGTTCTCATCCCAGTCCTTCGGGTTCGCCTAGAGAGAGAGTATTAGCATCTGATATTTATAGTTATGATTAAGATAGGTAACTTACCCTCCACCACAAGCCGGCGTTAACGGCTGTGCCTCCACCAAGGACACATCCAGCCATTTGGTCGGTATCTAAGCAAGCAACACCATCCGAATCAACCCAGATCTGGTTGCAAAGACCCGGAACGTCGAATCTCGTGAGATCTGTCTTCTCGAGCCAGAGCGGCTTTAAACTTCCGCCCCAGATGCCTGTGGACGGCGGCCCCTTCTCAACCAACAAGACACTGTGACCCTTCTCGCTTAACCGGTCAGCGATAGTGATACCACCGGCTCCAGCACCGACCACAATGTAGTCGAATGACTGACCAGCCATCTCCTTAGCACATTGACGAGTTGTCGGTGGTGGGTTGCCGGGATCACTGGGAGCACATTTACCGGGAACGTTCTTCGTTGCCAACGCAGCCCATTCGGGGTACTTAGCACTTGCAAGACCTTCGAGGGGGGCACCAAACTGCCCGAAGGACTCATGCTGCATAAACTTGATGTTGGCAGGGCATTCGGGGTTACTAGGAAAAGTCTTTGCCGAGGCTCGTCCTACGACAAGTAATCCGCTGCTGGTTTCAACGTGACCACTGGAACCGTCCTGGTCCCAGGAGTAGCAGTTCTGGCATCGGTAAATAAGCTCGAAACCGGTGTCGGTCACCTTGGACGAGATCTGGGTCAAGGTTGCGTTTCCGGTGTAAACTCCCGGGAGGTTATACCCAGTTGCAAATCGGAAAGATGTAAGGACTTGGCCGTTATACGGCCAGGCAACGAGCAGTAAGGCCTGCGTCATCTGACCCGACTCTCCATGGGAGATACCACACCAGCCCGTAGAGCATTTCTAAAAAGATATTTAGTTTTGTGCTGCCTTGAAATAGCTAGCCATATTTACGTACTAGTATACCAATGTACTCAGTGGCATCTTTAGTTAAGGCATCCTCTGGAAGTGTAAGACCAAAAGTCTGGTCGCCCTGAGCCCATGTACCAAACTCGATTCCGGTGTCAGGGTCGGTGTATTTGACCGGTTCTTGAGCGAGAGATGTCCCGAAGGCTATACACTTTCAGTCTGCATCCTTTTAATGCCGAGTAGACAGAATGAGTAGACTTACTGGTAGCGGCTGCCAGAACAGCAGTCGCAATACGTGAGAAGGATGGCATGCTGAGGTCGCTGGCCAAGCATCCAAGACCTAGGGAGACGTGACTAGCAGACTATTGAAAAGGGGATTTGAGGCGACTAATAAATGGCATCACGTCGTAGGATCTGTAAAGCCAAGGCACAAATGGTCCGCCCGGTTTTCCGGGGAAGACGACATGATAGGACATGATCTGCAACTCAAGCATGCTGCAGCTACTGGCAAAGTTGAAAGGGCTGGCTAAAGCACCGACATGATTGCGGAGGACGGTGCCGGAGAAGACTGTAGAGGTAGAAAAGGGTATAGGGCCAGATTATGCCAGTGGCCTATACCTATAATGGAGGGCTCATATATGGTTTCGAAGCCGGGAAGAGGACCAAAAAGCAAACCGACTGGTTGAAATAGGCGATAGACGCCCAGGGTTGTCAGCCAGAAGCGCCTAGTAATAACCCAGACGATGTTGGTTCACGGAGGTAAAGGGAAATGGAAATGGAAAAGATGATAAGCGACTTAACAACTGATTGAGCCTGAGATTAGAAGACATGGTCTACTTAGTACTTTAGATTGCCTATAGTTACCTAGTCGGATCAACAACAGTATCGTGAGTAAACAAGGTACACCCCAAGCTAGCCTGGCCAAACATAATGAAATAAAGCAAGCTCAACATATTCTGGATATTCTGGATATTGTTTCAATAGGACTATCGTGTAGGCCAAGTCGGATATGTAACGGGTAGAGAAAGATCGACAGCCGCTAAACAAGACCAGGATGAGCTCCTGTCAGGGACAGATGAATACCTACTATGTATCTGAATGAACATCTGGAACATATAGCCGCTATCCAATGAAATCAGATGGAATGGTCATGGAATGAACAAGCATTATAATGGCGCACCATAGAAGTTGGAGAGAAGAGGAAAGGTTGTTTTGTTTTGTTTACATAGTAAGGTGTAACGGTGGTAATTTTCTCTCCGAATTTGAGCAGATTTCTAGTTGATGGTTTAGGTATTCTACCCCAGTCTGCTGCATAGGCCCGTCATTCCAGCGTAGCCCCGAAACAAATCCCCCCCAGATTCGGTCAAGTCTCCCGGGACTAATGCACACGCGGGTGTCCCTTCGGTTGTAAGGGCCGATTGAGGCTATCGTTACCAGATCACCCAAATCACCCAGATCACACTTTACGCTTAAGACGTGATGGACTTTATTGCTATAGTCCTATTTCATTATTGCTGCATACATAGTACCTATTTCAAGAACAACTAGGCCAAGAAAAGTGACCACGTAAACCTAAGGACGCCTCCCTAGTATGTCTTCGGCGGCCTGGTTCTCCTTTTGGACAAAATAAGCTCGGCGTTTGAGCCCCGTCTATACGAGTTCCCAGTTTAGGAAGGTTTCTAGAAAGAGGTATTGGGAATACCCTCAACCCCATTGGTAAGTCATTTTTGAGTAACGTTCCGATACAATTGTTTTAGTCTTGTCTACATGATCTCGGTGGTATTCGGCAATGAGAAGCCAAGTATATCAATATATCTTCAAGGCGCGAAAAGAAATATAAGTAAACCTTGATTTCCTGATATACCTAGTTACATGTCGTTGAAACCTCGCCACCTATTCTGCAGTAATCTGTATTAGTTATCATGCCCTTGATATTGCAAGAACGGAGCTTCACGATCCTTGGTCATAACAATTGATACCACCCCACGCTTTCGTCAATTGCTTTGAGCATCGCGACAACCTCCCACCTGACTATGACTATTTTGTCACTCGCGAAGCTAAGAAATATTATGGCCTCTTTGCCCCCTCCAAGGGACGCATAAGAATGGCTGATAGACGTTTATTGCTAGAAGCAAATATATTAAAGGTATCCAGTATCATAATAAAACCACTTCGAGATACAGTCCTGGTATTAAAAAAACCAGACGCAGGAGGGGGTTGACAATGCGAGGGTAGAGGAATCCCTAGGAAGTTTGAGCTCCGTTGCTCGCCATTCAGAACTGAAGCAAATAGGGACAGAATGAAGCCCTCTCCTATTTTTTTCTTTTCTTTTCCACGCCTAAACTTGAAATCACAATGCCCAAAGTAAAACCATTTTCAACACCCCAGCCCTATCGTTAAGACTTCGCCTCCGTTTCTCCAGGAAGTATCCTAGTGCCCAATTGTGAACATATCATACCTACCTACCTAATATAAGGGATATAACAACCCACTTAGGGCGTAAATTACCGGAATAAACCACGACAACCAAGCAACCAAGCAAGCTTTCTACACCCAGTCCTTTAATCTATCAATCTTATTAAAAGAAAACCCTTCTCCCTCGTGACCACCAGGTTGGCAACCTAGACAGACACACGGCTCGTAGACCTGGCCAGCCTGCCCCTGAGCCTTACTCAAGAGCTTGGCCCTTCTCCCGCGTCCAAGAATGGAGCCGCGGCCCGCTTCATTTCGTCGAAGGAAAAAAAAGATCTGGGGTTCGGGGTGTGCGTGAGCCCCAGACGGAGAGAAAGAGAACTGCCGAAGGGGGGATATCATGTTCACATTTTTCGTTCTTAAGAATGATCAAGGGCGCGCCTACGCAGCTAGGCTCCGCTAGCTGCTTGCTCTGCTCTGTTCTGCTCTCTACCCTCCGGACGTTTTCAACTCTCGAGAAAGAAAATACATCAGATAGATAGATAGATAGATCGTCAGATCAGCTCTCCCCCACCACCAAAATGAAGAACATCGTCGCTCTCGTCGCCGCCACCGCCCTAGCCGCCCACGGCTCGTCGGCTCACTACATCTTCCAGGCGCTGGCGAAAGGCACGGCCAAGGGTGTTCCGTACGAGTACGTCCGTCGAAACACGAACTACAACTCCCCCGTTACCGGTTCGTAAATCCCCCCCTTCCCCTATCCAATACGCATATACCTAATACATACATACATACATACTTACCTAACTTACTTATTTACTAATTGTAACGATAAAAAGACCTCTCCTCCCCCGACCTCCGCTGCAACGTCGGCGGCGCCCACGGCGGCAACACCAGCACCCTCGACCTGGGCGCCGGCGACCCCTTCACCTTCACCCTCGACACCGCCGTCTATCACCAGGGCCCCGTCTCCCTGTACATGTCCAAGGCCCCCGCCGCCGCCGCCGACTACGACGGCAGCGGCGACTGGTTCAAGATCAACGACTGGGCCCCCGTTTTTAATGGCGGCCAGGCTACCTGGACCCTGAAGGGTGAGTATCTACCTAGAAACCTAACCCCGCCCTCCCACCCGGGAATTAAAGTTCTTTTGCCCTGTTCTTCCAAATATATATATAACCAAAAAAAAGAAACTAAAAAAAACCGTCTGTTTATACACTAGACACGTACTCGTACACGATCCCCCGGTGCATCCCCAGCGGCGAGTACCTCCTGCGGATCCAGTCGCTCGCGATCCACAACCCGGGCGCGACCCCGCAGTGGTACGTCGGGTGCGGGCAGGTCAGGGTCGTCGGCGGGAGCGGGAGCGGCTCGCCCAGGCCCACCGTCAAGATCCCCGGCGCTTTCAAGGCTACCGATCCCGGATGTGAGTTTCCCCTAATATGTATATATACGTTCTTGATTTGTTGATCGTTGATTGTTGATCGAAATGAAATGAAATGAAATGGCTTGGCTTGGACTGACGTCGCGTGTACCCTACAGACACCGCCAACATCTACAACAACTTCCACTCGTACACGGTGCCCGGTCCCTCCGTGTTCACTTGCTAGATGGTGACTTTGGCTTTGGCTTTGGTTCTGGTTTTGGATACACAACCTTGTCCAGGCTGAGATTCTGCATAAGGTACCTACCTAGGTAGTTAGAGAAGATAATAGCAATCAATGTCGTGCGATGAGTTTCTTGAGATAAGCTCTTGTTTATGAAGCACGCTTACTTCTCACTTTGCATTGCTGTATACCTACCTAAGGTACCTAATCTTACGTAGAGGAGGTCTTTAACATTCTTACCCTATTAGCGAGGCGCTTTTTATTATGCAAGTGGTGGCCTCTTTACTTAATTTAATAATAATAATGTAGAGCAAGGCTCTAGCTAAAAAAGAGATAGATAAATGCAATGGCTCTGGAGCGCCCTGGGCACCTAGTTAAATAATTCGGTTAAATTTTATCTCCTAAATCAGTTCGTTATTGAGCAGGTACCTAAGTTAAACAACCCTTCAGTCTCATTACTCGCCATAAAGGGGCTAAGCATATTTCATACCTAATTACATCGGGATATACATACATACATATCAACCCTGAACCACAACCACATCGTAAGTTACGAAAAACAACGCTAGCTTGCTTGTGATGGTAATAAATAATACATCCATAGCTCACCACCGGCCAACCTCGAGTGTGTACCTAGCCTATACCTAATACCACCCCAAGCCGCCCGCCTCATCAGGAGCTGTTCGCAAAGAACTTCGTTATCTTCTGCGTCCCCGGCTGTTTCCCCTTACCCGGGCTCTTAGTACCATTACTAGTCGCACTAATCTTCTGTCTGGCCCCCTTCTGCGGCGAAGACGCCTTGCTCGACGCCAGAGGAGAAGTCTTCGTCGCAGCCACTTTCTTCGGAGGCTCCTCGCCAAAAGAGTCATTCTCCGCTTCTCTTTTTACGCCGACCGTAAGCTTCTTCTTCTTATTCTTATTATCTTTGTCTTCTTCTTTTATCTGAGTAGAATCTTCGGCGACGAACCCTTCTTCCTGCTTCACTTTAACCTGAGGCTGCTGCTGCTGCTGCTGCTCTTCTTTGCTTGCGTCCTCCTCCTCCTCCTTCTTGTTCTTCTTCTTCGCGGCGGCAGTGGAAGCGCCCTTGGCGAAGAAATTTGCGATGTTGGACTTGTTCTCCTTGCTGTCGATGGGTATGACGAAGTTGGGCGAGTTGTTACCGACTTTACCCACGTCCTTGCTGACGGGGTAGACCACCAACTCTCCGTCGAAAGGCTTCAAGAGAGCCTGCAGCTCCTGCGACCATTCGCAACGCTTGGGGTCTAGCCAGGTACGAATCTCTTCAGATCCGTTCTCTAGAATGACCGGCATGCGGTCGTGGAGGAATATGAGTTGCTTATTTGAATCCGTGGTGATGATTGTGTAAGTGTATAGCTTCTCTTCGCTGTCTGAGTAAGTGCCGGTTAGTCGTAGTCTCAGTTAATCCCCGTCCTTTCAGTACGAGCTTGGAACGCTTACTTTCATATTGTACCACGTCCCATAACCCAGCGAAGCACATCAGCTTGCCGTCCTTCCTCTTCACAAAATGGGGAATCTTATCTTTACTCCCATCTTTTTTGAGCCATTCGTAAAAACCTTCCGCAACGACGATGCATCGCTTCCGCGCTTTCATTGTACTCCACATGCCACCGTGCTGAGCCAGAGAATCATCCCTGCAGTTGATAGTCTTCATCATAGACCCGTAATCCGGATTGCGCTTTGTCCAGAAAGGAATCAGACCCCATTTCATACTTTGCAGCTTGTAGCTAAAAGACTTGGGATTCAATGTATCACCACCATCCCCGCCTTCGGCTGGCCCTTCTTTTACGGCTTCATCAGAGGCATTGGCGCCATGCTGTCTTCGAGGGCCAGCACCCCAATCCGGTACATCGGCGCGGTATACGACGCCATGGTAGCCGGGGGCGAAATTGTAACTTTGCCTGGGTGCACCGTCGCCTTCATCATCTGGCGCGTCGTCTACAGGCATGCCATCATGCCGGAACAGCTCACGAATTTGCGCTGGCCTCTATGCGATTGGTTTTGCAGTTAGTCTCTTATGGCAAGACAAATGTAAACTGAAATAGGTTTGGCAACATACTAATGCCAATGAATACCGTCCACACATATTATCTTACACCTAACTCGCTTCAGAACAAAGATCAAAGAACCAATGCTGGATGTAATTAGATAAACTGATGCATACGAGCGCGTAGGAAGATGTAAGTTGAAGTAGGCAAGGTACCTAAGGTAGGTACCTAGAGGTAGCTATGACGAAACACAGTACGAAAGATAGAGATTCTTAGCATCACGTCCCGAACACGCGGTCAGGTGACGCCTTTGCTCTGTAAAGCCGCCCCCTGCATGTTTTATAATGCCTATGCGTTTTTTCTCGAGATCAAGATATTAACCTCTTCGGAATCTGCATTAGTATTTGATATTTTATGGTGTTACCAGCACTGGTAGTGATTTCTCTTCATCAAAATATCATGTATTCGTTAAGTCACAACAATTGTTTAACTAGGGAAAAAAAAGCAGTTGGAGTCGTTGTCAGAAAAGTGGCAAAGCATCTCAATTCTGTATATGAACTGATTCTGTAATCCCGTATCACGCCGAGCCATGCATAAACCACTCCTGAAGTAGCGTAACCCTCTTCCATCTGAGAACTGCATCCATGGTATATCGGAAGAGACGACGCAACACCAAGACCTAACCCACACCGTTTTTTCTTTAGACCTTGAAACCCCTTGACCGTCTGCGACCACGGGCCTTCTCGAATTTGCGGCCCTTGGACTGGACGTACGGCTTCTGTAAAAGATTGTGAGTAGGCTGAGATTAGCTACAGTATAATTTCCTCCACGTACCTTGTGCTTGTGGGGGCCGAAGCCGAAGTGCTTGACAGCCTCGCGGGCGTTCTTGGGGCCGCGGAGCAGCAGGGTGTTGCTGCCGGTAGGGGCGCGGAGAGCGAGCTGGTCGAGGGTCAAAGCCTCACCACCAGCAGCGACGATGCGGGCACGGGCGGTGGCGGTGAATCGCAGAGCAGCGATGGTAACCTTGGGGACCTCGAGGAGACGGTTGTCGTCGGTGATGGTACCGACAACAACGACAGTCTTGCCTTTACCGTCCTCGGGGATCTGCTTCTTGACGCGGGAGAGGGAGACGGGGGGTCGGTTGATGCGGGACATGAAGAGGCGGCGAAGGACGACCTTGTTGAAGTTGGAGTCCGTTCGGCCTATATTAAAATAGAGTTAGTCGTATTGATATATATACATATATATAATCGAGGATCCATTGGTAGGTAGCTCATTGCGAAGCTAGCAATAACTGGGGGAGAAAATAACTTACGGGCCAGGAAGCGGTACAGCTTCACCAAGAGCTTAAGGTAGACATTGTCGCTCTTGGGCGCCTTGCGGTGGGTGCTGCGCACGTGGTGGCGGTCGAGATCAATACCTATTCAAAGAGAAAAAAAAGCCATCGTCAGCTTTTTGGTTCAAATATGCTCTACCGGGCGCATCCCAAAGGACCATTCCCGTTTGTTCGCAGAAAAGCGTGAGAGAAAAGAGCAACGATGCAATGCAGTTTTGCAACAGCAACAGCAGCAGCCAATCTCTCTCTCACACTCCCACTCGCATAGAGATCTCTAAATAAATATTTAACGTACCCATCTTGACGGTGACCCTTTTGTGATTGAAAAGAGAGTCGATGGGAAAAGGGGAAAAAAAGCTGTTGTGCTGTGGGTTAGTAGTGACTGAAGAGAGGAAATAATTTCAGGTGGGCCGCAGAAAAGTTCGAAATCGCAAAAGTTGGAGTAGAATGTGTGGGCGGGGCGGTGAAAAGTGGCAGTTAGGGTTGGTACAAGTACCGCTGGGTAGCTAAGCTAAAGGCATGCATTTAAACAGTCTCGTTTACGTAATATGTAGTTTACAAATATCTTTGATAAGCAATCTAAATCTTATGTACAGGTACCTAAGCCTGCAACTCCTCCTACTTTTCATATTCCACAACAGCAAGATCACAGACATACACATAACCTATCATAACCATTACACGAACACGATTTTCTGTAATTAGTTTCAGATTTTCATTTGGTTCTATGCAATTATCACTTTGGAGCCTTATCTCCAAAATACCTCCTAGAAGGGCGACCTTTTAGTCCCTCACTCCTCTTACCTACATGCATTGCAGGTTAGGTAGTCATCTCTCTCTCTCTCTCTCCATATACACTTATACAACGTACACAACATAACGTTGCTCGGGTCTATCCTGCCAGGGGCTCATAATAATAAATCCTTCTCTACCGACCAACAATGTGTTTGTGTGCTCTCTATGTCTGTTTATCTACCCTTTCCTTGGTTTAACACGCAACCCCCCCGATCCACTGCCCTGCATGCCGCAGTCATTCTTTACCGTAGTGCATCAACGCCGTGCCAACAGAAATCCCGCACGCATACATGGTGCATATCTAGAGGTAGTCAATTACAATCTGGATATATAATCCAGTAAAGGTGAATAAAAACCGGCTACTGCCGCGCATTGCCTCGGTTACGAAGAATCCTCTTGTTCTGGCTTCAGGCTAACCAAAAAGTCTCGAGTGACTTCAAAGCTTAGCCAGTTGGCGGCCATGCTAGGGGCGACCTTGAGTAAGTTAGGAATGAGGCCCTTATATAGACCCCTGAGCCCTTCTTGGGCTAATATTACTCTGACAGCGTCTCCTATCGACTTGTATTTGTAGCCCATACCAGACATGGTATTGATTTGGAATCTCCGTCGCAGGACGTCACTATGCACGTATTAGACAACCATCACCGCAAAGACGAGACCTGCTTACAATGGATATGTGCATGTCTGAGCAACGGCACCTGATACGGCACCGGCCAATAGCTTTCGTGCTGCACTGGGGTTTTGGTCGCCCTCAGGTGTTAAATACTTGCGGACGAATTCGTATGTCATGAAATTTAACCCCACCTGAGAAACCATTAGTCTTCCCGTATCATATTGATCAGATCATGCACGTAAGGCGCATATGAAAGCTTACATATGGCGCCACTCCTGCGACTGTAGGTATTATGCCACGGTACAAAGCAGGTAGGCCGCCCTCCTGCTTATACATCGTGACCATTGTAGACCACATGCCCGGCATCTTGTCCTTTGGCATGTTGCCAAGTGCGGCAAATGACGCGGATTGAATAGACAGCCGAGTCCGCACTATGTCGAGCGGGTATGTAAAAAATACTGAGGTAATGCCCGCTATACCGCCGCATAAGAGCCTCTGGAGGGGAGATAAAGGAGCGTTCGGGTACTTCTCGAAGAAATGCTAAAGCGAGTTGTCAATTAGACTAATCCGGAACCATCTTCGACGTGCGAAGTTCAGGCGAGGTTATAATAGGCCAAGCAACTCTCGCTGTCGACTTACCCGTTTGTAGAGGTTGTAGCTACCAAACTGGACTGCAGAATAGGGAACGATGCGAATGCAATTGGTTCCATTACCAGCCATGAAACCCCTCCAACCTTCTTCCTTCCACATCTTAGCAAGCGCCTTGCCTACAGATAGCTTGTATTCGTTGCGGCCGGCACTTTGCACCTGGAAGAGGATCTTCAGGCGCTCGAGGGGGGATACGACGGTTCGCGACACCGCGCCGGCGACACCGCCGGCGCAGAAAGCAGCAGTCACCGGCTGGGAGAAGAATTCTCTAAACTGAACAGTTCTATTCCCACCGGCATACTTGGCCTTTAACTCTTCTGTACTCTAGGGGGATCTGTGTTAGCTACCTAACCGAACCGGGAGCTCATCCTAGCGCAAAGGGGCGGGTTCGTTGCGAAAGCACTAAGGTAGACGTACAACGGCCATATTGGAACTTCGACTAGGCGAACACGGGGGGAATCGACCGACGTAGCAACGAGGGAAAAGCGGCGGCGTATGGTTCGCACGAGGCTGAAGTAGGAAGCCAAAAAGTTTGCGCGCGGCTGATGGTTGTACATGTATATCGGGAACTAAGGATACCTGAGGTAGTCTTTGGAACGCGACTACACCAACAATGCAAGTTTTAACGAAAGGCTCTTGACGATTCGGGCGACATAGTCGAGTTCGAAGGACGGGCTAATCGAGAGCATAGGTAAAACGGTAACAACCGCGCGGGATTTCAAAGTATCCTTTTCACCTTGCGCAAGGATATCGCACTGCGTTTCGTCCGGTCAGATCATCGAATTGACCAAAGCACATAGAGTACTCATGATCGTCTGCCTCCTAATTATATGCCCAGGGTTGATAAGACTTTATAACGGAAGGGTAAGGTATGAATATGAAACGTGTTACTTGAAAGGTGAGGTTCAAAAGAAGATCAAGAGAGGAGAAGCGGGAAAAAAAAAAAAGAATAGAGTTAGAAAATTTAGCTATGAGGGATAGATGGTAACTACTACTTGGGTAGACTGGTAGTAGGCTGCTAGTACCTAGGTAATAGGCTGGCAGGATGGGGACCGTACCAAGTTACAATAGGTTCAAAGCAATTGAAGTCGGCCAGTCGGAGCTTAGAGAAAAAAAATTAGTCTTAGAGGGGAGCCGGTCACCCGCCGCACTCACCTGAGACTTTCGGGTACTGAGAACTTATGCCGCAAGTGACTTATAAGCTGTCATTTGCTACCAGGTGTTTCGATATTTGTCATTTGCTTGAGTCTCAGGTACATAATATAGAATTGACGAGGTGCACTAAAATGAAAAATACAATCGAATGAACGAATCATGAAGAATTTTGATAATTACCTATATATGCGGCTCGTAAAGGCTTTTTTTTTTTAACACCTACCCCATAAGGCTATTCTCGGGACTAACGTACAGACCTAGCAGCATAATAGGCAAGGCTGTTTGATGTACCTATATCCGGGTACTGACTTGCTAGAGAAGCGGTAAATAAAGGAGCACTTATTAAAAAATTAAAAATTGAAAAGGGGATATTACCTGTTAGACCTAACGACCCCCTTTTCTTTGTTTGTGCCTCGAGTCGAGGCGGCTTCTCCACAAAGCCGAAGTTAGACTGGAGCCGCCGAAGAATCGAGATACGTAACTGGTAACTAGCGAGTACCTAAATAAAAAGCTTCGGGATACTACTATGTACTAGAGTATACCGTTTATGACGTGACCCGACATGTCGAAGATGCAGCAGCCATTCAGCCATTCCAGCCATTCCATGTTTTTCTTAAAAAGCAGGAAAAAAAAACGAATAGGATCTGCACCTCAATACCAATTGCTTGGTTGGTTGCTAGGTTAGGTATTCACCCAAACCTCGAGGTACCTACTTAACCTATGACACGCCGTAACGCTGAGATTTAATGAACTCGTCAGATAGCGTGCAGCTAACAGCATCCGAATATGGCTAGACGTAAATATAGGAGGTAGCCAATAAGTACAAAGGTAGAAAAAGAATAGAAGAGCTTCGAATCAATCGAATTCGATAGACGGCATCATACCGAAGTCATCCAATCTCAACTAGTATAAGACATAGCTGTAAGACATTGCCACTTGAACACTTACACACTTAAACAACGCTTTCATGATTAGCTATTAGAACGGAATCTGATGGCCTTCCAATACAATTATAAAATATACAATACAGTATTACCATTAGTTAACAGCATAAATCGATACAAAGTAACAAAAACTCATTTTCATTAATAATGCGCAGGGTCAAAGTGAATTTGCTCTAAACTAATTTTGATTAGGAACATGGTTCCTCAAGGCGCATCCTCTGCTACCTTCATCCGCCTTCATCTTATGATTATCGTTCCTCTCGAAAGGGAAAAGAGCCTAGATTCTTTCTCGGTAGTATCAAATGCATCGTCTCGGAAATTCAGCCTCCCCGCCAGTTGTGTACACAGGGTCGTAGGCCGGTCGATGATGAAATCGGAACTAGAATATGAGTGGAAGCCAGAGGAAACACAAAGCCAAACACCCGTACAACAAAGGAGAGTTCTAATTCACACGTTGCAAATGCAACCCACTGCTGAAGAGGTAAGATAGCCAGGTATACTTATTACTCAGCAACGTCCAAGTCGTCATGTTGAGGAGGAGGACTGTCGACAGCTATTTTCCATGTTAGTTAGTTTTCCTCGAACGTGTAAACACAACTGTAGAACTAGTTACCTTTACGATCATCACCGTTAGTACCGTTGTCACGGCGGTCGCGTTCGTCACGATCGTCGCGGTCGCGGTCACTACGTGAAGGTGTAAGCTCCTTGACTGGGGCTTTAGGTGAGCTGGACGGGGATTTGTACCGAGGGTCCGGGGAACGAGAACGGTCGCGGGTATCGCGGCGGTCACGGTCATAATCGCGATCGCGGTCTCGGTCACGGCGGTCGTCCTTTCTGGGAGAGTAATCGCGAGTGCTGCGGCGGGGAGAAGGCGAACGGCCGCGACGGGGAGATCGGCCTCCACGGTCACGCCTGTCGCGGTCACGACCACTATCGAAACGCCAAGACGCAGACGGAGGAGTACGGGCCCACTATATCCTCGTTAGCCAACCGCGTCTAAAAAGCATTAGGATGATTATGGCGGTAAGAACAGCTTACCTCAATCTTCAGAAGATCGTCACGGCCGATACGCTTGTTATGCATCTCGTGGTACGCATCATCAGCGTCACGACGATCCTCATACTCCACAAAGGCGAACCTGTTATCCTGATTAGGTCATGCAAAAACAAAATGCGGATTAAGGGGGTTAATAAACTTACAGTCTGCTACTCGCAGATCGAGGTGCTGGAATGTCACAACGGACAAGTCGGCCATAGCTAGATAAATTTGACGTCAGCAATCCCCGCAACAAACGTTAAGACTTCCCCAAGTGATCTGCATCGAGTGCGTGAAGCTTTCGAAAATCCCACCGCGATGGTCAAGGGACGTGGAACGATGCATCTTGGAGAGATGCCATACGACCGCTCGATCGAAGGAGATGGGAGGCTGAGATGGACACGGAGGACGTGGAGGGTGGTGAGAAAAGCGTAGGTTTTTATTATTATTATCATTATTATCATAATAAGAAGACGAATCGAGGACTCGAACGAAGCCGAGAACGACGAAGCGAGGTCGGGGTTTGAGGACGAGGAGAAAGCAGGTGACATCGGACACCGCATCCGTAGGACGGTCGATCGATTCACCGACGAGGATAATGGACATACCGTTCGAATTCGTAGGCGAGGTCGCGAGCACGCGTGCCATGGCTAAAGCCAGTCACGTAGAGAGTAGTACCTCCTCGAGACATTATAGCGGCTTGGGATGAGCAGTTAAACAATTAATAAGAGAGAATTTGACAAGAGCTCTGTAAAAAAGAATAAATGTGAGGTAGATAAATCAACCTTGATGATGCAAGGCGGGAATTGGTTTGAAGAAATATCGCGTGTTGAGGATGATGAAGTAGCTCCCCAGCAACCCAGTGATGGATGGAGTTCGTCAGATGGTTTGAGGTTGACAGTGGTTGGCCGACAAATAAAATTTGTTTTTCAAAGGGGGACGGATCATCTTCGGAAGAATAGCTTTTTTTTTTTGCTAGGGGTTCCAGTAAGGGGATGCTTTTTTTCGCTTTGACCAACTGCACTGTGCGATGGAAGGAGGTAATGCGTACTGTACACCGTGGCGCATTCGATGACGTATTTGGCTGCCTATCAATGGAATTGTACGGAATACATATGTACGGTAAGAATGGCCAAGCATTCAAATTATTTTAGGGAACATGGACCACGCCTCTATATTTAAACCTTAGGTACCTAGGTACCTACCTAGTATTGCTCATCACGCGTATATTCCACCACCAGTCAATCATGGAGTGTAATTCATGGAGTAATTCAAATGAATATTAAAAAAGGTATCAGCTACGATAGAGCTCTAAATTAATGATGATTTACAAGATACCTAATCAATATTCACCACACCCCTAGGTATTCATCACATAGTTCATCTTTATAACAAGCAACGCCTTAAACTCCAAAGCCTCAAAACTTGCTCTTCAGAAAACATCTTAGTTACCTCACTCATTCATTCACTTAGTTACCTTAGGTAGTTAGTTGCCTTTCCTCTCTATCTGGATAACCTAAAGCGCCCCAAGCACTCCCCCCCTTCATCCGATAATCATTTTCAGAGAATCAAATACAAGCTACATAGCAAACTCGGCCCCGTGAAGATACCGACCCAGAATATGATATTGCCAATAGTTGCCTGGCCGCGAAGCCACTTGGTTCGGCTGAGCCGCACAAGTGGGAGCTGGAACATTTGGAGAATAAGTAGGTAGCCGCGCAGCTTCTTGAATATGCACCACATGACGAGCTCGTGGACGCAAGCTGAGAGGAAGAAGGTGATAAGCGTCGCCGTGTGCTTATTTGCACGCATGGAAGAGATCGAGCTGTGATACACATGCCGCAAGAGGAAGGTGTGGACTGGTCGATTCCAGTCGCGAGCGTACTGATCCCATGAGACTGCTTCCATGTTAGTATGATAACTTCTGCTAGCACACAGGCTAGTTAAATCTTTGAAAATAAACATACCGCTATTCCACCATGCATCATAGAAGCTTCGATCCGCAAAGCACGTAAGTTCTGCAAGAATGTTGAGAACTGTCTCCCAAATGAGATACCAAGCTAACTAATAGCAAAATGTCAGTAAAGATGCAATCGGTATAGAATGGGGTACGGTCGTAAGACTAACCATGTACTCCATCATAAAAGGAAAGACGAGATCGCTCAGTAGCCACGGGAATTCGCGGAATCTCTGAGCAGTTGACCATCCCATCTCCTTCATGCCGATCGCCCTCATTACAACAGGATAGATAAAAGCTTGGGAGACCATAATCATGACGAATATAACACCGACAAGAGCACAAGCTTTCTCGGCCACATAATACCAGTTAATGCTATCAGACCTGGGATACTGTAATTCGTAGACGACAGTGGGTAGTGCGATATATTCGTAGTGGTTCCAGAAGGCAAGGTTGTTTGGGTAGTAATGCGTGGGATCTGTCGCTTTACCCCTGAGTTCGTCCGCAAGGGCATCAACTTCCCACTTGATGAGCCTTTCAAACACGTGGAGCTGTTCTATGTCAAGTGGCTCTGCTGCTTCAATGGCGCGGGAAATGCGCTCCATGTCATCTTGGTCAGTAGATCCAAACTTCGACAATGAAAGTCGCCTCTCGTGGTATTCATCTGCTGACGGCGGAAGAGCAAGATGTGATGTGGAGACAGCTGAGGCTCGTGGGTTCGTCTGCGATGGTGATGTTACGGGCGACACGTTCTCCAGCTGTTTTAGCTTAAGAAGTAGGCTCTAGTTAGACCTGCAGGTTAGCAACTTGATCAATCTTCCAAGTGTTCAACTTCAGAGATTATATTACGATCCATAAAATATTTAAAGGGGCAGAATCGCTAATCCGAGAAGCAAGTAGTTCTCTGGATCGCTCAGCTGAAATGAGATTCTAGATACTAACCTCACGTTGCCTGTAGACGGATGAAAGATGGCCGTTATAAAATGCGTAGGAATGTTGCTTCATCAGCATTACCAGGCCATGAAGAACGAAGAAAACGGTATCTTTGGTGAAAAGAATTAGTATATGCCCTTTATATGAGCAGGAAAATTTTACTCACGTGTCCACGGCCAATCTCTCACAAGAGTAAGACCAACTACACTTGCGATAAACAGTGTCTGCCAGACCTATGAGATTATGGGTTAGAAATAGTCAGCCATAAGAGTCGCGGTAACGAGCCTACGTTCTGCAGTATCCAACCGGACCTTTTCCAGCTGATATAGTTGAGGAAAACTAGGCGCTGAATAACCCAACTCACCCCCGTCAGAGCACACATAATTCCGTCGGAGAGCAAAAGTACGATGACTATAACGACAGTCAATGGCTTACATCCAAAGTACAACTAGAAGATGGAAAAAATAGAGGGTTAATATCAAGCCAGCTTACCATCTCTTCTAAACATGGTCTTCATAATTTCATTGGTACCGAGCGGATTTCCGGTCTTCCTCCAATTATCCGCTGCCATCTTGACGATCAGGAAAAACACCGAAATCCAGAAAAGGACATAGAAGCCTTGAAACGGGCTATTTGCTGTTGCTTGGTTCTGTCTATCAAATGCAGAGAACTGTCTAGTGAACACCATGTCTCGTAGCTTCTCGCGTCGTTTTGGTGATTCCTTTTCTTTCTCCTACGATGATGTTAGTGCCGTTTGCAAGCATGACTGAATGAGTGTTGGAATGTGTGTCGACTTGCTCTCTCTAAACCCCTTCTTAAAATCTCACGAAGTTCTGCGTCGTCACTAGCCACCACGTACGTCTTCCTCCCCTTGCTTGTTGAAGTATATCTAGACACGCCATGAAGAAACTGGTCAGGGCTTGATTTCTCGCCTAGGCCTGGCCTGTCTAAGTGCAAAATCTCAGGAGTATCCGAGGCTGAATTATCATACGAGTCGGATCCTGATCTGCGTCGTAATAAAATTGAGTGAGGATGTGCATCTGTAGATTCAATTCCAGAATCGCTGTTGCTATCTGACGGAGTATCTGGCGTACGATGTGCAGCCCTCAGTGCCTCGGTTAAGGTGAGTGGATTCTGAGCAGCATCGTGCTTTGAATGTACGCTATGGGTATCCGGATCTGTTACCAGACGACCTTGGCTCCGTGAAGCAGGATGTGATTCTTCAGCAGACATATTTGAGGAACGGCTATGAGACTATACCATAATAGGGTATCTCTCTTTTCATACCTAATGGAATGTGATGTACGTGGAAGCCGAATTGAATAGGTAGATTTGACAGGTTTTATATCAGGCACCAATTAAAGTTCCGGATTGTTGCTCGGAGTGAGACGATTTATTTATAAAGGTTTAGAATTTCATTTATCTCGTTCATTCGGATTAATCGTATCGAGAATCGCCACTTGACTCTTGTTATGGCCGGTGTAACCGGACGAATCCGAATCCACATGCACTCAAGGCTCAGAGGCTTTGGTAACGAAGACTTCCGTCAAACCCGGTTGGAGCCTGGTGACATTTGATCGCGCCCGTTAGGCGTCGATCTCGCTCTTCTTCTAGATGATCCTGTACGCCAATGAATAAGACATTATACGGTACGGTTCAACGTGAAAACAACGGAGATAGAGGGTTTTGGTTTTCTTTGGGTTTCCAATGATAGGTAATCCGGGATTCCACATTGTGGGCATACAACTGGAGTCTTTGTTCCCATTTCTCCATCAATTCCATTAATTAAAAGGAAAAAGATGAAGGACAGAGGGCAAGAGCATGAACATTCGACGGAATGAGATTGTTACGCTGTTACACTGCATACACGCTATTTCGTTACCTACCTCCTTACCTTAGCAACTATTAGGTAAATTAATCTAACGTAAGAATGTGCAACCCCCCTCACTACAAACGGGTACATAAATGACCTATTATCTTAGGTAGTACACCCTTCCTTCCGAGCTGAGATGCAAACCCGAATACGGGTTAAAATCGCTCATACCTTTAGGTAAGTAGCTACGATATTAGGTTATTCACTCTTCTCATTTATAGAAAATGTTAAAAAAAAATTGTTTAAATAAAATCTGCATTCGGAATTTTGGCAAGGCTAAAAAAACAAGCCGTCACACCCACTAAGCTAACACATATATCATGGTCAAATAAACCCCCCAACCTTTTGGATCCGAAGTAATCTAGGCCTTTTATTTACTCTCTTCCTTCGCGCAAGAGAATACAAAGCCTCAATCTACTACTGCATCTTCTCATGAGTTGCCATAAGCGAACCTATAATTATGAATTAGCCGCTGCTGCTATCACATCACTGTGCGAACCTCAAAAAAGGGGTTATGAACTGAGTTAACTTACCGATAAAAGTGGTAACCAGTCTGCTACGGACCTGGCAGATATCTTCGGGCACTAACCAGATCGTTGCGCCCATCTTTCTGGCAATGCTGATGCTGAGCTTTGCGTTCAAATATGCTTCTTCGTCGGTTCGCCCAGGTGTGACAAGATCGTAGTCGACATAATTGCTCTTCATACCGTTCAGAACATCCAGGAAGAAAACACCACTGGCAATAGCGGGGTCTTTGAAAGACCGAACTGATGAATTCCGTCCTCCTTTTCGGGACATGTCGTTAGCCCATCTTACCATCTCTGCATCAGTTATCTCCCGTTTTCCAAGACGCTGTGCCAGAGCCGAAAGTGTGAGAGTAATATCCTTTCGCATGAGCTGCCAGACCAGACCCAACGTGAGCATCTTGTTCCCATCTGTGATATCTGCTCCCTGAATACCTACCAGCGAGAATCCATTCTGCTTGCCAAGTTCAACAGCGTAATTGGTGTTCTCGACGGCTTTGAATCTCATCAACTCGCTACCGCTTGCTGGTCTCTTGTTCACGTGTCTCCAGTTCACCGAGCCCTTTATAACCTTGTCGTATGCTTGAAGTAGAACAGTACCATCGCAGAGATCGTCGAAGAAAGAGACTACGGCTGGTTGTACGTCCAGACTGTTCAACCATAATGTGAATACTCTCGCTTCTCGTTCCCCTTCGGCATCGAAGTCTTCTACTTCCTGCTTTTCTTCCTCGGTGATCGGGTCTAAGGCCGGATGAGTGTTAAACAGATTGGCAACAAAAGCTAGGTTTAGCTTGGGGTTTCCTGCTACGAGGGAGCTTGGGGTCAGGAACTTTCGGCAGCCAAGCTTGTCAGCGTCGACCAACACCTCCTCTGCTCGTTGTAACAAATCGCGCGTTTGAAGAGGGGCTCTGCTGCAACCATAATCCTTCCCAATTTGCGCAAGAAGAACCGCATAGTTCTCTCCATCCTTAACGTCACTGGAGAAATTGCTGACTCGACGATGCCAGCCAGCCGCGTTAAGGTGGTAGTTAAACCATCGCAAGAGGATTTGCTCGGGGGGTAAACGTAGAAATTGCTCTAGCGTCTCGTCTTCTTCGAGCAATCGGTAAAGCTCGGGGTGAAGTTTGATGTCGATCTTGCCTAGAAGACCTCTCCGGATAATCTGCCAGATCAGACCCAGAATGAGATGTTCTCGGACTTCGATGATATCACCGCTACCAATGTTGACGACCGAGCAACCTATACCTTTTGCGGATTCGATAACAATATTGTTATTCTCCGTCATTTGGAACGTATTCAACTTTTTGACCTTCTTTCCGGGGACGTTCAGTACACGTTCATCGATGGTATCGGGAACACTGTCATTGATAAGTTTAGCTAGCACCAAACCGTCTTTGCACTCGTCGAACATCTCGAAGGTGTCGGTCGGAAAAGGCAGTCGGCTCCCTATATCAGGGTCACCGGCTAAGACCGCATTGATATGGCGGGTAAACTCGGTTCGCTCATCTTCGTTGATGGTATGAGTAATATTGGCACTGGAACCTTGAACGTGAATTTTGCCGATGCTTCCTTTGGAGGCGTGCCCTTGTCCGCCTGTCCTTTGAGCTACAATGCCAGCCGGAGCAACTGGCGCCGCACCTCCAGTGTTCATACGCCGTTGCGCGGGTGAGGATTCACGGAGTTTAGCGATCAACTAGATGGAATTAGAATTATATGACCGGTATTATTCCTACGATCTCATGGAACTTACGCCAATATAGTCTTCGAGTTCGACTCTTCGGGAAGCATCGAGTTCGACTTCTCTTAGGGCCTGTCTGACGACATCGTAGGGCTGTCGCTCGCTTTGCTGAGTAGCCTTAATGGCGGTAGCCTCGTCAATGTAGCCTTTATCCTCAACATCGAGCTTGCGGAAAGCATCGGAAAGACCGAAGATATCGCCTTGTTCGAATTGAGGAAATTTCCTAACTGCTGTCAGCTTCTCAAGCTCCTTCATTCAAATTATTCTGCGATGCCCTACCTCTGAAGCTTGATAACGTTCATGGCTAACAGAGCTGATCTTTAGAGAATAGTGAGGGTTATTATTTGTTGGTTGGACTAGGAGAAAGGTGTATCGAAAGAATCGCGATCGTAGATTTCCGATTTTAAGGGGGCCAAGTAGACCTAATGTATACCTAGGCTTGCGCTAGGCAGGCAACTGTAAGATAATTACGATGATACGATGAGCTCCTCGAGGCTCAAAGCTGTGTTTTCTGGGGGAGGGGAGAAATGCGGACTGGTACACTGTGCACTGATGTAATTTCATGCTCCTGAACCTTGGCCGATCTTGGCAAAAGCCACCGCCACAGTCACTTGCGTAACATCCAACGTACTACCTGTACCCGGTCTAGGTTAGGTACCTACATACCTAGGTAGGTACCTTATGTAGGTAGGTACATGTATGTAAAAGCCGCATCTTTCAGGCACCATTCAATTTCGATAAGGCTTCAGTCAATTTTTATTCGTCTGCCTAATTCACGACTCGTCATCGTAAGATTAGGTAAATTTAGGTCTAGGTACCCAACGAAACTGTCACTCGGGAATATTCACGTCATATAAACGACGACTGAGGATTCAATGTTTTGTATTAATGATTAATATTATAGATTGTTCTGTTCTACCAGTCAATCAGAATATGATAACATCGGTAAACCGAAACCTATCCCCTCTATACCTACATCAGAACGACTATGGTTCTATGTTTGCATCCTCGCTCTCGGATGACATTGTATAGATCAGGGAGCTTAGGTATAGATCTACCAATCGATGGGTTCCCCACCCCCCCCCCCCCCCCCCCATTTCCCAATCTCATCTTGGGACCGACGTTCAGAAAAATCCTCTCAGCAGGGACATGCGTGACATTGGTCCGACGCGTCGGGTTGGGTTGGGTAGTTGAAATTTATTATTAATCGCCTTCTTCTTGACTTATTCTAGCATAGGGAATATTAGGGCGACCGGGCAGCTATGGCGAGTCTAATCCGTTTGACCGATTCATCGAGATCATCTCGGTCATCAAGTTGCACGCTGCTATCGTTATCGCCAATTGATCGTCCACGTCCGCGACACAATGTGTTTGCTTCCCGGAACCACGTCGACGACCCGGTCATCAAGTGCGCCAAGATGTCGTACCTGACACCTCACCATGCGCTAGCCTGAAAACTCCCCGCGGTTAGGCTACACCGTAAATGGTATCGGGAGTGATGGTGAAGTTCATAAGAGGGGCTACGAATTGGTTGTACGACGCCACGGCCTTTCCAGTGTAGTTCCACCATGTTGTAGGGGTATCCAGGTCGATGAACTTTACGCTCACTTGGATCTGAGGCTTGTGCGACGTTCCGTTGGTGGTGGCGTTACTCGGGAGAAGTTTCGCAAGGACAAGGTAGTCGGTTTCTGTCTCCTCGAGTGGCGTACAGGCTCTGTAGTTAGAGCCTTCACCTGATCCGCCGCAGTACGCCTTAAACGAAGGTCTAGCTGGCTTCGATGTGGAGCTCGCGTCGCCGGTTATGTTGAAGTCTAAACAAGAGAATAAGCAAAGAGAATAGGATATTGAAAAGCAGTCGGAATCTTACTATAGTGGCATTCTCGCGCGCAACCGGCGCTCCATCCTGTTACAGACCATTCCCAAGGTGCAGAAGCAGCAGCAATTCGCATAACAGCCGCGGACGCAGAGCTGGCGCCGACGACGGTAGTTAAGATGGAAGAAATGCGCATCTTGACGAGTATTAAAAGTAAATAGACTAAAAGGTACGAGTCTAGGTACTATGTTAATTAGACTATTAAGTTGAGTTAACGTAAATAGGAACAAGTTGATTTTTATGAAGGCTCTTTCAACGTTAGGAGGTAGATACCTATTAATTTTAAAAAATAACTGAAAGGAGGTCCCCTTAAAGCTTTTAAATACCGGATCGACTAAAAACTAATGCTAGGTGTTAGGTAACAACTACCTAGGTATAAGTTTTTTGTCGAAACGTGACAAAGACATTCTTAGTTAGGTACACTTTGAAATTGTTCCTTCTTTTACAAGGACTGTTTTGAACCATTATGGGACCTGACTAACTCGCGCAAGTGTTGCGTAAGGTTGCAAGTGATATGGAGATTGTCTGTCGACATCCCTGCGGTTCCTGGTGCCTTCCTGGTTGATCAAAGAGATTTCAAGGTACGTCATTGGTGAAGGACAAAAAGCCAAGCGCGATCGCGCTAGGTTATTATTATCCATTATTATCCCTTCACTGCCGATCTGTTCGTATGCTCGTATGCTGAGGTTGTATAAGCGGATTCGCACCGAAAAGGCGAAATAAAAGGGGAACATGTAAGCTCCTTCAGGAGATAGGAATAGGTATTGTACCTTCAAAACCTAATAAGAATGCGAAAGGGGTAAGTAGGACAAATGTACTGTTCCCATGCGAGTCAATCATTGGTTGGCTCATTGGCTCAAAGTTACAAAGTAGATCTTTCGTCTACGGCACAATGCAGCTCAATTCCGTTTATTGTTTTTTTTTGGGGGGGACCATGCAGCCATCAATTATTATTGTTCCTATTATTACATACATGCATATCTTGTAGCGACTTCAACAACCTTGTCATATTCGCGACCTGAAAGTGATCAACATCTTCTTAATCTTATCAGTTTCTAAATGTAAACCATAACGAGCTTCTATTTTCTCCAAAAATTCAATACTACCTGCGCTTGTTTGATAAGCTTCTACACATACCTATCTCGGCAATGTAAGACAATCACGCCTGTCCATTCACATATAGCTGTGCGCTCTTACTGTCTTGATTCTCTAGCTTGGCGAGGTTTAATGGTGATGGTAACAGAACGACAGAAAAACCTAATGCGCAAACACTTACACGTCTATCTATCCCTCGCAGTTTTTTTTTTTTCCACCAGCTTGGATACCACTAACACGTTAGCAAACGTCCTTCTGCGTAGAAAAGCTCGACAACAGGTTGATGCTGGATTCATTACTTTTGAGACGACCGCTTTACCTGTACGTCGGTCTTACGCAGGATATAGTCAATATCGCATATGTTAAATGCTTGCCTTCGCTGCCTCGATAGTATATCTTGATAATAGCGAATTTATAGATCTGGGATCATTGTATAACCATACCTCTTTTGGCGGTTTAATTCTATAGGTCGACGTCAGTTCCTTTGGAAGAAAGTTTTCTATCTCTTATATGTTGGTGATTGGAGAAGAATTTATGCGTTGTCCATGTAAGGGTCTTGGTGGCTATCAAGAGCTCCACCACTTTTTGTCCCTACTAGAAGTGGTAATGGCCCATAGTATGTTTCTTAGACATAGGAATATTTGAAATGCCGAAAATTCCAAGTTCTGTTGCTTATCGGCTGCATTTTATTCCCATCACTCTGGGGGGGGGGGCCCCCCGCCCCCCCGCCCGGGGGGGGGGGGGGGATGGGGGTGGGGCGAGGGGAGACGAGTGGGGGTGTGAGGATCTAT